CCTATTATCAGACAATTGTATGATACATAGTACAATACAATATAATAGGTACCTACCTAGCACCTAGTATATATCTAGGTACTTGAGTACCTATTCAATATGTACCATACAAGGGCTGTATATTTATTTTTCGCATTACACGCAGAACATTCCTCGAGAAAGCGAAGCCGCCGTAATCGATATTCCACTCCGCCGAGAGTCTTGCGACGCCGGTTTGCCGTAAAAGCCCTGAATAATCAGTCTTAATACTAGTAGTAAATTCTGGATGACCAGTTCTAGGATTGATCGACTCATCTGTTGCCTTTTTTTTGGGGGCCAATATATGGCTGTGAGCTTGTGCCGATCCGGAATCAACTTTTGGGGAGAGTCATGATGTTTCATGAAGGTTGTGGCGGTAAGCCTACCTGCCTAAACAATAGGTGGGCGCTTATGAGAATCCTAGAAGTGTGGTAGCCGAGTGAGATATCTGAGAGTCAGCAAGATGAGAAACTATATTAGGATAGTACCCTGCTACAAAAGATTCATATTCTCTAAATAAATTACTCTACCATATTCAATCACGGAACACTTCCCTCCTTGTTCATGTTTTCATACTGCTTACTTTGTTATGTTATTCCACCAAATATCTGTTGCATTTTCTTTAGATGAGAACTCCCAGTTCTCGAAAGAGTATGAGGAGCCGGCTGGAGTATATTTCCGTGCTTTTGAGGAAATACGTGAGAACAGTAACGAGGACATACCACGGCAATTAGTCCGTGGCTTGATACCTGTCGGTGGGGATGAATCTAGCACCTATTACTTTATCTCTGCTGAGGCTGTCATTCTTAATGACGTATTTTGAAGTCCGTCCCCGGAGGATGATGTCAGGGGATAATGTGAACCATTCCTGATTAGGTATAGCGTGGACCAGGATAGGTATAGGGCGCGAAGCGCCCGCGAAGGTGCTTCGAGGGGCAAGCGTTATTAGTTCTCTATTACAATACTACCTAGCATTCACTCTATGCGTGACTACCCCTAGGAGCACTATCCTCTCTGACAATTGCCGCCAGTAATTGTTAGAGTGGAATCAAGCTTAGGATTAGGGCTAGTCAAAATTTCAAGTATGGACGGCATGTTGGAAACGAACGGAAAGTGGAACGAGTTTTTGAAGACAGATGTGCGAAGTTGGTTTGTTACCCAGATGACCTTCGCGCTCGAGTGTCTTTATATATCCTGGGCTCTGCTCTATCCATATTGTTTCTTGAGATTTCCAGCCGCGCAAGTAGTGTGTGTATGATATGTTGATGTAAGTGTGCTGTCGATATTTTCATTACAAGATGCGCTTCACCATGCTAAATGTACCTTGCTAGCCATGTAAATGTTCCCCGTTAATATAAGTACTACTTATACAGTTTACATAGCACCTATTCCCTTGAATTATCATTCTTGTAACGCTATAACTAAGAAGTCGAATGTTTAACAAAGTAGCCCAAGGAATGACCGAAACACTCCAGCAAAACGAAGCTCTCCCACCCGGTTGAGCCGGGTCACGTTTCTGGTAGGTGAGCTAGTTCTGGGAGCTACTATGTAGCCGGAAGTCAAGTATGAGCGACATGAGCAACGTTAAATCTGCAGTGTAGTTTCGCTAGGATCTCAGGGCTAGCGTGGAACTAAGGGAGGGTATCGTGGAGGTGTAATGTCATGACAAGGAGAATGGACTCGATGGTAAACATGAGTTACAGCAGAATAGAAAGGGAGAAGTCCAAATATAAGACATTAAGCTCGAAAAAGTGATCAAATAGCTTGTTCTATTGGGTGGGTACTGTGCTAACTAGCTGCCCACCAATGAATCGTGGGCCACCTACTTCGCATCTCCCCCAATGGTTAACAAGAGAATTATTGCCGCCTCATCTTAAACAAGAAAATTGTCCCATGGCTACCCCTAATGAACACACCAAGATCCTTATCGCTAGGTAGGTATACATCCAACAGCTTCTGTAGACTACCTAATCATCTCGTGAGATCCTCTAGGCTTTGTCTAAATGGGAGAGAGAGGCCGACCATTTTGGAACAATGTCAGCAGACCATGGAGGCAAGAGAATGTTTTTCAGAGGCGCGATGACCTCCTCTTCATCCCGATTGGACCCCTCGAGCCATTCCGCCATATTTTCCGTCCTTAGCACCAACTCCAGCTCCTGAACGTGACCTTCTCGTTTCTCCTTGAAATGAATGCAGGCCTGCCTGTAAAGGTCTTTCACATCATTCAGGAAAACGCGTTTAACGTCATCCTCGTCCTCTTTGATGGCTTGTTTCGCGCAGGTGAGGACAGCTTCGATCATATGGTTAGGCAGCTTCCCATTGAATGACCCATGGCTTATCTTGAGTCGTTTGGAAGAGCGATCGCTGGAGCACCACGGCTCTCGCTGCCACATCTTGCGTGAGGATCCAGTCCCAATGGGAACGGAATATCGATTCGAACACTCGCTTTTGCATTCTTCCTCATAGGGGGGGATACCGTATGTATCGTTAGAAATTGTTGAGCCGCTGTCGCTTCTGGGGCGAGACATGTTGAAAGAAAATGAATGAGCAAAGGATTGTATACCTAGTACAGATTTGAGTACAATCCAGATTTGATTGAATTTAAGGAGGGAAAGAGGCGTGGTCGAGCTGAAGGGGAGGAGCGGTCCTATTTATGCTCATTTCTTCTGTGGGGCAACCTGTATCGACATGTTGTCCATGATAAATGGAACGAGGCCCCTGGTAGCTTTCATGGACTATGATCGAAATCGAAAGAAAGCGCGGTAGTCGGATGGCCTCCAGATAGACCTCTATGTACAGACACTCAGAGGTTAGTGTACTTCTATCTCCTTAACGATGATGCTTCATACTGCCAACAAGTAGGAAACCACCATCTACTCACACCCATTTATAGGAGAGTAAGAAATAGCGGTCGGTCATAGGAAACCCCATATTCATTCCTCCTTGATCCCCTGAAACCCGAAGCAGGCTGTGAAATGAGCTGGTTTTGGTGTATTTGAGAATAGAGCCCGGTACATGCCAAGGCTAACTTTCTCCTAGCGCACCAAATGTTAGGCCGCAGACAGAGGCGGCCATGATACTCGTAGGAGCCACCTTATATAGCATACAATGTAAGAGGTGGTATGTCTTGTGGTATTCGCCATCCCTAGGTAGCCTATCGTGCCCACAGATGACTCGACTTGTTAGGTTAGGCGCAACAGAAGGTCTGGCCGGCGAAAAAAGGACAGTGACCCTGGTCGTACGAGAAACTTCTAAGCTAACTGCATTGTCGTCTCTTGATTAAGCCCCCGAGGTCTGTCCGTAGCGAGACCATCTTATCGTAGCTTAAGGGGAGGTATGATTCTGTACGGGGACCGATTCTCTGCCTCAGGTTCGCGCGAATTAATACGTTGCCTACTCCCCCTCCCCGTATTTATTGAAATAAACGCAGGTTATGAGTATGATATTTGTGTATTAGAAGGGTAAGTTACTAGAACTAGGTACTGGTTCGTAGTGGTACAATATATACCCCTGAGAGACAGGGCGTAGACTCCCAGCCACCTCATATTCCAGCAGTCTTAAACCCGTATCCAAGCCAGATGATATCCTATTTCACCTTGATGTGCGAGAAGCACGATGCGAAAAACTTAGTTGGGTTGAGATCTTAGGTGTCGAAGGTCTACTTACCCAACGTCTTTCGAGAACAGATATCGAAGCTGGAAATGACAGCTACTTCATCCAGGTTCCCTAGAATGAGTACTGACGGGCTCATATGACTGACTAGTCGATAGGTATACAGTTTAATAACAATTTAATTGCACGAGGAGCTCTTATGGACCTTAAGCTGTGCGCTCTGGGTATATAGAAGCGGAATCAAGGAATCCCAGCGACGAAGGGGCTTATCCTATCTCGCTCTCCTACCAGGCTCGGATCCAGGCACGGGGTTACATTAAATTTTACATAATTACATCAGGACCTTCAAAAAATATTTACATTGCTTTCCATATACTTAGATGGCTTCCCGGGTCTTCTGGTCTACATGTCGGCGATTTAGTCCGCTCGTATATGTTGGAGATAACTAGGTACCTACCTACGCCCCACACCTATGGCGTATATATGTACTATCTACATACCTCTACTTGCTCTACTTAAGGTTCTCTAACCTGCGTCTATTCCAACACACGGCGTTTCACGGATAAGAAGGTCGTAACCTAGCAACGACTGTCAGGCGTCTTCGTGAATCTCTATCACCAGCAATATGTCACGAGGCAAACCTAAGAGCCTAAGAAACAACTATGTTGTTGCGCAAGGAACTCTAACTACTGCTAGCGGGAAACGCCGGTCTATGTACATGAAACCCTCTTTGTCTTCTCTCAAGGGCTGAAGGCAATCTCTGAAGCTAATCTCCGTCTACCGTATATATACCGTAATTTCCTTAAATACGTTAAGGTTTCTTTTAACTGAACGTCGTTTATATCCCGCTTTTCATGAGATTACATTTCCAAGATGTAACCATACTTAGTAAGATGTTAGTTCACGAAGATCGGCGACAGGAGTTTCTTGTGGCATGATAAGGGCAATCCTTTTTGTTGGTGGAAGTTGAACCAGCTGTAAATTGTTAGGTAACAGAAAGCTCCCTACGGCTGAAGTCCACTCTTCCATTGATCCGCATGAATGTCGATAGATGGCTTTGAAATACAGCGTCTCGTTATTGAAATCACACATGGTATACTTACATTAATCATACAACATGAAGACGCATACCCCATGCTGTACATTTTAGTGTATAAACAAAAGACACCTAATTATATTGTAGCGGGCCTTTATGGAGCATCATTGTATATTTAATAGGGTGCGTTTTAGTGAAGTTATGCAAGATAGCCCTTGAAGGTCGTGGTAACGAATCATTCCAAGATGAATTTTGGGGTGAGGAGTATCGGAAACTCATCATCGCTGCGATGGGACTTTTCTAAGCACAATATAGATAGGTACCTAAGTACTAAGTATTGACGAGGTATCCAGTAGCTGTGACAATGTAACCAACTATAGGCTCCTGATGCTACGTGCTATGAGTACCTAAATACACAACTTGCTCTATTGTGGAAGTTTATGCCTAACAACGTTATTGAAGCGATATAGCCAGCCTTTCCCTTCAACTATATTGTACCAGCCAGTTTTTCGAGAAGGTCCGGCCAAATGGAACCCAAGGCGGTAAAGTAATATTGGCGCCCTATGCTCGCCAACGACTCCCTTGCCTTAATCACGTCAGACAGTCCAGCTCTCCCGAAACGGAAGTTTAGCTCGCAAATAGAAAAATCTACAATTACATCGGTATAGCCGAGGGGTAATTCGAGCTTCCTAGTTAGGTCTCGGACCCCTTGCCAGTTGCGTATAGCTGGTTCATACTGTCCGCTCCAATGCTCGGTAATTGCCATGCCTATAGAAACTGCAATGCGATCGACCCATATCAAGTGATTGTTAGGCTCCAATTCTCTGTACATGGTTTGTACTTCTTGTCTATTGGACCAGGCCTGCCCAGACAAGACCTCTCGTAATCCTTTCATGAGGTATGCATTTGCCAATGCAACTCGGATGCGAACCCCTGCTTTTGATGTTGGTAGCTTGGAGAGCATTAACCATCCTTCCAACCTTGTGACGGCCTTGTCGGGCTCCCCCATCTCGCACGCGGTAGCACCGAGATGCACAAGGACTTCGCTGCCAGTCATACGGACAGAAGACAGAATCTCGTACGCATCAGGGAATTGACCCTGAAAGCGATACACAATAGCACGGGTTATTTTTACCGACTCCTCTTGTGCGTGCTCGAATGTGGAGAGGAACAGCGACCTAAAACACGAAAGTTCCTTCTGAGCTAATGCAAGGTTATTATAGCGGATGGACGCGCGGGCTTTTAGCATGACTAGATCAGCTGAGAACGCATTTATTCTTGCGTCGGCTGGCGAGGGAAATGTGACAGATCCTATCTCCTCGCTCGGTAGGGCGGCGCTCTGTGACAGGGAGAGTCGTAGCGTTCTTACGTGTAGCCTTGCTTTAAGTAGCGCGATATCTGAAGGGTCCATATTATTTTCTTCACAAGCCCGAACTAAACCGGTAGCTGTAGTGATCGCGTTCTCCTTCCATCTGAGGTCATTAAAATGAGATGATGCGAGACAGACTTCAACGGCATCATACAATCCAGGGCCGGGGCCCTTGACGAGATACGTCAAGATCTGCGGCTCAACAAAATAGGACATTACGTGGCTTAAGTTGGGAAGCATGGTTTCGTAGTATTGGTCATAGCTTGAAAACTATTTGTTAATGATTTGAGTAGTTCGGTGAGTTGTGATAGACCTACTTGTCGGGCTCCAATTTTCTATCCTTGGGGAGAGCATGCAATAGGAGCTGGACAGCTCTAACTTTCCAGGCTAGGGTTTCCTCCCTGTCCTTGAGGATGTCTGCTAGCCGCCGATTCACCCGGATCATATCGACGGTCGACTTCACGAACCCGAGCATTTCTAGTTTCTGTAGGATAGCCCCAAAGCGGGATGGATCTCGGATTGTCTCGGTAATTGTTATAGTAGTTTCACTAACTTCGCCATCTCGATTCCAGGTTTTAGAGGTCTTGCGGCATTGGGAAAATATGACCCGAGGCACCATAGGTGTTCCAAAGCAATACAGGAGGCAGGCTACACCTATGGAATCACGATCTAAGTGGTCCAACAATCGATTGAACCAGGCAGCGAAGGAATGATGGACAGAAAAACCATTAGCTCTCTTGAATAGATCCCGCTTGGACTGCTCCGATATATCGCCGTTGACAAGTCGTTCCAACGTCTCCCTATTCCGTAAATTGCGATGCACATCAAGTGTAGCATAGACCACGGCAATGAGAGCAAACACGCCGCCAGCCTGTAGTGACAAGGCAATTAGCGGAGCTCTTGGGGAAATTTGCGTTCGATGATCGAGCTTCCGATAGAGTATGTAGCTCCGGACGTATTTCTCTTGGCCTCCAGGAAACTCATCCAGTGCGGTGCGAAGCGCCTGTTCCGCCAGGATTACATCTACTGTGTCTGGAAGCGCCTCCTGGCTGCAGAGAAGCAAGGCGTCGATCAGGAGGCCTCGCACCTCGTAAGGATCCTGCTTCAGGGCCGAATGTATATCGAGCCTTTCACCGTCCAACTCACAGAAGAGTCGCATAATGTACAGCGGCTTCAAGTCCTAAATTCAGGCACAAGGGGGTGGGACTATAAGGTACCACGTACTAGGTAGGTAGGTACCTGAGCTAGGTACCTGCCGGAATGCGGAGGGACGATATGAGTAGCTTTTGGGCGTGAACTAGCTAGTGTGGCTCGTGCCATCCATGCGATTTGGTGAAATGGACGGGGGTGGATCGCAGCTGCTACCCGCACCACATGTGGGCATCAAGAATTAACCAATCAACACAAGTGGCTTTTATCCGCCCCACTCACCTCCCCCCTTTTATCTTTCCCTGTTTTCAATCGTCCTCCCCTTTTCAATATTCAACTAATCGAGCTTACTAGGAGTTAATTATGGAACAGATTTTGTGATCTTGTGGAGAATACATCGATATTCGGAACAAATTGGAGTTGATACGTTCATAGAGTCGATATCACAGTATTCTAGCATGACAGAGTCTAAGGTGGGAATTGCTCTCTAGGGACGTTGCCGTGATGCCTCGTCGGTCACAACCTGCAATGCAGTTATAGAGTCGACCCACATGACTCGCTTGGTACGACTTTCTCAGACGCTTGATTACTGACCCATGTATTCTCACATGTCCCCCAGGCTTAAAATCATCCAATTTCAATAAGTTCAATCAGATTAAATCAGCCTTGCATCCATTGATTGCCGTATGCATCCCTCACCGCTACGCACATAATTGCACTTTCATAGGAAACCGTGAGAATGTTGCCTCGTAGCCTCATATTCGCATTGGTCCTTTTCCTACTGACGACCACCTCTAGTGCTACATGGTTCGCATACCAATTTCTGAAGAGACTCCATGGAAGATCCAGGCTAAACCTTTCATTTCTTGGATTATTTTTGGTATATTCATTGGCCTATACAACGATACAAATTGTCCTACTTGTGGGAACATGGCAAGGAAAGCAAGGCTATGAAGGACTGCTTGGGAACTTAGCCGCGTCTTGCATTTTATTAGATGTATGTGCAGGAATAGTTGAATGGAAATCAAAGCTAACCGAATTAGTCCTTCCTTGTACTTCAACAAAGTCCCCTAAACACAACAATTGAAGCACTTCTCATCAGATGCCTTCCATGTCCGATCGACCTCACGGGGCTTGTTTTTGCTCTTCCAGCCATATTGACGGAAATAATCTTCATCGGCTTGACTTATGTGGACCTAGAGCTAGCATACACGCTTCTGTTTCTAATCCATTACACTTGGACCTCTCTTTGGATTGGCTATCTACGAAATGCTTTGTGCGCTCGACACATTGTTGCAGTAATTTCAATTGCAAGTGAAATTATTTGTGTTGTATCGGGGCTACAGGAATTATCCTTAGTGGTATTGTCATCTTTGTCTCTATTTCGGGGTTTAGCTAACTTTGCAGATGTTCTTATCTTTTTCAATCATTTGGGCTGTTATAGTTGAATATGTTACTACCCAAAGGACCGAACCAAACCGAAGTATCCAAGGCTTCTCAGCCCAACTCGAAGAGGCTATTCAGAGTGATATCAGTCACAATGATACACAGAACCGGAATCAACCTCCAAAGATACGTTATTACCGCGCTGACGATCGAAAACAAGTCTACAAGTTCTCAGTCATTGGATTCTCATGTGTCAAAGAGCTATATCATATTCAAGGACGAATCGGACGCACTATAACTTGCAATGACAATGAAAATGACAACTTCACTTGTACTCAAGTGATAGGCCTCAAGCGATACGAATATGACGTAGCAACAGCCTCCAAAATCAACATACAAAATGAACCGGCACTCAAGAATCTGATTACTGGAACTGACGGATATATACTAATATACGATCCTACGAGTACTTACACTTTTCAGAACATCGAATCCGTCGCCGAAACTAACGTTATTCCTCTTTCTAGCCCTGTTTTACTAGTTTCCCGCATCGTTGATCATAGGAGAATTCAGGTAGTTGAAAGTTTAGGGGCGGAACTAGCCAACAGAAAAGGTTGGATATTCAGGAAAGATGACCATAATCCTTTTTCATTCATTATTCCTATGTTAGAAAACCCAGAACGAAGTAAATGGTTAGCACGAAGTGATTCAACCCCAGGAGATGACTGAGAGCTATGTTTATTTCAACCAGTACTTAAACTCCATCAAGATTAATTACCTATTACCTACCTATGCAGTACGCTTAACATTACAAAGCGAATAACACATCTACCACCAAAGACTTTTGACTTGAGAACATACTCTCGATGCCGGATGCCTACTTAGTACCTACCATAGAAATCTGTCTGTTGGCGATGTTTGCATTCCAGATGAAGGTTCGGCTAGTAGGCTTACTTGATTCAACTACATAGTACCCACCAGCTTTCCTTCATAAATACATGTGCATATGGACACGTAGCTAGTAATAATTAGAAATTATAAGCGCGATTACCTGAATCCTGATTATTTCCCCATCCTATCTCTGTAGGTACTGGACAGCGTTGTCCCTGTCAGAAGCCTTCCCGGTTAAACCCGGTATCCTGAGCACAGGTTACCTAGGTAGAGACGGAGATCGGGTGTGCAAGAGGCCACGATAGCTTTAGGTATGGCCTTCAGCCATTAGAAGAGGACAAAGAGGGTTTTGTGTATGTATACCGTATTTCCCGCTAGAGGTTAGTTAGTGTTCTTTGTGCAACAACATAATTATTTCTTAGGCTCTTAGGTTCACCTCGTGACAGTCCCAAGAGGTTTGAAAATTTCGACCTCACCACTACGACTTTAAAAAATGTTACTGTTGCATTTCTTAATAAATAAAGGGTTTTAGGGGGTCATCCTATAAGACAACAATACGAACTTTCAGTAAGAAGCCAATTAACCCATCGAATGGCCGACATGTGAATTATTACTGTATCAAAAGGAGGAAGCATATAGTTTCATTGGCGAGTGGTGGAGGGTTTTACACGATTTATTCCAACGATAATCAACACCTGGTACGCAATGTTACGATATAGGAAAGAGAGAAAGAGAAAGAAAGAGAGATTCATATTGCGAGACTCAGACGAATGCGCAGACCAGACTACCTAGTACCTAGGTAGGTAGGTAGCGGTAGGCACGTGGGAACAGCTTTATTAGGTACTGGATTAATGAATCGCGATGAGCGTCATGGGCTATGTAGATGGATAACCTTGGAATTATCAAATAGGTAGGTACTGTATTATTTTAAGCTAGGACTTTGATTTGATAGTGATCGTTCCACTAAGTTTTAGTGTATAAGCTCACTAAAAATTCATCGTGTCCATCCATTAAAAAGGATATACAATGCATAAGTAATCCAAATTCATACCATTTTAACCCCAAAGATGTAACGGTTTAAGCTTGTAAGAGCTCGGACCATGTTCAACAGTATCAAAATGCGCTAGGACGGCCCATCATCCCATCCCCGCGCTAATCCCGATGCACCCTTAACTCTAGCCCGGGAATTGATCCAGTCTCTGATCTGGGGATTAGGTCAGACTCTCGGGAATTCGATAAACCCCTAGAAAAATTCGAGCGGCATAATAATCCTAGTGACTTTAGGCATATTTACTAGGTACCTACATGTACCTACCTCTTACCTTACCTAGGATTAGGTAGCTATGCATGAATAAAAGCTACATAAGTACCTAGTTATGCATTAGGCTTAGTAACACCCAATGTTCAGAAGGTACATAGATTGCCAACAACCTTACCATACCGCCAGTTCCAGTTTTCTTATTTGAATGCAGAATGTCCCCATGTCCTGTTCTCAAAAAAAAAAAAATTTTCATTAACATTATTTTCTCGTTGAACTTTCTATTACTCGATCAATACGATAATATGACAGATCAGCCACCACGTCAATGTTTTCTTCCCCGATGCCGACTTTGTCGGTTTCTTATTTTCGAGGGTGAATCTGTCAAAGCAAGTAAGTGCGGGTAGATTGTTAATTGGACGAGTTTGTTTAACATATGGGCATCTAGTTACCCAACACGGTATCATTTCGACGGAGTTCTTCTATAACGATCACATGAATTCTGTCGACATCACCCCAAAATTGAATCCATATCGTTGTACGAATTCAATGTGTCACCATCGTGACAGACTCATCGGCTGTCATTCAGCTTGCTTATCATTTGTATCGCCCGTTTCTTTATCTTGGCTCCAGGTGACAGACTATTCATTCGAACCTGCAGAACCGGAAGATGAAAGACGGCTCGTCCACTTTGTTAAAGTGGTTGCTACAAAACTCACAGCCACGTATAACATGCTACCCCTAGAGTTATGGCGAATGATTTCTAGCAGTTTGGCTCATGAGTTTGCTGCATCTGCTACTTACCAAACTTGTGCTACTGATCATGCGCCTAATACCTATTCCATCGACACTACCTTGAGCATTTGGGCTCGTTTTGTCCGTTTAGATGGTATTCAGTATATTGGGGGCTTGTCTAATACACGACAGAACGACGAGGATATCTGCATTTTTAATGCAGATAAAGGCTTTCCGCTTGAAGCACTTTACGTATCGGAAGACCATTTGGGTATTAGGTGGATCATATCCACTAAACAAGGCAGCTCAACCGACTTACCGGCAACTAATGATGACCTCACAATGTGGTGGCAGACCATCCATCCTGCCTCAAGTAGATTTCTAACCGTAGAATACGATGTGAGTGTTCCAACTATATCCACACACACACGACTGTAAAGCTAATTTAACGTCCATCTAAGGGATTCAAACTTCGGCACATATTCGCTTCCGATACACCGAAACCTCTCCAACTCAATCTGTGGTCAACCCCTATGCCACCGCTTGCATTGAAATCGCTCCATTTTCACAGCCTCACGTCTTCTATCCCTCCAATCAATGAGTCTGCCCGACTTACTAAATTTCGCATGGCTTCATTTGAGTGCAACAACAAGGCGATCACTGGGCTGTCCGGCTGTTGGGCAAGCCACATGCTTTATTTTCATGCTCATGTAAAGGATGATAACTCGTTCTACCGCCGAATGGACCTTCGTAAAAGTGACGCTATTTGGATATATGTACCCTTAGATCGTGACGAATCCATTGCGACAGTGTGGTGGCGGATGGGTCAGCTGCCTCCGCACTGCGCCTTAGTGGTAAGACTATCCATTCATTTTATATTCTCATCTAATCATCAGCAAGGTCAAAACCGATAAGAACCGACTCGTGGAAATGGGCCCTCATACTCGGAGAAGCTGGCCATCACCCACTTGGTCAAGAATGTTCGCAACATCAGGGAGGCCGGCTCGAATATACTGGGAATATTCGCATCATGGAAGTAAACAATGGGCTACTTCTTCCCCTCCTGACCAAACAACTATACCGTCGGTTTCTACCATATCTCAATATCCGCCTGGTTCAGACGGTCTCTTCTATAGTTCTGCTTCGTTGGAGAATATCGTCGAAATTATCCCCTGCCAACGAAAGCATATTTGCAGTACTGACCTACAAATAACCGGTCTCCTCATCCATTATAAGGACAAAACCCGAGCTTGTGTTGGAGGGTTTCGAATGGATAGTCTTTGTCCGGCTATCAGAGTTGGAGATTCTTCAAAGTTATATCTAGGGTTCACCTATGCGGACGGCAAATATCCATGCCTTGTGAAGGTCGAAGCATCCCCCCCAGAAGATGAAGGTCCGTATCAGTGGCTCAATTTCAGTTGGGAGGGCAGGATGGAGTGGTGGCATGACCGAGTGCGGTGTCAAATTTCATGTGCCGGAAAATGTAGCCCGAAAGTCGATTAGGTAGTAGCCAATCCGTACATCTACGGTTGCCCTACAGTTGACAATGTACACGCATGTAGTCACTTTTGGTGAAACCCATTGATTAATCCAGGCCGAGGACCAGCTGCAATTACTATAGGGGAAATACCTTAACTATTATCGGGGTTAGTTAGGTACTCAACCCGTAGTCCCTTATGCACCAAATCCTGATCTTGCTGGACCAGGAGCTAGTAGTTTCTTATCAAAGCACACTTTGCAAAATGTGGGTTGAATTGAATCCATACGATACAACATACACTACCGGGTGAGGGGGGTATTTTGTCATTATCACAGCAATAGTCTCCAGGGGTGAACATAATGTCAGCCCGCGCGTTCATAACTGACCCATTTGGACTTGATTGGCTGTCGGGTTGATATTATCACCCTGGGGGGCAATTGCATTCCTTATACAAGGGTTATTCAGGAGGAAATAGCCACCGTAAGGACAGTATCACCTTCAGTTACAACGATTGTAGATTCAACACAATGGCAATCATGTAACTCTGCCAGGTCTAGTAATCATCACCAGGTCTAATCTAGGGAGGAGAGAAAAAAAGGGGGGGGAAGAGGCCATCGCAGGCAGTTGAATGCAGGGTCTTAAATCCCCGGAAGCTGGAACAGTTTCATACAAAAGAGCCATCATAGAGTAGGCAAGCTGAATGAATGTCAACATACAGTCAAGAGAGTCTGGAAGCCGCTGGCGTAATAGCTCAAGGAACGAATGGATGCCATGTCTCCATAGTTTGGTAGGCATAGTGTATATAGATTCTAGCTGTCGAAGAGCTGGGGCCGCGATTGGGTGTTGAGAAGCTAGGAAAAAGTCGTGTTGCTCATGAAGCAAAATCGAACGTGCCGTACGCAAATCTCTGCTGACTCATTTGTGGCGGTGCATAGTACCCGTTGATTCCCGGGGTGGCGCCCCGTCCCGGTCTAAGCGCCCGTCCTCCGTTTTGGAGTGGGTCCGGAATACCGTTTTTCTTCGTTTATCCTGTCACGGGCAACACCCCAAACTTTTTTTCGTCCACGCCTTTCCCGTCATCTTCGCACTCCTCCCCTCACTGGCCATATCTATTGGCCTTGCCGCCCGCAGTCTGCGCTAAAAGAGCTAACACAAGCTTGACGATCTATCCCGAATGATGGATTTCTCTTCCATGCACAATGGATACTACAAGGCTTGAATCCTTAGATATAGATTGCTCGTCCCCCTTCGATCCATTTCGATCTCTTATAGGAAGAAGACCATAGCCATCTACATATTCCCCAATTGTTACAGTGATCATACTGTCAAGATCAGAGAGCGGCAATGGCTTTTGATACTTGCCCCGGAGGTATGGACTAGGTACTTGAGTTATGTACTTACTAGGTAATAGTTACGGCGTTTCATCGGTAAGGACTGGATTTCAATTGGTTACGGTCGCTTCCTTGTTTCTTGAGCCACACTGTGGAGTTCCAAGCAGTGTACCTAGGTACCATACGATTCAAGGAGCGAAGCCTTCCAAGGTTGAATCTAAGCCACATAACATCAACTCGTTATCAGGTACATTGTTACCGTGCCACATCATCACCATGTCACATTATTACCCTGCTACATTGATGTCTTGCCACTTACACATAACTACTCAGGTAGAGACGTACCTACCTAGTAGGTATTCAACCTTGAAACAACTCAAAGAGATCATTTCCACCTTAGCATAACTTGGCTTCTGTTTACGTCAATTTGTTTCGATGTCACATAGACGTTGTGATTTTTGTTACCTTGTTTTAGTGTTGCTCAGACACATTGTTACACGACTATTTACTCGCCTTTTTTCCAATGTATAATTTTATAAGATCCAACTGCAAGTATCACTTGAATTACACTGGATCGAACGCCGTGAATCTTTCCATCCACCATTTGAACACTATTAATCCCGCAACTACGAAACCGCGCGGCAATATCGTTCGTATTTCATATCTCCGATTCAAGAAATGGATTTCCAAAACACGGAGCGGGATAAGTGGGTCAGTTCTCGGCCTCGCTGCCGATAGTAAAACTAAATTCTATTTTAGCGCTCATCGGCGCGTCTCGGACCTATCAGATTTTACACCGCGCCCCAGCTTCAGAGTAAGTACTTCGGCTCCAGTGGTTACTTTTATTGTGGGTACCTGGATTGTGCTAAGGTACATCTAGCTCATATGGACAAAGCACAATCGAATACTCGAGGATATGATGTATCATTCCGTGATTGTTAAGCAGCATCATTCCACATATAGCACATGAGTAGTGTGATGTAGAGTTGAAAGCGCGCGATTCCAATGTTGGATGGCTATCAGGTATGTACCTACCTAGTAGTACCTACCTAGTACCTCTAACTACATAGTAAGCATCTGGCAAGGAACATCTAATTCACTTGAAAATTTGAAGCGCTCATGTTGACTAATTAGGTACAAATGCCTATGTAGTCCATTATTCCTTCGTCGATGACAGGTCGAGCCTTTTCTGAGAAATCAAAACCTCTGGCTCCTTTATTGAAACTCAACATCGGGTACGATTGTATCGTACCGTTCAGATGTATGTTAAAGATCCCCTATGTAACTCCTTTTTGAGGATTTCTCGGCCAGAGTAGGTAATCGCGAACGATAAAGGCCAGCTATCGTGAGTCGAAACTACATGAATTGAAGTCCCCCTTTCATCACTGCCCTTCCGGAGGTTTACATGACCATTGTTGGAAGTGATATCGACCTTGACTAGCTTCTCGATAAGTGAGAACTCAGAAGGCATATAGATCATAAGTTCGGCCTTTGGTCGTGACTTTTTCTCGACTTTCTTCTCAACCAATACCACCCGCAAGCCTTCCGTCAAGAACTGGGTCCAAGTGGTAAACCCGATGCGATGCGATTTTGCGAGTTTTCCATATTCACTTCGCTTCAGATCCGGAAACTCGTGGTGAGATATGATGAGAAATTCGCATCTAAATGAATATTTAATGAGTTGATCCTCTGGCTCTCGACCGCATTGTCCACGGATGGATAGCAACTCATGATAGATCCCCAAGTCGAATCCAACATGTATCTCTTTGGCTATGTGCTCCCCGTTGCGCTCATCCCCGAGGTAGTGCGAAAGTCTTGAGTCATTAGGTGATATCTTGAATTTGTCCCTACCACGAATGCAATAAATACCGTCTTCTTGCTTTCGTAGAAAAAATGTTTGGACACGAGGTTGAATTAGAATTCTTGGCGGGCATTCGAGCCCCAGAAGCTTGCGCCAATCAACTTCCGTCATTCTGATGATGCCAAAGAAAATCCTTTCTCAAGCAAAGTCTCTAAACTGGGCGATAATCAGTACCATCGGCAGAGAATTATTCATATGCTGAGTTTGTGGTGTAAGGAGCACGAACATGAGTGAAGATTAATGGGACCAGACACATTCCAAATTACGTCCAGCTAGCCACGTCCCCAGGTGACTTAAAGCTGGCACCTCTGATCTTGACATATTGTCTACTAGATACCAACTTGGTACTCTCCAGGTATTGATGATATCCCATGATAACTGATTACGAAAGGGAGTGAACCATTGTCAGGGGCATAAGTGGAGAGAGGGTCACAACCTGACAACCATTCCCACACGGGTATGATCCTACAGCTATGTCACGATGCGGACCAAGAGTGACAATGAGGAACGACGTTGTTGCGCGAAGAGCTCTAAACTAACCCTACTGGGATCACGGTATACATACAGGAAATGCCCTTTGTCTCTTGTCTGGTGCCTAGGCCATCCCTGGGGCCACCTGAGGCTATCGCGGACAGCTGTGATGCCGATACCCGAACTCCGGTAACCTCTGAGGAGAGCTTCTGACAAGCTATATCCACTCTGTAGCGCAATCAGGCATGCTGGCTATCCGATCTCTCCGACAATAACCCAATTAGATTCGAAAATGTTTCCTAGCTAAAACATGAAAACTGCTCGGGTACCTAGTACCTAGTAGATAGGTATGCGGCGCCTCTCTTCTGCAATACTCGCCTACGGATTTGGGTATCTTGTGGTGTCGAAGGCCTGATCTGCTAGAAGATTAGCCGCTGGGGTTTCAGCAGGATCAGGGGTCTAACCCAAGGGGGGCCCTGGGAAGACCCGCTTGCGGCTAGCTCTGTGGGATAATAGATGAAGTCATTGCTGTATGGAAACCGCGCCCTCTAGATGATCATTTGGGCTTCTGACTTTGGACCAACGACTGATTTGACTCATCAGTTACCCATGCTAATTTCTTTTACGTTCTAAGGTAACATTCATACAATGGACCTGCCGTATTTGAACCTGTATTTCTACTCGGATGAAGACCTATGGGTACCCATAACCAAAGCCTCAGATGATTGTTCAGCGCTTATCACTTGATCATGTTGTTGCTTTTCTGCTACTCACTTTCAAATTATGGCAAACAGAGAATGTAGACAACGTAACATGCAGCAACCTGGAAAAAGTTCCGAAACATCTGCTTGGATAGCCTGACACAAGTCACGAGCTAGTGCTTACAGGAGAATATACATGCCTACAGCTGAAGTCTTTCCAAAGCATTATTGCAATTTATCGCTACTTCTTGGACATGATCCTCTTAATGCAAAACTGTGTACCTTTTGCGTTCGTTGTCTCTTGACCCCTCTTTCCCTTTTCCTATTCGTCCTTGCACATGCTTTAGAGAAAGCCAACATGTAACCTAAGATCTCCAAAACTCTGCAACCATGTCGTAAAAACCTTCCGTAGCATCAAGAGGCACGGTTCGACGAATCAGCTCAAAAACTCCTATCTCTTCGAAAGACTTCCTAAAGTCTCCAATTCTGAGCAAATGCCAAAGGGGATAAGCATATACTATCTATTGATGAGTATAGGATGTGTTTACTGATTAGTTAGATTGAATCATGCGTCCATTAGTTGATGATACCTACCTATCTTTCATGTGATTGTACATGTTCCCTCGTATTGACCCTACCTGCCACTAAGATCATATCATCAGAAACTGCTTTGCGAGGGTGACCAGCACGACAGCAAGCGTTGCTACTTGGAAGGTAGCATGAGTTGGGACTCATACGCGTCATCACAAAAGACCCATGCGATGGGCCAGTGTTGGTACTTGAATATCTAAGAGATGGTTTGATAGTTCAGCAGATCGACGTGCACTAAGAAGAGAGTCCAAATGTATTGATCGACCCGCAATCCACTCGGTTCGCGTCTGCCTGCCCCCCCACCCCCATGACAGAGAGCCTTTGACTTGAACGATGGCTGTACGGCGAAGCATTTTGAAGCCCCAATAACCTAAAGCAGTAAACAGACATGTATTAGACAAATGTGACATGCAGTCCGCAAATGAGCTACACCCTAAGTGATGGCATCCTTGAGCCTGCATATTTCAGAAAATCAGGTTCGAAAACATTTATTGGGCTTTGATTTGACCACCCCCTACATGCGCTCCCTCCTGCTAAACACGCACGGGGGACAAGAAATTGATACTGCAGGGTAGCTTTTCTTGGTGTGGCGTCTCATAGTATGACTTTGCGTGAACCCCGGTCCCTGTCTCCCACACGATCTCGTTGTTTGGAATACTTCCGATGTCTTCGGATCACCTCTACGCTACGTCCTACGGCCCGACTCTGCACCAAGGTCTAGCTACGCTGCCGAGTCGGTTTACATAGCAGGAGAGTGGTGAGTCCATGTGGTACCTATCATATCGGGGAAGTTGGTGGCAAAGTAAAACATAGTATTTTCTAGTCTCTACTAAGTAGATTTTCTACACCCTCGTTCTATGGTTAAATTGTCGCATGGACGGGAACAAACCTAAAGCTAATAAATCAGATCACACACCTCACAAGACTTCAATACTCTTATGGTAAAGCGGAAGTATTGGAGCTTCTATCGATGCTATGTCTATAGACTAGGTGTAAACGCCCTGTCTGAAAAAAACTTGGTAAGACACTATTCCATGAACTTGGCTTGAACCAGTTGACCATTACACAGCCGATCTACCTGGCCTATGGTATGACTGGATAGGCCTAGACATGGTCCGTAGTGATTGGTGACTGGCCCTGCTTCCCGAACAAGTCGGAAAGGATTGTAAGCCATAAGTTCGTGCCGAGGATGAAACTGTGACCGGGTGTTGCCATGAGCCTATTGGCCCTTAATGCATATATCTCTGACTCTACATGCTCACCACGTCTCCTCTCTAGCTCGCTTAATGAATACGCTACGATGGCATCGGTATGTCCGATTGGAAGGTTTTGCTGTCGGGTGAGGCGGCGAACTTCTTGCCATGCCCGAATGCCTTGTTCAATCTCATCGCCAAGATGGTCGCAAATGGCGATTCCTATCCACGTACAGATGTGGTCGCACCATAACAAATCGGGGCTCTCTCGCAGGTCTTGATACATGCTACGTATGATGCGAAGTGAAGATGTACTAGGTGGTTGGCCATTCAGGATCACCCGCATAGTTCGTACAAGGTTTACCTGGGCCAACATGTGCCGCACCCGTGTTGCTGCTTTAGGGGATTGCGCACCAAGTTGCAGCCAACGCTCCAGCTTCGCAATGGCCCTGTCATCTTCGCCTCGTTCGGACAAGACAGCAGCAAAGTGCGATATTACGCGGCTGTCCACGTGGGGGAGGCTACTCAGAATGTCATAGGCTTCGTTGAACCGGCCTTGAAACCTACGTAGCATCCCGTAGGTCCGATTGATCTTTATCAGTTGAGATTCTTCAAATGAGGACATCTTACGACCGAAACAGGGGTTGAAGTAAGACAGTTCTTTTTCGGCCGCGTCGAAATCCTCTCGACGAATTAATTCTTGGGCATTTACGATAGCTAGATCTGCTGCAAGAGCGTTCGATCGTGGGTCGAAGCGGGGGAATGTAGACGGTTGGGCGGAGATGTTACTCGCAGAGTACAGCCTAACTACCTGCCTTTTGCGTACGGCCAACCTTGCAGACCAGAGCGCTCTTTCGTCAGACTCGACTCGGGATGCCCGCAGAAGGGACTCGGCCCATGCAAGAGTTATCTCTTTCCAGGGTCTATCCCTAAAGTAAGAAGACGCAAGGCAAGTTTCCATGATACTGTAAAAGCCCGAGCCTCTCACAAGATGCGTCATAACCTGCGAGTCGTCTAGATAGGAAAAGGCGTGCTCCAGACTTGGTAGAAGATGCTTGCATTGCCGATACCTTAGCAGGTTATTAGCCTGATTGATCATTACACCCCCCCTTTCCCTCAAGTGGAGTGGCTTACATGGCAGCATCGATGACTCTGTGCTTGGGGAAAACATGACTCAGAATCCGTACGGATTGGACTTTCCAGGCAAGGGCCTCGGGTCGCTTGTCTAGTAAGGCTGTCCACTGGGTATCGACGCGGACGAGATCCCTGGTTAATTTAATGAGGCCTACTGCTTCTAGTTCGTTTAAAATATCTTCGTAGTGTTGATCCTGCAGCATCGGGGTAATTTGAGCAGGGGCAAGCTCGGAGATTTCCCCATCTGCTCCCCACGTCTTTGAGGGGCGCCGGCAAGCTTCGAGTGTCCATCTGGGCAGCTCCTTCGTACCGAGGCAGTACAATAGACAAGCCATGCCTACTATGTCGTGGCCCAACTGACCCAGTAGAAAATTCGCGAGCGCCATGACAGAGGTGTTTATGGGAAGTGAGTTGACCCTCTTGAACAGGTCGACTCTTGACTCTTCCGATATCTTGGACAGAGAGGTAAATGCCCTACGGCCGCTGGTCACGTTGTAGGCTGTACCATAGAATACAGCAATTAAAGCCTGCAGGCCACCAACATGAAGGGAGGACTGGAGCAGCTCAGCCTTGTTGGCGCCGATACCAAGCTCGATCTTCCCCTTGAGCAGATATCGTGGTATGTGGTCGCCCCCCCTGAATTGGGAGAGGGCATCCTGTAAGGACCGTTCTACTTGCAGAACATCTGCTGAGTCGGGCAAAGCCTTCTCGCACATCAGCCACGCTTGTACCAAAAGACCTCGTACTCCCAACGGATCCTTCTGTAATGCATCTTTCATTTCCAGCATTTCGCCATCGCGCTCGTAGATGAGCCGCATTTTCCGGTCGATAAGATTCGTACCGAAGTACCTGCTACTAGGTACGTATAGATGGGCTATCGGGTTTAAATGTTGTACGGATACCTAATAGTACCTCCAGTGCTACCTAGTAGTTGTTAGGCTGTCAGGCTATGAGTACGATGCGCTGGGCGAAGTCCGTGCTTTTTTAGTAGGCTACCTACCTAGGTACCTAGGTAGGTACACAATTTCCCCCACGGGCTGACGGGTTACTGCATCCATGGATCCGAGGACGGAGCTTGCCGCGGGCGGTGACTGAGGGGTTGTACGTACATTGAAGCACTGACACCTGGCAACAGCCCGCCTTATTCACACATTATCGAAAACTTGATTGGTCGTAAGCACCCACTCGTTATGTGATATAAAAATTGCATTATATTTAATTTAAAATTAATTTTTAATTGTAAATATTTTATTTATTAAACCGTTTAATTAATTAAATATTTAATGTTTTTATATATTTAATATTATATAATAATATATATTTTTTTATATTTATTTACGTTTTTTATTTTATTTTATAAATTTTTATTTTTAATTTAATAATTTATATAAATTAATTTAATTTAAATTAATTTTAAAAATATATAATTTTATAATATAATATATTTATAAATTTAAAATATTTTTTTAATTTATTAAAATTTTATATTTTTAATTTTATTATTATTTTTATTAATTTAATTATTATTAATATTATAAAAAAATATATTATTTATTAATAATTATAATAACGTTTAATAAATTATAAATAATTTTTTTTAATTTTTAATATATTAAAATAATAATATAATTAATAATTAATTTTTTAAATAAATAAATAATAAAAAATATTAAAAATTAATTAAATTTATTAAAATTTATTTTAAAATTAATTTTATTATTAATAAATAAATATTAATTTTTAAAATTTATTATAATATTAATAATAATATTAATAATAATAAATTTAAAAAATATTTATATTTATATTAATTTTATATTATAATATTATATATTTATAAAATTAACTTATTTTAAATTTAATTTATATTAACCACCGTGCTTTTATACGAACCGGTGAACCTTGGAAAAGGGTACTTAATTAATATGAGACGTCATTGTCCAGCGCTGGAACCGGTGATGACCCGATAAGCAAGGCTTTTCTTGATACTGGCGGCCGGGATGCTTGGTTTGTGTATCTACTCGCCGACAAACGCGCGAAAAACGCAAGACACCATGATGGCAAAGCTAAATGCCAGAAAATAATTCGCGACATTGAATCCCGGACTCAAGATGGCCTTAAAGAGATAGCTAAGGAATTAGGTGGATGCATACTTGCTGAATGAAAGCTTCCTCTTCCTAAAAGGGCCGGATCACCTTCCAGTGACCCGTCACATCATGCAGCGAAGCGACGCCGTAAGAGTTGTAAAACTAATCATAAGGGTCCTGTTAACATGAAGAAGGAATTGCAACCAATAACGTCCTTGAAACGCCACCCCGGAGTATTTCGGTAGAAACGTTAGGCGAAGCCGAAGCATTAAATGAGGCACAACGAACTAATCCACGCATACAAAACTTTGTCATTTCGCCTTTGGATGCCATGGACGGCGTTCTGCCCGATGAGCTTGCAGAGGCAGTCGTGAGAACTACCCACCCACATGATCACACCATCAAAACATGTGATATGTCGATTTCGGTGTTTTGGAACGTCGAAACCCGGATGAATTGTCTTCTCTCCATTAAAATTTCGCCCTTGAAAGCGTCGAATCTCATCCAACAACTATTCGGCGTCCGCCTAGAAAGCGTAGATGGCCTTCGGTACATATCCTTTCCAGGGGAGATTGAAATAATACCCTGTCCGAATGTTACCCTCGCAGCGTGTGACGTCCAAATTGCTGAACGCATCTTCGGCCCCGAAGTGACCAGAGCACTTTCTACGACTACGATGTATGTGCAAGAACGAGAACAGCGCCGCAAAAAAACAAAGAGCGTAACTGCACATATATCATCGAATTCAGATGAAAGTGTCGATATAAATCTGAATCTGGGGTTATATTATGGAACCAGAATTTGTACGAAATTATTCCCAAGCCAATTATAACTCATGCATCTTCCTTCATCTTCCCACCGCCAAACCAAAGGCTAATCCCCTTTGGTACTATTCCTTCGCCATCGAAAGGATCTTTGCATGTCTGTATGGGGACCTCTTCCTTGCCAGTTTTGTATACTAGAACAATTGAATTTTGCCAGTACACCCTCTGCCCAGATCCCTCGACGGTGGTTGGGCGACTTTCGACACCAGTAAAAAAATCGGCATCCTTAGTCAGAGTCTCTGCTTTGAATGACTAAAATCTGGGTTAAACAAGTCTTGATATCTAATATTAGCAACGTACCATATGCAGCAGTTCTCTCTGCAAGGTTAAATATCATGGGGGTGTTGTGACTATGTAGCGGTGTTCCAATAATTAGAAAACTTGCCGGAATGATGTGGTGGGCGGCTTTTCTAGAGCGGGAATAAAGCTGAAAGGGATTCAAGCTACCAAAGAGGCATTCATAGACATTGAGAAATTCACTGCTTGATGAAATACATTCATAACCCGCAACAATTCCGATGTACGCGTACCAAATAATGAAGGCAAACAAGGTAAATAAGGCACAAGGCCGTACCCCGCCTGGTCCCAAATTAAAAATTACTAGGTAATACTAAAGAGTTATGTAAGCGGGCGAAGCCCCCGCCACGAATATCGTGGCCCGTGCTACTGTATCTGTAGGGCTTGGTGTGGCGTTCGAGGAGATTAGTGGGAAAGGAAATAAATGTTTTTAATTGGTGGGACGTGCACGTGTGTAGCTGGGACAAAATTGGTTTAGTGCATTCGCTTAATCAGGTGATTTTGGAAATATAGGGGGGTGGTCTACTCTGTAGAAGTCAATCCAGTTCATCCATGCCTACAGATACTAATATCGCTCTTGTCATTTATTCAAGATTTAGGAAGGTGATAATTATAACTACCTAGTAAGACGAATACGAGAAACGCATGAGGACTGTGGGAAATGGAAGGCCGATTTCGAGAAACCCCTTAGGAGCATTGGTTTAGATGAACTTGCACATGGGCTACGAGCCGCTGACCCTCCTCCTCTAGCATCCTACCAACCTACTATGTAGGTTGGTACCGTATGCATCAGTCGATTTATCATAGTATTGTGGTACTTTGGAACTATTGCAGCCGACATTTTCAACATCTACAACTTGGCGTTTAAGGTTCTATTTATTATCTCTTTGGTTGGCATAAGACTACAGTCTCCACAGAACCGGTAACTGTACATCGGCAATAGCGCAGGCCCTCAAAGCCTGTGAGCGTTGAGGCTCTCACAGTGATCTCGGAGGCGTCTAACCAACTAGAAGTAAGATTTTGTGGAACTCAGGGGTTGCTGGAAGTACAGTTACTAATCGTGGTGGAGCTGTAGTCTTATGCCAACCAAAGAGATACCACATCTCCTTCGTCATCAATCTCCGCGCATTGCTACCATATCGCGATTTTAATAGTGTGACTTCTAATATTTGCAACTTCCCTAGGCGGTTTCTCTGCCACCATTTTCCCAGCGGCTTAAGCTAGTCATTAAACTGTCGCGATACTAGCATTACCTAGCTATATCTATATCTGCCTACCTACCAAGACATATGTAACAAATAGGCATACTGTAAACAAGCTTACATGCCTATATTACGTGACATTCTTCCCTGCATGTTGGGATGTCATCGGGGCTATATTAGACACCAGGCAGACCTACAATAAAAGCTATCCCTGGCAGACTATTTACGTACTACCTAGGTAGTATTGCAAGTAATCGGACCTTTATACGAAGGCCGAGAACAAGATGTAACTGAGGTAGGTACTAGAGTATATGTAGAGGAATTACTTGTTATTATGTCGTATCCAATTTATGTGAATGGTGTTGGTACTCACTCGATAACCGTCCATAATGTGTGCTCATCAGGTGTGTTACATCGTGTAATTGGTCTGAAGAAATCATCTCCATGTGTCTTTTACGGATGGCTAGGAACGCTTCAATGCGGTACTTATCTTAGGTACTAAGGTATCTTGCTGAGATCTTTATGTTAGTCGCCCATTAAGTCAATCCAGGGAGGTGGCATAGAAACCTTGGAAGTTGGGAGGACAAGGACGATGATGACGATCAATTTAGTGTCAATAACAAGGGTTCTCTTCCAAAATTTACTAGATCCATGCCAATCAGCAAACTGACCTCCTTCGTACTCCATCTTCATCCTACACTCGACGTGGTATGCATGAAGATCTAGGCTACCTAGAGAAGATTTATCGGTCCTCTTTCGGCTAAAACGAATCCCAATTTCTGTGCCCACCTAGTCAACTACAGTGAAATACCAATATCCAGCTAGCTGGAGATGTTACCTCGCAGGAATCGCGTGAGGAATATTTTCAATACACGCGCGGTTCCCGATCTATATTCTGCTCTAGAGTGAAGTTAAAAAGGCTTGCCATGCTCGTCCCAGACTGAGTCTCGATGTCATCAGCATATCCTCTGCTCTCTCTGATTCTTCACCCATAATACCCTCAGCCATAACATCGTTCGATATGGATAACTCACGATTCCAGCAATGTCATCAGAATGCTGACATTTTAGACAATAAGAGACAGGATACACTGGCTCAACAAACCCGCGAGCTCATGGAAAACGTTTTTCAAATCAAGATCATACTCGCAACCGACCACCACGTCATCCCCCAGGGACCCTGCCTTCTCAGAAAATTGTACGAAGATGCGAAGGAGACCAAGTACGAATACGCATCCACGGCACTCTGGATCAAGATCCTCAGTTCAGCATTCTACGAAAGCGCCATCTTCTCTCTCTCCTGCGAATTTCCTCCCGACAACAGTCTCAGAAGGGTGGATATTGTCTTGAATCGATATAATGAAAGTGGCAACTACCAAACGGGAGTCCTCTACTGCGAAGCTAAAAAGGTTGATGGCAGTGAGGCTGATGTCACGAAACAAATCCGGGATGCAGCACGCCGCTCTAGTGAACACCATGGCTTGGCGGGCGTTTATACTCTCGCTGTAATCGGGACAAAATTCGATATGCAATACTACGACAAGGCTCCGGACTCATTCTATCCTCTCACTCATGGCTATGCGGATATCGACTCCGAGGCCTGTAGGGAATTTCTCAATACTGTGCATCTGATCAAGGGTGACACACCTCTCCGACAGGCTCCAACCGTTCCCAGCAACGCCTAGTGAGACATCCATGCAAACCAAGGAGGCGATTCCCATTGCTGTTGCAAGATTTCACAACACGTGGGGAATTTACGATACTTGGTGGTATTGCTTGGGGAAGGAGGTTCGATACATGGATAACGGTACTTATCACTCAGACACTCTTTATTTTGAGCTTTTTTTTGGAGGAGGTCCAATGTAAGGACCAAAGGCACTTATAGTTCTGTCACTCTTTAGGTTACATTATTTTTTGTTCGGAGGAGATTGGAAACAAGGACGACGCTTCTCACTATTCACTCTTTCATGTTAATTGTTATAGTACTCAATTCATACCTACCTACTTGGTCATTCTTTATCAATATAAATCCATCAAGCATTTGACATTACCTAGGTAATCAACTGATTATTGTATTCTCGGGTGTTATCCACATTGCTTGCTCGGTGTGTGATTACCTACTCTGTATGTATTAGACGTATTGTCCAGCTTATACATTTTTATTTAATATTTATGATTAGGACGACGGACGATAGTGCACTACCGTCTGTTCTACGGCGGCTAATCCGGTCCCGTTCCGGACGCGCCCCTGTTCAGCTCCGGCTTAACGTGGCGCGAATCCGACACCCATCTGCCCAGAAGCTGGCCATTGGAAAGCTCATATTCGGGCTTATAATTGTACGACTACGCATTGTGAGTGGGTTCGAATCCCGCCATGGGCTACTTGACCAAGGTTCGATCTCAGTTTTTCCCATCCCGCTTTAGGGCCTCTCTGCTCGGTCAGGAGGGACGTTAAACTCTTCAATGTAATAGCGGGTTCACAATTACCTAATGATGAAACCGTGACCGGATTCTTCGTAGCCTGTATTGTGAATAAGGAATTTCGAAAAGTCTTTCCAGAGTACCTGGGTAGATCAATACCTACTAGGTACCTACTTTATTAGAATTTTGATAAATCCATCGACAAGTCATACATCCGGAATCCCATCTAATCCAAGGGCATTTAGATCACCTTTCGTAATCATTTCTAGGCAAATATCTTCTTATTGCATGACGTGTTGAAAATAATCGTTCCAAGGTTAACACGTCCGACAATTGAATTGAGATAACAACTTCTAACAATCAGATTGAGTCTCATTCTATAAGTACCCGGAGAGAATGAAATGAATCCGCAAAGGGATCCGGGACAATAAATAACAAACATACTAGCACTCCATGTAAAAGCTAGCATGGCATAACATCCTCGGTAAACAACAAATTTTCCATCATTCCAGCTTCTCTTCTCCACCTTCTTCTACCTTCATGCGGCGCGCGGCCGCTTGTCTCCTTTAGTGATTCCTTCATACTCATGCTCATTGCCCTCTTGAACTGCAAAAAACTTCCGTTTCTTCTGTACGTCTTCTAACGTTCGGCTTGGACGCTTCCCCTCTCCTGAGGCAGGTGGTCTTTTTCCAACGTCATCATCGCGTTGGAGAGTCTCATATGGCTGCTTTGTTTTGGAAAGGTTGTTGAGAAGCTTTTCTCTCAACGTATCTTCCAGTGCCTTCGGCTGATATGTGCTCGGACCTTCGAAGCCGCGACTTGAGAGGTTTCTGCCAGTGAGCTCGGAGGGGAACTGGAGCGCCTTACTTTTATCGCTCTCATCGCTGTACTGGCTGTAATCAATATCATCGTCGCTGCTGTCATCATCACTTGATATGGATATGGTCCCAGATCCGCCGTAGACATCAACGTCCTCGAAATCGTCGTTGCAGACAGTTGGCGAGAGGGCAAGAGCGTCTGGATATTCTTTGTCAGAGAGGGCCTGCTCTCTAAAATTACCATGTTGAATCGATTCGGTCCAACGCAGAGGCGAATTGACAACTGTCGGCGTTGCAGAGTGGTAAGAAAATGGGCGGCCTAACGTATTTCCATCACTGAAGCCTTTATTAAATCGTGGAACGCCCACGTAAGGCCCAAGAAACCCAATACTAACTCTTTGCGGGATCAGGTATGAGCAGAACTGGAAGGAATCGATAAAACCACGGCTTCTCTCAAACCATCCTGCAGCATCATAGCGACGTTTCTGGTCAATGATGCCGTCCCATACTCTAAGAAACGACGTGATTTGATGTTTGACTGCGTAGTAATAGTCAAGTCCCAGGTTGAGCCTTTCCTGGCAAGTCGCTACTGCGGTTAAATCATCACAAGCCGCAGTCTCCCGGATAAAGGAGGCCTCTTCCTCACGTAGAAGCCTCCTGTCATCAACCAAGTCTGGCTCCATGGCAACGATCGTTTGGTAGTACCTGCCAAACATTAAGATGTCATCAACACTATTTGGCGCAGTGAAATTGATCGAGGCCATGCTTGCACTTGTTGAGTTGACTTGACTTGACTTGAAAGGAAAGAGAGATGAAAAATGATCAGCGCCGCCGAGAAGAGGATGAATGTTTTTGATTAATGAAATAAATTGGATATAAATGGATAGTTCAGCGTAGTTCGGTAGCTGAGATAGAGTTGGACAGAAGAAACGTCGAGTACTTAACGTTAGAGGGATGGCCTGGGAATCCGGGACAAGCATACCGTTGTCCCTAATATGGGGCTCGCCGAAGACACATCCGATAATTGGGATGTTTGTTCAGTCAAAGCTCCAATGGACCCGGCTCCGGCCATTGGTCTTAGCTGGGACCCGTGCAGAATGGACTCCCAAGAGCCTCGAATTATTCTAGTACCTCGGGTGCAAAGAACAGAAAGAGATGCATGGCGTTCTATGAATGCCACCATTGATCTCTCCGAGACTTGTCCATTCGTCAATTCTACTTTCCTTAGCTTTGGCAAAAGGAATTGGTCCAAAGGGAATTCGGTGCTAGCTAAGACGTCATGCATTCTGAGAGACAGTTCTTGGACTTGGCTGAACGAAGAAAGGAATTTTGACAACCTCTGGCTGTCAGAGCATATCAGAGATGTCAGCGTTAGTTTCTTAATAAATCCAGCCCGAACCGGCCCTTCGATATCATATGGATTGAAATTGCCGTTGATCTCAATCTCTGTCACATGGTAAAAGTCGTTCAAGACACCCAGTACCCATGTCACCGTCGGGCTGACAGACTCTCTTATGTATGGCTGAAGCCATATCTTTTTTCTTAGGCGAGAATACTGAGGCTGATTCAGATGTGAAGCACGGAGGTGGGTGAGCGTAATCGACCTCAAGTTTGGTAACGCTTGTAGTGCTACTAATAAGTCGGATATTTCACGAGAACTTTCGCGTCGGATGAAGTCCCTGTAATCTTGATAAGCTTGAACTGCTTCACTACTTCTTTTGCAGCCAATATCCATCCGGTGACATCCCCCTAATAGTAACGGGTGCGTCTCCCAAGCTTCCTGCGTACAGGTCGGCCAAGTTCCATGATATATCGTCAGCCTTTTTGTGTGCAGAGTAGCTCTCTGGTTCTGCGAGATGAAACGTTCAAACTCCGCCAGAGATTCTTCCGTGTTAATAAAGGAAATATGTTGGACGAGAACTGGACATGCTATGCTAGCTAGGCGGCTACTAGTAAGCCGAAATGCGCGCAGAGAACTCAGAGGCAGGAAGTTTGCGACAAGCGCCAAAATCTCAGTAGGTAACCGATCCATTTTCGAAGACTCTGGTTACCTGGCATACGGAATCTGTATTTCGATGATTGATATATCATCATCTACATAAGCGCTGTAATCCGACCTGGATCCCGGAGTTGGGACGCCATGAAACCCAGCAGTAATCACAACATGAATTAAAATACCCCCGGGCCTACGTTGGGCTTCGTCAACGGCTCCATGCTCTAATACCAGACAGAATACGTATATCTCCTCGAATCCAGATATCCCAAGCATGGCTGCGCCGAACAGTTCCCAAGAAGCTTCACATGAAGCTCAGGACCTCAAAAGATTCACTACCAAGAAGGAGGCAAAACAACACACTACCAAATCTATAAAACGGCGTAATACACTGATTAAAAAGGCCGATGATTTCCACAACGACTGTGGCTATGAAGTCCTCTTAGCAATACGAAAAGGGCACCGCTCATATATCTACACATCCACCGACACGCCTGATGTCATGGATGATATCGTGAGTTAGTACCTTCTCTATCAGCCGATAACTTACTAACTATGGCATTAGATGCGAAAATATCTTCTTCCCGTGGTGTATACACCAGGACTGGTGAAAGAAAAGAAAGGGAGGGGAAGAAAGGATGAGGTAGATTAGCGTTTAAGGGCAATATAGCGATTCCCACCTGAGCCCGGCCGGCAGGAGGGTGACGAATTCAGAAGACATATAGGCACATATAAGGGTTTAATTCATATACTGTGGGGATGACTATAGGTACGTCGAGGAAAGAGTTCCAAAATCATAATGATAGCTTTTGCGTCCAATGATACTATAGCCGCACCGCGTACGCACAGCTATTTTCATGTAGAGCACTAGAAATATATACTACCATCCCACTGTTAAAGGGCAAATCCAGAATATCATCTGGAATAGTACCTAGGTAGATATCCATATTGACCGCGGTGTGCCTGTTTAGATAGCTAACTAGTCTGCGCCAACGCTACCTAGCTAGCGCACTTGATGCCCGTAAAAGTCTTCCCAACCACTTTTCGACGGTTTCATGGTGTGTGAACTCTCCCTGCCGTCCAGAATACCCAAAAGAAAAGCACGGCACAAATCCGCATGAGTAACATATAGTAAGTACCTTCAAACAAACGCACTGCCAGGCGCTTAACCGCGAGGTACTCTCTACTGCCCTATATGAGCATACGTCAAGGGGAGCATTCTATAGGTCACATCAAGAGATAAATCCAAGCCAGGGTTATACCTATGTTTATCAAAGAGATTGCATTATAACAAATCACGCTAGAGATCCTAATATGGAAAACACCAACACATTCGGACTACCTAGGTATCTCTGGGGCAAATTCAACTCAAATACACGTTTTAGGACGTTAAGGTGGTGGTCAACAGTGTCGTGATAGTGTGCGTGATGGTGAATATTTTCCATGACGGAATCGAAACTTGTGTCGCAGAGTTAACATCAGGAGTCACCGTGGGGGTGGGGGTGGTCCGATTGGTTGTATTGGTAGAATTCCAATCAAGAGAAGATTTAGACGTAGCGGCTGATATTGGGATACCTGTGACAGATGAAGATTGAGGCAGTTGGCTGAATAAGCTACTGGTATTCGCACCAAAACCCAAAGGTAAACAGGCTATAGTGCCATTCTGTTCGGGGATGAGCGACCGGCTGCGTGTTCCATTGGAAATAACGGCAAGGTTACAAGACGAGGAATGGTGGCATTGCCTGCGATCATGTTAGAAAGAGGAGGCCCTATAGGGTTATTTTGGGCGAACCAGATGACACGCGCGTCTCCATTAGGCGAGCCAAGGGGTATTGGCAAGTTGGTCTCCCGTGAACCTGGACAAGGGGAGGTAGATGTGAAGGAGTAAGTGACGGGCGCAAAGTCTGGATCCGCGAACTCCAGGAGCGCACGGCATTTCCTCTCAAAGAAATTCTCATTCCTGTAAGACAGTTATTACCAACCTAGCCTTATGTGGTTGAACAGAGGGGTATTACGTTACGGAGACGTTGGTAATGCCCGCAACTAACTGCATCGGAGGGTTGGAAATACACATAAGTGGCCAGTCTTCAAAAGCACCTGCCACTGCGACCAACAGCCCCACAAGAAGAACTGTAGTCCTCATGTTTCCGGATCTCTCTTTTTTCTTTTTTTAGAGAAGCCCTTGAAGGTGTGGTAAGATGCGAAATTGTGTGTTACGAGGGAAAATAACATAAGTAACGCGAGCAGCGTTCACGCATGGTCCGTCATCGAGTTTAAATACTGAACTCGCTCGCTCGTGGTACCTGGGGCTAGGAGACATGCCACCAGCTTTCAAGGTCTCAGACGACTCCCAGTTGTGTCTGCCACGTTCCATGGTTTCCGTTGACATGCTAGCAGCAAGTCGCCAGCGTTTTCCATTCAAGAATTATCATGGAGCCCGATACGCAGAATGTCAGTGGATGGGAGGATTGGTTGGAAGACCACTGCAAACTGGGAGAGTTCTTTCCAGATGATATACTGACACAGCATACCGACATGATAAGCCAACAACCCATCGTCCCAGCAATCCCAGAACAGCAGATGCAGAGTTACGAAGATTGGACACCTAATGAGGACGTGACGAGGAAGTGAGATTCCGACCTCTACACTCCGCGGCCATATCAGAAACTAACTCCATTGCATAGTCTGCTCATCAATCTCAATTCACGGCTGGACAAAATTGAGGCAGAATTACAAGACACCAAGACCTTATCGGGCCAGGCATGCGAGATACTTCATGCGCTTGAGCAAGGCGTGAGTACGATGGGAGCAGCGGTTGAAAGATTGAGGAAAAGTTTAAGCGCATTTCAAAGATGTCTGCACCACCTCCTAGGTGGAGGTCAAGCCGGTGGGGGTGATCAGGACCAGTCGATCTTATGGAGCCCACGTGAGGATACGATGATGTCGGTGCACGAACTGGGAGGGGCAGGTGGGTGAGGGGTGAAGTGGTAGGGGGTAGGGGGTAAGGGTTAGGGGTAAGGGTTAGGGGAATGGATGCGGACGCCGGAGCCAGAACCATCGGCTCGGGGCACTTTGGAACCGGGATTTCGGCATTCAATACCTAGGTACCTACAGGTAAATATGAGATGGTCAAATTGGTTTCTACCTATATCATAGATTGTTCATGCTCAGAAGTTTACATTGGCTCAAGGTTCATGTTTTCGTCCTCGTTGGCATTGTGACCAATGGTACTTCCCATGTCTCGTCGTACTCTCCATGCCAGAATCCTCGTCGGTGAATGAAGTATCTGATCTAGACTCGAGCCTGGGCACTCAGCGCACACCAACACGCAAAGGGTGCCTTTCGGGGATACGGAATTTATTTGCTGTCCGACCGCAGGAGGAGAAAGGGTTACAGGGCGGGACCGATCACAGCTCTACTCCACCCTGTTGGGACATGAACCCCCCCGAGCATCTCAAAGACCTTCCAATGTTGCCTCCTGAAGAACCTGCACCTCCCTTACGGCTTGCTGACCGTCGGGATCATCTAGAGACGCGGCCCCCCGTAGAGAAGAGGCCCCTCGCCGCGAAAAAGCCGCTAAGACGAATGATTAGCTGGTCCGAGGACCAGATAAACAGGCTGCAAAAGGACAATAGAGAATTGCGCCAGAAAATACTGGATCAGAAACGGACAGAAGTAGAGAAAGACCAAACAATCACATTCCTGACACAGCAGAATACCCAGTATCAGCAAGAGATAGACCGGAGAAACGACGTGACACAATTCGCGAACAGTATCATCGTTGCCGTCCAAGATTTCCAAGAGTCGCAATCAAGACAATCAACCAAGTCGACCGAGTACGGAGACATCCCTCCAAGCGACGGTAGGGGGAGTGGTACGATGGGGGATATGCTTAGCGATATCATAAGAATTTACAGCCAGATATAGAAGCAGAAAACAGAACTTGTATGATAATGAATGTTCTTATTTGGATTGTTTTGTGTCCGTGGCGGTGATCACTGCCAATGACTACTAGGCGTTTTGGTCCGTTCAATGTTCAACTAAAGTTATCATAATAGTGCAATCTGACACGATGGCGATGCGATGTGGTGAATGGTCCGATTGCGGACCAATCATGGCCTAGGATCAGGGATGGCACGCACTGGAAATAACCTTAGAACGCCCGGATGGTGGGGGAACCAAACTGTCGGAACCTGTTGGTGTATGGATATTGAACTAAAACCCCGGCACCCAGTAGATAGTGCTTACTAGGTAAACGGCGCATTCTAAGATTAGCGATAACCCCCCCTCCCCCCCGAGAGCGCTCAATTAATTACCTAATACATTATGGATATCCACTTAGGTATCCCCTAGATAGAAGGGATAAAAGGAAGGCACCAACAGGCCTAATAGGAGTCGAACCTAAACTACCTTTTATCACTCTACCCAGTATCTAGACCAGGGCAGGGAAGTGACGCCCCCGGCGGCACTCTTAAAAGAGATTCAGGCCGCATAACATGGGATCGAACCACATGGCCGATGCTTAAAAGCGACGCACTTACCACTGCACCACCTGGACGAAATCACCAGATAAAGGAGATAAAAAGAAGGCACCAACAGGCCTAATAAGAGTCGAACCTAAACTACCTTTTATCACTCTACCCAGTATCTCCCCTTAGGTATCCCCTAATCAACTCATATACTTCCACCATTCCACAATCCCAATATTATATATTAAAGCCAAAGGTACAAAGTCCTACACCTATCTTGCACTTTTCTAACGACATACTTTCATTATAATTATCTTATACCATTAATAATAGTGGTAAAAACGGTCCTTGTGCAGCTCTCGTAACCGTACTGAACTTTAGTGGACTGGGGGTTTTCGGTCGACCAGAACCGAGATCTTGCGGGTTTTAGTGCTTAGATAAAAGGGATAAAAGGCAGGCACCAACAGGCCTAATAGGAATCGAACCTAAACTACCTTTTATTCCTCTATCCAGTATCTTGCCTGTAGCTAATCCATTACTTCAGTGTACCACCCCCCTAATCTCTAGCTGACGACAACTATACCTATGATTACCTAGTGCTTAGGTTACCTAATTTATACTTTATTATGAAATATTCATGTCAGCAAGAGCGGCGACGTTTTTATAGGTACCTAGGTAGGTATATTGCGTGAGCATTCCTGTAAACTAAGCCTCCGGCATCCAGGTTGCCATGACCCTGGCGGCCTGGATCCAGGATTTTTGGTGATTTATAAATTTTAGATCACGGTGCAGCCTTCAAGTTATCTCACAAAAATACTGAAAATCTTTTTTTTTTTTAAAAAAAGAAGAAAAACCTCTTGTTTTATCATCTGCTATGAGCTAGACGTTACTTTCCGCCAAGGTGTGAAAGATTAATTATGGCACAGCACACTAACCAGGATAATGACTGGGGCATTATTCACGTCAGAAAGCTCGAACTAATGCTTGATAGGCTGCACCTTGAAGGAGTTAGCTTCAATGGTCCTCACGAAGTTTTAGATCCTATGGATATCGATGCGGGCCCCGATGTAGACATAGAACAACAGACAGGGTCTGCAAGCATCGTATCCGATTCCGAGCCCATGGAAATGGACCAAGAAAGTGACACTTGCACAGACGGTACAATCTCAAGACGTCTCGGCTGCAATGCCTTAGCTTTTCGTCGCAGGTACGATGACCAGAAGAGCAATAAGTCTTTTTCGTCGCATGTAAAACGACGGCCAATCCACCGTGTAGAGAGTCAGTCCAAGGGGAAGGTCGTTTATAAAGAAAGGCTAGCACGGGTAACACCCATCAGCAAGAGGCTCGTCGGATACGATCCGATCAGAACATTCGCCGAAAATTGTGAGAAGACTCTGTCTGATTGGGTAATATTGCTACGCAAAACCACTTTACCTAATGGTATCGTGAGCGAAGATCCTCGGATTATATCTGCATTCAAGGCTGTAGACAGTGTCATCTGTGGGCAGGGCACCAATATGCTACGGCGTCTTGCTAACGTTCAATTGATGCGGCTCTTCAGGCTCCTCGAAGATATTATCAAGTCTGATAGAGACAACGGACATGTCCACCGCGAGCCCTACTATCGTGACGCCAATGTCGCTATGGATATATATATGAGCTCCCAGGAGACGCAATCAAATATGAAAGAGCTGAGACTTAAATTAAAACAAGGTCGTAAGCGATTTAGCAAAAGATGGAGTGACTTAGCGGCCCCATCACCACTGTTTGTCTTGATATATTCTGATGCGGCAGAGGCGATTGTGTACGTAATTAGCTATTGCTCATCAGGGTTTCTCATCAGCTAACTTTACCGAAGCAAGGACTTCAAAAGAGTAGACAATGCGACCCTACATATGGTGGCCACAAGTATCTTGAGCATCTGTCCTAGCCAACTGGTAAGCATTTGTGCTCATCTCGCAGAAGCATCTGAAGCCGCAGCTAGATCAAACAATTTCATTGGTATGCTTCCATTTACAGCAGCGAACATCAGGCAAATCCTAACTGCTTGAATAAGCCCGAGGCTTGGAGCGGGGCAGTGGGGATCTTAGTGTGGCCTGGAACCGGGGATCACGGTGTGGCATGATGTTGTGACAGGGAACCGGGGCGCGGAAGAACTGGGGAACCAACAGCCAAGCATCTCTTGTTGTGACCATGTATCTCAGTGTGCCCGGGACCCGGGAATCTCGGTGTGGCATCTCAGTGTGGTCCTGTGGTCCTATCTTGTATCCCAGACGTGACCCCCCTGACTCGCTAGTGTATTCCTTTAGTTGGCATAAGACTACAGTTTCCATAAAATCGGCAACTGCACATTGGCAACAGCGCAGGCTCTTTAAGCCTTTGAGCGTTGCGGCTCTCACCGTGATCTTCTGAGGCGTTCAACCAACTAGAAGTAAGGTTTTGTTGGTGCTAGTGGAGCTCAGGGGCTGCTTGAAGTATAGTTAGTAATCATGGTGGAGCTGTAGTCTCATGCCAACTAGGTAAAGAGCTATTATGTAGAGGGTGGCAATGATGTCCAATATTGCTCCATAACCTTGATGTTCCAATCTTAGCATTCCCTAGCCATAACCAATAGGAAATACTGATTGAAAAGTCCTTCCATCTACCAACACTCATGTCTCTCCATTGAGCTGAACGGCCCTGATCCCGTAGGAATCATCTGACCTTGTACCTAAAGGATATAGGATAGGGACAGATACCTACCTAGGTAGGTACCTATGCATATACCACGTGGCGATGGATAATATCTGGACTTATGCTTGGTTCGTAATAGGAGATTTCTGCCAGTTAGTAGGTATGCATTTAGTTAACGGCAAGAAACTCAGTGCTTTTGTCAGGTATAGTACCGGTTATTTTAGCAATATTATATATCAGTAGGTAGATAGCTATCTAATATCAGCACTGTTGCAGAAACACGTTCATTCCTCGTTCATGATAGAAAATTCAACTAATTAGCAATTCTGTATATATTTACCTAGGTAATCAAACTGCAATCTACCTACTTTTACGCATAATCACCATGATACTAGTTGCTATCTCCCCACTGTCACGAGGCGAACCTAAGAGACTACCTAGGTAGGTAAGAAACAGTCATGCTGTTGCGCAGAATCTAAACTAATCCTATCAGGGAACACGGTATATATACATGGGTCCCTCCTTTTCTTGGAACCTACTCTGTCTAAGAGCCAGTTACGAACGAATCCTCCATGGGGCTACCTGAGGTTATCACAGTCGCACAGGGCCAACCTCCGATCACCAACTAGCTTTGGCAAAACCTCTAGCTACCAGTTTCACGGGAAAGGCTTCTGACACCCACATGAAAATGATATCGAAGCTTGATGCTGAGTCTGAAACACGTCATATCGTGTGACGGACGCGACGAGATCTTCTTATGCCTTTGGGTGCTTTGGTTGGGTCCTTTCGAACGGCTGCTTTCAGACGCGATGACCGTCTACAGCGACGCCGACGCATTCCAGTCGGGTACGTGCTGCTGACTTTCCGTGTCTGCTGATGTTGGGCAGTTGTATCGGTCGCTTTAGGAACATTAGCTATGGACAAATAATTTTAGAGACACCACAAACCATAGGTGTTAGATTCCTTCAGTTCCTTTAGAATCGACAGCCTTTCGGAAATACTCTTCCCGCCATAGGGGAGGCTATACAACGCCACCATAGTCTTAATTGACGGAATCTCCCAGTCTAAAGAGTCAGGGAAATATTCGTCGACATTATTCAAGATATGTTCAACAGTAAGCATCGCGAAGTCTGATTGTGCTGATGGGGTGATAGATCTCTCTGCTGCTGGGTGAGTTGTGGGAGTGATGATGGATGTTTTGAAGAAGAGAGTTGCCAGAGTGGACTGAGGAGGGAGTCAAGGCTATTTATGTTTTTGGGCCCCCGTCTACAAGCCTCTGCCTACTCCTGAAAAGGCAAGAGTCCCTACGACCTTCCACGACTGCAACGCTGTAAAGGGTATCTTCAGGCGTGATCCGTGAGTTGCCTGAGAAGCTGGTGGAAACCTTGTATGTTCTACTCAGTTAGTGCGGATGACACCAGGCGGGAACGTCATCTGTCTTGCCATACTCCCTTCATTAGCTGGCGTGAGAGGCGAAGTCGGATCCCTGAGCACAGTTCCGTGATGCATTTGTAGGGTTGTATCACAAGCAGGTCTGATATGCCCATGTCTTCTCTGCTTTCCCCTTCTAGCACCGATTCAGTTCGCTCCCATTTTCGAGTTTGTCACCCCAAGAATACCCATTTTAAGGGGCTGGAACCGATTCACATCTGTTCGGTTTAGGCTCCGAAGAATGAAAACTTGAAATCTTCATCCAATTGCGAGAGATATGGTGGCTATTTGGGCGCCAATATACATAGGTATTGCGCTTGGTTTTAGGAACATGATATCTTAGGAAACTAGGTACCTCCTAGTCTTGATTTGTCTCATGGACATGAACTAGTAGCGCACGCCTCGAAAAAATTATTCTCTTCAATTTATGAGGGGTCTAGCTCCATAAGACAATCGAATCGTCTCCGTAAACTGTATCTTTGCACCGACAGCATAAACCTCCTTTGCTTTAGATGCGCTGAGGCGCCTTGGGAACTGCAGAGTTTGAAAGACAATCGCATTCAATTAGACCTAGCAGTTGTGCCTTGAAATAGAAAGGAGGCATTAGGTTGGCAACCAACTCAAACAATAGATTCTCTGAAGTAGTAACAATGGCAAGTATATAGGCCAGCTACCTACGTGCAATGGCAGATAGGAGAATGATGCCGTGGGAAAAAAAAAAAAAAGAAAAGCCACTGATACACCTGCGATATTCACTCCCGCAAAAGCACGGTAGTCCAGACTACATAGTGCCAAAATTCATCCAGGACAACCACAATAGCCTCAGAATACCCGTACTGACGGTTCTTCGGACTGTAATCAGAGGCGAATGTCAACCACTTTCTTCGCTTGGTTCAGTTTCCTAATCTTCATGACTTGTCGCGTCTGATAACCCCAATAAATGGCCATCACTACCGCTAGTACGAAGGAAACCCACGTCAGGGCAGCGAACTTTTGCCCGGTAGACACGGATATCCCGATGTGTTCACCAAGATTGTTTATCTTGGCTGCCTCCTTTCCGCTTGCTGTTGCGACGATATTACCGACAAAGAGAACGAAGGCCGCCAGCAAGGCAATGACAACGTTCGCCCAAGACATGCCAATGCTGGGTTGGTAAAGCCACCCAGCGCACAGAATAAGGGACAGAGCTGAAAAGGTAACCGCTAAAATGTACAATCCACCCAAGGCTTGGAACGGCCCTGGTATCTTGTCTAACTCATTCTGTAGGTCCGTCGTTATGCCAAGCTTGGCCAAATTCAGATGTAAAGGGCCGACATCTAACTGGTGATCGAGGAGTGCGGTTATGTTGAAGAGAGCGGTTGATCTTCAGCACATGACCTGCACAGGTACACATCAGGGATACAAGGGAAATATATAGGTACTTACAAGTTTTCAGAGGCTGTGTACAGTTTGTCACGTTATATTCAGAGCCAGGAGCTGTTGAGTTTGGGATGAAGGAGCCTTGGCAGACATCCATAACGTGGACAGAATACCACTGTTGGATCCCAATATCCTTCACGAGCTTGCCGGCGATATTATCTTGGATACCCGAGACCTCTGTGATACCAGAGCTAATAGCTGATTCAACCGCCGCAGTTGCGCTTGAGCACAGATTGCCCAGGGCCCCCCCAAAAGTCCCACATACTGTGGGTGAACGACCACTCTTCACATTGGTTGGTGTCGGGATAAGGTTCTGGCCTAGTGTTGAGGTGTTGAATAGGAGAATGTGGTAATCTTCCATAAAGCCGGGTTTGCTGCCAGCAGTGAGGGCCAGCACAGTCAGTACGAGTGTTATAAATGCGATGATGATGCCGATTATGGCACGAATCTGTTGCGCTGAAATCCGTTGAAATGTCGTGTTTATTATTTGCACTTGGGTTCGTATTTCGTGGATAGCCATCCTCAAGCTCGGTTCAACTGCGAAGGAAGCTATGCGACTGACTGAGATACACCGAGAGAATCACAAAATTGAAACAACAGAGGGGTATCGAGGGAAGCGGAACGATCAACCATTGCCAAGAGCTTGAACAGGAAAACTTGCATAGGATTTATAAGGATGACGAGTCCTGAGACCCTGACTTATAGCCCCCAATCCCCAAAAATGTGCGCCCCGGAATAACGGCGACGGGGGGCCTCATGTCCCTGGACATTCGGCTCTGGGGACCCTTTCTTCGGTATTCCGGCAAGTCTCTCCTTTTGACGTAGGGAAATAAAAGATTATGGACCTGCGCTATTTCCCAGGCCATACATCGGGTGTAGCGGGAATCGTGTTATCAAATGAACAATTATCTCTACCTAGGTATTCCCTTCCGGATACCTATTCTGTTCGATATAAAAGCATGTTGTTTCAAATCACCACTTTCGCGGTTTGGGCCTTCACAGCTACGGCAGGTGCCGCATTCATAATTACGAAACCCACTCCCGACTGGGAGGTCGTCGATATCCATCCTACGTCCAACAAAACCCCTAGGCAAACTAATGAAGCCGTGTTGAAGCGACGTATCAACCAGGCCCCAGAAAGTCTAACGATCGCTATCATCAACAACCAAGGAGGGCCGATCAGCACTTCTCATGCTTCTAATGTCGGTGGTCCAAGCCCGATCTGGGGTGATAATGGACCTGGCACCATTTCTAGTGGAGGAGCAGCAGCCTTAGTCGTTCCAACTGGTTGGGCGGGCAACATCGCCATTTACGAAGCTCCAGTAAATGGATCCAAGCCTGCCCCAGCAACAGATAGCTCTTTGATCGAAGCGTCTTTTGTGGTTCCGGATGGGTATGACACAGCAGTGGCTGATATCGACGTATCTTATGTGTAAGTTGTTGGTCTTCTTGCAAATATACTTCTAATAGGATTCCAGAAACGGCTTCAGCAACGCTATCACTTGTGCCTGCTCCAACATTGTCGTAACCGGGTGTAGCCTTGACCTGTGGGATATGAACGTCTGTCCCACTAACGACGACAACGGCGGCGCTTGTGCCAATCCCCTTCGGCCAAACCTGAACGCAACCATCGCGACAACATTCTTTGCTCCATGTCAAGGGGCAGCTTACACATTCCCTCACGACGATGGGGCCAATAGCTGGGGCGAGTGTCAGAGCGGAGAAATTACCTGCTGCGTCGGCACAGCCTGCTTCTCAAATCCTAAACAGTCCTCCAGTATTCAACGCAGGTAGAGAAAGGGGGATAAATGGGTAGTTTCTTCAATCGCAATTCCCAACCCACTTCATATATTGATGTACTTGAGCCTTTAGTCTCCCGCTTTATCAGTTTTTCACAGCGTCAATTACCTACTCTATTACTCCTACTTTGAAAATATGAAGTACTTCTATTTGATCGTGACAGGCAACCTAGAAGAATGCTACTGTGCATGTACCTTCATACACAGAGGTACGTCGCAAGATGATGAACTATACATGATAATATCCCTATGCCGCGGCCATAAAGAGAAATTGCGGCATCCTGTTTGAATTGATTTTAGCTAGATACCTAGATTCATACTGCAACATGACTTTTTGCTCGTCCCCAACAGCCTAATGAGCAATCTTTTACTATCGGTGCTGTCAATTTGACCCTATCTGCCAGAATTATATTTCACGCTCCACCCTTCAATCTCATTGATTTGATACCCTCTGTTAGATATCTAAGTAGATACTAGGTAGGTATGTGACTTATACAGGTGCGACGGGTCCACACTTTCGACAATTCAGTAACCGTCCGCAAAGCTCACACCTCATAGATCTTGGTCGAGGATTATCCATCCGCAATCGCTCAAACCGCCCCACAATATCAGCGTCAGAACCCCGTCTTTCTCTCTGATCCGGAAGCTGAAAGCGAACTCTTTTCCGAAAGTCGCGACGTGTATGACAGGAGTCGGGACTGGGTCGTTGTGCAATTCTTTCATTGTGGGCATGGATCTGCTGCCGAACATCAGGGGAATGAGCAGTATCAATGATACTTCTTCGCCGCTCAGCTAGGCGAGTAAAGGAGCTATTATACCCTTGATCAACCTTCGACTTTAGCACTTTGGGTGACTGAGAGATGACCCCATGACGTTTTTGGCTAGACGAGACATGGCGGTCAATATCGTGTGGTGTGATGTGCCTATAAGAGACCGAGTTCGTTGTACAAGTAGAGCCCCTTGATCTTTTTGTGTTTTGGATGTAAGGGGGATGGCGGTCATGTCTTAGCTTTTCAATTGCAGCCCAGGACGGGTCAAAAGAAAAGGGGTAAGGAGTCGGGGGACGACGTAGTGAATTGCCCCAAGGAGACATTTTCTTTATTTACTTCATTCACAAGCAATCACGTAAAGAAATCTTCGTAGGAATAAATTAAGGGTAAAAATGTTTCTTTAACTTACCTGTCTACCTTGCTTTCACGAGCCCAAGGACCCGGCATCTCAGAGATAGATACTAAATCACGGATCGCGGAACCGCACCTGGGAAACCGGAACTTGGACGATCAAAGTTATCATAGTGGCCAAACCCGAAAAGTCGATCTTTCGTCGATCCGTTAATAGAACGGTGCGTGTGTCCCGGTTGTTTGGTAGGTAGTCTACATGTAACCTCAAACCAAGCCCTGCTGAATCCTGTTGGTTTCCAACCCTGCCTCAGCCCCCAGCCCTACCCACCATACGATGTCCTCGTTTTATCCAGAAATATATCTTGAAAGGACCGCGCCTTTCATATATATACCATGCCTCCATGATCAGTTAGGAATTATTTACAACAGTCCCCATTCGAACAGCTATAAAACCTATCTATTTCCAGCAATGGCATACAGGAAACGCACGAGAAGCCAAGCTCAAAAGGTCCATAGGAGGTTCAACGAGAGACTGAACACTCTAAGGACGAAAATCGAAGAACTCAACGCCATTAAGGAAAACCGAGCCATCATGGTGTGGACAGACAAAGACAAAACGTTGGCCTGTGGCGACGAACAGCTCATGAAGAGGTTGGGTTACCCTATTGAAACTCTTCCGTATCGGACCCGTCATCCCATATCATCACCCACAAACTCGGCTTCTTCAGTTTCTTCCCCTTATCATCGTCCTCAAAATGGAAACGAATTATCGGAAAACGAGGAAATATTCAGTCAAAGCTCGCTCCCGGCGAGGAAACATCTAATAACTTATGCGAATGGAGATGGGTTGATATCAAAGTGGAAAAAGGAGAAATTGGATATATTGGCTTTCGACTTTTTTAGCGATGACTATTAGACATCCGCCAGCACTTAATTTTATGTGCCACGTTAGCTTTTCATGTGCATCATATTTGGATTTTGGTTCAGCCCTACCCTAGATAATAGATACCGTATCGTCTTTAAGGGACATATAAATCTATTTGGCCAACTCAAGTACACTGCTGTTCAAATTAGCTTCACCCGGGCTTTAAGCAAAATCCATCATGTCACGTTACTAGGCACAGCAAATACTTGAAGTGCCGTTACTAGAAATAGCGATGTTGCTACACCAGGTTACTAGAAACAACAACAATCTAAAGTCGCGTTACTAGACACGATGGATTCTCCTACTTCGATTACTAGGCACAGCATGCTGCATGAAAGCCAAAAACTAGGTTACTAGGAACCAAGAGCCGTGGAATCGCGGAATCTATGTTACCAGAAAACATGGAAACCTTGTAGTCCCGTTACTAGACATCACGGTACCTATAAATAGCTTTACCAGAGTCCATAGCATTCCGAGACAGCGTTACTAGAGACCATAACATTCCGAGACAGCGTTACTAGACACTCGCTGAATAACGTCTTCGTGGAGAGGGGCTTAGCTGTAGAGTCAGCTCGATCCTAATTATAGAATACGTCCCAAAGTAGTAGCTGTTCGATACCAACGGAGATATATGAGCAAGGATATCGGCATCTGCAAGCGTTCGTCTCAGATTTTCAAAGAATGTGGGTCGGGTGGGGAGACCTGATCACACATAAGAGGCAAACCAACATGAGTGAGCGATACCAGGTCAGATAAGCCTAAACAGAAATTCTGCTTGGTTGCTACCGCCTCGAGCAGTTTATTCAAGTTAGGTGTCATTAAGCCCCCAAAGGGCAAATGCGGATCGGCCAATGTTGACGGCGATTGCTCGGAGAGTTTTGAGAGCCGGGAATGTTACTTCTTACTGCCTCAGAAGTTTTACCTTAAGGCTCCTTATAGAGAACCCCGACAAGGGACTTTCCTATTCCTGAAGTCTGGTCACTAACAACAGGGATGTTATATTATCAAAAGTCCCTATATCAAAACGGTTCACATCCAACGAGACTTGCCGATTTAAGCTAGTATCAGCAAGGGTTTATGTCTTACTTCCTTATACGCAACCTGTGAGGTAGATAGAGGACCCAAAGGAGCTCTCAGCTGGGTTGAGTGGGGTGGATTGCTATAAAAACATGAAGCTGAGTCTAAGACAGGCTGACAAACTTTGACACGAGTCTACAAGCCGCCTATCTAGTACCCAGATGCATAATGCTATAGGATAGTGGACTGATTAATGATTGGTGACTGGGTACCTAGGTAGTAATATTCAAGTATGTGCAAAGTCAGTATGGTGAACAAAGAAATTCGTAGCCGGCTCAGTGTTCTCATTGAATACATAGATTCGAAAGGTGAGGGCGACCACCAACGTCACCAGAGAGTCACAAGCAGGGTTTCTAACTAACAAAAAACTTCAACTTTAGTTGCAGACCACGTGGGAGTTCGTTCGTAAGCACTAGAGATGACGAACTATCCATCCCTTGCTTTGTATCACATTCCGCTATCGTGCCTACACTTGCGCTTTGATTGGTCCCGGCAATCTGGTTCTGCCTCAGGTAGCAACTCCCAACAACAATGGTAACAACGCACCCTCGTCCATCCACTCGCAGCTCGGAATCATCACAGAACAGGACCTAGGATGATAAAAGTAAACTCGGAAAGTCCAGCTTCGTATTGTTTATCAAGATAGATTCTATAAGGAATCGGCCCCAGCATGGCCTTTACAACTTGAACAACTTGCGATCTTTCTGTGTCTACCTAGGAGTTATTGAGGTATTAAATAATCAGTCTTCGTGCTAGATCCTTCCATATACGCCTCTTTTCAATGGATTTACCACAATTGGACAATTCTCAAAAGGGCGGATCGCCACAGTCAGACATCCTACGTGAGGAAATTCAGCAACTAAAAGACGAAAACGAGTACCTGCGAAAGAAAATATCCGAGCTTCAAGAGGCACTGAACTATCTACACAGAAGATATGCCGTTGATTTGATTGCGAAAATGGCTCTGTTGCGAATGCGAAATTATCAACACAACCGATGGGTTGATCATCAGAGCGAGCTCCTTGAAAATCTCATCAACATAATAGATATGGCCTTTGAAAAACGCAAGGAAGAATTTAATTTGTTGGGTACGGCTAATGAGGGAAAGGAGGGAGAGGTTGCTGAGATTCGCATTTATCGTGCGTTGGACCCTGGATCTAGAATTTCGTAGTCTCAAATTCTGGTATTTGACGTCTTTTCCTTGAATTTTATTCTCGAAAGGTATCTTATGTGATTTCCTTCCCAGCCCTTAGGCCGAAACTTTTAACACACCCCATCCTCCATCCCGTTTTGCACGACTATCATTATTGGGTTTTCCATTACCCAAGGGCCTGGTCTCATGTTCGTCGACAAAGTTTCGTGAACAACACCCGCTTTGCTATCGCTTTATGTCTAGCGGTCCAATTTACTTCATGGACTATCATAAATAGATACCTACTAAAGCGAACTTCATGCTAACTGAAGATCCAGTCTCAAAGACCCTTCATCCCAGGTTACACTCAGGGGCGTCTTAGTTGGAATCCTCAAGGTCCCCAGAAGGCCCATAAAGATCATATCATAGTGGAGATACGATTCTATGGCCTAAATAGTCTTGTTATGTACCGTACCATGTGCCTAGCCCATAGGATAGGGGTAAGCGACGGGATTTTGTCATCAAATACGCTTTTATATACGCTATTATGTACCTGATCTATTTCTATATCTGTCGACAAGCCTTTCATGGACTTAAATGGAAGCTACGCTCTTCATTATTCACATCGCCTACTGTCAGAAGCACTCTCTGTGGGAGCTGGTGATTGGAGATCGGCCACATAAGAGATCGCGATAGCCTCGGGTGGCCCCAGAAAGGATCCGTCGGCAGCTCGCCCTTAGACAGAGTGAACACGTATGTACACCGCATTTCCCCGTAGGGGGTAGTTTAGAGTTCCTTGCGCAACAACGTCGTTGTTACTTGGTCCGTCTCATCACACGTACATGATGATTCGGAGGGTTGCAACTCCTACGCTCCAAATTCGTCGACTAACCAACTTATTAGTACGCAGAAGTTGTAACCGGCTGAAAATATCCAACTCATAGCAACCTACCTACAATTTGTCATAATGCAGACCTATGAGGTAGGGAAATCACATCATTTTTACGCGAGATGCTCTGAACCCCTAAAGACCGAGGTGCCAATCCAAACCCCTCTAAACCAGACAACCCAATGCTATTAAATTTACCTACAGCAGGCGAGTCTCCCGACACAACTAGCTTCCTCTCGGAAATGGCTAACACACTGGTAATTGGATTTAGAACAGGTATATCTTTTTTCTCATGAAAATACCCGTTGATTTGATACCAGACTATCAACTTCGTATGGTGTCAATCATGCGAACTATTGCAAGGTGTTCAGGGGGTAGCTGGTGGCAAGTGCTATTGTGTAGTATGAAGCACGACACAACCAGAATGAACGGTCAAGCCGTTTTTCAAAAGCAAGAAAGTGCACACTAGTTCCTTAGTCAGGATTGATGCCTCACCTAGACAGTTAGAAGCTTTCCTATAGGGGATTTCGGAGATCGGTCTTACAGGAGACAGCGATAGCCTCATATGGCCCCATTGGCAGCCGGCGCTTAGACAAGAAGCAGACAAAGAAGGTTCCATCTATGTGTACCGCATCCCTGGTAGGGAGTAGTTTAGAATCCTTCGCGCAACAACATCGTCATTTCTTTCTCCTTTAGGTCTGCATCGTGACATAGACCTGCATGGGCGGAGAGAAAGTAATTCTAGAAACAGCTCTGCGGCCCCTAACGTAATCTCCTTTGTTCCTCCTTTCCCCTTTTCGGCCCATGCGTGCCTACCTTGGTCCACGTACTGGTGGCAGCCTGCCGATAGAATGGTCGACGGAACTACTGTTAGAAACTATCCCATCGCCATCCTAGCTCAGGCGGCCTCTCTTCGTAACTCCTGGACTAAACCTTCTTAGCCAGACATTAAAAATTAGGTAGAGAACGCTGTGTAGAGTTTTAATGTTCTGGACAAATTTGACAGATACCAAAGTACCTATCTAGGTAGTTAATTTCTAGTTACGTATCCGTACAGATTCCTTGTTAGTAAAGGAAGTATTTACCTCTGTTTCTTGACTCGGTCACCTTCACAATCGTCAAAATAGTATGCCTTGACGAATCCCTCAAGAATAGAAGGGGAATGCCTACCCAGGTGCATACATGCAACGTTGCACGTTTGAGCACGCATGCGCTAATTTTGCTATTGGATCGGATACGGACGGGCGAAGCAAAAATAAATGAAGGGAAAGAAAAAAATGGGGGAAAGGCATGATGTTTGAAATTAAAAACGAAGACATGAAGTATTTGTTAAGAAGAGTGAACTTCAAGATTATACAACTGGTACATAAAGGGGCATGTCGAGTGACAAAGTGGGTCTTGAATGAAATGCTCTGATTGGAAGAGACGGTTGATCACGTGCAGTAAACGAATCAATCAAAAATCGGAAGGCCTAACATCGACACGGATATTACAGAGTTCAATAAACCGCCAAAGCATCAATGCTACTTATAGCTTATTATCTATATTATTTAACAAAACTTCAAAAGCGCTCTCGATTGAATATCATAAAGGTATAGAATAATAAGTTTTAATTTGAAATGGGGCTCAACAAGGGGCGAACAAGGGCTGAACGAAGGCTGAACGAAGGTTCAACGAAAGTTTAGCTGAGCAGTAGCTAAGCAATAGCTAAGCCTATACAAATCATACAGCAACAAAATTATATTGAACTGAACCGCAGCGGTTCTATAAAAGAGAGATACTGGCAGCTCCCTAGAAGGGCCCAGATACACTTCTCTTTAGTTCTAGAGGGCTGAATATCACTGATCAAGGTATATCAAATCAAAGAACAAACTCTAGGGCTTAAAACGAAGGTATAATATTCGTGCGTGGTAAGCGTGTGTCCTCCAAGTTCCCTAAGGTGAACTGCTCAAGGAGAAATACTAAGCTAGAGTGCTGACTAATCTAAAACCCCAAACTCAAAGAGTGAGGTCTCCATCTCTATACTTCAGTTCAATATCAATTGATTCAGCAATTAAAGAGCTTCATTTTTACATACATTGTCTTATTTTAGACTAGTAGGTACTACTTAGACAAATAATTATAAATACCTACTTACATGCTATAACTCCTTATAATTATAGAGCCAGCAGCGCTAAGCCCCCTAACGATACAAGGGCTACAACGAAAAAATACAGTGTTCATACAGTGTTTATACATTATGATTAAGAGTTTTGAGGCTTTGGCGGTTTAGCTCATTTGGCGCACCGTCCAGCTACCCACGTCTGCATGAGGCAAGCCACTTAGTCATTAAGATTAATACGAGCCGTACGAGATCTTTTAATAGGATCCCCTGCTCAGTTACGGCTCCATAAGTGCGGCTATTACCAAATGACGGGTCATGGTGAACAAGGATCCAGGTGCCGAGACACGATAATGGCTTTGATCCACTGTATCCTTACTGGCGGGCTGAATTTGTCGACAAGGAGCTAATAGGCTATGATGGCAGTATGCGTTCCTTTGTGTTGACGCATTTGGCAAATATATCATGGCATTGTCAAGCACCGCGTCCTCTCTCTTTCCTTCACGTCATTCCCTAAGCCGAAGCCGAAGGACGTCAACATGAAGTCTTTACTGACTTTGACATCGATCGCCAGCTTTCTGAGCCAGACTGCGCTTGGCGCGCCCCGGCCGGTAAGGCGACAGAACTCGACCCACTGGTCCATACAAGAGTGGGATGCGATTGTCGTCGGTGCCGGAACTGCTGGAATCATTGTAGCAGACCGGTTGAGTGAAGCTGGGAAGAAGACTCTTCTATTAGAACTCGGTGGCTCTTCGTACGGAATCACGGGGGGCACCGAGAAGCCCGCATGGCTTGACGGAACGGACTTGAGCCGAGTTGATGTACCTGGTTTGTGTGAGTACTTACCTGTACATTTCTAGAGTACATTGGACTAATATCTTCGGCAGATAAAAGCATCTTCAATGGGGGTACAAACATATTATGCCCGCCAGGTGTTACGAATTCTTTCCAGGCCTGTACTATCGGTGGAAACAGTGCAATCAATGCTGGCCTTTACTTTCAACCTCCAGCTTCTGATTGGGACGACTGGCATCCGGAGGGGTGGAAGAGTGTTGACGTCCAAAATGCTACACAACGTCTCCTAGACATGCAGGCTTCCGTAACTAGTTACTCGGAAGACGGCAAGTTCTACATGCAAAGTGGTTATGAGGCAGCCAAGAATTGGCTTGTTGACAGTGCCAATTTCACCGAGGTGTCGTTCAACGAGACTCCAGATAATAAGGATAGGGTATTCGGGCGGCCTGTCTACAATTACATCGGTGGACAGCGAGGCGGCCCGACAAGGACCTACTTACAAGACGCCCTGAAGAGAGATAATTTCCACCTGCAGACGGGTGCTCATGTGAAACATGTCAACCATGTTGGCGGCGTGGCTTCTGGTGTGACTGTCGCGGTTGACGGCTCGGAGTTAGAAGTTTCGCTTTCTAAGAACGGTCGAGTTGTCCTAAGCGCCGGTGCCATCGCTACCCCGGGTCTTCTAATGCATTCCGGTATTGGCCCTCTTGACACACTTTTCAACATGTCCGCAGCTGGAGTGATGCCATTCAACGCCACAAGCTGGGTCTTCAACCCGTCGGTTGGCGAAGGTCTCTTCGATAACCCGAACACGTTCATTGAGCTCTCTGGACCGACAATCCACTCATACGTCCACAACTACAATGATCCCATCCCTGCGGATAGAGATCTCTATCTATCTTCTCGTAGTGGCCCGTACGCATTCGCATCTCAAACCTCGGCTTTCTGGGCTTACCTGCCCAACCCTGACGGCACTAAGACTGGTCTCCAAGGCACAATTGATTCGTCGGGGTTCGGGGAATTTACGAAGAACAATACCATTACACTTAATATCTATGGTACCTCCGGCCTTGGCTCCGCGGGAAGTGTCATCCTCTCCAACGACGGGAATTTCACGCCAGGCCCGAGCTCCGACGTCTATTACAGTGATCCCCGTGATGGGTTGACCATCGCGACGTTCATCCACTCTATCTTCCAAGCCTTGCCGCCTTCGTCACCTGACGCTCCAGCAGCTGAAGGTCTTACGCCGCTCAACATTCCTCAGAATTCAACGGTGGAAGAAATCCGAAAGTACATCACGACGTACTCCACATATGCTGTCGGCTCAGTCCAACATTGGTCTAGCTCGTGCAGAATAGGGAAGTGTGTTGATGCCGACACGAAGGTCATTGGCACCGAGAACATTCATGTCATTGATGCTTCTATCCTCTCGCCTTTAACCGTGAACCCTCAGTTCGGTGTGATGGTCGCGGGGGAGAAGGGCGCGGAACGAATGCTGGCAACTTGGTAATGATATAATGTGAATATGTAGCTTGAAGTTTGACTTGTTCTAGACGGCGTTGATCTTATACCACTTGGAAAAATAATAATAATATCCTAATGATAATATGAGTGTCAAACTCAAGTTTGCAAGCAAGTTCGCTCTCAGTCTGAACTTCCTTCATCACCTTTACCAGCATCATCGAATGTGAAGTCAAGCTTACCACGATGATTCACAAAACCCCGTGCAGCCGAAATGGGGTTATGGAGGGAGGGATACCCATTCCATCTCCAATTCAAGAGTTGCTATTGGATGAGGCTTATATATCGGGGCTGGTCCACTAAACAAGGTAAACTGTATTCGAGTCTTGTAGTCTCAACTGGTTGAGGGATCAAGCTAAAATCATCGGCCTTGGTAGTGGAGCTAGGGATGTTATGGGGCTAGACCCTCCAAGCTTTGCATGATATGTACCCAACTTATTCGCATATGTAGTATACCATCCCCACTGCAAGTAAAATTTTCATCATACGTACCTATGTTACCAACTCAAATGATGAGGGCCTTACTCGATGAGCCTGAGCCTACCTTCGCCAAGTGCTCATACGATCTGTAGGTCAATTCTAGCGAGTACCCATTTGATACGCAATGCAAGCATGGCAGAAAACTGCTATCTGATTTCGTTACTGCTCAAAACAAATAGTAAATATAGGTTAAAATGATAAAGGCATAGGTAGCCAGAGGAAAGAAAACCAACATAGGTAAAAAGCAAAAAATAAACATGCTGATTTCGTCCAGGTTCGAACTGGAGACCTTCAGTGTGTTAGACTGACGTGATAACCAACTACACCACGAAACCATATGAACCAAGAGCGATTGCCCCATTCGATGGTAGCAGCCAAGTTAAAATACGATATGACCGCTTAGGAAAAATCTGGTCTCCGGCTTAAATAGGGGTTGTGGAGATTAAGCTAGAGGTGGATCATATCCCTTTCACCAAAATGCTGATACCTACCTGCTATCAAACCACTCTTCCACACATTCACTCTACCTACCTAGTATACGTTTCTACCGACACGGTCGCTCAAGCTCTCATTTCAAAACCTGGTCAACATGTTAGATCAATATGTTCCATAAGGGAGGATGTTAGTACATCATGATGCTGAGCAAGTTTGATTATAATATGGTAAGATACGGTGGTTATAGATTTCCGTTCAATTAAATATAGGCGGGGAATAATTGGAATGGAAAGGCTTTGCGAATGCGGAGAGCTGGCGAGGGCGATTGAAAGAGGTGGCGACCAGTGAGTGCCAATGAACTGGGCAGCCAGCTCATGGTACTTCGCTCAGCCTCATTATCGCTTGGATATATATTAAGTGATTCCCCTCTTCCTTGCACCCATTTCTTACATTCATTATGCAAAACCATGACTGATTGGATATTTAGAAACGGCTCTTCTCGCACCTTCTCGTTAGCTTTTCTATTCGCTTAGCCCAATCACGCCCCTTATGCCTCAGTTAGATCCAGCGGTGTATAAGGTAGCATGGATTGCGCCTCTCGAGATCGAGGCTCTGGCCGCTTGGCACATAATGGACCAACAACATGAAGGCAGGTTCGCCTTGGGCCCCGGTGACGATTACGTGTACCGTGCCGGCAATATGTGTGGACACAACGTGATCATTGCGACCCTGCCAGCGGGCCAAGAGTACGGGACCGGCTCTGCAGCTGCTCTTGCTAGTCAAGTCAAGAAGTTTTTCCCGAATCTCTGGTTTGGATTGCTTGTCGGTGTTGCTGCTGGCTTGCCCGATCTTTCTAAGACCCCACCGCGTGATATACGCCTCGGCGATGTTCTTGTCGCTTTTCCCGAGAAGGAGGCTGCGGGGCTCGTTGCCTATGATCTAGGCAAAGAGACACCAGTAGACGGATTCAAGCTCTTGCAATCGGGGCATATTCTAGCTACTACTGAACCTATCGTTGGATCCGCTATTAGCTCTCTCAAGTGGTTCGCGCCTAACGAGTCGCATCATTTTTCACGATATTATGAGGCGATAAAGGACAAGGAGCACATAGGAGGTACGTTTGGCGACCCTGGTCAGGACCAGGACAAGCTGTACGAAACAGTTGGGGGTGGAGGGGAACGGCTATTGGAGCGACCATTGCGGCCCGCCCCCAAAAGGACGCGAGTGTGGTACGGACCAATAGGTTCGGGTGAAAAGCTTATGAAAAACGCAGCAAAACGAGACGAGCTAAGGGATAAATACAACCTCATTGGGCTTGAGATGGAAGCAGCAGGGACGATGAATCGTATCCCAGTCGGCGTCATCCGGGGGGTGTGTGACTACGGAGACGAGCACAAAAATAAGGCATGGCAGCCTTACGCTGCGGCCATGGCTGCTGCGTATGCTAAAGCCGTTCTGGCTCAAATCGGGCCCAAATCAAAGACATCTGATGCAGCGGCCTCGACAACAGGTCAGACAAACACGGTTAACCAACCACCTACCTACCACTCTATTTTCAATGGTCGAGGTATTCAGAACTCCGGTTCTGGGAATTTTTCGGTCGGCGGAAGCATGAATATCAATTAAATACCTAGGTACTGGAGGGAAAAGGATATTAGGTACCTATATAAGCCTCATGTGCTATGACGCTTTCGAACTCCAATCATTAATGTTCATGGCCTACATGTGTAACCGCACTGAAAGCTGACAATCGGGTACCATGGATGTGGCTGTGTAGATACTCAAGCAGGCTGCCAGCGCGACACCGAGTTGATCCCCCCTCATCTTCCTCATTCGATCTTAAGAAATTCCAATGCCATCAAGACGATTTGATGCGACGAGTCTCAAATTCAATCACATACCCCTCTTTCAGACAAGATGTCGCCAGCTGCCGATAGCCTATAGAAAAGAATGGCGGATAGTACTATTGGGTCTAGTTTCGTCGGGGCTGGCATTCAGCACTCGGGACAAGGTAACTTCAATGTCAACGGCAACGTGGCAGTTGGTACGTACTAGGACAGCATCTGCCAATTTCTTCATTGCCAATAAATGCAACAGGTGTTTCAAAGAATAACTCACTTGCCGACTTGCGATTGACCGATCCCCGTGACGATAAGAAACGTATAGAGCAGACTAAAGGTGGACTGCTGCGGGAATCCTACCGCTGGATCCTCGATCACCACGATTTCTTGCGATGGCGCAACAATTTCGACAGCCGTTTGCTATGGATCAAAGGCGATCCAGGGAAGGGCAAGACCATGTTGCTCTGTGGCATTATCGATGAGATGATACAACACTTCCCCGATTTTAATACTATGGATGAGATAAAGGAGGAGCCTTCCAGTCCTGATTGTCTTTTGTCTTTCTTCTTCTGCCAGGCTACTGACGATCGGCTTAACAATGCGAAAGGTGTACTTCGCGGTCTAATCTACCTCCTAGTCAAGCAACAGCCATCTCTTGAGCGCCATATCCAGACGAAATATGAGCACACGGGCAAGACGTTATTCGAGGACGTGAATGCCTGGGTAGCGCTGTCCGGCATATTTACCAAGATATTAGAGGACCCTATGCTTCCGACTACTATATTGGTAATCGACGCGCTCGACGAGCTCGACGAACGCGAAGCGCATCTAACACAACTTCTGAACCTAATCATGAACACCCCGCCTGAGTCCAAGGTAAAGTGGCTCTTGTCTAGTCGCAACAAGATTGAAATTGAGGAGAAACTAAAAACTGATCAATCACGGGCACGGCTGAGTCTAGAGTTGAAGAGCAACGCTGACCACGTCTCTCATGCTGTCAACGCCTACATTGATCATTGTATCTCGGAAATACCGGCGTTACAAAAACAATTAAATCTTCAAGTCTATGTTCGTGACCAAATGCGACAAAAGGCACATGGAACATTCCTTTGGGTAGGGTTGGTTGTTCAGGAGCTTAAGAAAGCACGAAGCTTTCAAATCAAACCCATCATCAATGCAGTCCCAACCGGCTTAGTGGAACTATACAGTCGGATGATACGACAAATCCAAGGACTCGAGTATGGCACTCCAGCATATTGTCAGCAAGTACTTTCAACCATCACAACCACATACCGCCCACTTTATTTAGAAGAACTTGCGGCATTATCAGGTTTACCCGAGGATGAGTTTGGAAAAGAAGGAACTGAAGCTTTAGTTGAGATTGTGAAATTGTGCGGTTCTTTTCTAACAATACAAGAAGGCCGTATCTTCATTATCCACCAGTCGGCTCAAGACTTCCTCTGTGAAAGAGCGAAAGATGTCATATTCCCTCGCGGAATTGAGGCTGCCCATTACGATATGTTCTCAAGATCGATCCAAATCATGTCCCAAACACTTCGACGTAATGTATACAACCTCGATGATTGGGGAATATCTACCAAAAACATTATACGCCCAAGACCGGACCCCCTAGGTGCCACGCAGTATTCGTGCATTCACTGGGTTGACCACTTCACCGTCTCTCAACCCGAAGGACGGCCACAACACGACGCTTTTCTAGGCTACAGCCTCGCCGACACATTTCTGAAAAAGCACTACCTTCACTGGCTTGAGGCTCTTAGCATCCTCCAGAACGTATCGCAAGGCATCTCAGCAATGGTAAAACTCAATACATTAATACCGGTAAGCGACTAATCATGGGTTTCACATTACCACATCACTAATTATATCGGATATAGAACTCGTTCAAGCAGTATAGCGAGTTTGCCAAAGATGCAACCCGATTCGTTAGGCACAATAAATTAGCGATCGAAAGTAGTCCGCTTCAGGTATATACGTCGGCTCTTGTCTTTAGCCCATCGCAAAGCATAATACGGCGTCACTTCCAGGGCGACGAACCGGACTGGCTGCTTGTGAAACCGGCTGTAGAAGATGAATGGGGCGCATGCATAGCGACGTTTGAAGGCCATTGTGCCCCTATTAATGCAATGGCCTTCTCACCCGATGGGACACTATTGGCGTCGGATTCAAAGAACGGGACGGAGAAGATATGGGATATAGTGACAGGCACAGATACAACACCACTTTTGTGCGAAAGAAAGGAGTTTGTCTCATTAGATTTCTCTCCCGACGGGAGACTGTCGCTCACATATCATAATTATTATATTAATATCCGGGAATTAGGGCGTATAGACCAGGTTAGGTTTACAGCCTACTCACTTATCTTTACAGCCTACTCACTTATCTGGCGCGCCAAAACAATAGAAAAATTGTATACGGAAATAAAAACACGCGAGGCGACACTTCAAGGTCATACGGACATTATTACCTCAATAACCTTCACACCCGATTCGGGAAAACTGGCATTTAACTCTCACCACGGGACGATCAAGGTATGGGACTCAAGGACAGGCATGTGCGTGGCAACAATAACAGGTCATATGGCCACAGTTACCTCATTGGCCTTCTCCCCCAATGAGAAACAGTTGGCATCCGGCTCTCATGACGGGGCGATCAAGGTATGGGACTTGGGGACGAGCATGTGCGTGACAACAATAACAGGTCATATGGCCACAGTTACCTCATTGGCCTTCTCCCCCAATGGGAGACAGTTGGCATCCGGCTCGTTGGAGGGGACGATAAAGTTATGGGATATAACAATGGATATGTCTGCAACACAATCCGAAGACTACATGAACAAAACCTCCAGAATAGTCTTCTCGCCCGATGGAAGCCAACTGGTATTGGGTGATCGCGATACATTTAAGCTATTAGATGCTGCAACAGACAGGTGTATAGCAACGCTCAAAGGCTATGGCGACTGTACTTCCCCAATTCTAGTCTTCTCACCTGACGGTGGCCGGATAGCGCTGTATGCGGATAATGCAGTTAACATATTGGATACTGCGACAGGCACGTGTATAAGAGTGTCAGACGGCTATTACGACGTTTCGACTATGTGTTTCTCGTCTGATGGGGGCCGCCTAGCAATATCCTCTGGCTGGAACCGGTCAGGGTCAATCGTATCCACGATTAAAGTATTGGATATAGCGACAAACACGTGTGTAACGACGTTGAAATGCGAGTGGATTAGAATAGACCAGATGGTCTTTTCCCCTGACGAGAGTCGCCTGGCGTTGCGCCTGTCCAATATAGTCGAGGTTTGGAATATAACAACAAACAGGTATATCACAACATTTACGACCCAATCTATTCGGAACCCCTCAATGGCCTTCTCAACCGACATGTGCCGAGTAGTGTTGGCCACCGAAAATGTGTTCTATGTATGTGATATAACAACAGGCAGTACGTCAAAGTTCTCAAACGGTAGAACCCCGATTTCATCAGCAATCTTCTTAGCCGACAAGTACTACCCTAGAACAGATGCAAACGCTATAGCCCTACATCCTTTCTTGGATATCGACCGCATATCTGGTGCTTTCCGGCAGCTGAATACTTATTATAATCTAAAGATAGAAGGCGAATGGATCGTCTACAACGGCCAAAACCTACTCTGGTTGCCTTTTGATTACCGCTGCGCCCAAGATCAGAATGAGGACGAGAGTTACCAGTACATCCATTGGGACACTTCGGCACAAACCATCAGAGTCCACTGCAAAAGTGGACGTATTTGGGTGTTAACATTGCAAACTGAAAACTTGATGGCCGGGTGGCCAGCCATACTTCCCGAACCTTCAAGCTAGACTAGAAGAACACATGACTTGAGAGACTTTCGAGGCCCGTTAAATCGGTCGGATCTTCCACTGGGTTATTCCTCACGTATATCAAATTGGTTGCTTGTATGGGTAGTTGACCAGAGTACACTGCCTCATCCAAATCTACCTAAGCACCCACTCCTCTACCAGTTGGTGTTAATCCTTATGGATACTACTGTCGTTCCAACTATGCATTGATTAGTACTTTTTGTTGTTGGTATTGATGATACTCAGGATTTAGATAGGCTTCGCATGTTATTTCAGTAATTTAAATCGCGTTTTTACCTTGCTAGTGTACCAGGTAAACAGATAAGACCGTGTAGAAGCGTTACGATGGTTCGAAAAAACCTTGCTAGATTCAATGTACATAATATAAATTCGATGTGGGCCTTAGTTTCAGGGATTGGTAGACTAGCTGAATGATTCAGCTTTGCTTATTCGTTCCCAGAATGCATGGAATGCAATATATGTATTTTACTTGACGATGACGACATGCCTAGTCGGCGTCTCACGGTGTGCGGAGCAAAGACGATGCCGGATCGGGCGTCATGATGGATTTGTCAGCGATTATATCTCTCCACTTCAATCCGTTTGGAGTCCGACTTGAGAGATAAATAATGAACAATCCTTTTCTGTAGATAGCAATATAAGACCGTCCCCCATTAAGCAGCCCGCATATCATTAGAATCATTCACTGGAGTTACCAGAGCACAATGACGAATATTAATATCAAAATTGTATCGGACACTGTCTGCCCATGGGTAAGCTCCTTACAATAGTCCGGACTTGCGGCTCAGTACTGAAGAATAATCGGTATGTAGTGCTACATAGGCAAGAAGCGGGTAGACAAAGCCATCGACCTCTACCGCAAGGTCTACCCAGGCGCCAAAGATGACACGTTCACCATCACCTGGGCGCCGTTCTACCTAGACTCCACGTCGCCCAAAGTCGGCGTCCCCATCACAGAGCGCATGGTACAGCGCTTCGGCCCGGAGCGGCTCGCCGCCCTGCAACAGCGACTGACGACGCTAGGCCGCGAGGAGGGCATCAACTTCGGCTTCAGAGGCAAGGTCGGCAACACGCGCGACTCGCACCGGCTGATCCAGCTCGGCAAGACGAAGAGCAACGAGGTCGAGAACCGCGTCGTGCTGGAGCTGTTCAAGAGCTATTTCGAGGGCGACGGCGATATCACTTCGCACGACACCTTAATCGCCGCGGCTGAGAAGGCGGGCCTGGATAAGGCTGAGGTGAAGGAGTGGCTCGACACGGGAAAAGGCGGCAAGGAGGTCGACGAGGAGGTCCAGGAGGCGGTTGCGAAGGACATACATGGGGTACCTCATTTCACGGTGCAGGGAAAGTATGAGGTTGATGGCGCGCAAGATGCGCAGGCTTTCTTACAGGCGTTCGCGAGTGTCAAGGAAGGGAAATAAAATGTCGCCAAGTGTATGTCTAGGGCCGGTCGGTGGCGTTAAACCGTGTTGGGTTGGGGTATCATAGTCTAAAAGTCTACACGCGGCATTACATGTGCAGTAACCCGTCGATGTCTTTATCAATCGTTTGCAGCCGCTCCTGGAGCTCCCTCTTCTTCTTCTCGAGCTCACGGATCTGTTCTCCCTCTCGTATCAGATCTTCCTCGGTGTAGATTTCCTCCCCTTCTTGCGGAACATCTTGTTCGCGCTCCTCCTCCTCTTCGTCATCGTCCATCCAATGGTCCTTATTCATCTTCCCTAGGGCTTCGGCTTGCTCGGCTACTTTCGCCTCGTAGTATGCTAGGGTGCTCCGGCTGTGCGCGTACTTGGACCGTTGCGCCGCTATCCGCTCTAGCGCGCCCGGCAGGGGGTACACGCCACACAGCTTCTCCGCGCCTTTGAGTAGGATCTCGACATCGATGTCGTCTTTCCCGCCGCGTCGCTCGCTGCGTCGGATCTGCTCGTGCAGGCCGCCGCCTAGAACGGCTGCTACGGCGGTGTGACGTCGAGGCGCGCCCGCGTTCCGCCCCGTGTTACCGCCCGACGTGGTGACCTCGCCCGAGGCGACGTTGAACACGGTCTGTCGACGTGAGGACTGCGTCGGCGGCTCCGGGTTTTGGGATGTGCCTGGTGGCGGAGGTGGTGGGACGGAGAATAGCGCTCGTTCGTGAGGTTCGGTGTCGCGGATTAGGGAGGTGATGTCGTCGTTAACGAGGAGGGCGTTGGTGAATATCTTTGGGGGCGGAAAGCTACGGGGTACAGTTAGATGATATCGCATAGAATATGGAGAAATAAAACATACGGGAGACTGTCAATTCCTTGACACGATATGGCGATCTGCTCAAAATGTGCTGGGAGAAGCGACATGATGCAATTTGTTTATTACTCGAAGTTAAACAATTGTGACGAATGAGCATCCACCAATGAAGGAGAAGATGATAGTGGATTAGAAGATGAGATTCACTAGTGTCGCATTACCTAAGCTGTTTTGTAACCTTGAAATGGTTGAAGTTGGAATTGACTCGCGTCATTGAACTCTATTCTAAATCACCGTGATGGTGTTACCTAAGCGACCCCTCCTGCAATCATGAGGTCGTTGCTGCAAAACATCGGGAACCTTATTAGCCACTCTGCCACTCAACCCCCACTATGTGGCTAAGCTTATCGTGCTCACCGCATGGATCGTTATCAGCTACTGACCGATTTTCTCGATTTTCCCATCTTTCACCAACGATCACAAATAAAATCTAATTCAAGGCTCCATTTTATAGACCAGGTTGGCGGCTTTTCCCACCTTGCATCACCAATGTCTTGGAATAGACTACCTAAAATAAAGCCCCCTGTCTTCTTCATCCGCCGATTTTTAAGCTATCACAATTGCTTGATCTCCAGATGATTGATTCGATCATAAATCTGCCGTATAGTGCAGATCCTTCGAATGGTACAATCGTCAAATGGTATTCATATACCATCCATACCTGTGCCATCCCGTCGGACATCATCCCCCCGCCCAAGCAGGCAAGTCTATATGGGACGAACTCGCGAAGCATTATGGCGGTCATGAACGAGAAAAGGCGGTATTTGACATGATACAGAATAGAATATGCCCTATTCTGTTTTAAGCTCACCGCAGGGCCGGATCACCGCCTGACAGCAGTTTCAAGCGTTGCAGAGGTGCAAAAAAACGGGGAGATTATAAAATGGTTACGATACATTGGCATTATATTACTTGCAGCAGCTGCAGACTCGGGGTATCCCTGACCTCATCACCAGCCAAGCAGCGGATTTTTCCCATCTCCACTACGCCTGCGTCTCTTCGCTTTCTTTCCCTCCCGCAGCGCACCTCTCTCGAATCATTGGGCACGATTCCTGTGAGCGCTGCTACCTGACCCCTTGTCTATTTTTGATCTTCCCTCGTACAACCTACCGTGGGTCCTCGTCGACCCGTTGACCCTCGTTCAAAGCCCTGATACGCCTCCAGGGCTCCTAATTATTTATTACCTAGCAACCTACCTAGGTATGCTAGGTATGCAGTGCAGAGGTATGCTAAGCGTCTGTTAACCAGTGTTAATAGTCTTACGAGCCGATGGTTTTGTTTTCGGTCAGCGTCCAGGTTTTAAGAGGACCGGTTGAACAGCTCAGTTATACATACCTACCGCCCATGGATCTCATGGGCAGATGGGGTAGGCCAAGATTGTCTGACTGAACATCCTGATCATCCTGTCACAACATCGGTTTGCTGCCATCTCCAGACTCGTCGTTTTTTCTTCAACCATTATATGCCTCATGCCGCCCACTGAATACATGTCGCATTTTCTCTGGACGCGCTATGCCTCCCACGAAAAGTAGCCAGGGAGTCCCGGGATCGTTGGTGCCCAAGCCGCATTCTCTGCGAGATCCTCCGCCATAGGTTGGTTCATAGGCTGGTAGACGAGAAGCTAGACCCGTTTCTCTGCTCCTCTACTCCTCTCAATGCCCCAATGCTCCTCTCTGCCCTCTGCCCTGCCTTGCCCGGGAGTCCGCAACCTTAGCCTGCTCATGTATACTTCCTTATGTATACCATTTACCGCATACCCTTATGTTCACAATCCGTATTATCATTATTATTACATGGATAACAAGCTTCTATATCTGCCTGACACTATAAGACCGTTGGTAGGCCCGCCCCCAAATACACGCCTTCCCCCTCTTGGTTTCTGCACATGAGATTTCTCTTCTCATACGCAGTAAGCTCCGACAGCAGGAATACACGCCGTTCACTATTTCTCCCCATCCGGAATAAATTCCCAACTCTGAAAGTTTTCGACTTGCATATTCTTTTTTTTTTCCCTGGGTTCGTCAAGCCCTCTGACCCAGGCGACCTCGTTGGAGATCCACACAACTCCCGAGGGTTTTTTATCTTTATTTTATTTTGCGCTACACAGATATTTTGAACAATTCTAACCAGAGACAATATTTCTGATTCTCTGTCCCTGTCTCTGTCGGTGGTGCACTGCTCGTGCATTGGCTGTATTAGCAATATCATCTTCTCTCTTGCCGGGAAGAAGTAAATTTGTTCAAGACGGCGATTCAACACCGACAGCCTTGCCACATCTATCTCTCTATCTGAAGAGTTGCGGCATAGAGTTGCATCTGGCCTCCGCGAGACGATTCCAGTCCTATCGCCTTTGTGGAGGAATTGTAGCGGTGTCTGTCCCCCAACCTACCAGAATCCCGAGGATATTAACATGACAAGTTATCGGAGTCCAATAACTTCTCCGCGTTGGAGGTTTTTGCTCTGGGTGCTGACACCTTAAAAATAAAAAAAAGTCCCTCGTTCTTCTTTTATCTCCCCCGCGAATTCTACCCCACATTGTGAGATTAAAAGAGGTCAATTTGAATCGATAAGATCGCAATTCTCGGGAAGGGAAAACATTCCCACAACGAAGCCGATATCATGCGGCCGCATACCCCCTCTCTGGACACCGCTCACGTAGCAGCGGGGCCTACATCACCACCAGAGACTCCCACTACCGGATCTCCTAAGATCAACCGTAAAGCAGCGGTGATCAATGGCCACCTACCTCGGCATTCCAAGTCCCACGGCCATCAACGCCATCCATCTAACATCCGGCCTTTAGGTGGGACTAAATTCAGTTACACTCGTGCGCCTCGACCTGAGGAAATCTCTCCTCGCTCCTCCAACTCTTCGTCGGAGGAGTCCGACTCATCTACGAGTCCCCCGCAGTCGCCACTCTCGGAAGTACCAAAATTTCGCCACCAACACGTAGAGAAGGTTGACGCCGCAATTCGGATCGAGCAGGCGGCATTTTCCATCGAGGAATTGAGTGACGACTGTTCCCTCAATGGCGAGGACGATCATCTAAACGTTCTTCGGCCGTATGCTTTTGAGTATGCTAATTCCGACCGAAGCCGGTCAAGATCCCGGCCTCCCCCGGATATGGACCCGGCTGTGATGGAAGGAATCGAGAATCTGAACACTTTTGAAGATTCCGATTGCGACATCGACCGCGATGACGAAGAGTTCATTCAGCAGCTTCAGAAAAGTCGTAAGGAACGCCGTCTGAGGAGGATGACGTCCGGGAGTCTTAGCAAGCGAACAGTAAGCGAGCGGGGCAGCGACTCCGATAGAGAGGACGTATTGCCCTATTACGAGGGGAACGAGACAGGCCCAACTCGCCGAATGCGGCGAAAAGTCGGTGACCGAATCAGCATTCAATTTACGGGTGCGCTCCCGGAGCGAATTGAGGAGCTCAAGGAGCCGAACAGCGACGATGAGATTATCTTGGATGATGCCGAGATATTCGCAAGAGAGTTACCGTACTGGACTCTGATGGATGTTGACTCTGAATGAGCTCAACCACATACGTTATAAAAGTGAATAGGAGAGAAGCTTCGTAGTAGCTTCGTGGAGATGGTGCTAGTGCGTTGCCGACACATATGCGGCACACACATTACGATTATACGACCCTATACAACCACGACTGAGTTGATAATATACCGACCTCTCTTTTCAACTAATATCTATGGGAGCTAGCTGCTGCGGCAGATTTATGTTATGATGAGTCGGAAAAAACGATTGGTGATCGGATCATTACAGAATCATGGAGAATATAGGGGGCATGACACACTTGCATCTCAGCATTATGTATCGGAATCGCTTGCATAGAATATTGGCTACATAGCCTGGGAGACCACCACGGGTGGCTTGACTTGTCCTAATACCGGATGAGGGTTTTTATTGGTGTTGGTTTCTTATCTCGCTTTTAGATACCATAGACTTGGACTTGGCAGGCCGGACGGACGCGGCTGCATGATAACGACGACGAAGTGGACGACGCAGATGACACGATACGATGATGACGACGATATTGACGATGTTTGCATAGAAGCGGCCGCTCATAGCAAAACGAGGCTGCATTTTTCTTCTGAGGTTACTGATCATATATAGAATAAGGGGTACGAGGGTAATCCGTGGCTTGAATAGATGCATTGGTTTCAGTATTAATATACAAGAACTCACGTTATAGCTTTTGACAAAAGGGCTACCTAGTTCATAGCATCTCGTGACCCAAAGACCTGGAGTATGTTTGTCTATCGATCTTGTGAAACATATCTCTTTTAGGTACGTCATAAGTCTAGTGAATTTTTCCAAACCTTGCAAATCTTTTCATGAGATCAAATACTAATTACACCTCAAATATTGACCATTGCTTAGCAATGGGCTTCATTTTCAAAACTATGCGTTCTCGATTAAAAAGGTGAATCGAATTCATCGATATCGCAAGTAGTTGTGAATGATATGAGAATAGGTCTTATGAGATTGAGACATTAACGCCGAATATATTTCGAAGCGAAACAAGATGATACAGTACAAGACAAACACTCTTTTGAATGCATAGCCCGGGTAAGCAGATAGATAGTATGAAATACCTACCTAGCCATCAGAGGTGGAGTATCAGCTTATCGATACGTTCCCCAATTTTATGTAAGCAACAAGGTCTGCGGTGTACCTTCTGCTGCTGGTACTGTAGCAAACAAACTCTCAAGAAGCTTCAAAGCTTGAGTTTTATAAAAATCCCTCCATCTTTCTTAATTGTCCCTAAACAAACTTTTGCGCCAAATGACCTAAGGCGATAGAGTGCAAGCCTAATATCCCATAGAATCAAGGGTCCGTCCCATCTGCTTCTTTCTCCGATCGTTCGGTGTGTTTCTCTTGAATGACATCTGCTACCTTCGCCACCATCGCCATATAACCATCAACACTGACTTCTCCCGTAGACAGCTTGTTACCATTGACCGTAACTTCCGCGCGACCCGAATATAACTCTCAAGATGAACCCGAACCAGGGACAGCCTGCCCAAGGGCAGCAGCAGGTCCGGTTCCTTAGACCTGAGCAAATCCGAAATATTGGTTACCTCACGCCCGAAGACAAGCACAAGTACGAAGAAGGACTTCGCCAACTGTATACCAAAATGGAACAGAACCCGCCTGAATCTCAGGAGCATCAGATGGCTAAACACCGAATCGCTGATTTCTCTCGAATGGTCGTCAATAAGATTAAGAGTCTCCAGGCAAGAAATCAAGCTGGCGCCCAGCCTCAACAAGGACAGCCTGGGCAACCTGGACAACCGAGCCATATGAACGCGCAACCGCAAGGCTCGCAGAACGAGCAAGCCCAGAATAACTTAACACAAGCCCAGGCCCAGGCTCAGGCTCAAGCTCAGGCGCAGAAGATGGCGAATAGGCCTCAAGGGCAAATGCCTAACAACCAGGGCGCCTCTTCGTCGACTCCCAACAATGCCATTTCTGCTGGCAACCAAGTGCCGAAGCTCATACTGAGCCATGCGAACCAAATGAGCTGGAACTCGCTTAGGCCGCCAGCTCAGCTGACGGCACCAGAACAGATATCCAAATGGCAGAACGAGATGAAGCAAAGGTACATCCGTTTTCTGGTGCAGATGGAGACCATAAAAAATAGATCGCAGAAGCTTGATGCCATGATCAAGGAGCGGCAGGATAAGGGACAGCTGTCTGCCGAAGATGTGAAAAAGTTTCAAGAACAGAAACAACAAGAACAGAAGAGTTACTCTGAGGCACAAAGATTTGTTGAAAATGTACGTCAACAGATCAAGATCCAACAACAAAGTGCACAGCAGGCACGATCGCAGCCAATGCAACAAAACGCCAATGCGCCTACGACGAGCCATCCCATGCAAGCCGCAACCGCGTCAGTAAATGCGGCGATGGATGCTGCTAAGAATCAACAACTTGCTGCGAACCGAACGCCAGCTGTAACGAATCAGCCGCAACAGCAACCGCCATCGCAACAACCTCAGGTGCAACCCCAGGTACAGCCGCAACCTCAGCAGCAGCAGCAGCAACACCCCGGGACACCTGCCACTCCGGCCACACCTGCGATATCGGTACAACAACAACAACAGCAACATCAACAACCTCAGCAATCGCATGCGGTTCCCACTCCCTCGCAACCTCAAATCAAGACCGAACCAAGCAACAACAACATGTCGCGCCCACCCCCCGTGAACACGGCTATCGCTGCAGCCGCTTCATCCGCGAACATGCCTTCTACAGGTACTCCGACTCAAGCATCTGCGCGCGTCCAGACTCCCCAGTCTGCAGGTCAACAAGTGACGCCGGTGCCTCAACCCGTTCGCCCTCTGACCCATGCAGCCGCTGTCAGCCGCGCGAACTCGTCAACGAACGTCCCTGGACAATCCAACAGCGCATCCGGCTCTGGTCTTGTATCCACTCCCGGTGCCAGTGGCCTTGTTGGAAACGCGAACCACGCCGGTCATTCGCATGCTCATCCTCAACCTAGCCCAGCCCTGAACCCTAAGATGCCGATTAGTAAGAACCTGCCGCCCAAGGCAACGGAGACCCCGCAGGCAGTCAGCGTCGGTGGCGGCAACACTCCCGGCCGCCCTTCATTGAGTGGAGGAGGTGGTCTTGGAGGAGGTGTTATGGGCCAGCCTGTTATTAACAAGATGCCTCCTGTCCAGTTCGATGCGGAAGGTGAACACGTGCTCTCCAAGAAGAAGCTTGACGAACTCGTCCGTCAGGTCTGCGGTGGTGCCTCTCCCGGTACGGATGGCAACTACTTGACTCCGGATGTTGAAGAGGTAGGCGTTTACTGCTTTATTTATCCCTCTATTTCCTAAGCTCTCTATAATGCTAACACGTACCTCGCAGTCGGTTCTCAACGTCGCTGATAACTTTGTTGATCAAGTTATCCACGCAGCGTGTCACCTAGCTAAGGAACGTGGTAGCAAGGTACTCGAGACCCGCGACTTACAGCTCGTGCTTGAGCGCGTCTACAACATTCGCATTCCCGGTCACACGTCGGAGGAGCTGCGAACCGTACGCAAGGTCCAACCCAGCTCGAACTGGATCTCCAAGGTGCACGCTGTTCAGGCGGCCAAAGTCATGCCTGGCAAGGACGACAAGTAGGACGAGTCCGATCCTTCCAAGAAGCGTCCTGTACACCCGCTTCTTGAACAGCTTGACGCACGACGTACGGGCATGGCTCCTATTCCCCCACACATTGGCGGACCCAGCGTACATCTTCCCGAGCCTATCGTGGATCCCTCTCAGCCTGCTTCCGATCCGGCTCCGAAGAAGCGATACCGTAAGAGAAAGATTTCAGTTGCTGAAGAGGCTCCTGCTACCGGAAAGGAACCTGATGATGAAGGAAATAACGCGGTTTAAGTGGGTTCCACGGGTCTAGTACTTTACGGCAGATTAGTTATTGATGGTTTGTTTTTTAACGAACGGATGGAGTTTTCGGGGTTTGACTTTAGGATGACGCGGTCATGTTCTACCTATGGTGGTTAGGAAGGAGCAAAAGGGATTCCCATTATTCTGGCCTGGAGTTTCGTTGGCTTTTTCGGGGTTTCGTTTACTTTTATGGTCTGACACTCGACTCGAGGGATACGATACGAGGCATCGAGCAGGTCAAATTTGTACCCATTCTTCGCTCTGCGGATCACATAGGTGGTGCCTAGGTAGTCACAGCTATACGTAGCTCATAAAGACGCACATAATGATGCGATTGCACTATTAAATACTCGGCTTTCTACTAAACCGCTGATGCGGTTGCATGGTGATATATTGATTTAATGTTACTTTTCCCATTACTGTGCCCTACCCTGATTCCTATGGAGTAAATGACTAAACGGGTAACAATGATATAAATACCTACCGAGATAAGTATAGAGAGTTAAGGCACCAAGCAGCAAATGCGCGACATGCCCGCTCTGATTGCCTGCATCGGATAGTTCCATCCTCAGCAAGGTTGGCAGTTACTTGCGCCGGGTGTCATCCATCTTAGACCGTCCCCGACCGGTCGTCTGCTAAAAGGGCAAGGTGATGAGATGAGATGACAGGAGGAAATGGGAATGCTGTGGAGAGAACGCCTGTCAAGCGCGGACATGTGGCGACCTAGGCCAATGGTTGCCGTTGGGCTTGGGCTGCTGCATGGAACAATGGCACACACGACGTGTTCGGGCTTGATAGATTATATAAAAATTTTATAAAAATTTATATATTGGCTCGATAGATAGTGTGGATGCGTAGAGACCGAAATTTCGATTTTGGAAGGATTATTATTGGTTTTATATGTACGTTTTGTATTTGCATGTACTCCCTCGAGCATCTCGATATTTATTATATTCAACGTTACTGATGGCATTTGTTGTTTTGTTTTGTTTTGTTATGCTTATGTAACATCTAAATTGGAAATTGGTTTGAGATAGGCACATATTCTGATGATGACGACGGGACCTAGTGAGTTAGGTAAGCTTGTGGCTAATGCAGGCGGATGCCGCACATTAGAAATGCGGCGAAGACGTTGGTTGTTTTGGAAAAAGTAAGGAAGGTTGAATCGTTGATTCGGTCGAAGCTCTGGACAGGCACCAATTCGCAAACGTCACTTGGATGGGTCCTTCTCGATGATGAGGTGGATACCGGCATTAGGTAGATCCAGAAAAAGATGTATTCGAGATACCTCATAATCCGCAGGGTGCCGTGCGTAAAACTCTTGTACCGTCGGGTCAAAGCTTCGTACTTTTTGTCTTGGCGCCTTCCAGGTTGGCCTTTTTCGGGGCGCATCTTCGAGCTTCTCCAGTGCGCTCAGCGACTCTGTCGGGTCCACTTGTGCTCACCTAGGGCACCTTCATAGCACCTAAATTTACCTAAACAGACCTAAACAGTGGTACAGCTCTAGGCATTCTAGCGCTATCCTCTCTTTCCCAGCAACCAGTCAGGCGACAACTGCCCTCCAGTCTTTCGTCCCGGGGCTTTTCGCTTGCATCACTCTTACCTTGTGACTGAGCCTGAGCAACTGCAAACGACATCAATCAGCAAAGTAAAGCAATCTTCCATCTCCATTCTCCCTTCTACACTTTTCATCTCTCGTACCTAATCAACAATTTCCAAATCGACTTCTCAATCAAACGGCGACTATTCCTCCATTTGCGTGTATTCGTATAACACGCACTTCTATTTCTCCTTTGTTTTATTTAGACACCTGGTTTGTGTTTTTTCCGGTTAGCTGCCAACAACCGCCCAAACCAGTCCAGTTTCGTCTGCAGGGTCTCCGAACCGTGAGCGCGCCTCGCGATATCACCTGTCCGCAGCATCGTCATCATCATCAATAATCCATCAACCATCAACCATCAACCCTCCATTCCACCCGGCCTAAATTCGACAAATTACCCGATCGAGAGTCATCCGACCCCATCCCCAATCAACAAAATCCCCAACATCTCTTTTCCCCTTTCCATCTCCAGTTTTTTTCAGACGCAGACATGCCGGGGAAAACGCCTCATTCAAACGGCAACGAGCCGGTCGAGAATGGTATTAGGAACAACCAGGATGTTGATATGACCGACGAGAAGTCTTCATTGAAGGGCAAGGGCAAGAAGGGCGTCAAGGAGGGAGAGGATATGACCGTCGTCGTACCACCTTCAAAGACCACAAAGCAATCTTCTCAACCACCACCTCCGGATGCTGATGGAGATGTCGCCATGGACGTAGATCAGCCAGAAGATCTCGAGGTGAAGGTCGACCCTATCACTCAGGCTATCACAGGTATGATTTGTATCATCATCCAAGTAATTTCCGTGCATCCTAGATCTAACGCGCTCTTTTTATTTTAGATATCAAGAGTAACTTCGCCCTCCTCGACCGCGCGGTAGCTTTATTCGATGCCAGATTCACATTAAGGGCTTTAAGATCCATCTCTTCTCTCCGAAAACGTCTCACCCCAGATATCCTAGCACAGGTCATCGCAGAGACGTTCTCTCCCACAAGTTCATCTGCCAACGTCGCTAAGCAGCTTTTGCTAGCGATTGGAAAGCAAGATGTTCCTTTGGGTCGCCAGTCGAGTGCCGAGATGGAGATTGACAGTGAGCCGAAAGCCGCAGCTAAGAACGGCGCTAAGAAGGAGATCAAAGAGGTCATTCCCGAGATCGACATCTTCCTGAGCATCCTCGTTCAGGTTTATCTGTTCGACTCTAAGCAGTTCCAGCTAGGTTCTGACTTTTCCAAGTATCTCTCAGAGCGCATTCACTCTTTGAATCGCCGGACTCTAGATTCCCTCTCTGCCAAGGTCTACTTCTACTATTCTCTATTCTGCGAGCAGCTTGCTCCGTTACCTCCGTCTCCCCAGTCTCCGATCGTTGCGATCCGACCAACATTGTTGACTGCTCTTCGGACTGCCGTGCTACGAAAGGATATTGACATACAGGCCTCGGTCATCGTTCTCCTTCTACGAAGCTATCTCCTAACCTCCCACATTTCTCAAGCCGACCTCCTCGTATCTCACACTCAATTCCCTGAGAATGCTGCCAATAACCAGGTCGCGCGTTTCCTATACTACCTCGGCAGGATTCGGGCTATTCAGCTACGATACACAGAAGCACACGAACACTTGACAGCTGCCACGCGGAAAGCGCCGGCAAGCTCCTGCGCCCTAGGATTTGCGCAGACCGCGACGAAGCTTCTTCTCGTCGTGGAGCTGCTTATGGGTGATATTCCCGAGCGCGCCACTTTCCGTGTCCCCAACATGGAGCAAGCTCTTCATCCGTACTTCCTGCTCGTGCAGGCCGTGCGAGTGGGTAACCTGGAAGACTTCGAGTTGACAATTACCGACCATGCCGACACTTTCCGCCGTGATGGAACATACTCACTCATACTGCGCCTTCGACAGAACGTCATTAAGACGGGTATTCGCATGATGAGCTTGAGCTATAGCCGTATCTCACTACGCGACATTTGCATCCGCCTGCATCTTGGTAGCGAAGAGAGTGCCGAGTACATTGTCGCAAAAGCGATCAGGGACGGCGTCATCGAGGCGACGCTAGATCGGGAGCGAGGATTCATGAAGAGCAAGGAGGTTGGTGACGTATACGCAACTCGGGAACCTGGAGAGGCGTTCCATGACCGTATCAGAGCCTGTCTTGCGCTCCATGACGAAAGTGTCAAGGTATGTTGCCATCATATCCATTTAACGCACAGATCGAATTTCAGCTAACACGGCCCTTTTCTTACTCCACAGGCTATGCGTTTCCCAATGAACCAGCACCGCCTCGAACTAAAGAACGCCCAAGAAGCTCGCGAGCGAGAGCGCGAAATGGCTAAGGAGATACAAGAAGGGGATTTGGACGAAGACGACCTCGGTGGTGATTTTGAGGGCATGTAACATAATTCGAACCTGTGTATTCTGAAATAGGAGGCGGAGGATTCATCGGCGCTGCTTTACGCCCTTACCAATTCATAATAGTGGTACATGAGGCGAACGGCTGCTTTTACATCGGTGATAAGTTGTAGTTTGCGAAGAAGAGAAGTTCAGAGGGTGCACATGGCGCAGCCAACTCTTATAAACAAACGTCATTCGAGGCCTTCATTGTAATAGATAACACGCAGGAAGAAGAGAGTTCTTCCTGCTCTTTTCGGCTGCTACTTCATTACCTGGCCTTTAGAGGGACGGGAAAGCGTGGTATTGGTCCTTTTCTCAACATGTTTTAACACCAATCCCACCCATCTATGCGGCCGGCTGGGAATCTAAGTCCGTCCTTTTTCTAGAGGCAATTAACAATCCACCACTATTGCTATTTCTCACTTTGCATGGCACACGTCGTATGACAACTTGCTTGATTTTGTTGTTTGTTCTTGGTGATGTGTAGCTTGGCTTTATGGAAACTAGCGGGAGGGTCTATATACATTATATGGTACTTCACAAGGTGTAGCTATTTGCAAGCTATCTACTCAGGTAAATATTAAAGGCTGGCACTGGTGTTTAGACGCCGATGTTACTTGCGTATAGAACTTATCAAATGCCTACGAGATTTCCAGATAACAATTGAACATCGAAAGTGGGAAAGTCAGAGTTCCGAAATTCAAAGCAGCACCTCCCACCAAGTTATTCACCTGAAACTTGTTAAGGCTTGGTCAGATTGGTCTTGTCCAAGGGTGTCACGTGGGGTACACTTTACTTTACTCCAGTCACGTCTGCTTTGACCATAGCTTCAATTCAACCTTTCCCATTACGTAATCACAGCTCGCCGATAGTTTGACTTTGTCTTCTAAGGTACCTAACTTTCAATTCAACAAACTTGTACTTGTACCTGTTCTCTAGGTATTTTTTTTTTCTTTTTTACCGGACCTCTCGCGGAAGAAAATTGTATACACGAACCCAATTGACATGACCCCGTCGTCGAGATCGCGAGAACGAGACGAGCGATAAAAGGAGAAAAAAAAATGGCGCCCCAGAAGCGCAAGAGACCCCACGACAACGACGAGCCGCCTCCTCCTCCTCCTCCTCCCCGGCGCGCGACCCGCCAACACCCCGACGAGCAGCCCGAGCCCGAGCGACAGCTCAGGAGCGGGCGCGTACGCACCGTACGCGCCGGCGCGATCGAGAAGCCTGCGCCTGCGGAAGCACCCGTGGCTAGGGGCGCGGCGCGGGGCGACGCGTCGAAGGCGCCGAGGCGGCCGGGCAGACCGCCGACGAAGAGGGTTGCTGAGGAGAAGGTGAGGGTGCTTAAGGAGAATGTACGACCGGCTGGCTATGATGGCGTTGATGAGGAGGAGGAGGAGGAGGAGATTGAAGAGGTGGAGCTGCTGAGACGTACGCCGTCGCCTACACCGCCGCCCACCGAACCTACGCAGACGAGGCCGCCTAAGCCATCGCTTCAGCAGCAATTGCAACAGTCTCGTGCGGCGCAATCAGCTTCTGCGGATAAGATGTCGACTCCGAAACGCCCTTCTTCCTCTGCCGATAAACTGTCTAAACCACCGCCGACGCCGCGATCGGACCGCAATATTGATAAGGTTGTGTTGGGAGATATATGCTTCAAGGCGTGGTACCCGTCGTACTATGGCAAGGAGGTACTAGGTGATATATCGAATACCAATAACGCCAATGCGGGAGGTAAAGACAGGCAGGGGAGTAAGGATCGAGATGGTGGGGGGAAGATAGGGGGCAGGATTGGAGGAGGGAAGAGGAATCCCCCGCCTATGCTGGATCGATTGTACGTGTGTCCTTGCTGCTTCAAGTATAGCAGGGAACTTGTGATGTGGTGGGAGCATGTCAGGTGCTGCGAGCGCACGTTCCGCATGCCGGGCACGAAGGTGTATACGCATCCTAAGGGCAAGAGGACGGTGAGGACGACTGTTGCTGGCGCTGCTAGTGGGAGTGTAGAGAAAGGTAGGGGAAGGGGTAGGAAGAGGAGCGATGCGGATGCGAGTACAGGTGTGTCTGCAATTGTGGAGAAGGTCGTTATGGATGAGGGCGAGTGGAGTGTGTGGGAGGTCGACGGAGAGAAAGATAGGGTAAGTGAAGTTGTTTTGTTCTTGCCTGTTATTTGCATTATGTGCAGGCTATATTTTGGTTTGAAGCTGACTCCGTTATCTCTAGTTATTCTGCCAGAATCTGTCCCTGTTCGCGAAGCTGTTCCTAGATAACAAATCGGTCTTCTTCGACGTTACGGGGTTCAACTACTTTCTCCTCGTCTACACTCCTCCGCAGCCGTCCGACGCGCAACCCCCTCCTCCTCTCGCAAACAGGGATCTAAACGAATCCCCTCCTCAATCCCGATCCTCGACCCATCCCTCCGACCCCGATAAACAACAGCAAGCGCTGCCTGGAAGCAGACCGCAGGTCGTAGGCTTCTTCTCGAAGGAAAAGCTCAGCTGGGACAATAACAACCTGGCGTGCATCCTGGTCTTCCCGCCGTGGCAGCGCAAGGGGCTCGGCGCGCTGCTCATGGGCGTGTCGTACGAGATCTCGCGCCGCGAGGGCATCCTCGGCGGGCCCGAGAAGCCGATCTCGGAGCTCGGACGCAAGGGGTATAAGAGGTTCTGGGCGGGCGAGATCGCGAGGTGGTTGTTGGGTTTGGATTTATCTAAGCCTGTGAAGAATGACGGGGAAGAGGGAGAGGGAGAGGAAGGTGTTGATAAAGAAGAGGGAAGTGCGAGCGAGAAGGGGAGGGAAGGGGAGTATTTGATTAGCGTCGACCAGTGCTCTAAGGCTACGTGGATCGTGCCTGAGGACTGCCTCGCCGTGCTCAAGGAGATGGGCGTCGTCGAAGACGCGGGCCCGGGCCCCGCCGACGCAGTCGGGGAATCGGCCGAGCACGGCGGCGGCAGCGGCGGCGGCGCCAGCGACGAAGAGGCCGAGGCGGCGGAACCCAAAGAAGAAGCTAAGGCGGTGCCGAGGGTCAGGCTCGATAAGGAGGCTGTTAGGCGCTGGGTCGAGGACAATAAGATTGACCTTACGAAGACGTGCGATCCGGACGGATTTGTTGAGGGGTATGCTATTGGTAAAGGCGAGGACGAGGAGGTGGATGAAGTGTAGTTTGTTAGGTTAGGGGGTGAGGAGAGGTGGGTGGGTGGTGTGGTTTGTGTGGTGTGGCTTGCTGTTTGAGGCGTGGAGTTAGACATCCTGATACCCCTATTATACCCTTGTGGCCTTGCTTTAGCAGCAGTTTGATTTGATTGAGGGCTGTGATAGTTTGAAATTGATAATTAACGAAGTATTTCTGTTGGTGTGGTTTTTGGTTGATGTTAATGTTGACAGGTATGCGTGGTGAGGTTTTGAGTGCTGCGGTTTTTGGGATACATCGAAATCTTACGTAGACTGATGGGGTATCTGATGGAGAGAAATGCCTGAGGTTGTATGCTGTGGCGATCTTGATATTCGCTGTAGATGCCTGGGTGTTATTGGTATACGTGCTTGGAGTTTGTACGGAATAGAGGCCCGTTCTAAACGAAATACGGCATTCGAAGTCGCCCACGTTTGTGCCTGCCTAGTCTTTTCATCTTCTCTCTAGCAGCTTAGGAGTTTGCACCTAGGTATACTCAATAAAATTCTTATTACTTATGAGGTGTTTTTAGGAGGTGATACTTCCAGTGAGAATTACAGACCTTATGAAATCACTCAACGAACTGTTCATCAAGACGATCGTGTCACCGGTTCCTAGGAACTGGGGACTTGTCATAATGAGACTTTAAGCCGCCTATACGGCTAAAACACTACATTGAGTATTTTTAGTCCTATCTTAACTCGTACCAGCACTGGATGATTGGTAAAATCTAGCTCAGCAGGTAGGTGAGAGAAATTTAAGAAAAGGGGCTAGACGAAGTGACCGAAATAATAGAAATCATCTTTAACTTGCTGGCAGTCGAACGTATAGTTAGAGTAAACCTATGTCAAGTTACTCTTGTTTTGACTGAAAATGAACGAGAAGTTACAATTTCCTGTAACCACCACCAATACCATTGACAACGGAAACTAAGAGTTCACCCTTTTGATATATACCTACCCAGACCTTCAACGAGGGATGTCTTCTTGGGTTCACTAAAGATAGATACGACATATTCCCACCAATCCTCGATTTTCCCCGTTGCGGGCGTCGTCGTGGCCAGTTTTCAGGGGCTGGTGGCAAGAAGCGAGATAGCAGCGCCCTAGCTTCATTTTGTGTAACCCCTGAGACAAATATAAAGAGACCGAAGGCCCCGAGGGTTTAAGTAAATATCAGGTGTCGATAGTTATTTGATTACTTGATATAAGCGAGCCTAAGGCGAGCTACTTGCTATTATCAGTCACTCTGCGACATAGCCTTCAATTACAAGCCACACTAGAGTTTCTGTTCTGGCAGATTGACAGGCTTTCTTAGTATTTACTTTGCCTATACCTACTAAAGTTTTATAAGGCTTCCCGTCACTGAAACTTGTTTCGGTACCGTTGTCGAATCTCAATCACTTATTTGTACCCAGGTATATATTTTCAAGGAGACTTAAACTATTGAGTAGTCCTAGAATTGACCTTAAACCTGTATTATGTAGGTAAACTACAGCCTTAATATAGTTCGATGGTATATTTCGACTCAAGTACCATCCTACTTTCAATTACCAAGGCCCAACCGCGGAGATGAAGTCATGATAACGAAGTGGTAATATATAAGTCACAATGTTTTATTTATGCTTCATAGAGAAAAGAAAACAGCCGTTATATTCTCATAACTCATACTGACATGATAAGCCAAACTATCAAGCCCTCAGGCAAAGAAACGAAACCCCCTAAACCTCGAAAAGTTGACAGAAAACAAAGGTATATAAGCATGACGGGCAATCCATCCGTAGAACCGCCCAAAACAAGAATCCGTTCAGAAGAACCCCCCACCACCTTTCTATCGTTTCATACCGCCTCATATAATTTCATTTCGTTTTGCTCGCTCGCTTGCTTGCTTGCCTGCTCATTCTCTCCTACCAAGAAACAAAAAAAGCCTCCAAGAAATTCCCTAATGTCCAAAATGATGTATGCAATGTTTCCTCCAGATATATGATATATATGCTACTTTTTATGCGTAAAAATTGGTCCTGTCCCGTCCCGTCATATCCTTCCGTATACGTAAAAGCGGATTCGCAACATATTTGGCGTGTACACGTACCTAGGTAGGTAGGTAAGTACTCCCTTACACCCTTTTCGTTTCTTTTCGTTTCATGCTGTCGTTACCTATTGCTCCAAGGTTTGTTTGCGGAATTGAAATCCATCAGTGTTTTTTCATCACTTTTCGCCTGTCTTACCCCAAGCCGAGCCACAAGCCGGGAAAAACCTATCGGTAATTGTATTCAGACCCGTACAACGGCCTCCTCTTCCCGTCGAACTCGTTAACAACCTTGCGGTACCTCCCCACCGCCGACGGCGCCCCGGCCTGCGAACTGCGGCGGTGGTTCCGCCTACTACGCTCCTCGTCGCCGATGCAGCTGATACTATCGCTCGGCGCAAGACTCACGTTATCATCATCGTCGTCGTTCTCCTCGTCATCGTCCCAGTCCTCCCAGCTCGCCCTGCTCTCCCGCGCCGAGACGTAGCTGTTCGCGCGGCTGCGCCCCGTCCTCTCGTACGCGGATGCTTGGGGCGGCGGCCGCACCGTGCTAGCGGACCGCGCGGTGCGCGCCGAGACGTACGTCTCTGCCTCGACGGGCCGCGGCGCTCTGACCTTTGAGCTATCGCGGCTGCGGTACGTGGACTCGGGTCCGCGGTGCCTGGACGACGCTTTTGACGGCGACGCCGTGTACTTCGACGGCGCCTTCGATGGTGCGTAGCTGCGGCGGTCGTCGCCGTCTACCTGGCTGCGGTACTCGTGGTCCATGAGAAGTCGCTGTCCGAGCCCGTTTCTGGACCCGGTAGTGCTCATGTACTCCCCGTCGCCGGCCACCATCGGGCGCCTGATCGAGCCCGCTTCGCTACTTCGACGACCCCTGCCGCCTGCTGTGTAGTGGCTCGAACGCCCGTCGTTGAGGTCGACCGGCACCCTGCTTCTCGGCGGAGGAGCTTCGAGCTGGGCGTACCGCCCGTAACTGACCGGCGGATACTTCTTAGACGGCGAGTCCTCGATATACCTAGGCTGCTGGTGCGAGGGCGGGTCTTGGAGGGATCCCCGCCGCGGATACGATCTTGCTGCGTATTCTTGTGACTCGTATTCCTGATACGAGGCTGGCTGACGCTCGTTCCGCATCATGGCGTAGGTCATGGCGCCGCCAATGGCGACGCCGGCGGCTGCAGCTCCGAGGAGGGTGCTCAGACCTGCGCCCATGCCGCCCCTTGGGCTCTCGCGCGACGGCGTTTCCATGGCCGAGATGGTGGCGCTTCGCCGTATTCCCGGAGCCCGGGGTTCGCGCGAGGCGATAGAGCTGGTTGCCGAGCGGCCATAGGAGCGGGAGTACTCCTCACCTCCCGAACACACGACTTCTATTCTATTCCCGTCATAGTCGGTCAGTTCTACACGGCTCCTGCCATCTGTTTCGATGGGGAGGTCAGGATCTGCTCGTATGGCAGCAGCGCGGAAAGCGGCTAGGACTTGTGGTGATTGGGCTGAAAGTACCACCCGTGACGGCCTTAGAGATTGGCCGGAACCGGCTCTCCTTACTTCCAAGACCGGCTTCGGGGTACCAGTGGTGGTGTCACCGTATACTATGGAAGACGAATTGGCAGAGATATACCGAAGCTTCAAAGGTTGAGTTATGGCGGAGTAGAATGAAGCTGCCGAGGGGAGGTCTCTGACTTGGACAAAAGGCAGAACCTGCTGCATAACTGATATATTTGTATATGGATATCTCGAATAGAATTGGGTATGAAAACTGAGTATGAGGACAAGGATGAGAATGAAAATTGGTGATACACTTGTGAAGGATGGACGAGGGAATAGGACGATGCTGGGAAGAGACAATGACGATACTGGTTGAAAGGAGTAAACAATCAACAACCAAATAAAACAAGATGCTCGTTGAACTTGTATTATTGTAGATCATGAGAATGGAGATGAAGGTTTAAAGGAGGGACGCCAGCAGCGTAGATACACGTGTAACAGGGTTCATGTGAAAGTGGTGAAAGTTGGCCCGAGCTCTTCACGAGGTGGGGAAGGTCAAATACGTGTACTATCCATGTACTTGGGCAGGTAGGCAGGTATCTGGCATCTATGACGGATACCTACATAAATCTATATCCACTATGCGGGTGTTACACACTTTCAGCTCCCTTTTCGACAACTTATCAGCTGGGGCGATCTAGCGGTAAATGCCAAAACATTACCCCTGATTCAGAATCAATATGGATATTTACAATTTCCTATGCTGAATTTGTGATCTCTTTGTTAGGGTACAAAAGTAGGTGTATAAGTCGGTGTACGTACCTTGTAAAAATACATCGACAAATGTTTGAATGTTCTTCAGGCTGTTTGGGTATACTCACGTGACAGGATTACCTACAATTATACGATTTCCAAGTTCCAAGGGCGGGGGAAAGCGCTGGAAATCTTGAAAATTGCAAAGAAATCGGATAATTACCGAACCGAATACCGACGCACCTGAGCATCATCGAAAATAATATCTCATTTGTCACTTCGCTTCGAGAAGAGAGCGGGACAGCATTGGCTCAAGAGTCGACACCCAGGCTGCCAGGTAATTCTGACATCTAAATGATAAATGACCAATATGCATACCGCTCATATGTCAGTATATACATACCGCTTGGTGTGCATTGTGGATGTTGAATAGACATCAAATCCACTCATTGAATCCTCTTTCGGTCAATTCCTTGTGGACATTACCATAGTTATTGAATCGCGAAACCGGCATCAGGTTATCGACGTTGACTGAGAAGTGTAGTTGATTGGAACAGGAAGGAAAAGAGATCCTAGATTGGTTTTGAATAAAACATTATCCTGAGGCAATGAGGCTTAAAAGAAGCAATCCTACCTTCAAAGCGATAGCTACACATTGTAAAACTCGCATCTGATTGGTCCGAAAAAGTTTTTTCGCGACACGAGACCCACTAATTCATATTCCTCATTTCCCGGACTCTTGGAGAATCTCAACGGAAAATGAGTAGAGGTAGCTGCACACATTGTTTTTGTGCTATGCAGTACATACCTAGAAACTCAGCCCTTTTTCGGTGATCGTCGGGAACATCCTAGAAGCCGGTGGATATGCTCCTATTGGTTCGTTTGCAAAAAACAAAGGATAATAGATCGCAAGCCGAAGCTGCACCTGGGTACATACGCAGGAAAATGCAGATAACCGGACGAGAGGTAGGGGGAGTGTCTTTCGTGCAGCCGTGTTTCGGGTAGTAGTGATACATAGCGGTGCCAGGTAATAGATGGCTTAGGTGAGTTTAGTTGCTTAGAGCACCTGTACGAAATATGTAGTTGGGAAGATTGGATGGAACATTGGATAGAAGGGAACTTGAAGAACCGAGATCCACCTTGACTGACTACCATCGGACCTAAGTAGGAGCTACTACCTAGAATAATCCAATGAGGGAATTTCTTAGCAAGTGCTCTCGAAATTTGAAAAAGCCCAAAAGGATTATGTGTGAAGCTCCTTCCCTCCGGAACCCGAGGGTGCAACGAGCTTTTATCTTTTCTTGCTCCGCCCTCTTGCCTGTGTGTTGTGTACTACCTGTGAAGCTCCGCCCACGTGTTTTTAGAGGTCTTAAGCATTGGCGACGATGAATTTTTAGTGGGGGTTTACTGGTGGGGGTTGCTTGAATTCCTAATCTTAATTTTAATTCTTTGCTTTTCTTTTGCAGTGTGCTATGTACTACTACAAATATATGCAAGTTTACAGAATCAACTATTGATGTAAGTAAGAAGCAAGCTGAAATATAATGGCATCGAGAAATGGAAGAAAGTATGAATATTGAAACCCAAGTTAGGATGCAACAATCCAAATTCGAATGTTTGTGGGAAAATAACCAGACGGAAGTCATGGATCGTGAAGCTCGCCAAGAAGGTAATGAAAAAAAGCCTCAGAAAAGACTTTTTCATAAAATAAGCTCGGGTTTCTGTTAAGGGAAGACCCGGTATTCCCCGAGTGCGGCGCTTCTTTTTTACCAAACGGTAAAAAAATTATCGTCAGCCTTGTCCTAATTAGGTAGCCTCCACTACGTAGTAAAAATTTCTCAGGAAGCTTTGATCATTTTTGGTTGTAGGGGTCCACTCGTCATCCACATTCCTGTGGGTATCGAATCGTGGCCTATGCTTTTGGGTTTGGGTTCTTACTCTTGTCACTCTTGTCGCTCTACGACGTACTAACCCTAGGATAGTGTACTTTCCATAGAGTACTTCCCACCTTCCCGCACTTCCCAAGGGCCGACGCCGTACCGACTGCCAGGTGATTGAACTGTTCCCCCCAACCCGGCAACCTTAGCAGCTAGTGTAGGTAGCGACCTAGCCGACCTTGTTCCTCTCGATTCTTCCGAAGCTCTCCCTTCTCTTTTCTTCCTTTCCCACACACACCAGTCAGCAAGCTTGATTTTTTTTCCATCACCGACTTTGAGAAGCTCCTCTCATCTTTTCTTTCTCATCTGCCATTTCGTCTTTTCAATCGACACCTCTCCCCTCCATCACACCTACGTCAATCACAATGGCCTCCGCTCGTGTTGTCGCCTCCAGACTTGCCTCGTCCATGGGCACCAAGGTCGCTCGACCTGCCATGCGAGCTCAATTGACCACCGTTGCTGCTAAGCGAACCATGAGTATGTTTCAACCCAACCAACAATTCACTCAATCTTATTCAATTGCCATTGGCAATTGGTATCAACACCAATGCCATCAATTATATTATCGTAGTCCCTTATAACATCAATTAATGCCTCCGACGTAAAATATTTTTTTTGTGCGTGCGCCAGCTGACATGTCCCGACTTCAGGCAGCGCCACCCCCTTCCAAACTGTCAAGCGCCAGCAGGTCTCCAAGATTCTGAGCGCCACCACCCGCAATGCTTTCCAACAGACTCCCCGCCGAGCGTACTCGTCTGAGATCGCCCAGGCCATGGTCGAGGTCTCCAAGAACTTGGGTATGGGTTCCGCTGCCATCGGTCTAACCGGTGCCGGTATTGGTATTGGTCTCGTCTTCGCCGCTCTCCTCAACGGTGTTGCCCGCAACCCCGCCCTCCGAGGACAGCTCTTCTCCTACGCCATTTTGGGTTTCGCCTTCGTTGAGGCCATCGGTCTTTTCGATCTCATGGTTGCCCTCATGGCCAAGTTCGTACGTGTTGATTCCGAAAATCCCGCAAAAATTGGAAGGTCGAAAACTAACCTCGATACCAGACTTAAACAACTTAACCTCCATACTTACGGAGGCTGGGGTTCACACTACGATATGAAACGTGTGAGTGAGCATTTCTGAAGTGTGAAGGAGTGCATAACATCGACATGATCGATGGTGCCATGCCTTTCACCGTGTTCAATAGGAGAACCAGCATTAGAGAGTAATAGAGGTCATTAAGACTCCCGTGGGTAGGAGGGATAAAACCTTTAAGGGGGGAGGCATCGCATTGCATTGACTGACACATGTAAAGATGGGAGAAAAAATTCCGCAAAGCCACACCCTCCGGATGGCATCTGTAAATTAACAAAACACCATCTTCACCAAACCTAAGGCTTCCCAAGGCTTGATCCTCTTTTCCTTTTCCGCGCGAATGATTGAATGGACGGGGAGCTGATGAAGTGAAAATCAAGCTCTTGATTCTGTAAAATAAGCTGAACAGCAACCTAACATAAATTCCACTCACCAATTCAATGTACGGACTGACGTACATGATGTATTATTCCGGAGTATCGTGAATATTCAATTCAGATACGGACGGAATACCAGGGCTCAAGATCACTTGACCACCCCGTGATATGCGCGGTTTTCCCGCCTAGGAAAGTACCCAGGTAACTCACAAGCCACTTTGCTCCTCACCAAGTACTCGTAAGTAACGCCCGCTAGACCAAAGACAGGCAAGACATGGCTATCCTGACTTAACGTTGCACAACTTGTGCAATTTGTGCTTGACTAGGCCCACTTGGCGGTTTCCCATCTTGCTCCGTCTTTGAACAAACCCCCACCACATCTCCATGTCTTGAGTAGGAGCCAATAAGAAGAGACAATTGGAGCGCCCTGTGGGCTCTAGGTGGGCCCAAGGTGGACTCTTGCTGGAGCATAGGGGGAAACGAAGCCAAGTAGCACGCCCGTCCGGTCCGGAGCTGGGGGAGAGGAGCTGGAGGGGCAGCGATAAATAGATCTCATGTAACTAACTTGTTCGGGCAGGTGAGGAGAGGTGAGGTCAGATTGACAGGTTGATAGCCGAGCAGGTTAGACTTAAAAGTCTAGGTTCGATCTCAGTTCGTGTGTAACTGGTCGTTTAGTCCGGCACTAGGGTCACCCCTTGATGGGTCCCAAGTGATAGTATATCATACTAGCTTCCTCCTAGTCTTCTCCCATCCAACGACATCCAACATTCTCTTATTAGTCAACTTTGTCTCTTGGTCTTCCCGTCAGCCCATCAGTTGATGTCGACGATATTCCACGACAACAACGACAACGACAACGACAACAAGAACAACAACGATAACGACGTTATGGCCAAGCACACGTAGCTCCGGCAACGTTCTTAGACAATGTCGTATCGATAGAGGCAATCTTGATAAATAAATCACTATGATCCGCCAGGGAGCGAGGAGGACGAGATTATAGGCGAACCAACGTCCATAAAGGGGTACTGATGAACGGGTGTAGATTCTTCTAACAGGACATTAAGGATGACGAAATTGGGCATCGAAATGATTTGCTTTCGCATAGTACTGCTTTGCTGATGATGGCCTTGTTCGACTCATAGGGATGAAAAGCGAGGTGGGACATAATCGTATTAACCATGGACGAGAACGACGAGGTGGCACATCACCGACGAGCGCGGTCGCCCACGAGGACCTTCATGCCGACTTGGGACGGGGAAAGCTGGAAACAAACGGCCCACAACGGTCCGGTATAAACCTTGGAGATTCAGGGATGCACCAATATGTCCCTATACGATACCGAGGCAGCGACCACAGAGATGCCACAGATGAAGGAGTTGAATGAGAAAGAGGGGATGGGCACTATATTGGCGATAGTATCGACATGCTTCCCGAGTTGCCGCTCCGCATCGGGCCACATTGTTCCAGACCAGCACGTACAGGCGCCAAGCTGCGATATGATAACATGTGAATAGGGCTTTGGTGTGACTAATTCGGTCGCCATACACGTTGACCATCCGCGTTTATCTGTCGATCTACCGCACTCCGAGAGTCGACGCAGACATTAGAGAGATGCTAATTGGAGCCGTTGTCCAAAGTTGCCCCCTAAGTCAATATATGGGATTCTCGATTGAACCGCGCGAAGCCCAATGCCGTTGGCATCCTGATTCCTTGGTCTCTTCTCGTTGCTCAGGCCTTTTTGAATATTGGGGTTCTCGAGGTTCACCGTGCGTTGCTCCAACAAGGGAAATTGATGCTTCGGAGCCAGACCCGTACAACCGAGAGCGTCCAAAGGACCGCTTGATCCCTCATGCTCCTTAAAACTCCCAAAGGGCCACCTGACTTAGATGCCCCCTGAGAAATATCAGTCGGTCGGATTTAAGCTGCAATTCCTTGAAATGTATGCTCGCTCAATATGGACAGAACAATGACGCGTTCCCAAGCCTAAAATAGGCCTCAGGCCCGGAAGAAAATGCCGCGCCTTGAAAAACGAGAGGGGACGGTCGATGGTACTTTGGAGAAAGCCGCGAGCTGTGAGCATATCAATTACTGCTCAAGAAAATGGCTCTGGTCGGATTGGCGATGCCTCGCTCTGGGAGAAGTCCCTCATCTTCTCTCGAGTCGTTCGACGCGAAAAGAAGAGGGACAAGTGAGGAGAAAGCAAGATTCGGGCTGGCATGAGGTTGAAATAAGATTTGAAAGGGGGAAAGGGAAACCTGGCATTCTGGGTGTGTCAAAAGCGCAACAGGCCATGCCGAATTGCCATATGGCGACGAGTTTCCTTGCCTTTTTCCCCTCACAAATCACATGACAACCTTCCCATTTCCTATACGAGACTGATACTACCCCAGATTCTCGTCCCCTGCTCCCCCCAGACTTCGAGGCCACTAACCCCGGGATTTTTGTTACTACCCCACGTTTCTTATTCGCCCGTCGCCCATGCCGCTATGCCTCTTCCATTCATCCTTTCCATGATTGAGCGAGACGTGAGCGGTAAGGGAGTCGTCAGCATTTCAACCGGCGTCTTATTCGGTACCGTTTTTGGAATTGGAGTAGGAAGGAAGACCGGTCAGCAAGAACCCCCTACCTTGCGCATCATCTTTCAATGTTTTAATATTAGGTATCAACGGCCTGTTTTCTGGGGAAAAGTTTGGGAGTTTGGAGCATGGATGTCTTGGTCGAGTGCTATTATTGGTACCTTTTATAGACGTGGAGTCGGTGCTACTAACGATGATCTTGTCATACCTAGGTACCTATGAAGGTCTACACCGGTGAGCTAGTAGATTCAGAAGCTCGTCACTCCCATCCTACGGATATCTTCCAAGGAGTCAGTGCTCACAGTTCACAGTTAAGACATCTCACATAGTTAATTCAGAATCCGATCATGTAGATATGCAAGATCTTCAATTCATCGCTTTGGTTATCCATATTCTAGACCAAGATGTGTGATATTCCTAAAACTAGCTGAGTGCATCACTTGTATCCTCTACCCAGCTTCTCATCGTCCCAAGTTTCTCGGCATCTTGCCTGCCCAGCCTCCTGTCCTGGCCGTATCTCAACGTCTCAATTCCTTGGCTTCTTAAATACGCGACTTCACACTCCCCGTGGTCATGGTCCTGGCTCCCGGCTCGAGTGGTCAATCGCGACACCCTCACATCACAACGCACCATCTCCTCCGATCTACTGGTAATCCAGGTCGTGAGATTGGGGGCAAGGATAAGGGTTTGCTAGTCAGCAATGTCAACAAGCACACTCCCCCAACTCTACACATGGATTCCTCAGACCTTTGATTTGAAACATCCATCATACGTGATCTCGTGTACCTAGGGTAGCGCCCGTGACTGAGTCGTCGCCCTGGATCCAAAGTCTTCCGTTCTCATCCAAACAACCAAGCAGTGTTCATCCCCACCTGGATATCTTGGACGAACTTGACGCTCGTCGAGTCCTCCGTATCATGATGAGTGAGTGTTCCCGTTCACCCTAAGACTTCCACACAGAAAACCGCCGTTCGTTGCTGACGACGCGGAATAAATCGGCCTCTTTTATAGGTCCTGCCGGACGCCCCAGACCGACGGATCGCGTCTGAGCGCCACATCGCTGTCCGGGCCCATGGCTGGAACTCCCGTACGTACAATCCTCGTTGGCGCAGGGGACGACCCACCAATGAGTGGCGGTAATGAGCGTGGTCCGACGAGGATGCCGCCGTGGGGCGGCAGCGATCAGTATGCAGCTTGGATATATGCGTCTCACGGCGACGAAGACGTTAAGCCGGGTTGCTGTTGGACGAGGCGCCGGGGACGGGGGGCGAGAGTTGTCGGTGTGGGTAAGAGACGAGCATGATGGGGAAGAATGGTGAGGGGAGCAAGCCGTGCGGCGTTGGAAGTAACTATTGGGGCCGGCGGCTCCCTGTGAGGCTGGCCGAGTGCCGATACGCCTCCCTGGCTTTGGTGTTGGCTTCTTCGGAGATTAGGTTGGACAAGCCTCCGGGTTCCGGCAGGGCTGTTCGCTTCCCGTGTGCCGTTGGTCGGGGTACCTAACCCGTTGCCATTGTTCATATCCGCCAAGGCACAATCCGAAGTCCACCGTCTACTTAGGAATATGCAGTGATGGAGCCGATGTTGACTTCAGCTGCAACTGCGACAGCGTGATTGTTCCGGTTGTCCTCCAGTTCGAGGTGGGAGTAAACGTTACCAATCCCATGTGCCGAGGGCAGAGACAAGACATCGTAATCATTGCCAGTGTCAACAATCCCCTCTTCTGTTGGTTGATGGTTGGTGATGGTTGCTTGGTTGAGAATCCCTCCGGGACTTCGAGCTCACACCAACGTCGAGGTCGGCGTCGTGATTCGCGGCGAGGCTGATCGGGGGACTATGCACATCGACGTCGAGTCCAAACCTTCGCAAGGTTTTCGGGAGATCGGTTAAGACTTCCAACTCGACCGATTCCTTGGTCCTTGGGTCAATTCCGGACAGAATGTAGGCCGTCACCTGGATGTCACGTTGTTGATGACATTGGCACGCATTCATCCATAGCATCGTAATCGGACGTCTATGTGAGGGTACTCGGCCCATAGGGAAGAAGATAGTGTGCTTAGCAGACTGTGATAAGGACCCAGGTGAAATAATCAGTCCAGTTTGATGATATACAGGAGATGAGTAGTAGTAATGGAGTGGACTCGACGTGTATGCAAATGTAGGTACGGGTCGGATGATACCCGCAGGCGAGTGCTCGGGAGTAGAGCAGACAAGAAAGGGCGGTAGGTATGAGTAGATGCATAAGTAGGGTGTGTGTAAGTATGTATGAGTGCGTTGCTGTTCAAACATGTGTGTGTGGGCAAGTGCAAGTGTAAAGTGACGTCAAAGACAGCGAGAGCTCTCTTTCAACACCGTCTACTCAAGTTAGCAAGCAGAAAGAATGGATTATTGGTGAACATACCATCATGCAGTTGACACAGGCCAGTCATCAGCTAGGGGATGCGTTTGTTGGTGCTGTTAAGGTCTAGACTCGCTAGACATATGATGCATTGTTGTCTGTTTGCCGAAGAAATCTAATATGATCTTAGGATAGGTGTTGAATCCAGTCCATGTCCAGTGAGCCGTTGAGATGAAGGTTGTCATTGTGTGTAATGATTGACGTGTGAATGAGCTTAGGGAGGCTTCGGGGAGGGAAGATAGTCGAGGTCGTGGATCCTGACTCTTACAAAGTCTTCGACCAGTTGTTGGCTGCCTACCTAGGTTCACAAACCATTGGAGATGCTCATTCTCCTCGCTATATGTGAGTAGCTCGTAGAAGGTATGGACAAGTGTAAGCAACGATTCATGGTCAATAAGAGAAGAATGAGAAAGACAGGTTGATATGAAAGCTGAGGTGGAACAACATTGTGATCTCATGTGCCCAAGATGCTAATAAGCATGGAGTTGAGTGAATAGGAAAAGCTCAGGAAGTCTTGGAGATGTGGGAGGGTTCCTGGGGTATTTATATTTTTTCTCGGAGACTTGCTCGTCTAAGAGAGCTTGAATAACTGCGCAATTACGATGTCAAGCTTTTGCTGTCTGGAGTACAAGCTCAAGCGGCAAAGTATAACTAGCTATATGTCGCCGAAGAGTTCAGATGAGTACCTACCTAATAGGTATCATGTTGTATATGAGATGCTCTTGAGCTTGCGGGTAGTACCCAGGTGTACTTGTGTCGGGTATAGAGTCGATTATACAGCTCCAGGCAGCATTTAACTTAGAGGCTCATTCTTGAACTGTATTTCTAGTGACGTCTTTAGTATCTCTACCTACATAGGTACGCAATGTCTAATGTAGAAACCGTATAACATGTTTAGGCATATAGTGTATTTAGTATTGATCTTACGATCCATCCAGTTCACCGACGACAGCAACATACGTCCCAAGATCATTAACTGTCTACTATGATCGCCGTCTTATAGTTACAGATGCTTGGAATACATTCTTTGCCGTTATGAACAAAGGGGGCACATAGGGAAAATTTGCCGTATAAGGTAGGTACCTATAACTGTGAGCCCCTTTTCCATAGGCGCACCTATGACGTTAATTAGACTTAGCATTATTACTAAGAGTATAAATCCGCCAGATATAAACTCATATATGACGTAAAATGGACCTTGATATAGCCGGATAGCCGGATATTCCTTGATACTAGGTAATCACCAGCGAGCGGCGATAGTGATCACTGTGACGGTCGTCATTGCCGTGCTGATGGGAGCTAAGACTGAGGTTTCGGTTAGCGGCAGAGGTTTATTAGGTAGGTGGCTTCTAACAAGACGTGATACCTTATTTATGACGCCATTGCGTTTATATTGCGTTTATTTTATATACAATTTGCGCGCTTCCCCTATTTCCGTTGTCGTCGCTTCTCTTCGTGTCGGTAGGCGTTCTAACAGTCCTATGTCAGAGGCTGAGGTACCCAGTCTGTTAGAAGGACTGGTCGTTGGAAGTCTAATGAGATCAAATCCCAGCAGACATAGGACCTGTTGATAGCTACTAGGCAATCTAAGATAGCATGAGTGAAGCGCATTGACAATGTGTATCTATAAGATGGTAAAAAGAAAGGGGGTTAGAGCTCCTCAGGCAATAATATCGTTAATTTCACATGTGCCAGTTCTCTCACGACAATGTGTGATATTATTCCGGCACTGCTCCCTTATCTAGACATATCTCTAGGTATATATGAATATGTTTGTATTATTGGCGTTTCCACCGTGTTCCTTTTCATATCATCACGTTGTTCACATCGTTGACCTTTTCTTCACCGCTTATCATTCTTTATGTCGTCATTATATTCTTCATTTTGCCCTCCCATCAGGAATCTCTTATGACTATATCAGCATATCTATAGATAACGGTGCTACCCGTAGCTCAAAATCACTCCCCAAGTGCCGAACCAAGTTTCCCAAGCCTCTTTATCTCTAAGTCCTGTTGTTGGACATCTAATCGAAATCGTAGAAAGGAAATGAAAGGTGTGGTCTAGCTCAAGCAATTCCGTGTTTCCAGAATGTCTCCATGTTGGCTTTCGTGTCCTCGTCCACGTACTCGTAATGTGTGCGCAGCGTAACTTTTTCTCCGTGGATCTCAGCAACAGCCCCGCTGATTTTTGGGTCACCGACGAGTTGCGCGACGCCCTTAACAAGTGTGGAATGGGGTGTTACAATCATCTCCTCAAAGAGAGCCTTTGACGGAGAGATGCTAGTTTCTGCGTTTTGAATTAGTTTGGTTCATGATGTTTTGACGGGGGTTACATAATTTAGGGGAGAAATAGGGGGAGGGGAGCGGGAAGAAATGTGGGACCACATACCGAGTACGGCGGGGGCTAAAGAGTTAATCTGGATTTGGACCTTCTCAAGGACCCGGTCAAGGGAGCGAACGAGACCGATTATGCCTGATTTGGAAGCGGCATACACTGGAGCCACTGGGAAGGGGTATAGGCCCGCGTTGGAAGCTGTGCATATGATGCACCCCCGCGATCCCGTCGTGGGATCTGGCTTGTTCTTCTTGATGTAGTGTATGGCAAGTTTGACCGCTATCGCACAAGAATTAGCAAGTGACTCGACTCCAAATTGAAGAAGCACGAAATAATAGGAACTCACTGTAGATTGTGCCTGTTAGATTCACATCTAGAGCTCGCAACCTAGGCTGCGACGGTTCCTCTTCGTCGGCTAGCCCTAGGCTACTGACGCCCTGCTCCGAGATGCCGGCGTTGGCCATGACGACATCGACACGGCCGTTCTTCTCGTACACTTCCCTAAATGCCGTCGCTTGGCTGTCCCAGGATGTGATGTTGCAGAACTTGAAGTCGACTTTGCCCTCGGGATGTTTTTTGGTCAGGTCAGCGGCTACCTGGTGGCCCGCTTGCGTGTTGACGTCGAATATGGTGACGGCGTGCCCTTGCGACGCGAAGTAGTCCACCATGGTGAGACCGAGTCCGCTGGCGCCGCCCGTCACGACGACGCTTAGTCTCTTTGAAAGGCTTCCCATTGTAGTTGGTGTAAGTAAGGGGCAGGTTTAATGTGTAAGTCGAATGTGATTCAGGGGTAGTAAGTTATTGGTAAGTAAGTTAAGAGTGCTCAACTTATTGGAATTGTTTGGTGAAATGCTAACATAGGTAGACTACGTAGTTGGCCTTGAGAATAGAAATATATACGGTTTCTCTAATGCTCAAGCAGTTGTGACCCCTATGGTGCACTATCCTTGCGGTGGTGGCAGCGAGCGAAGGATGCGGGGACATGCCACTGTAGGCTGTGGATCACCTTACTGTAGTCGGCAGTTGTCGACTCACGAGCGTCCAGGTGGATCTCACCTCAGGAGATAGTTCGCCTAGAGCGGCCTCATATTACGAGGCCTGAGACTTTTAGAAGGGAATTTCATTTATTATTCATGCAGTTTGAAATCTCAAAATAATTCCTTGAACTGGAGTGACTTTTCTTACCATTACCTCAATCGGATTGACCGGGCTTCATTGTGGCCGATGCTGGTTCGCATCTCAGGGCAGCCTGCAAGATTTATGGCGACGAAATCATTTGGCCGACGTAAAATATCACATAGGCGCCTATCCAATCAAATAGAAGCGCGCGCAGCCATCGTGCTAAGAAATATTGCTTTTAATTGATAGAAATCTGAAGAGTATTGAAGGTGGGCGATTCATCCAGTGAATCTTGGCCACTTGTCTTGTCAATTTGATCTAGGAACCAACCTAAAAAGGCGCCGAAGGAAAAAAGAACCCCGCCGCGTACCCATGCTTAACCGTCGCAAAACAAGATCATGAATGCATTCGGATTTCGAAATCCCATCCACATTCCGGTACGCTGCAACTATGCTTAGGTATCTTTCTTTGGGACTATATATGCATATCCACTCAGTCAGTCTTGGGAATTGAAGATTGGAATCTAGATTGCTCCTAGCTCTGCATTACGCACCTTGGTTCTTCTCCCATTGCTTCGGCATCCCTCTGTAATGCGAGAGCAACTGTCTGGGCGGCCTCGATTGCTCTGTGGTGGAACCCGAATCGGTATCCTCCGTCTTCTTATTGTCGCCGGTGTCCGCTTTCTTAGTTTCCTCCCCGGAGGTTGACACAACTTTGTCTTGTGATTTCTCGTCGGCCATTTTTAGTTGATTGAATATCGAATATGGACGAGTGAATATTGCAGGTGAATTGAGACGAGGTGCAATTAGGTTTGAAGGTGGCATGTGCAAGTAGAAAGAGAAGAATGCCTGGTAGGATAGGGAGGGGTCTCTAGTCTCTTCAATTAAATCAGATCATCCTGCCTCCCGTCACACCCATTACACCCATAGCAGCTGCCTGGCCAGGCAGTGATCCGTAGCACTAAATAACAAGCACTGAAGGCCCCGTGACGTCACATCATCGACAAGCATTATCCAGGTACGATGTACCTTCCTTTAGCGTTGTAGGTAGTGGTGCGGGAACCGATCTACACTGGGATCTCGGCGAGAATGGAAAAGAATCAACTTGCCATTTCCATACAAACATGTCTTCATCACTTACATAGTTACCTACATTTATCAGCTTCATTAATCAATATTCATCATTTAATACCTACTTGGCAAATGCCTCCATACCTACTTACCTTGCTACCATGATCTACGACGTTACTGATTACTTACCAGCCAAAGCTAATTGAAATGGCGACACACCGGGCAAGGCATGCCCGGGTTCATGATCTCGTCAAGGCTGAGCTTTGTGCCGCAGAGAAAGCACTCGGGGCCGGTCATGCAAGTTCCCATGCCGGCCCTCCTTATAAACACCTTGCTCTCCTTCTTCGTCACCTTTACCCTCTCCCAACCCTTGCCGTTCTGTAGCCAAAACTCGTCTAGCGGGCTCATCTTGACTTGCTTGCTTTTCACGCTCTTCCATCCTGCGCTCGCATCCTTGGGATTTGGCCTGTTTTGGTTTCGTTTTTCGGGATGGGAATGAAATTCAGTAGAGGCGGCCTGTGGCGCGTTAGCAGATTGGGCCGGTAGGAAAGCGGTTGGTAGAGAGAACTTAGTGGGAGGTGGCTGCGGTGCGGGGGCTCTTGGATTGAGTTCTACTTCTGACGGTGATACGAACTCGGGCTGTGTCCATTGCGCATACTCTTCAAAAGTTGGGAGCGTGTTGAACTGCGGTTCCCAGCCGAAGGTGCCTTTTTCAGACCACATGCCCGAGGGATACCCCCCTACGGGATATCCCTCGTATACCTCCTCTATCAGTTCTTCGTAGTAGAAAGGCATGGTGAATAGACTAACGTAGCGAAACAGAGAGCGCGGTATGCTTACCTAATAATTTCCTCCTAATAGAGGTGCAACTTGCAATATCGAGAAAATTCCAATGGTAACTCATTGGAGAAGATCGGCTGGCGCATAAAATACTAAGCGGGAAACAATCTCTTGTTTTGAAGCGTAGTCTTTGTTTACCGACGAATCAAATTCAAAATGATCTTGCGGCAACAAAGGAGGTGAGCAGGCCAGTTGTGACATTGAGTGATTGAACATTAGGATTGTTGATCAACAATAATATGAAGCGCTCGCTTGCCTTCCACCATCTTGAGATACAGCCTTAAGGCCCTGTTAGATTCGGCGTAAAGGTTTTGTAGAACGCAAAAGCCTGCGTATCATTAATATACTTGTACACCTAGGTATGTATAGCATACATGGCCTTACGTAAACTAATAGACCTCAAAGTCTATTTACACCAGATTATACATCATATACACCACAGGTCGCACCAACTTAACTCCCACTACTAAACGCGATAACCGAGCTTGGGAACACATTGACGTTTTGGGAATAATCCGCGAGTTTCGTTGTGTCCCTGTAGACCATGCCCACGGCACCCACGGTATTTAGCCCGTAGATCCAGAACCCCGTGGTGTTGGCGGCGTCGTACTGCACGATGCCTGTCTGACAAAGCGAGCTCGCGCCCTTGGCGGAACAGGACGTACTGAAGTTGTTAAAAAATGAGTACAGTCTACGGCGAGTTAGTAAATAGAAGTATATGGTGAAAATGCAAGAAGCCTCATGCTGTAGAGACTGAGGGGAACTCACCCAGCGCCGTAAACAAGCACGCTCTTGCTCCCACTAACCCTTAACCCCCACGCTTCAGCGCACGTACTCGGCGACGAGCTCTGCGGGCACAAGATATCGAAGTTCGGGTCGTCGATGGTCGTATTCAACGGGAACGGCTGCCGCGCTCCCGGATTAGGTTGATGGTACGGGGTCTCCGTCTGTATTTGACCGGCGAAGATATTCTGCGTCTTGCTGAACTGGTACTGGTATCGGACGTGGTGTTCGACGCTGGTCCCGACAAGCCAGAGGGTCCCTACCGTCGATTCGACTAGTAGACCGCGACCGGCATACACCTTAATCTGCGTCAGGGATGCATCGTCGACGTCGTGATCCGCCACCCACAGCCACACGTTCTCTAGGTACAAGCGCGCGGCAGATTTGGACACGTGCATCGAGATGTAGCCCGCGATACAGTTGCTATTAACGGTCGTAGATGACGGCGTGGACGGGCAATTGGCTAGCGATAGATTAGACCCCTTGGTCCCACCGATTCGCGTGTGGACATCCCACATCCCGCTCGGCGAGCCGGCTGGCGACGCTAGGTTCCACCTAATAAGGATCGCGCCAGCTTGGGCGCCTTGTGTCGAAACAATCATATCGCTCCACTCGACCGTCCCAGAATCGCCGGCATTGCCGATCTGCACGACGACTTGTGGCGTGTTGATGTTGTTGAAGAATGACCCGCTGGACATGATTACGGGGTACCCCTCCCCGACGATCTTGCTGCCGGCCGGGACAAGCAAGGTTTTAGTTACCTTGTACGTTCCGGCGTCGAAATAGACAACTCGACCGGCGCTGGCTGCCGCGGTTATGACTTTCTGAAGGGCGGCGGTGTCGTCGGTCGTGCCATCACCTTTGGCGCCGCCGGTTCGCACGGATGAGAACGACGAAGCGGCGAGGCTGGCGTAGGACGGTTTCGACCGCTCGTAGTATTTGCCGCTGCTGACAAGCACAGCTGGGCGTGTAGGCGGCGTGATCGCACCGGCGGTGGTCTTAGGCCCGGTAGGGTTGTACACGTTCCCGCTTACCCAGCTTGCGATGGTTGTCGACCCCGTAGTTCCGGCTAGCAGCGTGCTTTTAGTTGGCCCATATTGGATGGCGGTTGGCACGTTCTTGAGAGAGACGTTTTCGATGGCTAGACTGCCTCCTGTTGCCGGTGTAGACGTAGAGGACCGTGAGATGTTAAATGCGATTTTGGTGTTTGTGAACGAACTGTCGAAAAAAGTAACAGACCCAACTGTTTCTCCAGTTGAATCACGGGTGGCCATGTCTAGACCGACTGTGCAGTTGCCTATCGCGTGTTAGTACGAGACGCGGAATTAATTGAATAACTTTTGGCCATGTCCTTCTAAAGAGTAGATAATGTCCAAACACAAGGTGAGGGGACTCGTAAACACTTACTGTCCTTTCGTTAGCCTTTATCGAGCTTGAAATGGAGATTTAGGAGTAAAGTGATTTGCACGTACCTCACGGATATGCTCTTGTAAGTCCAGCCCCAATCCCAAATCTGGGATATAGCAGTGACTGCATTGCTAAAAGTGAGATTGCGGACGGTAAACTGCTGGTTTCCAAATACGGCTCCGTACAGACCACCATCGAAGACAAGGTCGTTCAAGATACCCCCAGAACCCGATTCGATGAAGACTCCTTGATGTTGAGTACCGGAGTTGGAAGACATCTTGAATACGATATTCTGCAAACTCGTCGCCTGAGCTGTGGGCCAATGGATACCGGTCGCTGAAGTTGCTGCCGGAATGGCCGTTAGGTCAATGACGAAGTTTCGAACCTGACGCCAGAAGATGTTGGTTGATCCATAGGGTAAGACGCCTCCTGATTGATACTGCGCACCATCTATGACACTGAATCCCGAGAAACTGGATGTTGCTTTAAGGATAGGCAAACTATTCGGATTGCCAATAAGGTTGGTTGCGTAGTAGCTGATGATAGAGGAAGAAACTACATAGGTTCCAGCAGGAAAGTAAACGACAGCATTGGTCGTGCTAGACGAGGAGCAAGATCCCGGCGCGCATCTGTTGCCATCGCTAATTGCTTTATTGATGGCAGCTGTATCGTCGGTCTTCCCGTCTCTGTTCTAGTCGTAAGTAGGTAAATTTCGCAAGAAGGTAAGTTATTCATACCCTTTCGCGCCGTAGTCCTTCACATTGCGGTAGACTTTATAAGTCGAAGCATTGGCATTGAAGGCCGATATGCCCTGATGCGATATCGTCTCATACCAGTAGCTACTAGATGTCTGTCGCTCTCCAATCTTCCTCTCCTCGGGTCTAGGGCTCGCGGAAATAGTCTCACCAGCTATCGCCGAAGCATAATTACCTGTATACCCGCTGAATTGTGCTAGTTGAGCATTCACCGCATCTTGCACCTCTCGGATGACTAGCCTTTCTCCTAATACAGTCGGCAAAAATAGAGCAACTGCTAGGAAACGCATAGTGAATTAAATCACGCCGTTGAATACTAAAAGCCAAAGGGCTCATGAAAGTTTCAACGGCGGGAGCGGGTTCAACCTAGATAATGTAGGGCGCAACATGCCATGATATAGATAGCCAGCCATTTAGCTCGTGACAGCACAGTGACCACATCGTACATATCGCACGAGTCATCATCAATAGCTTGGATAGCTTCGGGAACGAGAACGATCGAGGACAAGGAACGTTCGGTTAGTAAGGCTGGAATGTATCGTGCTTGCCAATGTGAATGCTGGAAAGGTTAGATTTCACTTCAGCTGAGACTGAGTTGATGATATTGATCTTAAAGGAGTTAGGTGTTTTAAATAGCGGCTTTAGATCAAGATTAGGTTGTGGGTTAGGCGTTGACCTTATTTAGAGCTGGGAGACTTAAGGGCACTAAGATGGGTCTGGACTCTTAAAAGCTGAAGCGTCCTTGGAATTGGACAATCTCGATTTGAATGTTTTCTCTCTCCCCAGTTTCTCTTGTTGGGGCTAACTCATACCTATACCTAAGCGTGGAGGAATTTGATAATAGGTATGGTCTTTCTACAACGCGATAGTAAGCCTCGGCATCTTGCCAAGTAGCTTTTGGAAGCTCTTTCATTCGACTCATTAACTCAGCGATCGCGTTCTTTCTTGAATGTGAGATTACGATACGAGGGGTTCGTAGAGGGGTGCTCCTTGCGCCATCTCAAGACTCCAATGGTGAATGGTCTTCCCATTTCTTATTCTTTTCATAAATAAACTCAAGCGAGACCAATTCATTTCCACAAGATGAATTCAAAAGTAATGTATGTGTGTAAGAAGCAAGATTAATTGGAGGAAGGGATACGAGACACAAAAGTCAAAAGCAGTAGGTAAGGAAGGACAGAGACCAGGGTGAGAGTACCGGGAGATCTTCGGTGAGTCAACTCTTGGAGTCGTGTCTTATGGGATAGGCTAATAACTCCTTTATTCAGTAATGTCGCATTAATCACATATCCAATGCACATATGGTGGAATAAAGTGCATATTATATGGATATGCCTATAATACATCTTACTTATAATAGAACACTGAGTTGCATCCTTCTCTTCTCTTCGGGATGACAGCCTCGCCCCGCGTCGTACATCCGTTCGTGTCTCATTCCTTTGGTAGGTCATATGTGAAGATAGGTAGTAAGTAACTGGAATCGTGGGATCGCACACCTTGCCTTGATCTGTCCGGCAACTATATCTATCAACTCCGCAATCAATTAGGTGAAGTCCGATGGCTATCATGAAATCCCTCTTAACACGACTCTACCACCCGGAAAATGCGCAGAAACTGCCAAGCGCCGCAAGGTCCGAAAGCGCCGAACTTGACATAGTCAGTCGGCTTCCCTTCGAGTTACACATCTTTATTCTCGCTCAACTGGAACCAAAGGATATAGACGCTGGTCTTAGTGTCTGTCGTCAATGGCGCGCCATTTGGTTGAGCGATGAAATATGGCCTAAACTCGCCCAACGATGGTTTCCGGGTCTAGAGGACCACATACATAAATCCGCTGCCGAAGGTCAAAACTTAAATGAATTATTTCGCCAGGCTCTTCACAAAATCCAAAGACGGATGAGTGGTAGATTCGCTTCTGCTCTGCACCATGAGATGGGTTTGGAAGCGGACCAGCTTTTTACCTTAAGCAAAGATGTTCCGCTTATGGAGGGAGGTGTTCATTCTTACGAAGATGTCGATGGACTGGAATTTGGTACTGACGCTACTCACTACCCGCGTTTCATGATGTACGATAACGGCAGAATAGCCTGGTGGCCAGAGGCGTACGTTCTTCCTTATTTTGCTGTTGTCGACGATCTGCGGACAAGGAAGCGGAGGGCATACCTATTTCCCGACAATAATGGAGAGAAACAGGGTTACAAGACTGCGATGAGCGACAAGCTGCTTCTTATGGGGCGTGGGAAGACCTTGAATGCCTGGCATCTTGAACTGAATCGTCTGCACACCGCCCAAGTCCCGGACGAGTTCGTTCGCTGCATCACCGAAGGAGAGAAAATCCTTGTTCTTACAAGAAATGCAGAGGTCTTTTTATGGCGTTTCGGTCAAGAACCGCAGTACATCGACATAACTAGTAGTTGTTATGAGAAGGGGCCGGTCGGAACGGCTCACCCTTACAACTTCGTTCTGGGACAATTCACCCCTTCCCACAACACAGGTTCGCGTCTCGTTCGAAGCGGGACCTTGCTGGATTTCATCATTTCCCCGACAGAAGATGATGTTTTCTTCATTATCACGTACGATCCCGCCCCGCTGAAAGAACTACGAGTGAATGAAATCCACGGCGGCCAACTTATTGCTACTTATCGCCTAGATAGAAGCAAGTGGGCTGATGTAATCGTGGATCCCGGGGATTTTTCGAATCTACGCTGGGAGAAAGTCGATTCCTTTGGTGGTTATTGCTTGATGAATGCCGCATCGGAGACTCCGGACACGACTCGGGAATCTACGTGTCCCCCCAACAGTAGCATTCTTGTATCCGTCTGCTTCAATATCTACACCAAATCATTCACGATACCCCATTATCATCGCATACACTCTCACACCCACGGAAGTGTTTATCAAATTAGGAATAACCGAATAGCCGCAAGCGACACGGATAGTTCGCGGGGAACAGTCCTGTCACTTCACCCCTGCGCCCGTGGCGCATATCCCTACGAAAAATACGGACCCACCCCCTTTTATTCAACGACGAACGGTAGATCGGGGTCAAGTGGTCCTTTACGTCGGCAGCGAATGCCCTCCGATGCGGATGAATGGGATGCGGATTTTGTGCTTGATTTTAACGGCCCTCTTAAAACGAGCTCTGCAGACATTACCAGCATATACCCTCCTCTAATCCGCGGTGTTAGAAGATTGGTGGGCGACGACGATTTCCTACTCTTAGTCGTTCGGCAAACATACATCGTTTGGAGCTTCGGTGGTGAGATACCTGAGAATACTTGCGATGGTAGGCGAAGCCTATGGCGAAAATTGATACGCTGAGCATTTCATCCTTGTAAGAAGGTGTTCTATCTATGTGTGTCGTAAGCAGTGTTGAATGCACCCCCTGTATTATAGAGCATGGTACATCGTTTTTAATCACGAGTTCCAAGGTTTCCTGATAAAGCTGTAACTTTACTCCTTGAATTTGAAAATACATAATATCTTGCGTACATGCTGAACTGATGTTGATAGATATCATAGAACGAAGGTCTCCAAAGGAAGAACTTTTACACAAAGGAAAAATCCGAAACTCCTCGCGCAACAACGGTAGTCCTCTACGATAACTAGAACTACAAGAACGAATGAATTCGACATAAACCGGTCGATAAGTAATAGATCCTCGGGTCCGTCTCCATCATTTCTTTTCCTTGATCTTACAACAACCCCTCACTTAAGATCTACACAGCTGTGTTTTTGGACTTAGCCGGCTTTCCTGTCCAAGATTGGCTCAAGGAGTGTTTGGAATAACTGAGGTACCAAAATAGTTGTATTAGTCTCACTATCTACCAGTCGCTCTGGGAATAGGGGTTATGCTTACCCAAGCCTCTAGGTCTTTCTCGTTATCACTGAGCTCGCGAAACTTAGAGTCAAGTTGTTCTACGAGTTTATGTTAGTGCTCGGATGTTGCTTGTGTGGTAGGTTCAACTTACGTGAGGTAATGTATACATTCTCAAGATTCTGGTCCTTTAGCTTCTGTAAGAAGTCTTTGGAATTCGGGTCGCTGCCGATCTGGCTGATCTGAAAGACAACAGAGCGAAGCGGAAGATCCATTGCAACTAAGTAGTCCTGACATTTCATGATCTCGTCCTGGAGTGTATTGAGCTTCTCTTGCGATGCTCTTCCTCCGTATGGGACTCCGTCGGTGATGATTGAGATAAGAATTGGTCGCCTCATATTCTTCACCTCGTCGTTATACTGGGAATATAATAAGGGGTTGAGAATGCGCTCGCGGAGACGGGTACCGATCTCAGTGTATCCAGATGGCTTCACCTGAGCCATGATATCTTTGATAGAATCTGCGCTCAGGTCATTAGTGTGAGGCGGTTCACTGTTTATAAACCGCAAGTGGACACCAAGTTCATCAGGCACGATCTTAGTGCAAATTGCTGCGATTCTCCCGACTAATTGGCGCTGATCTTCCATACGGTCTTCTCCCTGAGGGTTGTTTCTGGGGTTCATCGACCCGCTGTCGTCTGGGGGTATTATCAGCGGACATGATTCAGACATAGTATCGGGGGTATGGAAAGGGGAAGGGGTACGTACCACAATAAATAACAGGCTGGTAAAGTGCGAATTTTACAAGATTCTCAGTGTTTTCTGGTTGGCCCAAGACCGTAGTCTCATCGTTTTGTAAATCCACGGCCTTCGATGTAATATCCTCTAGCAATTGTTCGTTACCCTTGCTGAAGAATTTTCCTAACCCGTGGTTTTCCACGAAGTCGCCGATGCTCTTTTGGAATTCTTCTTTCGTTTTGGGCTGTGGTATTTCCTAGAGGGAAAATTAGATAAGTGATGATGAAAAAAAAAAAAAAAAAAAAAAAAAAAGGAAAGGGGTGTAGGAGCTCAGGGGCTTCTGTGCGAACGTACAGCTTCGATCTTCTTGGCCATGGCGCTAGTCCTGTTGCCGCTGATCTGGAACTTGTTGAAGACACTGTTGGCAACCCCCATCAGGGCACTGCTGTTAAGCCATGATAAGATGAAGAGGATGAGTGCCGTGATGAGGCTAACGATAAAGTCGCGGAAGCTATTATTTCTTCGCTCGCTGATCCTCATGGCATCATCAATCTCCGGATAGTCAAGCTGAATTGCTAGCTCCAAGGCCTTCTCTGTTGTGCCTTCGTGTTGTACCAGGAGTTGAATCACCCCTGGCTCCTTTCCTTGTCCGAGCTCATTCTCAAGGGGAGTGGACCCATTGTGGAGGTTAGGGCAGGAATATTTGGCGTCAGCTCCATGTTTCAACAAAATACTGACTATCTCTACCCGGTTATCACCCTGATCTTGAGAAGTCACGATCCATAAAGGGGTACGCAGGTAAGACGAGAAAGCATCCACTTCGGCACCATTGTCAAGGAGAAGCTTGACAATATCGGCATGACCATTTCGCGCAGCTAGTGCAAGAGGGGTCAAACCAATGGTGCCGTTTCCTTTCTCTGTGCTGCGCTCGTCGATCTTTTGAGTAATGAGGTAGTTGTCTAACGCCGTTTTTGTGAGGGCGCCAGTCGCGGCATCATTGTGAAGCGTCATTTTGAATGTATCAGCTAAGAATTACCTTGAAGGGAATCTGATAATGGAAGTCTAATTTGGCCTCTAAAGCTATCATGACCTTGGATTCCTATGTCTACCTTCAGTATAAATACTTGCTCATATGCTCACGATAGTTTTTGAGCCGCATCTCGCCGACCAAGTTGTGTGATCCCTCCATCCGATTCTCCGTGTTGTCCTCCAAGATTTCCCGAGCCTGATCCCCTAAGACGTATCCATGGCATAGAATCCTTGGTCGGGCAGGAAATGAGCCTCTATCCTAGCGCTGGCATTCAAGACGGCTATGTGAGTCAACACATCATCCCATATAGACCATAGAGGGCCGAGGTGAATCAACGATGCAACCCATACACTCCTACTAGTCGTCGATCTCGGTGTAGCAGGGTGGGATGTATGAGGCGACGACGACTCTGATAGAAGAAAACCGAGATGCTTTCTTTCATTGGGTGCACACGTGGCTGCGATTTTCCGCAGCTTGGGGTACTTACAGGTGTGATGTCGCATCGAGCCAAACTGAAGATGCAAGTGTTTTTGATCTTGCGCGCAGAATTTTGGTTTGTTAGGATTTAAGCTGAACTTACGATTTGACCAAAATGGGGCATGTTGCGCCTGATAAGCGACATGATGCCCGACGATGTCCACGTAGTCAGTGCCAGCTTTTGACACTTTAGCTACTATAGGCTAACCTCAAACTAACTGACTTTTGTTGCGGATCGTCACGATGATTGTATCTGACTAGTGGCTCTCGTCATTACATTAACACCTAATCGTGCCCGAGCTGTCCTGGAGAGCACTCTGATGAGATGCGTCTTATGACGTGTGTAAGATCTACGTTACATGCGCTACGCTTTTCAGCTTCAGCATATATCTTGCCTAAAAGGGGAATAGCAGTGGAGATATCTGGCCACTTACTACACCAATTAATAAATCTAGTGCGAGTAGATACACCCCCACGCAGAGCCTCAAATTTTCTAGTGTGGCGATGTTTCCCTTCGAAATTTCTGAAGCTAGAATTGAGGCATGGGTGCTTTGGCTATAAAGAGACGCGGTTGGGAGCCATTGGAGGCAAGTAAATACGTCTACAAATTCAAAATTCCTATTATTTTTCCAATCATGAGCGTCCAAGATCTTGCCCGTTCTCTTGTTGCTGTTGGCTCGACCAAAGTCTCAGATGATGGGGATGATGGCATCTACACCCTTAGTGTCAGGGACGGTTACCTTGTCGAGAAGCACTGGCTGGGTGACACGATCCAGAACGAGAACGTAATTGCTTCAGATGCAAATGATAATGCCACGGCTTCGTACCTGCTTACCATGGAAACTGTGAGTTAAGCGGCATTCCCACAAGAAACTATTGGCATTTAGTACTTATATTAATGCAACACCCATTTTCCACCAACAGCGTCTCGTTATTTTCATTGATCAAGACCATGCTATTCGATGCTATAGTTACGATGATGACATCGAAGAGTGGGAAGAAGTGCCCCTTGCAAGCGTGCGGGGCATCGAAACGAGCCCTGACAGCAAAGTGAGCGCGATCGTTGGTCTGGACGGTGGTCTCGCGATCTCTTATCAAGATGCGAACGGTTGCCTTGCCGTCATAATAAACGCGGGTGGAGAAGAATGGAAAACATTTCGCCACCTCCAGGGGAAGCCCATGTTGGGCACGCCCCAGGTCCTCGAAGTTATAGATGACACGATGTATCTTTTCTACGTTGAGAGAGACGTTGGAATTAGTTACTTGGCTTTTGACCCACATGCAGGAGCATGGCAAGGTGAGATCCCAGGCTATCATCTTGGTTTTCTATAATCAGGACTTGTTGCTAACTTAAGCGGCACTTGCCTTACAACACTCAGCCAATTCCGTCCCCAACACCAAGTTCGATACCATTATCGACAATTTCATCGTTGTTAAAGATTTCGATACTGGAAATTTCCAAAGCTATATCCTAACTGGGGGATCCTTGTGGAGCGTAAATGGGGAAGAGAAGACCTTTCTAGGCAACGTGGGGACCAATGGCAAGTTGATCCCTTCGGATAATGCCCAGGCCGGGTTCAGTGTCAAGTGGCGAGGGGCTCGTAAGGTGAGGGTATCTAGGAGGAAGATTACAATCTGGTATTGATATCGTTGGCGAAGAGATCAAGGTTCACCGTCTCCGTAGTAATAGGGATCTTGTGTCATTAGCATGATGAAATAGTGTTCAGAATTGGGTATAGTGTATTTCGTAGCTTTTACCAAGGAAAGTTCCATGTTAGATACTTCGCAGGCGGCATAGGCTTTTTACACTCCAGAGGCGTGTGTGGAATTATGCAAGTTGTACTATTATCGGATAGCTACCTACACGTCACAACATAGCTTCAGGTAGAATTAGGCCCCCTTTCTCCAAGCCTAAAACCTATGTTCTTTCACAATTCATCCGTTTTAATCTTCACTCTACATACTCAATTTCTTCTTTATCAAATTCTTAAAATAATTGTTCTGAAATTTCATATAAAAAAATTAAAAGAATAAAGTTGTGATGATGGGCAACAACCTTGAGGATTTTGATACTTTTAACCTGAAAACCTTCAAACTCCCCGCAAAATTCAATCATTCTACGCAAAGGAATGATGAACATTTTAACGATGAGCAATTTCGAATGGACCTATCCACACCCCCACGCCGGTGGGAGAACTGGGTGGTGAAGCTAATATTTGACAAGTTAGGAAGTGAGTAGAACAAAATTTATTGTATGGGATGAGAGATAAACTGACACATTGCTTTCGCCTACACTCATAAAGAAGAAAAGCACGGCAACGGTTTCTATGTTAACGTTCCCAACTCCAACTTTGACGTTATTCTGACGGCTGGACATAATCTCGTCGACAAGCCGGAGCATTATTGCTCCAATATTAGGATCATTCATGACCCTCACACCAAACAAGATATCCCGGTGACGCCTGATATGATTCGTGTCTGCCAGAATTATTTCCAAGAGCCTAGTGAACTCAACGCCATATTCGACTATGGAGTCATCTTATTGAAGAGGGGGAAACAGGACCGTCATCGTGGATTCGGTTTCAATATTATGCTAGGGCTTGCACCACTGCCGAGAGAGAAGATGTCTTCTGAAGACGAGAAAAAAGACATACTTCAGGATAGTTTAGTATATGTCAGTGGCTATATGCCAGGAGATTCCCCTCCCGATAATCCCAGGAGGTCGGAAGGTAGATGTATTGGGGCGAAGCCCAACCAGTTACGATACACAGCCGATGCTATGCAAGGTATGAGTGGCGGTCCTGTATGGATGGGATTTCGCGGTGTCGAGACAGCAGTAGCGATCCAGTGAGTCCATTGCTCTCTTTTTCTTCTAGTCTAAAGATATCACAAAATTCGATTGAGGCTAACAACTTTCTCAAGCAACTATGGCCCAGAAAGAAAGGGCCAAGGAAATAGGGGATCAAGATTGAACTTCAGCGTTTGGCGTACCATCTTTAAATGGGTCAATGTTGGCTGGCGTGATAAATCACTTCATTACAGGGGTTCTTCCACCTATATCATGCACCTTCACCTACCACGAGACTCTATCTTCAGAAACGCCGCTTCTAACGAGGGTCGGGTCCGTGTAGGCAAGCCTGGTCGTATAGAAACATTATTCGATGTCCTACCTGTATCAGCTAGACCAGAGGCGAAAGAATTGAATGCTGGCTATGGCTTTTCCCTGCGAACTCCTTTATGCCCTAACAATGGTTCTACGAAGACGAAGACTGCTACATCACCTCTTGTCTGGGTGAGATGGGATCCGGCGAAGGGAATGAAGGGCAGGGTTTCGCTCACGAAGCGCTTTGATGATCGGTGCGAGGTTAAAATTCCAACGTTGATTGCTCAACCGGGAAGGCCATTTTCGATACAAGCACAAGACGAGGATAGCTGGAAAGAAGTGCGCATGAAAATGGAACATGTCGGGGAGGAAGTCTTAGAGCTTCTAGATGACGACCCACAGAGTTCCCACGACACGTCAGAGATATCATTCATCCCACTTACGAAGGACAAGGTGAGTGATCTGTTATCCCTTTTCTCATTATCCCACTCAATTCAGGGTTTCTATCCTAGAAATTTCCCATGTTGATATACCTTGATAGCTATTTGAATTCAAGTAGGAAGAGACTGGTAGTTCTGATCTATGATATGCATTTGCAGCAGGCGGGCCATCATAACCTGTTCCTACAGAACGATTTAGGTGAACTAAGACAATTTGTTTACTATTAGCAAGGGTATAATTAAGATATTAATACACCAGTTATTCTGCTGCTTAGAAATATAGCAGGGAAACCCTTGCTTCTCACTTCACATAGCTTCTCAATCCGGCAGAAAACTCATCAACTCTGCAGATAATTGGAGGTGGATTTGTGACTAATCACATAGATCGGGGTGATCGGCGAGACGAAAGCAGTTAGGTACCAGCTTATTACACAGATTTCCGCGGCCCAATAGTACATTAACAGCCAACTCGCCAGACGTCGCAACCTCCTCATTATCACCATACCTTAGAACTTTATTACAACAATCAAACGCTCAGAAACGATGTCTGCAACGAAACCCTTCAACCCGTTTTATTCAGAGAGGCTTATATACCGCGCTGTTGAAGATACAATCTGGGATGGGGAGTTTGTAAATCGCATCCAGAAGGATGCAGAGGCGCAATCCGGTTCTTCCTACAGACTCTTGACCCCCGAAAGTATGAAGATGAGCAAGGAGTTCAAACAGCATATAGCCGAAAAATGTCTTCTCGGGGCCATTATCTGCCTGCCTGATACCACGGACGTTAAAAATCCACCTTCTAGTGGAATAGCTGGAGAAGCAGTCGGTATTATATGTCTTAAATCGAACCCGCCGCATCTTGCGCACCACAGGTGGTCGGATATCAGCATCGATATTGCGAAGGCACATAGAGGAAAGGGATATGGTGGCGAAGCAATCATGTGGGCGCTATGGTACGGTTTCGCGATGGCGGGGTTGCATCGCATCCAGATTGGAGCCTTCTCGTTTAACGACGGTGCCGTAAGGTTATACAAGAAACTAGGGTTCACGGAAGAAGGGAGACAACGCGACTACATGTGGTTCAACGGTGGCTGGCAAGACTACGTCTTGTTCAGCATGTTAGAAGATGAATGGCGAGAGAAACAGAAGAAAACCGAAAAGGAGGCGTGAATGCTGCTGGAGGTGGGGTCATACCTAAACGAAGATTTGGAGGGCGTATTAGATGGCTATAAAACAGCCACTTGCGACATAGAAGAGGTAGAATTATAATAACTAGGTACCTTGATACACAAATCTATATCTCTGTGATAGGTTCAGGAAATGTATTGATGGCGCTACACATGCGTCCGTCCTCGCTAATAGTGTATGCTTCACTCCCCACACCTACTGTGGCGTATAGCAGACTAGCGGGATCATATTTCGCCTTGATTCTCAATAACTCTGGGTAGTTCACCCCGAAGAAGGTCTCTTGCCAATCTCTCTGTTGGAAGTCTGCTTCGTTCATATAAGCTCCCGCACCTGGGGTAGCCGCTTCGATAACAGGCTGTACGTCGTTGGTTATGTTGAGTTGCGTCTCAACGTTCTGCTCAAATGGAACTTGGAAACTCCACGGGAGAGTCAGTGACGCATGCACAATCGTATCACGCCATTTAGGTAGTACCGCATTGACTTTGCTCTGTCCAAATTGAGAGACGTTGAGACCTACGCCGATGTAAGTCACTCCCATCTCTGCAATCTTGCGCGCGGTCGACGAAAAATTAGGAAGAACCGAGCGAGGTATCAGACGACCTCCGAAGAGCGTGGTGCCGACTTGTATGTTGCCGTCTGGGAGGGGGCCCCAGTAGTTATTATAATGATCATAGTAGCTTGGAAATTCCGTGTAATTAGGTTTCAATGAGACCCCTATAGCCGAGAGGGATTCGGAAAGAGGCCCAAGAATCTGCTCAACTTCTTCTAAGGATTTATTATAGGCGGTCATGGCCGGAACCTGTAGAAATGTATTGGTGAAGTAGTAGATAATCATTACACCGGAGTCGACGATCTTAGGTAGAGCGGCATGGAAAGCATCTATCGCTTCGAAGATGTGGTTTGGATCCTCATCCGAACCGCTGATTTGGAATGATGCGCCGCTTACCATGGTATCTGGGTGCGTTTGGACAGTCATCGAGATGACAACACCGTAGTTGCCCCCACCCCCTCCGCTAAGTGCCCAGTAGAGGTCCTGGTTTTCTGTTCGCGATGCGGTCAATATCTGTCCGGTAGGTGTAACAACTTCAAACGAGAGCGTGTTATCAGCGGCTAAGCCAAAATTAGAGCTCAATGCTGAATGGCCTCCGCCTTGGGTGTACCCCCCTGCGATCCCGACGGTAGGGCATTCGCCTGTTAGCACAACGAGTCCAGCTGCATGCGCTGCCGCAAGAGCTTCGTATCCTAGGACTCCGGCTTCAACCCTCAAAGCCTTGCCCTTATAGTAAGAATCCTCCCAGTCTAAAACTTGCGTGCTCTTCAAGTGATGAAGCCAAACCGAAAGCGCGCCGGCTCCTGTAGATCTACCCAAGTAGTCATGACCAGTGTTGCGGATGACAAATCGGATATTCTTCTCCTCGGCGAATTTGAGAGCAGCAACAACATCATCTGGCCCGGACACGTTGACAGCGTAGCTGACATAGTTGCCAAGAGTGCATGGTCGGCTTCGTGGTTGCCAAGGGTCGCAGCTCTGATTGGCGAATAGGGGTGCCATCATAGATGAAGATGACTCTAAACTAAATCAAGGTAAACATAAAATATCATTGAAAAACGAGGAGTTACTCACTGGATACCAGAATAGAGCCATTGATTCTGCAGAGAAACGCACAGCTCTCCATCGTATGTAGGATCGTGACACGGTGATCCTAGGGGGACGGTAGCAATCAATCGGCCGCCGACCGTGCTATTTAGCGTAGCCCATTCATCATGAGAAGGCCAATTGGCGTCGCCGGGCAGGTATTTGCATTTCGTGGGCTGTGATTTTCATCAGTCTGAGCTGCCTATCCCCGTCGTTCATACGCGTAAACTCACACTACTTGCCCCCACCACAGCGACGCGGATTAGCAAGGCGATAGTTAGGCGTTTTTTACCGCAAATCATTTTTTATAGAATTTCTCAACATAGAGAAGTAGAGATATTTAAATACAGGAAATAGAGGTTTCCCCTTTCGTATATCCTCGCCTACCGAAAACCACGCTGCCATACCGCGTTCATGAACGCTGTTTATATAGGTATCTTACCGAGAGGGGTGGACGATGACTGGACTGTGCGCCGCCATGCTGGGCAACCCCTGTTCTTACCGCCTGTACTCAAGTTAGGGAGATCCTATCTGCGGGTTCATCCCAGTACTATCCCAAAAATGGTGTCGCGCGCAGGAAAATCAAGTCAGCTAATTGGGTATCCATCTTCCTAGAACCCGTCCTGAGTACAGCAGGTTAATATATGGATAGATACCTAACTAATCGGAGTCCCCACTTCCCTCCGCGACCTCAAAGCTCTCGGGAGCGAGACTTCTTCGGTCCGGACCCCTTTGTGTTGACCGTGTTCGCATGCGAGAATCCGCATCTGGCCGGAAGAGTCCTGGGCATCCGCCTTGACTAATCCGACTCCCCGTTACTGTTCCATGCATTACTTTCTTCAATGACACTGGGATATGAGCTTATTAGTAAGGATATTCGCTCGGAGATTAGAATATAAGGTAATCCTTCAACCGAGATGAATGCTATACGATATACGAGCCATGCATGCGTAGGTATCCATACTCTTTCTTTTTCAAACATCTCCCTGAGAGGCAGCAATGCTAGGGAGGATTCTCCCTTACTAACCTTAGTGTACTGGCTGGCCATAGCTGAAATTGGGTGGTTAGGAGGTCACCTACTAGGTGTTGCCATTCCTCAGCGCCAATTTCTGTTAACTAGGTACCTATCTACCTACCTGTCGCCATGATTTAAAGCTCCAAGGGACGTGTAATGGTGATATGATGACATAAAAGAAGGTGAACAAATGATTATGCGTAGTAAGTGGATAATAGGACACAGTCCCTGCTGACTAAGTAATGCTCTTAACGGACCCCTTAATCCGGGGCCTTGATTTACTACCGCACGTAGGTGTGTATCAGTCCTGTATAAGTATCTAATATGAATTTCATGCTAATACTATTTATAACCCTAGGTAGATGTATAATTTCCCGTTGCGTTATACTCTAGGTAGTTATTGTACCTGACTATCAGCTTTTCCGAACCACGAAGACTTCAGTAAGTCTGTGCCACCTCATAACTGTCCACCGGCTCTGCCCCCCCCAATGTTTCGCGTGAGGATACCCGCAGCAATGAGAGATAAGGCCACAATGATCTCCTCTATAACTTGTAACCCAACTCGAAGACCAAGACTGCCTGAAACCGGGTTGAGCAGCGGGTTTTGACTGAAGAAGTAAACTAGGCTTTCCATTACTCGGATACCTAGGAATGGTATCGAGAAAGCGACAGCAATAAGTAGCTTCTTTCCTCCCCCCATCTCTGCTACTTTGCCGGAGGCGTGAGTCAAGATATGCTGAAATGTGGCGAAAGTGACGGTCGCAAGGGAAATCCAGCCAAGCAGCAACAAAACCATACCTCCTTTCACCAAGCCTTGGCTTCGCTTCATCTGATCAGGGGGAAGCGAGGGATTGTTGAGTTTCGAGGCCCCTGAAGCAACCAGTGCGATGGCAGTCGTGACAAGAATGTGAAAAAAGATGAGGTATGGCGTGTCGAAGGGTCGACGCGCCTTTGGAAGGATGTGAACCCGCCTATGAATATGGTTAGTGTGAACGGGGTTTGATTACATAGAATGGAAGTGACTCACGACTCATGTAGAATTCCGCAAGTAGCAGCAAGTAGAGGAGACAATCCTATGCTAGCAACCAATGAGGCGCTTGAACCAGTAGCGTCTACTAATTCGAGGATGCTCGCAATAATCCGGAGAGTACAGAAGGTGAATAGAAAAAACCAGCCAACTATAGCACCATGCTTCAACCCATGCTTGAAAGTGATGTAAATAGTTGGTAGAGATAATGTAAGATATATGACTAATAGAGCCACGGGTAGACCTGTCGAAGAAGCCATTTTTGATGAATGAGTAGGTATGAACCAGCTGCGATATACAGGTCGTCTGTGAAATTACTGATCACAATAAAGCTGCTGATGGAGATGAGGCCTAGGAGAATATCGGGATCAAGATCGTATTATATACCAACCTGTTCACCTACCTTTCCATCTATGCTAGGACATGTTGCCGTTTAGATCATCATCGAAACGGAGAATGGAGCTGCACTGCCCTCTAACTATCCTAATTATGGTGTCGCAAGGACTGGATGCGACCTAAGTATTAGACTCGACAGTTACAATTCTGACCAAAAATCTTCTTAGGCTCACTGGTGATTGGTTAATCGTCTATGAAATGTAGGGGTTAATAATCGTGAAGCTGGTTCAGCTTGCTGTGGCACAGCTCTAATCAACCGCGTAAGGCATTACCTTTCTCGCGTAAGGCACCCTTTACTCGCGTCAGGCATCTATTTCTCCCTAGGGCCATTCCAATTATAATGGGGCTCCACTGAGGGCTTAATCCACTAGACAACAAGGTCGCCGCTTGGATCTGGGTGTGCCACAAGCGCTATCTCGCACTTGGAGATGCCTTATGCGACGGGTAAGGTAACTAAAGATGGCGCTGTAATATGTAGGGCCTAGATATTTAGGCGGGTAGCATCCATCGCAACAAATTGAACGGCCAACAGAAAAACCTCCTAATCCATTGAATGTTTAACTCATAATATTTAGTGCGATCCACCATTATGTGATTTTTTATAGCTAGGTAGACAGTTGAAAGTCCGAAGTTGCATTGATAGAAGAATCCATTACTGTTGAGTTAACTTCAGGGGCTACTCGGGATCAATTGAATTCCCAGCCATGTTTTCCTTTTTCCTTTTTAGATATTATTAGAACGCCTTCAAACAAGCCAACATTCATTTTTGTCTCATACCTATATGTGTTACAATATCAGCCAGCTTTGTACGGGTAGCCGCAGAAAAGGCTACATGTCTGCGAATATTACGGGACAAGTATCGAGCTATTGGCGTACATGTAGTCTACGGAGTCAAGCAATGTCCCAGACAGACATCGTCTTCACGCCTTCGGTTATCCAATTACTCATTACCTATCCGCTGCCTTGCGTCTATTATCGAGATCTAATTAAGCTGCCAAGAATGCTTGTCCGGGTTACACTCACACATCGTCCCCCTCTGCGGCTGACTGCCGAAGAGGGGAAGCGCCCAGTCAGCCAGCCCAGCATCCCCCGTATTTCCAAGGGTTCTGTTTCTCGAGTTCCGAGGGCTCCCTGCCCATTCTCCAAGATTTGATTACGTACCGGAAACGACTAGATGCTCACACTTCAAGGGGTTTATACTATTACGATGACCCTCATCCACTATGGCGGGGCGTTTACCACTATCGCAACCCTGTCAGACGTGCGGAACGAATGCCGAAAAGACATTTACGTGCATCCAGTGCAATAACCTCGCCTTCTGCGATGCCTGCTGGCCCAAATGGGTCTTGCACACACCTGGTGCCGTTGGTTGGTCAGTACACAGATTTCAAAACCTCTTAACTCCGGAACTATTCTAGTGTTATATCCACATCCCATAACAGGATTTGCTCGTGGAAGCATAGACTACACAAGCTAATCGCGATGGGTGATCGACAGGAACGGTAAACCACACGAAAAGGCAGACCCCCTAGTTCTACATCGGCTACGTCAAATCCTGGAACCGACGCGCACGGAGGAAGAACACGAGTCAGAGCTTCTCGAAGACCGCGATACGACATGGTTTGGCTTTGGTCGCGATGCCTCCGGTCACCCCCTATTCCGTGACTTCGGGCGGTTCGCCGCGATTATGAGCGAAACCGTTACCGACGAGACTAGCGAACGATATCCCCAATTAGCGACATTCATTGGAGAAACTGGTAAGATTTCACTCCAGTCATACATTCTAAGTTCTTACGTGTGTACCTACTGAAGCACAATCGTGGCTGACGCGACACGTAGGCGTCGGGAAGAGCACCCTGATAAAACTCCTTATTGATCGTCATGACCTAACGGCCCCTGAGGGTGCTAGCTACTATGCGCCTGTGACATCCTCTAGCCATGATCGCATTTCTACCACAGGCGATGTCCACCTCTATGCGGACCCTTCAACTTTATACGGTAGTCATCCATTGCTTTTAGTTGATTGCGAAGGCCTGAGTGGAGGAGAGGCCATCCCGAAGCAGCTTCGCCATAATCCGCAGGGTTCAAGCAGAAATGATACGGACGATGTCGGCACCAGCAGGCCTTGCTTAACTAGAAAGATCGCATGGGCAGACACACCCTACACCCAGAGACGAGAGTATGCCGTCAGTCAGCTATATCCTCGCATCCTCTATACTTTTTCCGATGTCGTGGTATTCGTCTTGCGAAATCCCAGGTCATTCGAATCAGTCGTCCTCGATAAGTTGATACGATGGGGCGCAGCTTCAAGTATGTCTATTCGGTATTTTCTGTCGTATTGATTCCCATACCGTTGGACTTGAGCGCATCTTGTTCATATGAATCCGCGTAGCCTGGAAGCTTAGGTATTCTAGTGGCGAATACTGACCATTGATATCCTAGTCGATAAGTCGCTCAACCAACCTGTACTTCCTCACGCGATTATCGTCTTTAACGCCACCGATATCAACGTTGACGAGAAGGAATGGGATGTCACCAAGGCTACCCAGATGCTAATGACAGAGATACAGGATGCTATTTCACGTGAACCGGCTTTGCAAGAACATGGTACGTGCCGACGCTTCATACTAAGATTATATATTTCTTTAGTCACCTACTCAATAGAGACTAATGCATTGACAGTATGTTAAACTCCTCCTGGACCTTATACCGACTTCGTCACTGAGTGCCCCTTGGATGGGCAGCAAGGGAAGCTGGAGGTTATATCGGACGCTAACATGATATAGGTACACACATGGAAAAGACGCGGAAAAACTATAAAGAGCACCAAGGAACTTCTCGAGTGTTATTATGCTTCCATAAGCGTTGTGCGGATCCCGTATAAGGGTTCATACAGTAAGGAGTCTTTTCTACTTTTATCCATTTTCTTTTGGGAGGAATGCTACCATTGGGGAGATTCAACACATATCGTGGAGCACTGGAAGTCTGATAAAGCTCCTTTCAAGAGGCCATATATATTCAAATGCTGACCTGATGACAGTGTTGATGAATGAACAAGTTGGCAAGCTTTGTGACCTGCTTAGATACCAATGCAAGGCTTCATATCTTAGGAAGAGGCAAGTTCGTATGCTAGCCAATACAGAGAAGCTCCAATTCTACCTCCAAGCAGCATACGATCATTTTACCAAGGACCTCAATACACCATTCGATTTCGTCAAGGAAACACTTCGACATAGTCCCATCTCCCGAAACTTCGAGGGTAATATACTGAACCTGGCGCTGGCAATCAAAGAAAAGTCATGCGATCCATTTCTCAGCAGTGACGTAGAGCAGATCTTCCGAGCTATGGGACCGATGATAGCTTCATGCGTTATGCTTGATGCCGTACGCCAAAACTTACCTGGTAGCGCAGCCCGTCTTCTAGATGACCGATACGCCAAGCCTTGCGCTGGCGCATTGCAGACGTTCGCCGATCTGTATTGTCCATGTAGTTTTACGAACCCGTCGTACGATGGAGACCTCGGCCAATGCTGCAACGTCAGGTCAGGCCACAACCCTAAGGGACATCAGAACAAGCAGGGAAAAATCATCGGCAACGGAGACTACGAGTCCCATTTCAATGTTTCGGCTTTCCGACCTGTCTGGGAGCAGTTACTGAAAGCAAGCCTAGCTCAAGTCCAGTCTTCCTGCTACAAGCTCGGGCAGGACTTCTTAGATAGGAACGAGCTCCAAATTGCTGCTATTATCCACCAAGAGCGTCTCAACGAGCTGTATTCCAATGTACTAGGCGCAGCGACCGAATTCATCAGCTACTCCGCGTGTCTCTGCTGCCTAAGAGAATTACCTGAGTGTGCTCTGCCATGTGGACATGTTCTCTGTTTCCCCTGTATTCAAATTTACGGAACCAGGACATCAAGAACCACAATTGAGATTAGCCATTGCCCCTTACATGTTCGCGACGTTATTGCAAACCCTCCGTGGATTATATCTACCAAACCGCGTTATGCTGGTAGTCGAGTTCTGTGTCTCGATGGGTATGCTGTCAACTTCATCGCATCATGGCTTAGGAAATTACTAATGAGATAATCACAGCGGTGGCATCCGAGGTATTATACAGCTTCAAGTTCTGGCAGAGATAGAGAAGATACTGGGTCCTGATTTACCCATCCAACTATTTTTTGATCTGGTCGTTGGCACTAAGTGAGTTTCGTGTGGTACCTGATGGTTTGCACTAGGCTAACTGGATAATGAGTGCGGGCGGTATCATCGCCATTGCCTTGGGAGTTAAGAAATGGTCCGTCAACGCGACAATGGAGAAGTTCAAAGATATGTGCAGTGAGGGTTTCACTCCCAGAGAGATGACTAGTGTACCAATATTTGGTGCATTGTCCAGTCTCTATCATGGCAGTCTGTATAAGACCAAGCCTTTCGCGAAAGCTCTAAAGAGATATCTGTCAGATCAACCCTTTTTTGGGAGCGCGACCCATCGATCCCATGTAGTTTCCTCGATGAAGGTCGCTGTTACAGCTTCAACGGGTATTGAACGACAGCCTGTCATCTTTGCGAACTATAATCGGCTGGATCTTCCTGGAAAGAGTACTTCTCCTGCTAATACTAGATGACTGATAGAACTTGCTGACAAGCATTATAGAACTCCCCTATAAGTTCGTGCGATCAGATTCGCCATCGAAAGAAATGCTTATCTGGGAAGCGTAAGTCTCCATGTCGCAGACTTCAGAAATGGAAATGGGGCTAACCTCGTAAATTTTCAAAGCGCCCGAGCAACATCAGCCACGCCCCCTTTCTTCAAGTCCTACCTCAAAGCCGAAACTAACCAGGAGTACGCCAACAATGACTTACGTTATTCATGTCCAACAGTGGTTGCTCATTATGAGGCTAAATCAATATGGAACGACATAGCCGACTCCCCTCCTGACTTGATGCTCTCTATTGGCGCAGGTAGAAATGTGGGAGACCGCCATATAGACGACTCAAGTGCATATAGGTCCTCGCGATCTCTGACTAACGAGACAGTAACCACCACCGGTCTTGGGGGCACCAGCGCCGTAATTAGGCAAGGTCGGGGCGGAGCTGGCAACTACTCCAAGCGTCAGACTACGCCAACCTCTCCGTCGTCGGACGGCGCAAGCCTATGGAAGGCGGCGACCACCAGCGGATACGTCGTCCGCGATCCCAAAACACCCATGCTAGTGTCTTTTAACAATCCTGTCCCTAGTCAGACGGAAAAGCTGAACGATCAACGACAATGCGAGATAACATGGAACCGCTTCATGTCCAGCAGCTTGATGAAGGACGAGGAGACTCGTCGACGGTATATGCGGATCTGTCCCGAACTTCTTACCAAGCTGCCCAAGTTTGATGAGGTGCAGAAGATGGAGTCCGTGGAGAGGGAGACCGCAGAGGTATTGCGACAGAATCGACAGGAGATCATCGAAGCCGCGCATCGGCTAGTTGCCAGCACTTTCTTCTTCGAGAAGGACGGGAGTGGTGTAAAGCAGACGACTTCTGGGTATACTTGCACAGGATCTGTCTTCTGCAGATTCCGGCTGTCCTCTTCGGAGCTCAAGGCTCTAGGTTGGTTTCTCATCTCGCGACTAGATGGAGACTTCGAGCCGTATTTCCTGCTCGAAGTACGGGAAGAGGCAGGCGCACCGTGGCCGCCGCGGCAGATTATCCTTACGAATTCAGTATTGGAAGATATGCATCTGCAAGGGAATTTCGATCTGAATCCCGTCAGGATCAACTCCACGACGGAAAACGCACAGGTCACCATATCGCTTTGCTTGCAGACTCGTCCTTATCCAAGCGGCGTCACGGTCCTACCTATCAGCGGCTTTCCGCGGAAACTCATGAGTGAGGATAACGGTGGGCTACTCTATCAAGGAGGTAAGCAATGCATATTCAGTAACCCCTGAATGCGGGGTAAAGGAGAAAACAGACTGACAAACATTTTCCTATAGGTTCATCGTCCTCCAGAACACGCTCATCCATCATCGAGAAACGGTCATCGGTCACGACTAACGCCCTAAGAGCAAACGAGGGAGATTCACTCCCGAGCCCTGCGCCCAGTATCGACTCATTTGCGAAGTTGGAGCTTGATGGAGACTCGAAATTCCGTGCAGAATTAGAAGGATGAGATGCTTAACTTCTAATTCCTAATGTAATAAGGGTATATATTTACATTAATGGAATGAAGGTCATGTAACTTTAGTAGTGCCTGGAAGGGTTCATATGGTGGATTGACTTTCTAATCGTCGCGGACATTATAAGAGCGAAGCCAGTATTGATATCATAAAAATAAAGTGTGTTATGTAAATGCTTACAAAGGTGTGTACCAGGGATTCATTTTGAAAATTTGAAGATAATTAGGCCTCGCTTAGGAAAGAAGTCTATCGTAGACGCGAGAATCTACCCTCGTAGCTGGCTTTGAAGCTTGGGGAATAATTCATCCCTCGCATGTAAGCCCAGCCCTACAATAATCCTTGGCCGATTTGGAATCAATGCGATAACTTAATTCCTCCCGCGTCCTTGACTACCCTTTTGGGAGGGTAACGAGATGCGACTTTACCGTATGAAGCTAGCACGAGATGGCGGTAGTAGAGGGGTTGACGGTCCACTCTACCCGATTCGGAGCATATGGCACTCTCACAACATACCTCGTCTCATTGAGATATGCCCTGGTATTAGGAAAGTAACTTAACGAAGGGGACCTCGTCTGTGAATGTGTTTAGTAATCATGTCTACTCAGTAGCTTCCCAAGTATCGTCAAGCTGACAATATGGGGCTGGATATGTTGGTGGATATTCTCTTTCTATCTCATATTCGCGATTAACTAGCGGCGAAATCTACCCCCGTAGTAGTGCACGGGTCTTTTTTCTGAGCAACTCGCATCATGAAGTGAAATTGGTCAGTATAGGATATGTTCCGCTCTTCATCAAGTATGGTTGTCAGCAGCCTGTGGGGACCGATGGATACTAGTCTTCTTATACACTGAAAGCTGATCAATGCTGGATGCGTAGGCGGCGCTATCTACCAGACTCCTCTCCCGTAATGACCAGGGAGATAGATATATAAACATGTCTACCGACAGCCAGCAGGTATGCAGCAGTCTCATCGCCTCAACATCCCATCATCTCATCACTTTATCCAGTCCTTGTCTCCTGATCGCAAAGATGTTTGCCTACCCCCTATTTACCCTTGGGCTGGCCGCGACAGCTTTGGCCTTGCCATACCCTACGAACTCAAGCTGCAGAGAGATCAAGATACCGGTCACTGTCAGCGTTCCACGCTTCATTGTAAACGCGACGGTCAACGATGACTGGGATGTAGTCGCCTTAACGTTGAACCTTACTAGGCGGGACTTTACCAACCCTACAGACCCTTTGCCTATGGCTGGTACGACTGCCGCGCCGGTGAAGAGCACTTTCACTGTTGGCGCTACGTTGTGTGGAACGGGCGGCCCGCTGCTAGTCCTAACTCACGGTATCATCGAGTCAAAGCTGTATGTTCATACCTCTCTCGAGTCAAGCTGGCTAGACGAAATTTCTGACTCGAGAACAGGTACTTCAATCCAAATTTCGAGAACTCAAAGGCGTACAACTTCGTTGAAGCTGCTGTTGCCGCTGGGTACTCTGTCCTCAACTACGACCGCATCGGTGTCGGCTCATCCTCCAAGTAAGCTAAAACCAACCCCTGACCTAATTAGGGATAACTAACAAGACATTGTACGCTTAGGGTTGACGCGGTCAACGATGCTCAGTTCCAAGTAGAAGCAGCTGTGCTAGACGCGCTCATCGACTATGGGCGAAAGGCCGTGAACGCCAGCAAAGTAGCTCTTGTGGGCCATAGCTACGGTTCTTACCTAACAGTCGCATCCGCCGCCAGCAAAACGACCGCTATCGACGCCATCGTTCTGACCGGCTTTGCGGGTGGCTTCACTTACTTCACCCCTTTTCTCGCCGGCTCGGGTTTCCGTGTCGCCAAACATGCTAACCCTCTGCGCTGGGGCTCCTTGGATCCTGGGTACCTGACTTCTGTGGATTTGTATGCCGAGACGTACGTCTACTTTGGCGAAGAGCAGCACTTCGAACGTCGCGTCGCTGAGTGGTCGCACTATCAGGGCAGCGAGCCGTTTGCCGTTGGTGAGCTACCGTCGCTGCTTGCAAGTAGTCCCCTCGACTTCGCAGCAGTTACCGCACCTGTACTCGTTATCCAGGGCCAGTTTGACCTGTCTGCTTGTGGTGGTAACTGCGTTGGCCTTCTTGATGGCATGAAGGACACGTTCTCCGGCGCCAAGGCTGTTGAGACCGTTGACAACCTACCTTCTGGGTGAGTTCTTCCAATGCCTACCTAGTTAGAATTAGAGCTTCATATATCCGGATTCATAGCAATCATGTTAACCTGATTCTTTTGCAGTCATAACCTCAATTTGCACAAGGTAGCCCCGCAGGCGTTCAAGACGATTTTTGACTTCCTTAAGCGCCAGGGGGTATAAAGGGGAATGGAGTAATATGAGGGACTTGAAAAGAAATTGACCCAGACTGGTTTTTACTTCGTGGTAATTATTTGCTAAATTTTACATGCGATGAAAAGCCCTAGATAATTATGATAATATCCTCAAGAGTATCTATAAAAGAACGGTTTATACAGAAGTATCCCCCCTGACACCAGGCAGACATCCGTCAACTCCGACGAGTCTCATAGACATTAATATACATCCAAGTAGTGGAACCAGTAGATAACAGACCCTTATAACTTTACTACCTATAGGTATCTACAGAGGTGTATATGGTACAATTCTTAGATACTTTTCCCCAGAAAAGACCATCGCGGACCTCACCGTCGCTTCTTCTGATCTTGTTGTTACACAAGGAATATGCCGTAGCACAGAGGAGCGCTTGCAGCCCAGCTGGTGGTAAGGCTGCCAGGCCTACCAATTGCGCAGCCAACATGCAGTGCACTGATTGACAACGCTAACGTGCATATTGATGCAACACTTTCCATACTAAGGCCGGATCTGCCCGTATCGCATGACCAAAAAATGTAGGATGCCAGCTCTTTTCCGAACTAGCGATGCGACGGCGGACGCTAGAGAGGACATCAGATACGAGTTTTCATTTTTTCAAACATTCAGACGAGTCTAGTGCACGATGGAATAAGAACTTTCAGCTAAGGATGGCATTTTGACTTAGCTAAACTAACAAAATCCAATGCGAGAAACCGTATTTATATCTAACATCACGCCGACGCCTCCATATCCAAGTTTAATTGTACGAAAATCCAATTCCTGTCCAACCGTGAGGCAGGGAATCATCGTTATAATACATCGTGTAGTAGTTACAGTAATTTTTTTGGTCGTATCCGTGGGGATGATTTGAAAGATCGAATGAGACTTCGTTTTTCACATAATCTTCAATAGCTTCATGATCCTCGGGGCCGTCATAACCGGAATCTGTTTGTTTAGAATTCCAGGTATAGACCCTCTCTCGGGTTCTCGTAAAAGGTGCCGCCCATGTGGTTGATTAGGCGACAGCGCTCCTCCATGGTGTGGCAGTTGTTGATTCTGCCGACACCTCTCGCCGATGCATCTTCGTGGGTGGTTCTTAGGACCCAGACGCCGCCTCCTGGCGGCCATCCCACAAACGTGACCGGGTCGCCCGACCGATCCGGGTCCATGGTCTTTTGTCGGTAGGCTGCTTCGCTCTCCCACCACGTCGCTCCGAGCCTGCGCATGTTGTTGCAATGCGCATCCTCCTCTTCTTGATCCAGCGCTCTCATCGCGATGTGAAAGCGGTCGAGCCCTAGAAAGTCGAGCTCAACCGCGTTGCAGTGGAGGACATAGACGCCTCCGTAGCTGGGATATCCACGGACCGCCGCGCCCGATCTGACACCAAATTGCGTCCGAAATTGAGGCCTGTCCAGTACTATGAGGAAATCGTCGTCATTTCCTGAGTCATAGACAAGTTGTCGTGATTCTGTGCTGGCCGCCATATGGTCATGTTCCTGTTCACCGCCATTGTCGCGCCCAGTGTCGCGTTCGTTGTTATTGACACTGTCATCCTCCGACTCATAGTCGAGATCGCGCGTCGAAACTAGATCGCGCGTCCTCGAACGTCTTGAATGCCGGGTTTTGAATGAGAATAGGTAGCTTCCAGACAATGCTGCGATGAAAAATAAGGCTGGTGTTATCAAGGACATGATGCCCGGAGAGGGTTGTGATCGCAATCTGGAGGTGGACATTTTGGCTTCGGGGGATCTACTTTACTTACCTATAGGATAGGTACCCCCGGTACCCTTTCCCATATTAATCTCCAAGCATTATCGACGTGGTAAAGCGCTATTACCACGTCACCCTGCCGATTAACACTGCTATGGGTGACTTGGGCTCTGACGCTTGCCAGGTTTGGTTACGTGTTATGCAGCCATTTGTATATCGGCGCGAATCAATGATTGGGATAAAAATTGCATTAGGCACTGTTCAGCCACATATATTTTGCATTTATCCTGAGACGACATATGCGACCATATGTAGGGCTGATATGTAACCAGGTAAATAGCCAATCACGACGGCTCTTTGACGCTTCGCCAAACCAGCTTGCATACACGTGGCCACGAACACAAACGGTGAGCCACTTTTACTACCGTAATTCATCGACGGACCTTGATCTCCTCGCCAACGATAGCCGTAGACATGCAGGTACAAAATTTTCTACACTAAAAAGCGGTTATGACTTCATCGGGAAATGGCCCCCTGCCTCCTCTAGTGGCCGCCTTGCCGAAGGGAAGAAACTTGATAGGTTTTTGCGAGCTGGAATTCGGACAACGTGACCTAGTCAGTGGAAAGTTCGGGCCTCGATCTATGTATATAAAAATGTAGACATCGCCACAACTCGGCAATGCGCTCTCGACGTGCCAAGCTCTCCGTTCATGTATTGTCGACAGCGTTGCAAAACAGTTTTTCCAACAGCCCTGGACTAAAAGCGGGGCGAGATGGCTGACGAGCGTCAGTGCGCTGGCCCGGGCGGTGACGAGCAAAGTGAGGTAGCCAGCTGAAAAGAGTTGAGCGCGTGAGCGATTGAGCGCTTGAATGACGCAGATGGCATTGTCATGATGAGAAGCCTTTGACGCAAGGATTATCATATGCCCGGAGTTCTTGGCTTACCATACCTACAGCTTTTTTATGTTCACTCAACGCTCTTTTGGATGGCATGGCGGCGTCAATGGCAACGACATTATGGTAGATGATAATGGGTCCGTATATGAGTAATTACTTGCATATATGTAAGTGCCTGGGTAGATGCAAGATCTAGATGTATATGACTGACCTTCTTTAAGCGGATACTTATGATCGAATCGGCTGATAAAAGTAGGTGGGCAAAGTAGGGGTGCAGGGGAGGCGGCTGAACGCCCATCCCCATAACATGCTAGGAGGCTGGTAGTTCCCGAGAGCATGCTAGCTTCTAAGCCCGAAAATTTATAACAGCTTATCGACAATAATATGACTTCTATTGCCTTGAATTACCCCTATATCCTCCGTCTCAGCAAGCCGGTTATTACCGTCGTAGGATATGGTTTCTCCTTAACTCACGGTCGTCTACATAGCAGTTCAGCTATTATAATACATCGAAGCACAAGTAACAGCCTATCGGCACCTACTATACCTAGCTGATATCTGATTAGCGAAAAGTAATTCTAGATTAGTTTAATGGTATTCTACTCTTGGAACTTTGTCTTGGGCAACTTCTAGTTAGGGGGATATTGTTGTTGGGGCATATGCACTAACGTGCCCAGTGGGGATGCGTATTGCCTCGGGTAGTAAATATCTTAGGGGATAGTAAAAGGGGACGCCTACCTACCTACCTAAGTAAGTATATAAGTGATTCCTAAGTCTCCCAAAGGAAATAAAGATGTTGTCATGAAAGGAGACAGAGCTTCAAGGGGATGATACAAGGTAGGTACCTATGCTAAGTGATACGTCCCCCCAGGAAGATTCATCTCCTCAGGCACTTCCTATCAACGTAAATAGGCACCTACGTGAACACCAATCTATAAATTCGTAGATTTCCGTCTCATTTCTTACGTCTGTCTCCATCTATTAACACCCAGACACCTCTTTCTAGGAGCGGCCAGTCATTTCCAGAATCACACAGAATCTTTTTACATACAGGACCTTATAACGCCCAAGGATCCCTGCCTAGGTAATCACGTGTTATTCTTGAGGACACGGGAGCGAACACAACTTATCTAGTTTCCATTACTATGCCTTTTCGTCGGAGATACCTTCGTCCAGGCGTTCGGCCTCTGAAGCCGAAGACCGAAACCTATACGACAGCTCCCAGACATCGGTTTCGTCTCTTTCAGAAGCTACCTCCAGAACTCCAGCTCATGATATGGGATTTCTGGCGCGAGGATAGGCTCGAGGTCAGACACTTTATGTTCTATTTTACGGAAGGTCTTTGCTACGGAGCTTATGACTTCCAGCGCAGAATCTTCATCACTGAAGAGATTCCTGTGGACCCAATGCGGGTCAAAATCGACCTCAGGGTTTCCAGATACCCAGTACAAAAGCTCAATAACTGGCGTCAATTGGGCCATGCTCTGAGAGGGAAGGCTCCTCGCGTGGCGGCGTCATCACCGTTTGCCTGGGTTGACTTTAAGAAGGACGGGTTCGTCACCTATGATCTGCTTCCGGAATGGTGGAGGCCACGATACTTCGCTTTTGATAAATGCTACAGTGATTGGTGGCGACATGTTACCCATCTAAATCTCTGTGTGCGCAAAGAACTCAAGCCGGAATTCTACAATTACCTACCCGATGAGCTTTGTGCTCTTAAAACTTTATCTATCCTACGAGTGCCCCCACTTCGCTGCAAACGCAATAATTTCATGTTCTTAATAGACCAAGGCCTTCTCCAAAGAGGATTTCAGTACCCTGATTCCTGGGATGAAACTCTCGCCAGAGACAAAATTTTAAGTTCCATACGATTTGAGTATCAGAGACCTGTCAAGACAGCTGCTGAACAGATAGAACATTCCTTTCGTATGAGCGGCCGCGAGATCGATATCAAGATCGTTTGGGATACTACGCGATACGAGACACAATAAGATACCTGAGTAGGTATCGTTATGTCTTAAGGGCTTTGGAGTGGCAACGGCCACTGGAGATATAGATACTCAGTGTTACCTCCATCGTAATTGAATAAAGGAAATTGATATAGTCTCTTCGTCACACGTAGATTCAAGTTCGTCATAATCCATTTCATGTTATGGTAGAATCGGCCTAATACTCAACCACTCTGTAGCGAAACAACTTAAATCTCACAGTCGCGTTCCAATTGGAATCAAAAGCTCCTTTAGTGTCATCATGCGCTAGTTCCTAAGACGGGCTCATGAACTAGTGAAGACTCTTCAGCGCCACTCTTGGTTGCCGGTACTCTCACCGACAATGACAGGACTAGCATGGCGAGACACGTGAGTGACACGCCGAAGTATGGTAAGCCCATCCATTCCCCGCCCAACTTCATGCCAAGCGCAAAAAGTCCCGCAAGGACAGGCATCGTCCATATATTGCTACCCACTTCTACGATAGCGATGATGGTGAATAGCCTTGATCGGTGCTCGGAGTCGACGTGTGATGCTGCGATGCTTTTGATGAAGCTCGACGATATGGATCCGATGGACATGACGATAAGACCGAACACGAATACTGATAGAGACGGAGCAATGCCAAGAATCAAAGATCCGACCATAGAGGCTGCGTAAAACCAACGCACTAGTACCAAATCTCGCTTTTCTTCGTCCTCTATTCGTAGCCACCTAGGGGTCGATGGTCTGGTAATCATGTTACATACGGAGGGGATTATTATGAGAACTACAACAATGTGAGCGATACCGTATATGGATTGTACGTAACCAGTCTCTGCCAAGTGAATGTGATATCGCTTCGAGAGGAACTGAACCATGAACTGTAGGGTACACATGATAGTCGGATACGACAGAAAGAAGATACAGAGGAGCAGAAAGACGGAGCGTATTCGAATGATAGAGAGTGAGTCTCTTAGCTGGAGAAGGCCCTGCACTGTGCGCGCTTTGAATGATATGGAATGAGAATCGCCATCTCCGGATTGTTCCCTGTGAAACGTTTCCGGTATTAAAGTAACCAGACCAAGAGATATGATCCATAATGCAAAAGTGATTAACATGAGTGGCCAGGGGCCGGTTGAGGGCATCATTGCCGACGCTACGGCTGGAGAGATCAGATTGCCGATTATGCTCGTTATATGTATGCGCATGAAGGTAATTGACCTGAAAATAGTGAGCAAGGCGATAGGGCTTTGGAAGGGAATTTGGTGGGCGATCACGTACCTATCTGATTCGGATACTACATCGCTCAGAATACTGTATACGCATGCAAGTAAAACCGGAGATCCGCCACCCAGGTGAGCAAGCGATGATATCCAAATGAGTCGAGACGACAGCGCGCAGGAAAACCAGCCGACGACCATCACCCATAGTAGATTAAGTACCATTCCAGTTAAACAAATAATGAACACTGGCTTGCGCCCGACACGATCAGCTACGATACCCCAGAGCAAGGCAACAAGACAGGAGACCCCAGAGTTTAAAGACTCGAGGACAGCAAGTAGGTACGCTAAGTTGGATTGAATGGCGTTGACCTTGCAGAGTTCTTCATCAATAGGCGCATCCGGAGCGAAAGCGGCATCGTAATACTCATGACATAGGATATCCTCAAATATTCTAGTCATAGGTATCTGTTTGAAAGCATCCGCAGCAGAAACGGCGAATATTATGATGAAGAATAAGCCGAGTATAGCACCAGGTTTGCGCACTGTTGGCACGCTGATGGTAGCGCTGGCGATGGATGAGGTTACGGTTGATGTCCTCGAATGGCCAGGCTTCCAAAACGACTCCGGTATCTCGGAAGTATCATCAATCCTCAGAAGAGGGGAACGTTCGGTGGCGGCGGTAATATCATCGTCACCGGCCGTCTGCTCATTCATCGTGAGCAGCGTGAGCAGCGTGAGCAGCGTGAGGTAGAACGGCTGTCTCAAATTAGTTGTGGAGTTGAAGTTCCGAATTCCGAACTGACAGAACTACGTAGGTACCTAACTATTTATGACCCTATTGAGTTGTCACTATTTATTCCTATAACCGACTAGTTGATGACCACTGCATGTACATATCGGGTTTAGCGACATTGCGAGGGCCTACGTATCGTGGCTTATGTAACCAGAGACATGTTTATCATATAGGTACCTAGGTACCTTATGAGGCTTCGGCACTCACTCAATAACTACGATATCCATGAGACAAAATCTCATTCCTACCTACCTAACTCTCCAGCTGAGCCATACCTAGTTGCTGGTTAACAGCAGCAACGAAAAGGGCGGTATCAAATAACCTCTGGCGCTTCTGAGGGGAAGTCAGGTTGCAAGGCAAGGGAGCTCAACTGAAATAATATTAGCTGTAGCAAAATGCAATTTATGTGCAAGAGTTAGGTGCAAGGGAGACAATGTCGAACCAAGGGTTCTAGAGAAAGTAATAGAACATCCACTTCTTTTCTGCGGGTGTATTGGTGAAGAATCGGGATTGGACGTAAGGAGTACGATATAGAAATTCTTCACAGAGCTACATGCCTAGAATGCCTTTGCGAAGGACAACAAGGCAATCACTTAAATTATCTGATGAAGGGGTTTGAGGTTACTGTTATTATCAATTGTGTTAAGCATATTGCCTGGGAATATTGAATGAGACTTGCAACTAGCTCGAATGTTGATGTTTCAGGGGAAGATGATTGTAGATATGTCAAAAGTCATGATAACTTGATGAAGGGGACATTGCAATCTTATATATATAGGTGCCTCGGTGCAATTTCACACTTCGTAGGAAAGAGGAAAGAAGATGCACCAATTAGGATCGATGAACACCATCACAATATCAACTCTCTTTGTTGGTACGGGGAAATTGGGACTGACTAGATTAAGTGGCCGTTTAAACGGCCTCTTTAATATCTGAAGGATCTGACAATTAGAATAAGGAAGAATTCTCCCCGGTGGTAACAGTTCCCTTGTACTTCCATGAAAAATATATAATTACAATCTTTTTCTAAGGTTACTTGAATATAACACATACGGGCCGAAACATGCATCAAAGCCACCTGCATACCAACCCAAGTACTTTAATGTACAGGACTTTACGACAACAGCCATATACTTCACTCACAGCCAAGAAATCGATATCGCAGTAGCAAACGTGAGAAGTTGAGAATATCGATGTGCGCTTTGGTATGATAATATGTTAGGTGAATGTGGTGTGGTGCTCCTACTGGCTACCCAGTATGGTCTCCGCTGAAAATAGCGGTTTATCAAGACAACACCATTCAAAGCCTCAGCCAATCAAAAACTTGTTCCATGATAGCTTCATTTGTTTTTTCTTTTTGGTGTAGGTGGGGGAGGGGGACATGTGTACGGGCATGGATCTCACGCATGGGCCACCGGCAGTGACCGCTCTTGCGGATTTCCAGATTTATTAGCCGATTGACAGCTGTCTAAACAGTGACGTCGGTCGCGTTTGCGAAAGGAAATCGGTGAATATCATTGCTTATTGCAGGTGAGACATAAGCAATATATCCCGTCGTTGACATTCTAAATTAGGTACCTGTTTACCCAATCTATCGGATCTCCCTTCGTGTGCATGGTCGATGAAATATTTTCAGATCGCATGTTGATAATTCCTTCCGAAGGATGATATCACTCCATTTCAATTAATTTCGTCGGGCCCGTGTGGGATCTCGGGTGGACCGTATGAATGCTGAACGGGCGCCTAGAACGTGTTCGTTATCGTGATGCATAGGAGATATTTAGCAACACGTGGAAGCATGCATGGTACATTCATTAGCCAGGGGGATCTGCCCCGAAAAGGGCGCCACATATCGATTTCAATACGATGCTGTAACCGGTAGGTCGCCCAGATCATCCACATCAGATCCGACATCCCTCGGTCCCGAATAGGCGGCGCAGCCAGGTAATGGCGATATTTGCAGTCTGAGGGTTCCTTAGGGATGCTTTTAATCCATCAAATCTCACAATATAAGGATTATAGGCTTGCTAGATGTTGCACGACGCCAAACCCTGGCGACGTTGTTTGGGTAGATCCGTCGCTCCCTAGGTATATAATGGGCAAATATCTAGCGCCATGTCGGATCGCGCTCTTGATACGGCCAAGAGGAGAGCTACCTATCCTCATTGAAATAGGACTACTGACCGCCATCGGTTTTCACCAAGTTGATGGGGAGAAAGTTCGTCACATCAACCCGCCCAACCTCTACCTAAGATGCCTCTATTCGGGGGCTTGATCATACTATGGGCTTGTGCTGCATGGATGAGCCAGTCGGCATTAGCTGGACCAATATGGTGGAACCCTCACCATGTCGGCGGAATACCAATGCCCAGCGACTTCAGAAAGTTTCAACTCACGTACCAAAAGAACATCAGGAGATCCTTGGGGGCAGGTAACTGTACGAACAGCAATATTGCTGTTCGGAAGTCATGGTAAGACGCCACGATCAGTGATAAAGGCTAGAATCTTATTGTCTCAGATTCTAATACGGACTCTTAGGGATGAGATTGACAATGCAACGAGAGTTGACTATATCCGAGCTGTACACTGTCTCGCAGCGAAGCCACCATTGATGGATATGAGACTGGCGCCCGGTGCTGTCAACAGACTTGATGACTTCACTTACATCCACATTAACCAAACAAATTTCATCCATCAATCAGTGAGGAGGCCACCACCATTTTAAGCCCAGAGAACTATACTAAGTGATCATTTCAGGGCTACCTACTTCCATGGCATCGACTATTCCTTTGGCAGATTGAGAAGGCGCTCCGCGAAGAATGCGGATACAAAGGGTACCTGCCGTACTGGGATGTCCCACGATTCTCTGAGGACCAAACCAAGTCCAAGGTCTTCGACGGCTCCATGACATCCTTCGGCGGTAACGGCGCATTCGTGCCCCATGGCCCAAGGCGGGTTATCCTGCCTGGCTTAGCCGTACGCAACTTCACTCTACCTAAGCCCGCTGGCACGGGAGGGGGCTGCATCACGGATGGTCCTTTCCAGAACTTCACGATTAGCATGGGGCCCGTAGCAAAAGTGATCATCGACCCAGAGAATAAATTTGGTTACAAGCCGAATCCTCGATGCCTATCAAGGGATTTCTTCGATGGCGCGAGTAAAGGGGTTATGAACTGGGCTAATGCAACGACTATCGTAGCCTCTAACACTATGAAGGAGCTGAGGAACAACATCGAACACCTGTGGCACCTAAACTCCCACACGTTCGTCGGTGGCGAGGCAGCGGATCCGTTCAGTACTCCTAACGACCCAGTGTTTTATTTGTTGCATGCCCAAATCGACCGCCTCTGGGCGATATGGCAAGGCCAAGACTTGGAGCAAAGAACGTATGCCATCGATGGAAACAGGACATTCCTCGGCCTCGCGATGGACTACGCCCCTGATGTGCCGCCGAGCCTAGCGACAATTGAAGATCCCATGGACATGGGTCTAGGGTGGCATCCGAAAACTAAAGAGGGGATGCCAATGACGGAGAATGGAAGATGTTTTATTTACGATTAGACGGCATGGTTAAGCGATGTTTCCTTATTCTCTCTATGAATTAATGTCTATTAGATACCATGTACATACACGAGACACAGATTATACACACAACCCCTGGTTACAAGTCACTAGCAACACCAAGGTCAATTACTAATTATGGGGTAATACAAAGTCAGCTCCGAAAACGAAGCGAAACGCGCGTACTAAACGTTAATTTCGAAGAATAATACATAATTCTATAATCAGTCAGAAATGAATTGTCTATCCAGTGAATATTTTGAGAATAGTAGCCCCCTACCTAATGACGATATCTTGAGGGGTGACCAATATGCTACCTTCTATGACACAAGTAGTCAGACTCACAAAAGGGGACAATGTTTGAAAGAGTTAACGTCCCGAGCAGGTATGGTATGTGGACCATGGCAAGGCGCCCACCCGAACAGTCAAGCTACAACACAGTCCTTCCCTCGTCAATAGCGTCTCTATATTGCTCATCGAGGCCACTCCAGTATCGCGTATTGTCGGCTAGCGTTCGTAATTTCATGTCTAACCAAGTTGGTCCGTAAATAGCAACGTCGCGGACCGTCAACGTCCCATCATCTGTCAGGCCATCTCCCAGAATGCGAACTGGGCGGAGGGTCAAAGAGCAGCTTTACGCCATCTTGTCCCCATTTCTCACCAGTCGGCATCACGGCGACGCCACGGAAAGCATTGGTATCGGTGGCGTAGTTGCACAACGCTTTGATCTGGGCGCGATAGAGGCGCACGACATCAGCCGGCAAGGCGCTATGGCAGAAAGAAATGTCGAAGCGAACTAAGCTGAAGTCCTGAATATCGGCAAGCGCGTACGCCAAAAAAACTTCTGGCCGAGTTCCTCAGGCGCAAAAGCAAGTATAACGCCGTATGTTACGTGCGCATAGAACGAGAAGGGCGGCGGGAAGATTTTAGACGAGTTATCATCGCCCACCTCAAACCTTGGCAAAATACCGCGGGAGTTGCAGGCTGAAGGTCGTAGTCCGTGAATATGTACTGAAAGGTGACATATCTAGGAGCTGGTGCGAATGGCGTGTTGACAAGAGCCTGAATGACTTGTAGTAACCTAAAGGAGAGAAGATGAAGTTGGTTTTAAAAACTACCGGAAGAAGCTAGGTTAGTGTCCTGCAGATTTAGCGAAAACAGACTGTAGATTTGGTGTCACTCCCAAATTTAGAACGGCTGATATTTTAATGGTTAAGCAGATCCTTTCACCTGTGTGATATTGTACATCATATATTCATATTGAAGTAGTTGTTCAAATCATCCATCTGCTGGTCCCTGATACCCCATATATCTGGTCCTATGAGATGCCGCTCCAATGATGCAAGATGGCATTATTTAGCCTGTTGAAACAAAATGCGAAACTGCGGTCCAGATGCCATAGGGGGCCTTGAGAATTCATCACGAGGGGTTCTTACTTGAAAGCTTACACATCGGAGTCGCATTGAATACAACGGTAAATCCGTGAGCCTCGCAACTGCCGACACAAATCTAGACTTGCAAGTGAGGTATATCTATCTTTGTCAATATAGTATCTACAATCTGACTCGTATATTTAGCGACCTATAAATGTGAGTTGAATTCTCCAAAAAGGGGTCGTCATGATCGACGACAGACATAGATCACTACCTACCTACCTAGATACGCGAGCAACGTCCCAACCATCTCCAATCTTGAGGCAACACGACAGTGACAATTCTTCTTGCCACTTTATCCATTCATATTAACAATGGGTTGGTTTGCGTTGATATTAAGTAGCATTCTCTGTGGGATCGTTACTGGTAGCCCTCTGTATGGTCGGGGAAAGTGTCCCGAGTTCACGATACAGACTTCGACCGGAACATACACCGGTCTCCAGAATCCCGATTTTCCGGGAGTCAGAGAATTTCGAAGCATCCCGTATGCCGAACCCCCGGTTGGAAAGCTCCGGTGGAAACCACCGGTGGCGCTTCAACCTTCACAGGATCATCATTATTCTTACAGATTCCCACCCTCTTGTCCTCAGTATTTGACATCTAAACTATCACTATGGAATTCCAACATCACAGACTTCTCCATCAACACAGGCGACCAGAGTCATCATGCAGGTGAAATGGCACAGACAACCGCGGAAGATTGCCTAAAATTAGCAATCTGGACCCCCATCAATGCTACGTCACAAGACAGGCTCCCTGTGGGCTTGTTCATGCCAGGCGGTAGCTTCAGGGGTGGCGGCCTAGACGCTCCTCATCACATACCGGCGGGATGGGTTGATCGTAGCCAGAAGCACATAATGGTAACAATCAACTATAGAGTCAACATCTTCGGATTCCCAAATGCAATCGGGCTAGAAGATCAGAACCTCGGAATTTTGGACCAAAGACTGGCACTTGAGTGGGTGCATGCCAACATCGATGCTTTCGGAGGTGACCCCAACCGAATCACGTTATGGGGTCATTCAGCTGGTGGAGTTTCGGCAGATGTTCTAAACTTTGCATACCATGAAGATCCATTGGCAGCCGGTTTTTTTCTCATGTCAGGGGCCGCCATGCGGACATTTGCCCAGGGCGACAATGCGCTACAGACAAACTTCACGCATGTTGCCAAGGAACTTGAGTGTGACTTCCCAGCCGACGCCGAGGCTGAACTTGAATGCATGCAGCAAGTCCCAGTAAGTTTGATCACGAATTTTGTCGGCCATTATGGGGATGACGAGAAGAAACCTCGTTTATTTTTTCGACCAACCGTCGACGACAAGGTCATATTCGAGGACTACACGGAAAGGGCTGAACAGGGTTTAATATCGAGAGTACCAGCTCTCATAAGCGATACCTCAAATGAACAGTCGAGCCTCATCACATACCCGATCGACAATCTACCAGCTGGTCCTAATATGACTGACGTCGATAAAGGTACTTTAGACGACTTCATATGCCCAGCATTCAACTCGTCGAATATCCGAAGCCTTAATAATCTCACTACGTACCGGTACCAATATGCTGGAAACTACTCAAACCTGACACCATTTTCGTGGATGGGAGCCTATCACGGCGCTGACCTACCTATGATTTTTGGAAGCTATAATCTCACAGGAGATGCCACCGACTTCCAGAAGCAAGTAGCAGAAGCCATGCAGGATTATGTATTAGCTTTTATAACAGATCCTGAGAATGGCCTAAGGAATTCAGGCTGGCTACCAAGTAATGCGATTTTAAAGGGGGACATGGTGCGTTTTGGTGGGGGTGACATGATAGTTCAAAATATCAGCTCGTCGGACATTGATAGCGCATGTACGGGCAAAGGGCTATACGATTCACATCCGGATTGATGACGGTGGATTGAAATTTTAAAACTGATTAATTGAATGTATCAGACTTTGAAGGGATAGGCGAGACTGTTAAACTTATGATTTCGAAAACAACACGAATAAAGCTAGTTGCCTACTGGCTGGTCAAAGGAAAACGCCATATTCTAGGTTAAAATTTATTTCTAGGAGGCTATAAAATTGACATTACCAGGTGGCTACTGCCATTAACTCAATATTAAGTTTTATCAAGCTTTCTCCTTTTACCTGTTTCACTCCTGAGGAAGCAACGCGCCTCATTGTTCGTCGCGATTCTCGAATCAACAGAACAAGTCTAGTCATTTAAGTTACTTTATGCACCTACGCACGTTTAGTTTGAGTGGGTAGCATAAACAGTGGTAAGGCAGACAGAGATAACGGTAGAAGGAACAATAACATAGGAAAGTAACAACCACGAGAGGCGTCAAGAATAGGCAAGGCCTCCACGTAAAAACCTAATTGCCATCTCTTGAATCTACCTTTGCAAAGATGCAGGTTTCCTAGGCGACCACCAAATAGGTAATTTTGAGGATCATGGCTTAGTTTCTGGTATATAAGTCGGCCTCTTTTCCACCACAATAGCTTTCTCAGTAAAAGCCTAGCTACGAACATATCGGGATTGTCTTGTCGCTAATATTGACTAGCCAACTTTCCCTTCCATCAGCATCTTAATTCTACATAACAATATTCTCTGAGCCTATTTCCACGTCACATTGATATCAACAGCATCACGATGGCAAACTTCAACTCTCAAAATACGAACACTGGGAACGATGGCCGTGGGGGGGCTTACTATGTCCCCCAGCAAGAGAATGTGTCAGATTTCGACTTCTTGACCTATAATGGGGCCCCTATCGGTCAAGTTCCAGGCTACCAATATCACTATCAATACGGAAACGTCACTCCTTATTACCAATACCCTCACGCAGTCGCACCACAGTTGTTTCAAAGACAACACCAACCTATCACGAACCCGTATCTTCCACAATCAAGTATCAATGGGTACCCACCTTATCCAGTACCAAGCCCACCGGTGTCAAATGGTAGCATACCAAGTCCTATGGGGGCATTTACACCCAACTATCAAGCCGCACCGAGTCCTCATATCAGAGAACCGCCTGCCCCTAACCCCATCCGCCATGATATCCCACCTCCCGCTTTTCCTCCTCACCAAAATCAACATCGTCATTATCAACGTCATCAACAGCCCCGTCAAGCATCAGGAGGGAGAGTCACAAAATTTGGGGGCATTGCTAATGGTCCGCGCCCTAACAAGGTCATTCAAGTTCCAAAGCAGTCAGAGACCAAGCAGCCGGAAGTTGCGCAACCTGAAGTTACGCAGCCTGAAGTAACACAGCCTGAGGTTATACAGCCTCAAGTTATACAACCTGAGGTTATACAACCCGAGACCACACAACCTCAGACCATACAACCTGAGGCCATACAACCTGAAGTTATACAGGCTAAAGTTGTACAAGATGAAGTTAACCAACCTCAAGCCAAACAACCCGAGTTCCAAAACCCCGAGATCGACCTATCGAAGATTCCGGACGATGACTTAGAATTTCTGCCCAATTTGCCATTTAACATGGGCCACATCTGGCGCGCAACCCGACGGATGGCGTTCGAACAGAAGCAAAAGGAAGCCATGGAGGCGCTAGAGGAAGCCGAAAGCCAGACCCTGTTAGAATCCGACGTGATAAACTTACCACCAACATCACCCCGAGTATCACCACCAGAGCGACTTACGATAGATCCGGCGAAACTGATGTTGAATGCTCCTCAAACTGCACAGATTACGCAGAACCCACAGCCTTCCGAGCCTTCACAGACCATGGAGCCAGTACAAACCACGCAAACTATAGAGAACATGCAGGCTGCAGAGGCTGCGGAGGCTTCGCAGGCTTCTTCGCAGGATGTATCGTTTACGCACCAGCTTTCGTTCAATCGGATAGCGGTCAACATCGGCACAATCAACCAAGATCACAGAGTCGTCGACGTGTACGCCATGAAAAGGCAGTACGGCCAAAACATCGAGTTCCGACTGGCGCCGTGCGGCTCGACCCTCGCCGAGATCCGCGCCGGCGGCATCGTTCGATTCGAGAAGATCGAATTAAACAACTATTTCAAGGATCTGTCCAAAACCCATGTCACCATTCTGGTTAAACAACTCCTTGCTATCGTTCCGGGTCAAAATGATGACTTGTTAAGATGGTCGTAAGAGACCCACTTAGATTTCACGGATCGCACTTGTTAACCCCTCCTCCCCTTTTTGCTTTTTCTTGGAGCCCCTTGGTGGTTGGGCTTCACTGTCGCATTGATTGACTTTACTGGTTACTGGATATGGATAACCGGGTTTGGTTATGTTGAGATTGTTTACCTTCTTCGGACGTTCTCCGAAGTAACTACATGCATCCATCCGGCCAAGGCCGTCGGCGCGCTTCTTTGCTGCATGGGATGCCTGGAGCACCTCCCCGAAAGGAGGAAGAGCTAGGATAAACGGGTTTGGCTCTACACGATAGGCTTTTTGTACTATGGCAATTGTTGTTGGTTATGTATGCTGCTTAGCTAAGGCAGCTGAGAAAGGGGAAAAGGGGGTTGCATTATAGCTCTCAGAATTCATTATTCTAAGCTGATGAATAAAACTAGCGCTTGTTTCTAATATCTTTCTGAAACGAATTTAGGTGATTTTCTTTTATAATTATGATGCTAGAACTTTTGCTATCTATTATCTAGGTACGTGCTACCTATATGGTGTCCATATCGAAATGTACCTACTCGTTCACATGAATATCTTTGACTATTTAGAGATGAAAAAACTATTCATATAAGTCCTTGATTTTAGGATTCAACAGTTCCCACCCTACATATATTTTCCTGTCGGAAACATACTAATCAGCACGACCGATTTAGCTTAGTAGATGACTTCCTCACCACTTAGCCCCTTTCTTCCCCTAGCTTACCACAGAGATGGTCAATGAAGCCTAGGTTCTCAGATCTGAGTCTCTCCAGGAACCAACGCATCTCCCGGTCTCCCATAGTTAGATAATGATCGATTGCCTCCGTCGTTCTGACCGATATTTGTTTTGCAGTCCGGTAGTAGCCGAATTCGTAAAAGAGAAATGCAACGGAGCACTCTAGACTTAGTGAGAACACCGGGCAATCGTCCCGCACCACCTTCAAGCAATCGAGGAGCTCATTAGCGAGCGCGCATGTCTGTTCGTGAAATGACTTCGAAACTCGTAGCTTGAACAACCAATAAAGAGATTGGATGGTCTCTGGGTGGAATCTTCCGAGACGAGATTTGTGACATTCGTAAATATAATGTGACTCGGCAAAAACATCCTTGCCTTGGAAGTAGATAGGATCCGTCTCAGCATTGTCGACCCATGGACCAGGACTTACCAACGCCCTGATGTTGTAGCCAAGTACCAAATCTTCGCGCAGAGCACATAGCGTGGAAGCGTGTGACCCACCGAAGATATCATTGCGGGCTTTGGTCACTTCTTCTAGCTGTTCTCTTACTTCAATATAAGACTCATAGTCCTCCTTAGTCTCTCTTGTTAAGACGGCAAGTCGGTAGAGGGTTGCCACGGTATCCAGATGTGAATTGCCAAGCTCTATTTTCTGCTGCAACCAAGTCGCTCTGTGAATGGATATCGCAAAACCTGCAGGAGATTGTTGTTGAAATAAAATATCCGCATACACTGCCAGAGCGCTCAGGAACTGTGGGTGGGGCTTCGTTCCTGAGAAAGCTGCCTTAGGATCCTTCACGAAGGTGTTTAGAAAGTCTGTGAGCCCGTACTCTGGAAATCCAGTATCCACATCTGTCTGAGCTGCTTCATTTCGTCTCGAATCCTTAGAATACTCCCGAGGTTTCATCTCGAGCACTGGGACTAGACGTTTTTCGGCAGCCTCAAATTTCCCCCTTTTAAGATAGACTTTGGCGAGAAGGCACTGATATTGAAACATATCTGGGTGCTCGCTCAAAAGATGGCCTTCGAGAATTGGAATAACCGATTCGAGGTCCGTTTCAGCCCCATAGTAGTCCCCATGGTGAAACTTCGCAGCAGCCAATTGGGCCCTACTATGAAGCGTCAAGATGTCATTCTCTCCTAATGTTTTAGTTGTTCTCCGGACCAGAGTTGTTGCTGTATCCATAGCAGGGAAGAAATGCCACATCTTTAACTGTATTTGCACCAAGATGCTCATCGTTACTAGTGTCAATGGATGCTTATATCCCCTCTCTTCGCCTAATATTGCAAAAGTTCTCTTGCAAAGTCCTTCCGCTTCAATAGGCTTCGAGTTGAGCGCCAGTAACAGAGCCCGAAAACTTGAGATTTCGAGCCTTGAGATATGCTCCCGCGGAAAGTACTTTCGATAGCCATTCTCGGCATACTCAAGCGCATCAAGGGCTTGTCGGTAGTTTCCATAGACCATCTCCATAGCTGCGGTCGCTAGATAGGCTCTGCGATGTTTGATCTCCCGCCGTTGGTCTTGGTGCAGCTCTTTGTCGGATTCTGGTCTTTCCAATGGCAGGTCATTCATCAACTCTCCGGTTTGTTCAGGAGGTAAATCTTGCAGAAAGGCATACCTAGTTTCGATATAATACTGTAAGTGAGTGATGCTAAAGAGTTCTGGCGTGATCTTAATGCGGGCTCTAGAAGAGTTCTCCTCAGAGGCCATGATGCCTGTTTCTTCAAGAACCATATCGCAGAATCTTCCTTTGGCGGTTTGCTAGAGTGTAAAGCTAAATGAAGGATGTAGGAACTCATTATATAGAAATAATTGTTGCGGACAATCATTGGAACTTATCTCCCTAAGTCACAAATCTCAACTTGGGGTAGATAGGGACTAATATCTGATACATCCTGTCCCAATGAACCATCGTGACAAAGATTCTGACTGAATCAATTCAATCCGTCGCTGATCATGGTGGAGACCCTGAGCAACACCATTCAGGTTTGTCTTTCAAGTGATTTCGTGATATCGGATTGTTACACTATCGATCCTCGGTTGAAAAATAATAGATCGCAAACTCGGCCGAGTGACACGACCTGGCCAATTGTTGGTACCAGTCATACTGTCATAACAGCAAGTTTTCGTCGGGGTGAGTAGGTACTAAGTAAGTTATGAAGCACATGTATTCACTGTTTGCTCATCTGGTCAGCTAGTCAGCTAGTCAGCTAGTGTAGGCGATACACCCCATACCCTGCGATTATTGACCCATGTAGCTCTTGGTGATTCTTACCTATCTGATGCAGATGGTGACATCGTGACATCACAACTTCCCGTCGTCGGTATCCTTCCTAGGACTTAGTTCGAGCGTCCAATCCTTCCTGAAAGGCACATATAAATAGTGCATTGCCTTGATAGAATTGATCCCAATTATTATCACCAATGTTTTATTTAATCTGATGTTATCGAACTTCCGAACAAGCTGACAAGATACTCGTCCAAGCTCAGCTCTCCACAGATTTTGCGCACTGTCGACTGTCGATCAAAGAAAATCCCTGCCACCAGAATCAATTACCAACGCGATGCATTTCTCGCATACTTTCCAGTTCGTCGCCATGACTGCTTCGATATTTTTCCAATCTTCGTCGGGATGGTCATTTACCATGTTTAACGACGCGGGATGCGGCAACTCAACGTCGACCACGGGTGCAGACAAGGTGGAACAACCGGGCGATGTGACATGTGACTCGGTTCCCAACGCCGACCGGCACAAGTCGATCTTAGGTGGAATTCCGTCGGGAAGTGAGTGTAGGATCTCGCTCTACTCATCCGCAGGTTGCGGAGACAGAGAAGCGTTTAGTCTCACTCAGTACACCACCACCTGTTTTTCTCTCGAAGATTTCACCGCGCCGCTTGCATTTTACGAGGCTACTGGCTGTGCATGATTGAACAGGTGGATTGTGAAGGAAATTTGATGAGTTTGAGGGATCATACGAGAATATGAATGTAGCAAGAAAGTTATGAAGCGGAATAATGAATATTCAATGATATGTAAATATCCGTGTAAAACATCGACGTTCATGTCGTAGCAATAGGGGCTAGATCCCTGTATTACGCGCTACGAAGCCCGCTGACGTAACTAAGTAAATTCTTCGCTTCGAAGGACTTCCAAGTCATTAATCTACAACGCGCTTAGACGCGACTTAACGCGAAAGCTAAATCACTCAACTACAACGTAGGGGAATACGAAGACAAAAGTCTTAGTTTTATACATCTTACTCTTTTTCTAACAGTATTATCTATGAAAACCTAGCTCCGTCAAATATGCCTCAATCCAATGCCACCACCCGTTTCTTCGATTTTAACGCCCATCGGGCTGCTCAAGAAGTATGAACGAGCTACTCGATCCGTTTACAACGTGGAACTCAGGCTCATCGAATATTAGGCGAATACCAAAATCCAGTTGGTAATAAAACTTAAAGAGCACCACTTGCTATCGGATGACCAGATGGATCAGTTTAAACACCATGCAGTCAATTACTACAGGAAACATCGATTCAGAGAGTCCCAGGACGAAGGGCGGCAGCTTCAGTTAGAAAAGGAATATAACGGGGTCACTCTACACTACTTCATCCAGGCTACTATAGAGTGGATGAAGAATTGTCTCCCCATCGGCCGCTGCATTCAAATCTACGAGGATGTCATCTCGGTCATACCATGCGATCGCGATGAACCAGCACGGACCGAACCGACCAAACGAGAGAAGCCCGAAACGCCATTCTCCGTATCCAGAGCAGTATAGGCACTCAATTTTCTTTCAATTTATAGAGTATTAATTGTTTAAAGGAACCCCGATTTACCAAATCCAATGCGGAATTGATTGATGCTCTTGCATCTGCGACTAACATGAAACCTGGAACGGCAATAAATATTCGTGGAAGTATTGTCGTCGCTGACTCAATTTCAGGCGGCAATAACTTTACGTCAGGAATACTTACGTCTTGGACCGGACTTGTCAGTGGCGGCCGACTTGGTCGCGACCATATGCTCAACGATGTGCCCAACCACTACGTTAGAGATCGCTTGATGGATTATATCGATACTCAACTTCAAGAAGACAAGCTAGAGCGTGCCCTACTAGCTGTGTTTACTGACCTTAACTCCGATGAAATCAAGCAATATTCGGTTCTCGTTAAACAGTGGATTGAGAAGTGCGAACCGAAGACATGTGAAGAGCTAATAGCATTAGTTGCCGGTAATAAAGTCATCAAAACCGACACCGAAAGAGGACGGGTGCTAGATCTAGGGCAGGCTCTAGAGGACGTCTATCAGGACGTTGATCTAACGCCCAAACCGGGGTTTGCCGAACGCACATACAGCGATCCGGGACCGATCATTTACTCGGTAGTCGACCCGGGCCAAAAGAAGCCCACTCCACAAGAATGGTATCTAGATCCCGGAACGGATATTGATAGGGACTGCGATCAGATCCGAGCTATGATTGCCATCTTTGCGTTCAGTAAGGAGTGGACAGTTGACCAATTCCGCCGAGCGCTAGGGAATCGCATCGAACGCAAAGACTTAACTCACTTTCTGTCTGATTACGGGCCTAAGGAGGGTAATAATACTATTTATCAGCTTGCATGGGAGTTCTTCAAGAGGCGCGAGCTTCTTGGTTTCTCGTTGGTAGTAGATATCTCAGCGGATACCTCAGACAACAGGGACATCCTCCAAGAACGCGATACTAATACTAGGAAGCGCCCAAGTACTGAAGCGAACGGCGGAAATACCAAGGAGAAGCGCACGAGAAGATCATGATTGGGCGACCTTCCGCAACACTGGGAAGGGTGGTTCATACGCTGCCTCTTCGAGCATAGGATGTTCCCGCACTTGATGGAATATGTACAAGTAGTAGTTGCAACTGTAGATCATAGATTTCTCTGCCACACGGAATTACACCTAAATTTACCAACGAAATGCCGCCCTACTAGGATAGCTCAGGTTGTCTCAGCTCGGCCACTAAATTCGTAGCGCCTTACGGTGCGAGCAATACCTCAAGCTACACGATTTTTGAGACCTGACACACCATACGATCACATTTCTAGCTGAGACATATCAACGACGATGCTTCGCAAGCATCAAGCTGCCGGTTTTTTATCCGTGCTCTTGGCCAGCTCTTCCCATTCTTCGCAGATCTTCAATGTCTCCTCGCACTTCTCCTTAACCTTCCCCCACCCATCACTTCCCAACGGCACCCGTAGCGGCACTGTCTTGCCCGCAGCCATCCCGGTCCCCTTAACTAGATCAATCATCCGATCGACAGCTTTGTCGGAGTCTCCAGGCTCGTTGCCTATCACGTCCGCCACGTAGTCCTGCGCAACTTTGAAGAAACCACCATAATCTGTCTGGTTTCGCAAAGGCGCGAAATTGGTCTTACTGAATACGCTCGTGCTGAAGTAGCCAGGCTCAACAAGTAAAATCTTGATGCCTGGCGCTATGTACGCGAGTTCCCTTGAGAGACATTCGGCCATTCCTGCGGCGTTCATACATTAACCTCTATTTCTTACTTTAATCGAAAAGCGATGATTACGTACCTTCAAGAGCAAATTTCGACGAGCAGTACCCTGATGCGCCAGGGTCACCGTACCAACCCGCTTGGGAGCTCATGTAAAGCAATGTACCCTTTCCTTTCGCACGCATCTTAGGCAGAATTGCTTGAGTAATGTGAAAAGGACCGTAGAAGTTGGTCTTCATAACATTCTCCAAGTCTTCTGGACTATTCATACCCCATGTTAGACCACGACCATATCTTCAGGATGCGCGTATTCCAGTGCACTTACTTCAACTCTTCTACGGCACCACTCAAGATGTAGCCGGCATTATTAACAACAACATCGATTCCATCCGGGAACAAACTCCACGCATGTTCTATCTTAGCCCGTATAGCATCGGAAGACATAGAAACGTCAAGATCAAGAATCTCGGCACCCGTATCTTTGAGGTGAGACAGCTTCATTTCAGCGGAGCGACCCGTTGCGATAACATTATCGCCGGCGGCCCGGAGCTTTCGAACGAAGAGTTCGCCGAAGCCGCTAGAGCAGCCAGTTATCAGCCAGGTCTGAGGCATATTCGCTTTGACCGTGTAATTTAATGAGATGTCTGGAGCAATATGCTGGGCGCTAGAAGTCGAGAACACTTGCCTAAGTACTCAATCGTTCACCTGCCCTGATCCAAGCGGCATATTCCTTGAGCCCACAGAATGCGGGTGCATGAATGCATCTGACACAATTGATCTATGTCATACGTAAGCAATAATAGATCCTACCTTCCAGCACTAAAGTGGATCGGCTCCAATTGTTTCGCATTCAGCTTGAAGATCTTCAGTGTCCATAATATGTGGCGCACTTGTTACGCCGCGTCTCCGCGGAAGGAAGCGGTGGGTCCGACTCCTACGCCGTCGGCTCCGTCCCGGCCCGGGGGGCCGCTTTGGCGAGTGCGATACGGCGTATTCGGAAATGGATCGGCTTTACCTACCAAAGAGCTCGATATGAATAAAACAGAATCTCGAGAAAAGTCACTCATTCAATAAGACCAAAATTTCCAAACCTAGGGACAAAACGCTAGGTAGTTAAGAGTTTTCTTTCACTAGGATAGTTAATATGTCTTACCAGTTCCAAGCACATGGCGCTCTGGATCAGTATTAAAGCTCTCCATAAGTACACATATCTGATTAGTTACCTAAATGGATACCTGGTTAATATAGTTACGAATACAATATAGACCTCATTCTAGTGACAGGTTAAGGCTTATTGGGAAACGAGAAAGCAACATCACAATGAAGTCAAAGCAATTAATAGTGCTAGATAGGTCGTATGCGAGTATACTGAAGCGGTACAAGAGGTATATTACTAAACCATCAACAAAGACTTCGATTACAACAGGGGCTATTATTATAGCTTTTGTTTACTCAAGAAGCTGATTGTTTCCTTGTTATGTCTTTGAAAAGCTAACATACAATGCAATTCAGAGTCCATATAACATCAGCCAGCCATGTGACGTACACCAAGAAAAATTTCGATCCAAACAGGAATTTTCTACCTGATCATCGTATTCGAAATGGAAACCACTCAAGGAACCCGCCCGACTCCTCAGTCGCTGCCGAGACTCATAATCCCATCTAACCGTTATGAGCCTGAGCCAGAAGAGATAACGACAAGACGGGTAGCTAGCTTTCTAGACTTCTGTGCAAAATACAAGAAGGCCCCTCTCACACGGCTACCTTCTATTCCCCTCATTTCCCCTCCGCCTGCTTCTGATTCAGAATCAGACACGGACGCAACGAAATGTAAAACCAAGAACAAAAACCGCCAGGGTACAGAGGACGGTATTGCATCTCTCAGATTCGATAACCCGCCAAATACTCTCGCATTTACGGAGAATGAATGGGAGGTTCTAGAGACTAAACAGGCGGAGTACGAGCACGCCAAGGCACAGCACACAGAGGCTATCTTAGAGATGCAGGCTGATCCAAAAGACAGGAAAATATTGCAAAAGTGCAAACACTGGAGACAGATTAGGGAACGTCTTAACTTAGAGATGTCACTGATTTGGGAGAAGAGGGAAATTCGTAGAAATTTCCGGAGGGACGCCAACAACCCCAAAGGTATTAAAAATTGGTAGAGAATAAGTATCCCGACGAACGATGAGGGTTGATTATCATAGTAGAATTTCTAGCGTTGGAATTGTTAGCCGCAGGCGGCATCCTTTCATTAGTAAGCATTGGGAGTTGGGGTAAAAGGGGTATGAAAAATTAGCATAAAAGGAGAGTATACATTCGTAATTAGGTGGGTAGGTAGGTATGTAAGCAATCTATCGCAAAATTTACGATCCACAAAAAATAAATATTGAATAGGTATCAAAGGATCTTGAATTAGTGTTATAAATTCGTAACCTGTGCAGTCCAGTACCTGACATTTGCTTTGCATCCTGTGAGTTCATAGCGTCGTCGAGACATACAATAACTTAAAAAGTGGATAGTTCCAAACCAGCATTGCTACAGATAATACTGTCTTGGAGTTACTTATGGGATTCCGTTATAGAAGTCAAGACTTTGATGAAATACAAAGGAAATGACTCCTCGTGTTATAGTGAGACACGAAAGAAGTGATGTAAGTAGGCCAGTCGAATCATGAATTGGAACAATACATGGTTGTACTATTACTACCTAGACTTGTTATTGTGTTCACAAACATCATCATTCATTGCATGATTGTTTCATAACAGTCAATTGTTCAGATCGTAGATATAGGAGGTTCAAAGCAGCCATCGTTTCCTCTCTCCATTATAAATCACAAAGAAACAATTACTATCAGTACAATACCATATTAACTTTAACAATAGACGCTTCAAATCAGAAAAAGACACAATGGCGCACCAAGACAAGCAGATCCGTCGGAAGCCGGTACCAATAAGGCTCCCTAATCTCCCGACGTATGATAACGGGGATGGACAAGCCTTTGAACAACGAACGGAGAGAACAATGCTGCCAAGGCCTAACACTTCGCGGAATTACACATATAGCTCTCCTTCGAACACCGAAGTCCCTTGGGTTCCAGCCAGGCCGGGAACACCATTCCCTTTCGTTTCTCGCTCTCAAAGACCGCGGTACGTTCCGTATCGCCCCGGTGCAGTATGGTGTCCCGAGTCATACTCAGGATCCATAGCTAACGTACTTGAGCAGACGCGCCAGGCCGAGGATCAACTTCGAGCCCCTTTAACAGCTGACAATGTCAGGTGGCCCTTCTTAGACAATGACGATGACGACGAGCCAACCGCCGAGTTCCCGGCTGTGCCCTTGCCTGAAGCACCTCTCCGCAGGCGAAGAGCCATCCGTCGTGGAAGTTCCGCGTATTCAGGCACCTCAGGTAGGCTCCCCCCTACCCCTATCCCTACTAACGAGGAACATGGTAGGATGTCAGGCCCGCTCAGCGAGCTCAGCCGTGACCCCCTGAGCACCTTGGAGAGGCATCAACGAAGGAGGGAAATAGCTCAAAGTGATTACGCCGAAATGAACCAATCTTGGTACCCGGGTGATGATGAAGTCCTCGTTGTCAAGAATGTTTTGGATGCTAAGAGACCCAGACGTCAGGGCTAAAGCGCTGAGATGTGTGTGATGCAGGTGCCCCTTCCCGATCCCCTCCTATCCCTACCCCGGCCCCTTTTAGTTTCAGATTAAGCAACGACCGGTCTAACTCCGTGCCCACTCGCCCTAAAACACCGACGGATTACGTACGGCGTCCGTTCGATGACCCTGCCCCGTTGAACGTTGCGGATGAGCTTCGGAATGCGGGGCAAGGACTTCGGGGCCCGATTAAGGTCCACTCCATTGCGCCGGAACGGATCCGCCGAGGTACACCATCGGCGTCGAAGGATCGGAGATAATTCGTAGGTCAATAGGTAAGTACGTTCTTTTCTTAGATATAATCTAAAATTTGATGAAAGCGTTTACATTTAAAGTGAGGAGGTTTTGGGGATATATTTTTTCATATCACTATTGAGGCTTTAATCAGTAATCATTTGAAGTAACTCTTCAAAATAAATTCAATGTGTTGACATATAAATCAATAACTAGTATAAATTGTTCCTAGCATCGAAAAGGCCTTGACTCAAAGACATATTAATCCTATGCACGTACCTAAATTTGCTTCACCATGATCTTTGAAGAACATTATATCATCACTGTGTTAGATTTCCAGATACGTTCATGCTCTCAAGTACGATGTTAGTGAATAATCATCTCAGAATTTCACATTGAATTTCCATCTTAGGTAGCCATCGAGCAATTGTGGCGGCCCTGGTGTGTCCTGCCGAAGTCAGGTATGGTTTATAATCGACTAAGATCTCTCACGGAGTGTGTTTCTGTCTGGCGCTGAGAGCAAGTGACTAGGTAGCTAGCAGCACCTTGGCTGCAGCTGCGTGTGATATCTACAAATATATGGCAAGTAAATACTGACGCTTATCCTTCGTCTTATATCTAACATTAAGCGTTATTAAATGCAGACTCTGTAAGAATAATATCATGGGCATGTAATACTTACCTATATTCTACAACAATAATTTTAATTTTGGTGTGCCATTTTCTACATGTCTAAGAGGACTAGCCCCTTGACAGCAGCTTACTGTCAAATATGGCTTGTATGGCCAGCAGTAATATTGGGATCCCCTGAACCGGCGCAAGTCTTCAATTGGGGACTAGAAGGTACTATGGTACTCGCATGAACTTGTACATAGACCAGGCCCAGAATATAAAGCATGAACAGTATATATTTTAATACCTATGTTGCCTTATATGATGAGAGATGTCTACCTACTAAGCAAGGGGATAATAGTATTCATGCTAATTAAGGGGACACGATATAAGATAACAAAGAAAGATTTACTCAAGTGGTCCTACTATAAGATAAGATACCGCAAATATAACTGAGTAAATCTTGCAAGACTTCGGATGTGATTGATCTGCATTTCATCATGCTGATAGACCGGAGCAGAGTGGCAGTCCCGTCTCCGCGAGATCCGTTCACGGAAATGTACGTATCTATACCTATGTACAAATACGCCGACTAGGTATACCTGGGTAGTTGATATAATGCATTCCTAATAACTAACAATTGTCGCCGGCGTCGTCTATCTTCGGGCTTCATCGATAATAGTCACACGAACCGGTGATCCCTGCGCAGAAGCTGGATAAGAAGTGTGAATGTCTCTCGTACGAGGCTGACCCTCTCCTTACGGTTAGACTAGCGCAACAGCCACCGACCCAATGCCGGGTCCCCGGAGCAGGCACTTGAAGGCTTGGAGCACAGTCTACCGTGCGTGCCGCGTAACGCCTCTTACCAATGACGTCGCCCTATCACATCTGCTAGCGTACGTACAGTAGTAGGGACGGGATCCCGAGGGCGCGGGACTGGAAAATGAGGGTTAATCTGATTTAACGATGAGTCATGTTTGGGGGTGTCACCGCATTTGCCGGAATACCCTATTTTTGGATTTTATGGAGGTCGCCGAGGATAAAATGGCGCGAGACGCCCAGACCTGGGATGGGCGGAATGGGTTAGGTCTTAATGTATTGAAAGGAGCTGAGCTTGTATTTGATGACGAATTTGGCAGGTAGGTACCTAACCAATGCGATAATATGAACTGAGATCTCTGAGAGCTGAAAAAATAAAGAAGTAGCCCGTAGACATCGACCCACAGAAGTAGCTATAGAACGTACTGGTACACTTGTATGCTGGGTGTGTGCGTGTGTATGTGTATGTGTATGTAGATATCTACCTATATATGTAGGTCAGGCTGATGGTGTACATGGCTAGTACGAGATTGTCGAGTGATGACATCTGAAACCGATGTCATATCAGACCTGCCTGTCTCCGGAATAGCGGTGGAGAGCTTGTGTACGGTGGGTTGGACGGGTGTCACGACGTCACAACCGTTAAACAATCATGTGTGATTTAAAATCTGTTGGGCGGCAGGTCTGGCATATGCACAGCTTAAGATTCCTTCTCGTGTTACCGTTGTACACACAGGCGCTAGATGCACGGGTATTCCTGGGGCATTCCTATAAGGAACCAGGGGGATTGGATAATGTTTCGTGATTTTTTGCGGTCATCGCAATTTTGGGGGGCACGGGACTAGATGTACAAACGTCTTGAGGTTCGAACTCTTCGCCTCTGTGCCCCGACAAGCTGGTATTGGGTCGTCTTCCGGGTGCCGTTCCTGCGTCGGTAGGTGGTGAAGCACAGCACTACACTAAAGTGCATATGCAGCCCTGCCTGTCAGATTCAACAGGCTAGCTGATAATAGGCATGGTTGGGTGGCGATAGGCAGCCAGAAACGGGTTGCAATTCTAAAATACTCCGAAACCCCAGAAGTACCGGATGCTGGAACGCTAAATAACCAACGCTTGGACTATTTCCGCGAACATCTGCTTTGTGAAGCCTCGTCTTTCAACAGATCTCAGTGCGAAGTTTACGTGGCGGCGAGCAGTCTGGATCCTTGGCGCGAGCTTGCTGGGTCGACTTATTCTTAGCGGCTGGGTCGAGCAGATTTGGGCTGCTGGAGCTGAATAGAATCAGGATTTAGGAATTGATAAACTGGTTATAGCATCTCTAGTCTCGAACGGAAGCGGAAAGAGAAGTGACGATATCTTACATAGTACATTGCACATGCGTAGGTAAGTTTTGCCCACAGCGGAATTTCATCATGTGAGAGAGATGGTTACCACATAATATGTGAACAATAGACTATTTAGGCGTGGCTTGCGATTGGCGGTATTAAACCCATGCCGCTTATCACGAACTTGATCGGCCCTCCTTTCAGATGGTCGTGGGTCCGGCAACCGAAAGCGACACAACTCTGGGACGGGGCAAGCGAACGTACGGTTAAAATTGATTTGGCGGCCTGACAAGCTTGACGCTCAGTCCTCCTTGGATTTCGGCTACCTGGTATATACATACATTCCATACATAGCACATAGATCGTACATGCGGCGTAGAAGTAGATTTCCACGTGCTTGATTGTCCAGCCGCACACGAAGGATTCGATACGATATATGATCAATACAACATTGAACTGGCCAGAAAGCGTACCTAAGTCAGATGTCTCAAAAGCCCGCGACCCTAGCAGTTAATAGCGCGAGTATGAAATTCAACCCCGCAAAAACGATCCATGTTGGCGTGGAATTTCTGACTACGAACCTGACTAGGTAGTTGCTAGGTAGCTTGGCTGAGATAGGCTCTTCTTGACCTTCCCAAACATAGTATGGATGCGCCATGTAGCCGTGTGCATCGGAGTTAAAAAGCTACTGTCGGTCGAGATCTTCGGGCCATGCTTGTTATTGCATGATGATGGATAACGGCTTGCGTACGAAATACGGTGGCGGTGGAAGCAAGATTCGATGACACCTATTCCACAATCCCATAATTCTACAAGAGAATTCTCGTAGTGGTGAGTGTTTCATCAGCCCATAATCCAATAAGTGGGTGTTGGCATAATAAACGCTTCCCCTTGTATTCGACTTCTGTGACGTCTTTAAGCGCCCGTCTAATAACAAGTAAGGCAAATAAGGATACGAAGGCGTTGAAACAAAACAAGAGACAGCTGCAGGCGGCCTTGTTTTCGAGATGCAAAATTGGAAAATGCAACTCTCCTACTCGCTTGAGATCCTGCGTTCTCTTACCACTCCATGCGCGACATATTTCTAGTCCAATGTCTTGAAGCTGATTCGCACAGTTCGCACAAGACGGGAATTTTCGTTTCGAGCAGAGACTCTTTGACGCTTCTAGAATTACTCTTCTAGAATTGGTATTTGTGTTTATTTGTATTTGTATTTTCGTCCGAGCTTGGTGTTCCCTCCGCGAAGCGCATTATCTCGATAACGTGCAGACTTCGAGTTACATGCATATGCCAAGTAATATCAAGAATAATAAATAATGAATAAGTTTCGTAATCGGAGACTTCCATCTGCGTCGGTAATGTTCGGCCGTGGACCCCGCTTGAGTTCCTTCTTACCCCTGGCTTCCCCTGTCAGACAAAGCCTTTATTGGCTGATGAATGAGGGTGGTTCCTGGATAACTGGAGAATGATAAGAAGGAAGTCGATACTTACTTCTTTAGACTTAGCTTGTACGATTTCCGAGAGGCGCTAGTATGTATGGGGCAACGGCTCTGTTTAGCTGCATGGGTTTTTAGTTTTCTTCAAAGTGAAACTAACACAGTAGGAATACTTTATTTTCTTACTGAGTATTCCATCATACCACTATTTCAGTTTCCGAAGGGCAAGGAAACAAAAGTCTCGGTTCGCCCATCTTGACCTTGATCATAGTTCATATATATATTCTACTGTATGTAAACATCTTTCGGTGAGGCCGACTGCCAACTTGTCAGAAGTAAAGTACTTGTGCTTCTTTTGGTTCTCATAACTCTCACAGCTCTCACAACTCTCATAACTCTCATAACTCTCATGCTTCTTCATTTAGACCTTGCTTTATGTTTCATAGATATCGATCCTGTGCTTAAGAGCTCTGTCGATCATCACGAGGTGTTTCATGAAATATATGCACTCCTTACTTAAGCTGCTTAAGCTACCTTGACGGCCCGCACAAGCCACGCACACCCGCTGCACGACTTTACAATAACACAGACATCCTCCATCCATTTGACATGGCATCCCAGCTCTAACATGCTAGCAACTGCGGCTCTTCTAATCCGCATGTGACGATAGTGGGCGTTGAGGATCCAGATGGATTGACAATGGAGGTGGCTGGTTCTTCTACACGGTTTCGAGAAAATGTCAGGATCATATCATGATCTATCATCGGACGCTTTCAAAGGCTTCCTAGGACTAGATGGCTCAGATGGCTGCATTATCGACGATATTATGAACAAGGTTGGAAAGCGATGTTTTGCGTACATTCGACATCTAACATTTGTACATTCAATTGTACATACAATAACGTTTACATACGCGGAGTATATTACTCTATGCAGTTTAAGCGAGAACGAATTATGATAAATATACTAATAGAGGAGACGATTTAAAAAAAAAAACACGCTAAACTGTCACTGTTCTGATCCCCCACCTTCTATTCCCAGTCAACCTATTTTAGCGCAAGTACACCAACCATAAGTTTCTACCGTAAGAGATTTGGAGAGAACATCCATTGAAAGCTCCAGTTTCTTGACATCCATTGAATGGACTACTGCGCAGTAATGAAATAACTTTTTGTTACCGTGACTGTGTGATATCTAGACCGCCAATCCAATACCCCGGCACTGACTGGCATGGACACACGCACATACGGTACGGTACACACCATCATCTCAATCTCAATAATTGCTGACCTTCATTGGCCCAGAGAAGAAAAGAAGGGAGATAGAACAAAAGAGAAAGAAGGAAAAAAAGGGACAGGTCGACTTTTACAACATCGCCTTACCCTGTTTTCCTTACTTGCATCCTAACCCATTTTCCTTCCCATTTCTTTCTTACGTGGATTATGACGAATAGATTGAGAGCAGTCATCCCTTTCGAGTTCCTTTGATTCCGAATTGATACTTGCTTCTTTCTGCTTATTCGATTTTTACTTTATCCCATTCTCGCTTATTCGAATATTGTCTATTAGTTCCCTATGTCATTGATTAATTGGTAAATTCTTATATGCCACGGTCAGGACCTGCTTCCTCGGTGATGATATTTTGAGAATTATCTTGAAAGTCGCCCCTCTACGGCAATTATATCGTTATTCAATTAATGTCCCCACTTTTGGTCGACTCGCTTCCGGTTTAATCGATGGCGTTGAAGCGTTGATTCCGTTTTTGTACATACAGCCGAACATCCAACCGGATTTGATGTTATCTATACCTAGTAGTAGCATACAGGCATCCATTAGGATAGTATCATTTTTTCTATCACGGTGGTACTTGCTGCTACGTACTTGGCTACTTCGCTACTACGGTGCTACGTACATACACACACTAACGCACTCAATTCACTTCCATACTTCACCTACCACAAACTTCCTCGATACGCTTCCACGCTACGACTATTCAGGCCAAACCCCCAAATCTAATCCATCCCGCAAAGTATCTGAAGTTTCTTGTCTTTCAATGTTCCCTCCCCTTTCTCGTACACCACATACCACACCCAGCACACCCAATACACACCCACATCTCACACCACACACCCATACCCATCCATACCCATACCCATACCCATATACCCTGAACCCATAACCAATAATCCAGACCCCCAGACCGAACACACGCCTTGCGCCCTGTCGCAGTTCAGTGGCCCAGTCGATTTCTTTTGAGCGCCGAACCCCTCTCCCTCTTCGCCATTCCTCGTCTTAGTCAATTAAGTCGATTTCCAATCAATTCCCGTGCAACATCTTAGCACGACCGCTTGTGCTCTTTTGGGGGGCTTATGTCTTGACGAAGTTTCCATATCCGTGTGTGCGACTTAATTCTTCTACCCACTACCAATCCTGCGGCTACCTCTGTCGCAGCGCAACGAAGCGCAGCCCTCTCGTCGCCCGCCCAGACGGTCTTATGCTGTCCAACCGTCTAGCCTTCACCTACAGCCCAAGCGAACATTGACCATAATTGTTTTGAGGAAAACAAGACACGATCCGATTCTGCTTAATTGGTCACAGACAATCCGGTGTTTGATCTTTAGTCGCGACAGATTCACGGCTACTAATTAAACGTATTTCCACCCAGTTCCCACTCTGTTGACCGATTAAGAACACCACGAACCAAGAGCGACCTTTTTTTTTTGTCTCCCTTGCGGGTAGAATCCGAGTCAGACAAACCTCATTCAGTATTCGACGAACCTAAACCCTTTCGGTTTAACCCACGTTGATACTGGCGCTTGCTGGTCCGTCGTGCCGACCTCAATTGATTCTGATTCCGAACCGAAAATAAATCAATTCGGATATACATCGATAATATATACACGCAATCATACATTCACCAATTTGTTACGAACCTGCACGACGCCAACCGACGAGACGATTTTCCTCTTTTCCCTCTCCCGACTCCTTTTCGTCATCGCTTCATGTGAAGTATATAATTACCTACCTAGCCGAGATTCGATAGACTAGAAACATTAGGCGATTTCGGTTCGATACGGGTCAATTCAATTGCGCGATACAATAATTGTCTTGGTTTTCTAATGATCGCAATTCCTCGTCGCGCCTAGCTCACTATTCTAGCGTTAACAAGTCCGACAAGCGGCTGTTGAGACGACCGCTTTACGATTCGATATAGTACTTCGCACTTAAAACATGTCAGTCATGTTACAAACACCTTCCAGGGCATCGACAGCCTCGTCTTCGTCATTTCAACCGATTTCTCGCCAGAACACCATGTCTTCCTACGAGGGTTCGCGCTCCGCACGCCAGTCTAAGCGATACTCTATGTCGGCTTTGTACTTATCTATGTCGGCGAACGAGTCGGATCTGGAAATCGAAGATGATTTGGCAAAAGGTAAGGGGTTCATCATGGATAAATCTCGTTGTAGAATGAGAAGGAACTAATTCAAGCGGCGAACTACAGCTCAGAAGATCTTGCGCGAGTTGAAATCCAAAATTTCGTCGCAGTCTAAGAAGAACTTCGTCCTGGAAAAGGATGTTCGGTACCTCGATTCCCGAATTGCTCTACTAATTCAGAACCGGATGGCTCTGGAAGAGGTTAGTTGATTCTCTCCCCCTACTTACAATTATTAGGTGGCTAAATCAGTTATTAGCAAAACGAAGTAGCGAGCCACCTCGAAGATGCGACCGATCTGTTAGAGGGCGCGTTTCCCAACGACGACAAGACGCAGAAATACGGCAATCTGTTATTTCTATTGCAGTCCGAGCCCAGGCATATTGCTCATCTCTGTAGGCTAGTGTCCATGTCTGAGATCGACTCTTTGCTACAGACCGTCATGTTCACCATTTACGGAAATCAGTATGAAAGTCGAGAAGAGCATCTGCTCTTAACTATGTTTCAGGTAGGTTCTCTTGTATTATTATTGTGATGGGGGTATCTTATTAACTCCGTTTAGTCCGTTTTGACCTACCAATTCGACACCACTCCGGAATATTCCTCCCTTCTCCGAGCAAATACGCCGGTCTCTCGTATGATGACTACCTACACTAGACGTGGACCCGGGCAGAGTTTCTTGCGAACGGTACTGGCGCAAAGAATCAACAGTTTGATTGAATTGACGGATCTGGACCTCGAAATCAATCCCTTGAAGGTCTACGAGCGCATGTGCCAGCAAATCGAGGAGGATACCGGCAGTCTCCCGCCAAGTCTTCCTAGGGGCATCACGGGGGAGCAGGCTGCCGAAAATCCCCAAGTGCAGGCTATCATCGAACCTCGTTTGACAATGCTGACGGAAATTGCTAACGGCTTTCTGACTACCATTATCGAGGGGCTTGAAGAGGCTCCCTACGGTATCCGATGGATATGCAAGCAGATTCGAAGTTTAACGAAGCGAAAATACCCCGACGCGAACGACCAAGTCATCTGCACATTGATTGGCGGCTTTTTCTTCCTTCGTTTCATTAATCCCGCCATTGTTACACCCAAGTCGTACATGCTCATCGATGGAGTGCCCTCTGAACGACCTCGACGTACGCTAACGTTAGTTGCCAAGATGTTGCAGAATCTGGCTAATAAGCCATCGTATGCCAAAGAACCATACATGGCGAAGTTGCAGCCGTTCATCCAACAGAATAAGGATCGTGTCAACAAGTTTATGCTTGACCTTTGCGAGGTTCAGGATTTCTACGAGAGCCTCGAGATGGACAATTACGTCGCACTTTCCAAGAAAGACCTCGAGCTTTCTATCACGCTGAACGAGATATATGCCATGCACGGGCTCATCGAAAAGCATAGTGGGGAACTTTGCAAAGACGAGACCTCTCACTTGGCTCAAATAATAACCGAATTAGGTCACGCGCCCGCGCAAGTACCTCGGAAAGAAAACAGAGCCATCAACCTTCCCCTATTCAGTCGATGGGAGACCGCCATCGATGATTTGACAGCAGCCTTGGATATCACGCAGGAAGAAGTATACTTCATGGAAGCTAAATCTATCTTTGTGCAGGTGATGCGGTCTATTCCTGCGAATAGTTCGGTCGCCCGACGTCCATTACGCTTGGAGAGGATTGCCGACGCAGCAGCCACGTCAAGAAACGACGCAGTCATGGTTCGGAAAGGTATTCGGGCTATGGAACTACTTAGCCAACTCCAGGAGATGAAAGTCATCGATAAGTCCGACCAATTCAGCCTCCTAAGGGATGAAGTTGAACAAGAGCTGCAGCACTTGGGTTCTTTGAAGGACGGAGTCATTGCGGAGACGGCTAAGCTCGAAGAGGTGTATAAGACGATCAGGGACCACAACTCGTACCTTGTCGGCCAATTAGAGACATACAAGAGCTATCTTCACAATGTGCGAAGCCAGTCCGAAGGCACGAGGCGAAAGCAGCAGAAACAGCAAGTTCTCGGCCCGTACAAGTTCACTCACCAGCAGTTGGAAAAGGAAGGTGTTATTCAGAAGAGCAATGTCCCTGATAACAGAAGGGCCAACATCTACTTTAATTTCACCAGTCCTTTACCGGGAACTTTCGTGATCTCACTGCATTACAAAGGTGAGTCGGACAGAAACTTCTCAAATACTCGTGCCAAGGCTAACCAGTGTATAGGACGCAACCGTGGGCTTTTAGAGCTCGATCTCAAGCTCGACGACCTGCTAGAAATGCAGAAAGACAACCAGGACGACCTAGACCTTGAATACGTACAGTTCAATGTCACGAAGGTATTGGCCTTGTTAAACAAGCGCTTTGCCAGAAAGAAGGGCTGGTGATCAGGGGGCACCAGTATTTAGGAAGCATTCTTGAGCCTTTCTGGCTTATTTACCGACCAGCAACTTGCACCACGTTTGTTTCGAGGACCTTGCACGGCGTTCACGGCTGATTACGACTTGATACCATTTTCTTTTGCTATACCAGAGTGTTACACTCATTTCAAATGAAATTTGCGTCCCTAGGTGCTTTCTTGGCTGCGCGCTATAATGTGCTCTAGGCGCCGATTACATAAGACCTAATACCGGTCGAGCCGTTTTTCACGACGGCGAAACGGTCAACCTTGCTGGAATTGATTACACCAGTTGATAAATTAGCCAGGCGGCCCTGACTTATCGCCCCATGGCCACATACACGAATCATTATTGTTGGGGGACGTTTTGCTATCATCCCTATTATTTATACTCTTGTCGCAATACGTATCGTGTCGTACATGTCATAGGCGGTTTAGTCGGTGGAATTTCCAGAATAACGCATATTGGCTTTTCATTTAGGGGTTGTAAGGGACGGCAGAAGGGCCTCGTGTGATTCCGACGATATACTTTCATAGGAGTCTAGTAAGGGGAGATGATGAAGGGCGTTTATATCTAGGTTGTCGAACGTTCGTCAAAAGACGGGAGGGTCTCAATGGGTATTGTAGCGGGGGGTTTTCCCGGGTAGTCTATATTGCTTGGCTGTTGTTACTTCGGCTGGTCCGGCGGCTTTTTGTCATGCTATTTCAGAAGTGTTCATTTTCCTCGAGCTTCTGAACAGGGATTGGGGGAGTCATGTAGCATTTAGTGCGGGAGGTATACATATATGAATCGAAGAGCCTTGACGTCGAGTTTGGCCGACAAAGGAAGTTGACGGGGGTTTGACATTGTTTCGCGTCGTGATATGTAAGGTGATATTCACAATATCAGCTAAGATGTTAGGCGAGGTATGGTATCCATGGTGTCTTAAGTTATAACGTGCCTTAATTATCTTTTCCATACTACTAGGAACGCCATTTATTTTCAACACTATTATCAACTTTCCCAACCCTTTCCCCTCGCACGACTCAACCATCTCATGAGACAGGAACAAGCAGCCTATCAATATCAGGCCCCCAACCCGTCCCAACCGCCTCAAAGAGAATCTCGTTGTCGCTCCCGGCCTCCAAGTCCACGTTCAGCGTGCTGCTCGACACGCTGCTCCCCGTAGGCAGGAACGCCAGCTTCACGGCCGCGCCCCCGTTCACGCGCACGTTCGCGTACCGCGGCGTGCTGTCGCCGTTCACGTACCGCACCTGCACCGTCGTCCACGTCGCCACGTCGCTCGTCACCCCCGTGAACGTGACCGTCCCGTCATCGGGCCCGCCCACGTACCCCGCTGCCGTGCCGCCCGAGCACGCGCCGCACGACACGTCGTGCGCGGCGCCGCCGTACGTCGCTGCTTCGCCTTCGTACGCGTTCTGCGACGGTAGGGCGAGAGACGCGGATGTCGTTGTCGTGTTCAGGTTCGGTACCCAGGAGGATGCGTCGGGCATCGTCACGCTGGTCCCGGAGATGCTGAGGGGGAGCCAGACGTATGTTGACGCCATTAGGTTGCTGCTTACCCACCGGTCGCCGAGGTACACGGCCGCGGAGGGCCCGACGGGGAGTATGAAGTTCGTCTGCGAGGAGTACGTGTTGCTTCCGACGGTGGCGAAGGTGGCCCAGGCCGACCACCCGGATGTGAGGGAGGTCGAGGTGCTGTAGACGTTGTCGTTCGGGTCCCAGCCTGTCAGGTGCGAGCCGAACATGTAGTACCGCCCGTTCTGCTTCAGCAAAGCGGGCGCCTCGATGCTGTCGCTCCAGAGATACGTGCTCTCCTCCACGCTCAGGTAGTCGTCGGACAACTTGTCGATACGCAACCCGTTCGCCCTGTCCTCGCTAAGCAGGTACCCGGTCCCGTCGTCGTCCTGGAAAAGGCCCATGTCGCGCGACTGGAAGCCCAGCGGCTGGAACGAGCCCAGGTAATCGTACGAGCCGCAGACGGTATCCCCGGTCGCGACGCCGACCTTCGCCTCGCCGTACGACGAGCTGTCGATGTGCATGTACAGCACGTACTTCTTCGTCGACGCGTTGTACAGCACCTTGGGCCGCTCGACGACGCGGTTCGGGCCCAGGTCCCCCGAGCTCGTCCGGCTCAGCAGCGCGCCGACGTACGTCCATTGCACGAGGTCGGGAGAGGAGTAGCAGTTCACGTTCTGGAAGGCGCTGCCGTTCGTCTTGTCCTCGCCGATCAGGTAGTACAGGTCGTCGACTTGGATGACGCCGGCGCCGTGGGCTTGCAGGTGCTCGCCGTTAGACTAGAAGCGTGGGGGTGTTAGTTGATGTGGTGTGCGTGATTGGTTGGATTAGGGGGTGACGTTGGGGTAGAGAAAAGGGGGGGCGGTAAGGGGCAGGGAACAGGGGCTGAAGAAAAGGGGTTGTTCCCGGGTAGGTTGCGCCGGTCTTGGGACTATGATTGATGATGGATGACTAAGCTTAAGCTAGATGTGTGGTAGGTAATGAAAGTAACCCACCGCGGTCCATGTGCCCCCAGGTACAACCTGCAAACTTGCACTCGCTAACGGCGATAGCGCCGCAAAAAGCGCCACGTTCAGGAAACGCATCTTGGTATTTTTTAATAGTCGAATGCGCCTAACCTTAAGTTCGCATGCGAGATCGACATGCAAATCGATTGAATGCGCGACCTCTCTGCAGCTGCGGCGAACCGCCCGTTCATATAATGGCAGAGATGCTAGGGGCACAGCTCTCTCCCGCTGTGGGGATAGCAATATGGATATCCGGATTGCTGGGGTGAGATCTCCCGTCGGCATTGATTGCAATTAATGCGAGTCGAGTTCGAGACCCGAGTTCTACGTATGTAGAAAGCGCGCCAACGACGGCTCGCGCCTGCGAGCAGGTGACGAGATGGGTCGGGCCCGTGCCCGTTCAAGTTTCTCCCTCGAAAGATTAAGGGCAGTGCTACATCAGGGGCCTTCGCGTCCTTATTGAGCCATTCTTGGTATTTCTAGGCTTTACGAGTCTGTCGCTGTCCCGATTTGGCGGTTCCATTGCTGTGGCGGCTACAGGGGCGGCTAATATCAAGCTTCGACGACGTGCATGTGCAATTAGGTATCTCGTGTGCGTCGTACGGTGAGTGGGGGCGAAGTAGGTAAACATCAGTCAATCAAGAAACCAGAGTGCCAAGACGTAGCATTGAAGAACTGGTCTTGGTCACGCCTTTTTATGGGATTGGGTGGCATATCGTTTAAAAACTCCACCAATGTGAATACGCCTGGCATCTTTTAGCTTTGAATGTCTCACAAATATTTCTATCATAATACAAGTTGCTAAAAATTAGTCCGGACCTGAGTCATGTGTTTCTAAGACCTAATTACGCGTTACACAACTGGGAGATAGAAACTAAGGTCTATTGAATTTGTGTAAGTTCAAAAACACCTATGGCTTTTATTGATGTGTGGTTTATGACTTCGGAACGGGATGTGATGTGATGAGAACATTAGACACTTCATATGGCCTGTTAAGCGAAATTTCCCAACCAAACACATATAGGTAGAAACGTAGAGAATCATTTTTCAGTCATTAACTTAGTTATTTCATTAAGTCTTTCGTAAAGATTCTAGAAGTTGAATTGTTAGTGGGAAAATGTCTGACAATGCCGGCGCCCTGAATCTTCAAAAGTGACGAGATCCTTCGTCAAGTTCATTAAAATACCAACCTTCCAGCAACAGAATAATAGTATTTTGCTCTCAGAAAAGCCAGTTATGATAATAGTGAAAAATGCAAAGCGTGAAAGACATCGCTAACCCTTTCGCCCGCTCAGAGACGTTTCGCCATTAAACGATGAACAGTCAGAAGAATAAAAATGCCAAATAACGATTCAACGCAAGACGTTGTAGTCAACTTAAAGTTGCTTACATCGCGAAGCGTTATACTTTCTCATCCGTCTAATGTGTTCTACTTTCGCTTAATCGAGCTGGTCAGAGCCACGTCGCGCACTGGTGTTTGATTAACTCAATCATCCAAACTTGATGGAGTGTGACCTATGATGACGGATTCATGACTAGAGCATGTTTGTCAAAAGACTATTTTACCGATAATTAAACTGTTGAGGACAAGACTCTTGATCATTCATACTTTCTACACCGTCTTTCTTAATTCTAGCAATTCTAAATATGGCAAGAGCAGCTTATCTCCTCTCAGAGGCATGTTTATGATTGCTTGAACTTGAGACTACCAACTATGAGCTTCATTGTATTTAGTATTTCTTGTCTGGTGTTCGTCTCCAGCTTAGTTTCGCTTGGATTGCGCCTTTATTCTAGAAAGTTGACGAAAGCGGGCCTCGACTGGGACGATGGACTCATCGTGGCCGCGGAAGCTATCGTGATCGCACTGTTTGGCCTTTCAATCTACCGTAAGCCGTTTTACTCAGTTTGTTTTGGGTATTTATGGTTTATAGTATATCTAACAAGCTCTCTTCTTAGTATGGGACCCGGGATGGAGTCGAGATTCGTTACGCGAGTTAGGACATAGTAGTCATACTGTACTAACTGTCAGTTCCCGCCAAGCTGCCGAGGATCTTCGGAACGATGAGGTTCCCGCCGAGCATATGCTAACTATCTAAGTAGCTTCTCCTTCTCTTCGAAGTTCTGCACCTGACAGCGATGTTTCTCGCAAAACTCAGCGCCCTATATCTCTACGCACGAATATTTATACAAGATAAATTCCGCTTGGCATGTAAGCTTGCCGCAGTTACGGTCATACTTATATATATCGTCATGTTTGTGGATGTCATGACAGTCTCAGACATCGCGATTGCCCTTTGGCAAAATCCCATCATAGGGGGTCCGTCTAGCATGAAAGCCGTCGACGTTACTGTTTCCATTTTGAACATAGTGGGAAACGCGACTATCCTTTTCTTACCAATACCCCCTATATGGAAATTGCAGATGAAAGTCAAAACCAAGATCAACTTGACTATCGTCTTCTGTCTTGGGATCTGGTATGTTATGATCATAGAGACAGAGGCCTGACATTAAGAGCTGATATGAATAAATAGTGTTGCCGTGGTCTCCTGTATTCGCCTGTCCTTTGTAATACGACAGGACTATGATACCGATACACTCATGGCTTACGGTAGCCGCGATATGCACCTCAACGTTCTCGAGCCCGAACTAGCCATTTTCTGTCTTAGCCTCCCTATCATACGACCACTTTGGCTGAAGTTGCGTGAAAAATATCGTGCCGCCAGAGGACAGCCCTGCGTTGACGACAAGTCGAGTATCGCAGCTGCTTCCGGCCATGAGAATGACGATGATAGAAATCTTGTGAGTTGGAAGGAAGTCATAGCGGGAGACACCTCGAAATACGATATTTACATCCATGGAGGAACGTCAAAAGCGACAGGAACCAAGCCAGGCCAATCCCCGTATAGACAAAGGCTACAGCCTCGTTTCGCCGCAAGTCCGCATAGGCAGCCCATGCCACCGCAGTCCTCTCAAATCAAAGTCGATAAGAGTTGGAGTGTTTCTTATGAGTCGGCCTCACTTATGCGCTGATATGTACTGGGAGGAACACGACATCTGAACTGGTTATTGTCAAGTTATACTGTATTGTGGTACCTGTCTTGATCCACATGAAAGGTCGTGGGTAAACCTGGGGCTATGTAGCCTACTATATTATTGACACAATGTTAACCATGTAAGGTTCCTTGTCTCTCATTCAACACCTTTTCAAACGACGCTATCAAGTATATACACATTAGTGGATGTGGATTACAGAGCTAGGCGGTAGGAAGTGTATTATGAATTGGCGTTGGTGTTCGTATTCGAGCTCTAATGTGCCGGATAGCTTGACGTTGGAAGTTCGGTCTACCGTAGGTCTGGTCGGATCGGGGCTCGGCCCGTCAAGGGCCCAACTTGTCCGGAGACTTGCGCGCCAGCAAAAAGACGAAATATATGCGAAAGTGGATGCTCATTTATTTACCTTACCTCTTAATAGCAAATAGGAACCAACACCCGCTGCGGTCAACTAGGGCGTAGGTTAGCACCGGGTCTTATAGCATAATTACGTGGTCAACCGTGGCCTGGCTACCTCCGTCGGCCGTCTAACGAACCGAGCCTAGACGCGGACACGAGTAGAAAGTAGACTAAGGGAGGATCGTAATAGATCGGCCGCCATTCCAAATCCATACCTTGTTTAATCATAAAAACTTCGTTGGCTAGGCCGTCTAATCTCCGTATGGCCCGTGTGTTACGAGCGAATCAATAAGATCGGCGCCAATTTGGTGTTCGGAGAAAAGCGAGGTGGATATACGGAGTTAGATCCATATGACGAACGAGACGGAGCTCTGCCCATAGACTGATTAGGGCAAGTCAATTCACGTGAATGTTCTTAGGTAAAGTCCAGCCGATAAAAGAGTATCGCGTCTTGGTAAGATGATGGCTGCTACAAGACTGCGAAGGAGATATATAATGCCGCTTGCTGCCTCGTAAAACGAGTAGTAGCTTATCTAAGTTAGAAAACTTACCTGGATATGTCCCGTTGACGCAAATCTCGTACGACTGATCTTCTTGTTTCGGATCTCCTGAAGGATCTTCCGACGAGAGTCTAGGAAGCTATGATATACCGCGTATAATAACCAATATAATTGTTGGGAGCTCCAAGGTAGAGTTATGATGAACAGCTAAGATTCAATTAGTTCTTCGTTAGGGCGACGACGATAAGGATATATATATTATTATTAACTGGGATGTAGAAAGGCCAACATCTTTGTTAGAGTGGAAAGAAAGAATTGTGGACCGGCAATCTGGTAATGAAGCTGGCACTACGCTATTATTTAGAGCCTAGTAATTAATGTGGGCGAAGTAGGAGCTGAGAAAGGCGATGTTAGGTACCCATGCTGAACTGGCTGATCGCCCAATATCCCTGTCGTTCAAGTCGGGGTCCCTGTGTCGTGGGCATGGTCTGTGGGCTCGCTATTATCTCATTGTACATGAGAAGTGCGATAATCATATGCTAGGCTCTCGCTGCTCGTGATGTGTCCGACATGGAGAGAGTCTTTTACTTCTCAAGGTATCTTCTCATAATTCAACAGAATTCTGTTAGACAGAGTGAAAGTGCGCTAAGCATTGACCGGGCTATATACAAGTAATAGATGGGTTTCACGGCCCAACTCCATGGTACGATGCCTATCTATTTATGAACTACACTTATGAACTACCTATGGCACTGCTACAGTATCATCTCCTTTTGGGATTGCGTGGAACTAGTGGATAACGTTGGTATATAATTTTCAACCAATTGGATTACTGAACAAACTCCATTGGCTCATCAATAAGGCAGATAGGTATCCAAAAGATCTAACAGTAATTTTCTCTAGAAATATAGCTAGGCAGCGTATAGTAAGGACGCCTTATGCAGTTATCATTCGATAATTCCCTCCGACGCACGTCTACCCTTGCCCTTATGGTATTTTAAACCTCACGTGGTAGTCTACTGTGCCTCTAGTTGCAAGGATCATCCCGATAGAGTGTCACCTTAGTGCAGGCTAACACAGAATGAGACTTGGTTGCGGTGAAAAGCTGTGCGATATTAGGTAGTCAACAATTATCTACCCGAATATCCCGATCTACCTTAGCTGATAGTCTGAGTATGGATATTCTCCTCCTAGCCTATCTCTACCAGGGATGTCGATACATTACAGCCGTTAACAGTCAGCTCTCGATTCTACACCACACTGACCACACTAGAATACACCTGGTTAGGTCTAGTGATGCCATCCCCACTAGACATGTCAAGAGAGGGGCCTGGAGAAATTACCATCCTCCATGTTGTCATTCACGATGACGATGCGGCGACGCTCATAGAACGAGCTTAGCATCCAGGGTTCAAGTGGCGACGCCAATTTCTGAACCCTGATAAGCCTCTGGCTGGCCAGGTCGGCGGGACTACAACTACTTACCACCTCGCCGCATCACAAATCCCTTGCAAACCCCATTTCTATCGAACACAATACTTCTAGAAGAATACTGCGTTCTCTACTAATAACTTAGATTGACTATCTACCCAAAATTCTATAATCACTAGTTAGGAAGTTCATCGGCGCAACGTTCTCAGGATGGTGGGCCGACAACTGGGCGTTTCTAGCCCTAGAGACGACCCAGATGCTGCATCGAACGCAATGCGCAGGACGATATCGACGGCGACTACCAACAGCACGTGGCGGAGCAGAGAGGATAATACCTTACCTATAGGCGGTAGGACGATGTCCACTAGTAGCTGGACGACTATGAGCATGGCTGAAAATGCGGATACCGAAAGCATATTTTTCAGTTCTCTCAACCCCCTCGCACCTATTTCGATCGTAATGATACACGTTCTACTGAGTTCGCATTTGGAGTGGGCCCACTGCTGGCCCCAACTTTCCGAGTACCATCTTCTCATCCCCGACTTACCACAACATTCGCGATCAAAGCACGTCGGGCCATTCTCGTTTGTCCTAGCTGCCGACCACATAGCGCGGATGATTCGAGAACACGCCCACGATGGACGTGCGCACGTTGTAGGGTTATCTACGGGCGGTTTTGTTGCGATGGAGTTGATACGGCGGCACCCAGACGTCGTCCTAAGCGCCTTCGTGTCTAACGCCGTACCGTTAACCGAAGCATGGAAGAACCTCAGCTCGTCACCGAGGATATCCTACCTAGGACTGTCGGTCCTACTACATAGTCCGAAGAGTTTGCTTTTCAAGGCCACTGGATGGGCGCCGGAGTTCCAGAACGACCAGCTTTTAAAGGAAATCAAACGGAACAACACGTCGCGCTTATATGAGGCCGGCGCTCGTGAAACATATAACTGGTCCCGAGATGACATGGTCGAGGTTGGGAAGAAAGACATACGGATTGCGCTTGTTGTTGGAGGCAAGCAGGACAATGTCGAGGGTACAAGGGAGATGGGCCAGCTTCTAACGTCGCTCGGTTCCAAGGCGGGCAAGGAATCCCGCGCGTTCGTCGTGAAGGATGCTATTCATGGCTGGAACTTACAGTATCCCGTAGTCTTTGCCCGAGGAATACGAGCGTGGATTGAAAAGCACCCCTTACCACAAGGATTCGAACCCCTGGAACCACCAAAGCCCCCGGGACCGCCGGTGTAGGCATTCTATCATATTTGCATGATAACAACCGAAGAGAAGATCACTAGACTGTGATCTATGCAACTGGATGGGTTCGCTTTAGGCCTATTACAGCACATCACTGAATGATTAATCGACATCGGCTTGCGGCCTCGATCCTAATTAGCTGCCATCGAACACGGCCAAAATTATGCGCTCGACCAAGATGTCGGCCTAGATGCCCGATATATTCGAGATGTGGAAATGGCATGCGTATGAGAACGAGTCATAGGCAGGGGTTAATGAGCGGAAGCGGGTTAATGTGTTATTCTGCGTCTCAACGAGTTATACCATACTCGATTCTAATAAACATAACGCCACCCATTCCAGCCCTCGTCATATACGTGTAGGGGACGTCGGAGGAGTCAGCACAACCACGATACCCAGCATTGCGCGTCTACTGTTACTCTCATTATTGGTATACTTACTAGTTAGACGCCAGAGGATCAATTCATCCAGATATGTTTAATGATGATAACGAACATGTGCTCGTCCACTGTGTTGACGCCAAATCTCCCGAAGGGAGAGGGGGCTTATGATCGTGGTTTTATAAAGATGTGTGAATCATAGTGTCACGGGGCGGAACTAAGAAGCTAGGGAAGAACGACATTGTTGCGCGAAGAGCTCTAACTAACCCCTTCCAGGGAACGCGGTATACATACATAAACCTTCCTTTGTCTATAGCTAAGGGCTAGCTGCCAACAGGGCGGCCTCGTACAGGCCGACTCCCGACACCTCTAGCTACCAGCTCTCATGGAGGAAGCTTCTGACACATAGTGTGTTTCCACAGTACGCAGGTTTCTCAAATATCCCCACCCCTATCTTCTTTTAATGCGTTGATGTCTTTCAAAATACTATTGCCACGGGCCAAACCGAGAAGTAAAGGTGAATATTCGGGACGATCTGAGCAGCAAAAAGATCCCAGAGGAGTACTATTTATTATGTGAAGGGTAGGGCCTGACAGGGGCTATAGATATACGATTTCCCTATGACAACTATCGTTAAACCCTCTTAGGGACTAGGTATCTCCCACTCAGCCAGGCCTTAAGCTATAATTATTTCCAGCATATCAAACCCCTCACAGTAGGACCACCTCCTTGACTCGTACCGGCCTGCGTTTCAGTCGAATCGTCTGTGCTAAGCTTAGCCTTCTTCGTAGGCGGTGCTGGGTCCATGATATTACTATCATCACCCGCGGCGCTACTTCTTTTCCTCTTTTTCTTACAGGCCTTTTTCGGAGGGTTACCTGTGCGCGCTTCCAGCATGTTTTTGACCATTTCCTGTGTCTTTTGCTTTTGCCAGTAGACGAGGTCGGTCGCAGCATTGCCTGTGTCGACTTGGGGGATTGCCTTGCGCTCCTTACCGGGCGCTTGGATTTGAACAGGAAACAGACCCTCCTGTAGACTTGGATTGTCTTGTATAATCCCGGAAATATAATTTGCCCCGATGTTTGCCAGGCGGTCGGCACGCATATTGCCTTCGAGTCCCGAATGACCCGGAATCCAGTTTACCTCGACACTAATGCCGAGGCTGGTCAACCTGCTAATGGGCTGGTACGCTTTGTACATAAAGCCATCTGGCAGCTCCTTGTCTCTATGCTTTATGCTGAGTTGTTCTGGACGTCCCAAGGTTCCGTAGTGGTGACATGAATAAATATAGTTGATTGCGCCCAAGCAATCCGACATAATGATTACCCTTGGGGGCAATTTATGATCACCCCCTGACTTTGGAGATTGTTGAATCAATCTCTCCATGAGGTATCGTGCAACATATAGCGATCGATGTATCGCTAGGGCTTCGACAGCCCCACTGCCCATTATTCCGTGAACCCCATATGATGCGTCCGTCCAGTCGTTGTCAACAGCAGCGCCGAGGTTGATATTAAATAGTTTATATGTGATCCCAAATCCGGATATTTTAACCTTGGGAAGGGCAGAATGGCTATCTTTGGTAGACCCGTCAGCATATATCACCAGACGGGGGTAATTATAAGCTGTGTTCATAGTGTATACTGCGTTTTTAATGGCATCCTTATGCCCTTGTGCTCGGAATAGTACTGTGGATGAACCATCGGTCCATTCTCGAAGGAATTTCTCTGGAAGTTGTTCCTCCGCTTCCTTTGCCACACGACTTAAATCGTCTTTCGTATATTTCTCGTCGTAACCCTGTCCGCCAATGATTAATCTCTTGAATTTAACTTTGGGTGACGGACATGGTCTAAGGACCAAAGCCTTTTCGTCGCCTTGACTGTCGAAATCTCCATTCGGTGGAATTTCGACTTCTGTTAGATGTGAGATAGGGTCGTTCGCTATTTGACTGGGAGTATTGCACTTACTAGGCACATGGCCCGTTACCACGGTAGCTTCCATTAAAAAAAAGTATCGATGGCCTGTTGCGTGATATTGCAACAGTTCGAACGTAAGAGTATGGCTCTATACATTTAGATAGAAACTTCGGTAGCTACTAAAAAAAAAAACGTTATCGAGTTTCTTTTAGTGCTAAGTCTTAGACGAAGAGCTGATTTGAAAAGTTGTTGAAGAAGAGAGTAGAAAGATTAGATAGACCAAAATGTTGGATAGGTTTTTGGTATTAGGACAATAATGAGTAACCTGAGGTTAGTACCTAGGTAGCTTGGTAGGTGACGACAATACAGGAAAATGAAAAAAGTGGGCCAGGCAAAATGTACGAGGGTCTGCAGTAAGTTTATATATCAAAACAAATGATGAGTCTTCCAACAATTCTCCAAGCACTTGTTTGATACGAATGACTTGGCTCAGTTGAGTAATGCGTAAACCGTGTGTGTAGTGCCGGGGTCCAAACATCATAACTGAGTTAAGGAGGTTCGAAACGGGTGCTTGGAGACTTGTTTTTTCTTTTTTTCTCTTGTGCCTTCTATCTTTGATAAGTGGTACTAGCACTGACTTGTGACGCCTCCTTGTGCCTTCGACACTACACTTTAATTAGGGAAACAGGCAGCAACTAGAACATCGCCGGAGCTTAGCTGATATATGGAACTTTGGTGTAATCCTCATCATTTTAGAGATATTTATTCTTTTAGGAATGTAGTGTACTTGTTGTAGAGTTACTTGGTAATATAAGAGATCTTCTAGATAAAAGGAATATTGTCCTAATCGCTACCCGTTTTCCTAATTAAAGCGCAGTGCCGAAGGCACGAGGAGGCGTCACAAGCCAGTGCTAGTATCATAGACAACCTGAAGCTAGTAGCTTGGTAGGTAGGTAATGAGAGACGGGAAGTGGATAAAAGTGGGACCTAAAATGTACGAGGGCGCACAGTAAACTTATATATCAGAACAATGGTAAGTTTTTCAACAATTCTCCAAGTACTTGTTGAAACGAGCAACTTGGCTCAGTTGATTAGCAATGCGTAAACCGTGTGTGTAGTGCCGGGGTCCAAACATCACAACTGAGTCGAGGGTTCGAAACGGGTGCTTGGAGACTTGTTTTTGCCCTTTTTTTTGGGTCATTAATCCATCCATATAGGGATCAGCCCTTGATTATATCAGTTGAGCGTAGGTATATCTAGCACTGCATTCTATAGGAGCAACGCTCGCTTTTTTTTTTTAATAGATTATAACCATTCACCATGCTAGAGATCCGGCATCACCAGAATGTGTGACATTCTTCTTGTGCCTCCCACCCTTCACAACAGGTATCATAGGCAACCTGAGGTTGATAGCTTGGTAACTTGGTAACTTGGTAGGTAACGAGAGAACCGAAAATGGATAAAAGTGGGACTCTAAATTGTACGAGGGCGCATAGTAAGGTTATATATCAAAATAAGGATGACTCTCTCAACAATTCTCCAAGTACTTGTTGAAATGAATAACTTAGCTCAGTTGGTTAGTAATGCGTAAACCGTGTGTGTAGTGCCGGGGTCCAAACATCACAACTGAGCTAAGGGTTCGAGACGAGTGCTTGGAGACTTGTTTTTTGCCTTTTATTATTATTAATCCATCTATATAGGGATTAATCCTTGGTCACAGCAACTAAGCGTGGGTATGTCTAGCACTGCATTCTATAGGAGCAACGCTCCCCCCCCCTTTTTTTTTAAAATAGATCATACCGTTCACTAGGTATGCCAGAGATCCGGCACCGCCAAACTGTGACATTCTTCTTATTTCTTCCACCCTTACTAGCTGGAATCATAGACAACTTGAAGCTAGTAGCTTGGTAACTTGGTAGGTGACAAGAAAATTGGAAATTAAAAAAAGTGGAACTCTAAACCGTACGAGGGTGCATAGTAAGGTTATATAGCACAGTAAGGATGACTCTCTCAACAATTCTTCAAGTACTTGTTGAAATGAACAACTTAGCTCAGTTGATTAGTAATGCGTAAACCGTGTGTGTAGTGCCGGGGTCCAAACATCACAACTTAGCTGAGGGTTCAAGACGAGTGCTTGGAGACTTGTTTTTTGTTCTTTTTTTTTCCATTTTACCTTCTTCTTATTACTAACTGCCATTGTAGTTCTTTCATCATCACTATCATTTACCCTCGCAGTCCCTTTTAGTTTTTCCTTATTGATACATGGTAATAGGAATATATAAGCGTCCGACGCAAAGATCGATTGAAAAACAATACTATTACCAGCACTTGAGTGTTCGCAGACATTATCGGTGAGTTCACTGGTGTATTAGACTTGATTGTACCCGAAGAATCCTAAGAATAAATGAACCAGCTAAGCAAATTTAGCCTGGAAAAATGCTATCCCCTCGCAATATTACCAGATTCTTTGCAACTGGTACCCTACGTTACAGATTTGCAGGCGCGAAATTTTCAATTAAGTATCGATACCCATAATCATTGGAAAATTGTCAAAGATTTAACCCTTATTATTTCCATCGCTATTGTCGCCCAGTACTAAGAGTATGAACAACCAACGAACTTATAACATTAGATTCATGAAACGATAAGCATCGAAAATGACACAACAACTCGTACTATTCAAGCTTAAAATATATTTCAACGATTATTACTTCAAAACGGCTTCAACTGCTTCGATTTAATATGACCAGAATGTATTCAGATATATTAGGAGAAACCTAGATTTCGGCCGACACGGAAATGTGGAGACACCCGGAGCCAGGCCTGGTCGTTGTCAATAGTTCGGGGGCTGCCACGTGCTCACCCCGGTCCAGATCCGCTGACTTGGCTTTCCACCCTGCGGAATAATACACATCTCAATTCGCTTTCCGCGACTATTTAATGAATAAATGGAATTTATATCCCTATAAGTCGGCATCCAGAAATCAGAAGGCAGAAATAGTGCCAATAGATCAGACCTATTATAATATAAGCCTCGATAAGCTAATGACATAAACGGCACACGGTTCTGCACGCATCTTTACAGACGCCTGCTTGGTCCCGCTAGATGCCGACCTCGTTGATTAGACTAGATTTATCCTCCGCGGGCTTTTCAAGACGGTCCATCTGGCTGCGCACCGTATTCACCTTTATATAATAGCTCTTGCTTGCAGGTCTTCGTAGATGCGCAACTTTTGGCACTTATCTAGGTGTAACGTTGATGTATAGAATCCCTTGACGCAGCCAAGCTTTCGGATTATTCGCCGCCTGTTGCGCGGGACATGTTAGGGATGACATACAGCAGCCGGTAACGTCGTTTGTCAATCGGAGGTATAAAGTGGGATCGGACGTATGGCGTGAAGTTACCCCTCGAAAAAGGGTCCGCGGACGGCGGGGCACATATCGAGGGGCACGAAGCTCCAGTCGCGCAGCAGAAATGCTACCTAAAATCGGAGACTCTGCCCTGCTACTCCATAGATGCAGGTGCTGCGTGCGGACGCGGGGAATTGGGCAGAGGAATCGCGTTTGAGTGCCCCAGGTTTTGATCTATCCGGTGCGCTCGTTTCTAGAAATCATCGAAATAAGATAGGTAATAAACTCTCTTTAAAATAGCCCGTACCCATACAACACCGCCATCGTACGTATAGACAGACACTCGACAAGATGGTTACTCAGGCCCGTCTCAAGATCGCCTTGATCGGCCTCGGTCGGCTGGGTGCTATTCGCGCACGCATCCTCGCTTTCCAGCAGCCCCGAATTGAGCTCGTCGCCGTTTGCGACACAAAGCCGGGTATCGACAAATGGGCGGCAGAAAACCTTCCAGCTTCCGTAAAGTTCTACGCGGATCCTGAGGATTGTCTAAAGAATAGCGGCGTTGGGGCTGTCCTTATTTCTACTGCGACTGCTACCCACGCTCCCCTGGTCTGCCTGGCTCTTGATCTGGGCCTCGTAAGTCTTGCCGACAACTAGTGACCTACCTAGATGGAATATGGATTCCTTGAAGCTGACGGCTATATAGCACGTCATGTGCGAGAAGCCGATCTCGGTGGACGTCGCCACTACCGAAGAGGTCCTCGCTAAGGCTAAATCCAAACCTCACCTCAAGTTCCTGGTTCCGTTTAGTCGTAGATGTGAGTAAAGAGGTCTCCATAAGAATCGCTATGTTTTGGAAGGCATATCCAAGCGGTGCTGACCCTTGTTTGTCTAGATGACGACTCGTACCGCGCTGCGAAGGAGATGATAGATAACGGCTCGTTTGGTGAGATCCACGCTGTCGAGAGTGCAATCCTTGACAAACAAGATCCTACTGGTAGGAACTTTCTCTGAATTTCGTCTTTTGGATTAGGAAATCCAGCTGATCTCGCCTTCGAAGGATTCTTCGTCAGCTTCTCCGAGCAGTCCGGAGGTATCTTTGTTGACATGGGCGTTCACGATGTAGGTTTCTCGGTTGTTCCTCTTCCGGTTCCAATTGGAATCCTTCCGCTGACATCGGTGCAATGTATAGATTGACATTGGACGATACTACATGAACGTCGCGTCAGAACTCACTAATCCCAAGAAACAAGTGAACAGGGTCATTGCCATGGGACAGCAGGCCATCTATGGCGATCTCGCTAAGTACGGCGATTGCGACAATGGATGGGCCATAGTCGAGTTTGCCAACGGCAAGATTCTTACCTTCCACGTGGGTCGCACTCTGAACAACGGATTCGAGAGCTACACCCGCGTGTGCGGTACCAAGGCCCATTCTATCATCAGCGGCAACTCCACGAATAACCGTGTCGAGGTCCGCGACTCTCATGGTGTGCGAACGGAAACTACTCCTGACACATTTGTCTTTTTCGAAAAATCATTCGTAAACGACCTCACAGAATTTGCGGCTGCTGTACTCGACGATCAACCCCTTAGTTGCACCCCGGATGATGCCTACGAAGCAGCCAAGATTGGCACCGCTCTGCAGTATTCTTTCCGTAATCGTGTGCCTGTTTACTTTGACGATGATGACCAACCCATCATGGAGACTCCAAAGGCATGAATGAGAAGCTTAACTGAGACGATTAATACATATGAATGGGTCGTTTTAGAATTCGTGTTCTCCTATACTGGAAAACAGGCACTCATCGAACGAGGAAGCTCCTTCCACCTTCATAGTGTGCATATGAATTAAAACATGAGACTTGATGAAACCTTGAGTCTGCAACATTATAAATATATACTTGAGAGTTAGATTGACTGCTCCATTCCAATTGTTCGGTCAATTTACCTGCACAGCTTTAACCCGGCCGTTGCGTCCACTGCTTGCGGGGCCTTGTATCTTCGTCAGCCTTATTGTCGTAGGCTGCATCATCATTGAGCAGACGTGTATAACTTTATCCGATATCAATTTTTCCGGTAGCAGCAGGAAAGGGGGGATTAGAGATGAGATGATGGATAGAAATCTGTGACGCAGTCAGCTTTTATGCGTGGATGAAGAAAGCCCTTGGTGGGGTGTGGGGTATGGGATATACGGGGTTGCCCCGGTCGGCATGGGGATAATGGACCAATAGAATCTTTGGTGGTCGACAAGAAGAGTAAGTCCGTTAACGCCCGTTTATTAGCTAATGAGTACAGTATAAGCAGACAGTAGAATGTATGGATATCAACTGTATAACGTGTGGAGATGGTGGGTTTCATGTTCCGGGAGGGTACAGCGCATCACACGCTATAACTACAATATGTTATAGCGCATTCCCTCCTTATTTATAGCGAACCATAAAACGAGTATCATTCATCCATGGATGGATAGATCCATGCATTCAAGCAATTATTTATCCCTTAACTCCAAGGTCTTTGATGGATGAAATAAACTTATCCGAAGATGCTTGGCCTTTTTGAAATTGCTAGAAGATAGTGTAAAATTTGTCCATGTAAAAGTGCTGAGCTTAGCGACGTGATTATACACTACACCCCAAGCAGATCTTCATGGCAGCTCCCGCGACTTCGTCAGCAGGAAGATCTGCATAATCGGCACCTCAATCTCTGGCTTCGACGCCGTCTCCAACCGCTCGCGGCGTGGGTAACGCGCTATCGGCAGGTTGGCGCTCGGCCAGACGTGAAACAGCAGCTTTACTCTCACACCGTCGCCGGCAAGCACATTGCCAACGGCAAGATCAAGGTCGAGCGCCTCGCCGAGGAAAACGCGATCCTGATTGGCGGCCACTCGCGCGAGCTCAACTTAGTCGCCTTCGCTACCGGTTTCACTACCAACAGCATTGCCTGTGTGAGAGCTACTCTCGGCGACAAGGTAGCCGACCAATGTGGACCCATCTGGGATATTGCCGAGGAGGGCGAGTTCATAGGCGCTTACCGAGAGAGCGGGGTGCGGCTATCTCCCCCCTGACCCGCTTTCGTTCCAGGCTACTGGCTATGCGATTGAAGACTTTGAAGGAGAGTATTGGGACCTATCTTTATAAGATGTAGATGTTATATAGTGGATATGAGTAATCTTCGGTTTGTTAGGTATGATGACTGCACGATGAAAACGTTCATCTATCAATAGATCTGCTTCAACCACTGTATTACACCTGGATTGCTGATTGGCTTGTAGGCCTTGTTACGCCGCGTTTCCTCTCAGTTTGAAGCTAGGCACTTAGAATTGTATAGTACCTATATTGTAGTTTGTCCAGATCAAGTGATGACTATTTAACCATAAGCCAATGCTACGTGTCATAAGTAGCCTAGATATCAACGTACGAATAGGAAAATGTTAGCAATGACCTTCGTAGCAGAACAACCATAACAGCAAAAACAACTTAGTTTCAATACATAACATACATCTAACAAAGAGTGAAGGGTCCTGGAAGAGTCCCGTGGATTGAAATTTGGAATAATATATATTTTAGTAGCTTATGTACAAGTCCAACGATAGCTTCCCAGCTTACTGCGACTTCACAGGGCCATACCAATCAGCGAATCCGAGATCAAAGCCCCACAGAGGCGTGTTAAGACGCTTCGCCTTGCCATTGGCAGCCAAACTGTCGAGCACTGCTAGATCCTCTTTAGGGATTTCAATGACCTCTTTGTTTGCAGAGATCCGCTTCTCAGTCACAGACTTGGGTAGCACCACGACACCCTTGTTGACATGATAGCTGATGAGGATCGTGACACCCGAGACACCGTTCTTTTTGGCAATCTGTTGTATATCAGGACCCGTCATGAGAGGTGCACCTATCGGGTTCCGATCCATTAGCTTCACTCGAACAACATCACCACCCAAAGATACGCCGACACAATCTGAGATTCGGAAAACTTACCAGTGGAGCCAAGAGGAGAATATGCTTCCAGAAGAATGCCGAGCTCTTTGCAGTATTCTCGGAGTTCATGCTGAGGAAGGAAAGGGTGCAGCTCGACTTGGTTCACGGCCGGAACTATTGTCCATTTCTTGCGAAGTTCCTCCAGATATGGGATCGAAAAGTTGGCCACACCGATGGCCTTGACTTTGCCAGACTTGTAGATCTCTTCCATCTGGCGCCAGGTTTCGCTCTGATCCCACGATCGATCTACTGCTCGGGTGCCATCGGGATTTACCGGGAAAAGCTCGCTCGTCCCGTTCTGTGTACGTGATCAACAGGAATTAATCTTTAAAAAGCTCGATGGCTAGAAATGCTGCACCTACCGGGACCAATCGAACAGGCCAGTGGACAAGCTAATGCAATGCAAATGCTGTCAGCTCAGACCCTGTCAAAGGGCTCTATGGCGACAGAGGAATCTCACATAAAGATCAAGATAGTCGACATCTAGAGCGTCGAGAGACTTCTGCAGGGCTTCCTTAACGTTTGGTTGATGAGTGTTCCAGACCTTACTGGTGAGGAAGATTTCTCCACGAGGCACCCCGCTGTCCTTGATGCCCTGACCAACTTCGTGCTCATTGCCTAAGAATGTTATTACTTATTACCTAGTAGGCAAATCTCAACATAAATGTCCACTCATTTGGTTTAACCTACCATAGACCCTGCATCTTTGTCAGCGAAATTGCGCTTACTCCAAATCACGAAGCGCGCTTGGCTTACAGTGCCGCGTCGATGTGACGGTATCCATCCTTGAGAGCAAATGCCACCGCATTTCGGACCTCACCGGGCTTAGATTGCCATGTCCCTGCGCATACACAATGTTAACAATTGAATCTACATTAGTATTAAGACACACTAACCGAGACCAACGACGGGAATTTTAGCGCCCGTATTTAGCGTGAAATGAGTCGGAGGCGCCATCGTGCGTTAAGGGTGCTCAGCTCACTGTTGTTTCGATTCAAAATTAGAAGAAAGCGAGAGCAAAGCCGAGGATATATGAAAACAAGATCCCAATTATCCCCTCATCAGAAAGATAGTCGTTCGGCAAAAAGATGCAAGCGTACCCCATACCCCATAAGCCGGCGCATTTAGAGGCATATGTCATCGCATCGCTCCTGCGCGATGGGATAAGTGGGACGAGGCAACATCGCCGATTGGATACTTTTTCCTCACTGGCCAGTTCCTACTAAAAGAGCAACTAGCTCCGACGCGCCTACGGGAGCGGAACCGAGCCGAGTTGAGAAAATCATTTTCCTCGGGTCAGAAACATCCGGAAAGAAAAAGAAAGGGGGGATCTAAAAGCCCGATGCGGATGTTTTCAATCTAATAAGCAATGACCGACCCCGATGATGATCTTTTCATGAACGAGAAAGGTGAAATCTTGGGAACGTATAACGGGGCTCCCACGGCGAGGATACTAAGGTAGATAGTTTTGTGAAGCTATTTAGATAATGAAGCCAATACGAAAGATCACGGTTGCAAAGACGAGGTCCTTTTTTTGGAATAACGGTCCGCGAGAACGTAAAAGGCTCGATAGAGGCCAATTCTCGACGTAGAGCCTGAAGATGATGATGATTGAAGATAGGAGAGGGGGTTAGAAAGTGGTTGAAGTGTAAAACAATAACTAGGTGTATATCCAGGAATCCATAATTACGAATAACCTCAGTAAATTGTAGTAATCTGATACCCCACGGGGAACGGGATAGATTCGTATGCTGCCCCTCAAAAGCTTGAGATCGTCGAAGAGTTGAGACTGATGGAATACGCCCGGGTATAATGGAAATCGGATTTATACCCAATGGGATTGGAAACAAAGCTTTCGTAACGGACTAGTCTCTCCATTTTCCCTGCTTGCCTGACGTAGAAAAGTGATTGAAGCCGCGGATTAAGTAACACGGTCGCGGGGTCGGGAATAGAATGGAATATTACCTAAGCAAGGACATCAATGCCTAGGAATTAATCCCAGAGAAGCTCTCTTGATTCTAATTGGCTCCCAGCGCCACCGTGTGGTACAATGGGGCTGGGGTTACTGGGTGGCAGCCCGGGGCTAGTGGCTTGACAGTGACCCTTTATCCGCAGCATGCTGGGGGCACACGACTTAGGAACTCCTAGTCGGTAGAAAGCTCACCGTCTTTATTTTGACAATAAGAACAACAACTGAATATTCCATGCCGTTGAAACTTTGCAGCTCTTAGCGTGGGGCTTATCTATTAGTAATACTAATCAAGAAGAAGTGTTACAACTTTTACTACTAGCCCGGAACTTGGATACGATCCGGACCCCACCCCTTTTGCTCATTTAGGACCACGTGCTTCGAAAGTTAAAATTATTAGCAGGTTACCATTCCGAAAATGAGATCTATGGTTCATATGTATGTATGTTCGTCTATCCTCAGATCTTAGCAAACTTGCACTTATAAAAGTGCAACTTTGATTGGCTAGCAAGAACATTACTAAGTCAAGACCATAGATGACTCCGCCTCATTTTCTTTCTAGAAGCCCACGAATTTCTTCAAGCTAGCCACACATGTGCCCTTCTTCAGTTTCTCTTGTTGTTTATTTGCAGTTTCCTAATTGCACTTTCTTGAGAAGCTCATTTGATTATGTACACGTCAGCGAAGTTACGAATGACTTACCAATCGTCTCTTCAGATGACTCGAACTCGGCCGCAAGAATTCATCATTATCTCTGGGGAGCTACTTAGGTGATAGCTTTAATCCCCGCAGTTCGAAAGCAGACGGCGGTATCCGATAGAGGACATGCACACAGCCCTAATTTCGTGCGTTAGCCAACTGAGATGAACCATGCATGCATATCTTGATGCAACCTAATCAGGCAGTCGCCCTAAGCCTCAAAATTCCGGGGCCTCCTAAACCATATTCAATCGGATGGTAAAATTCAATGATGTCAGATTCTAGTTTGGCGTCTCGCCCTCCTGCGGCTGAGTTTACTTATCTACCAACGTATGTTTGATGCGGTGAATATATAAACTTGCGTATCCCACATGCGGCCATGTAAGCGCCAATGTGCGACGTTCAAAAAGTTTGCTTGCATAAATACCCAAGCAGGCTCTCGGAGCCTCGTCGTGATTGACAGTTTTCTTTCCCTATAAATCCTCAGAAGGTCTCGAAAAAAAAAACACCTTGATAATAATCCTTGTGAATATCATTACGGTATTTATCAATACCTAGAACTCAATCGCTAGAATCAAACATCTCCTTACGCATCAACTGCTTTCATAATGGCTTGCCACCACGACAGCCATTACTGGAACCACGACCTAACCCGCAATCTGGCTCAGCGTCTCTCGCGCGACAGCCGCCACAGCGGCCATGCGACACAATATATAGTTAACGAGGGGAGGATGGTCGTCGACCAGAAGACGCTGAGACATAGCAACGCGGTCATCTACAACGCGCCGGGCTCCACTCTTCGGTTGGTCCCGTCCATGCGCGCCCCCTATTCCAGCACTAGCCACACCACGCACTACGTACCGGAGTCGCCTTGGTGGACGACGTCTTCGTCGATCCGCCGGTGTCACGGCTGCTACGAGCACCGAGAGATCTACTATGGGAATTACTGCCACAAATGCACATCAATCCAACGGGTGTCTCCGCCGCGCGAAAGACACCAGTTGGAAGACTACCGGTATCGGCATGTACCACGAGTACCAGAAAGGAAACGTGTTGGATGGCACTGATTAAGCAGGATTAAGCAGTTCGGTCCGTGGCAATTGAATATATGTTAGAGGATGTTATGAAAGGATCTGTTTTTAGGGGCAATCCCATTATGTGTTTCATGCACTTGTTTTACATTTGGTCTCATATTTATACTGACACCTCTTTGTATGGCATTATCAAAGCCTCAACCAATAATATGCCCCGTTTTACAGTTTATAGTAACGTTTTGATAGACCTAGGTACTAAATAAATAACCTCCTGTCTCTAGGCCGATACTTGGGCGGATGGAGAATCATAACGTCCACTTGGGTAGCATCAACATCGTATGTGTATCCCACATGAATGAACATGGACCATACTTGTGTTAGTTAAAATGTTGATCCAGTCTTATAATAGGGACTCGTCTTTACACCAGAAGGCGAATTGTAGTGGATGCTATCTTTACTAGGTCTAAATCAAATCTGTACCTAGAGAACTGTTATTCCAAACAAAGAAATTGTTCTTCGAGCCTCCAACATATCATGAACAATTACTTGTTTAACAATATGCTTTCCCACAGTTCTCGTGTATTATAATAGATCAACGTCCCACTCTACGGTGGGCTCACAACGGCGCAAAGTCGATAACAACAGGTTAGTAACGGTATAAACGAATTTTAAGATGGGTAACGTCAATAGCAGCTTCGGGGTAGAGATTGAATGCGTGATAGCCGTTCAACGAGGATTCGGGACACGACCCAGACCTCGAATGTTCCAAGACGCACCGGGCAGTCCAATATTAGCCGACATTGATGATGATGATTGGATGTTTAGTTCACATGGTCCTATCTTTGCTACTATTGAGAGTTGTATTGAAGAAGCACTGGCAGATAAAGTAGGCGACCGCGTTATTACCTCTGAAGCCCAACTGGATGATCAGAATTTCTATCATCTGAGCAAATATGCCAGAAAATGGGTTGTAAAGAGGGACTCCAGTGTGAGTCTTGAGGATTCATACTTCGTTGATGATCCAGTCATGGGAGATTACACATGGATAGACATTGAATTCAACTCACCCGCCCTCCGTGCCACGGAGGCGTCGTTCGACGAAATTCGCCGAGTTGTCAACGCGCTCCGCGAAGCTTTCTGGATGATCGCTCCAAAAAGTGCAGGTCTCCATGTCCACTACGGTAGGTGTGAGAGTTGGATCTCTCTTACGGACCTGCGCAGAATCGCGGCCCTCTTATTCGCAGCCGACCCGATATTAACACAAATGCACCCAGCTCACCGACGCGGGGAAGAGAGTCGTTGGTGCATGAGTAATCGTCTGTACTCTAACCTAGCCCTCGGAATGCCCGCACGGGAAGCTGAAGCATATCTTCGACACACGAACAGAGACGTACCAGATGAGTTAGAACCGGAACCCATTCCGGGACCTGTAGCCTCGCATGCTGAACCTGTATCTAGGCCTGTTCGCGAGAGAGAGAATGGTTTCATATCCATCTTCGAACGAGGATGTCTTGAGGGTTATACCTTCGACCGAGACCGCTTCATTACAAATGCATGGTGGTGGATGGAAGATAAGGACGGGGTTCCAGGAAGTGAAGAGGGAAAGCCTTTGGATATCATACTAGCTGCTCGAGAACTACTAGGCTGCCGGGCTGCACCGATCCTTGCGTTTTTGATGCAGAATGGTTGGCATAGCCGGATGGCCTACAACTTTAATGCATACGAATACGGAGTTTATCGGAACTGGGTGATGGCAAATGGTCGACCAGATCCTGTATCCCAGACTAAGCGCACTATTGAATTTCGACAGGCTGCTGGGACGGTTGACCCTGACGAAATCATAGCGCATGCCAAAATCGTAATCCGCCTTTGCGAGTTCGCAACTCAGACTACGATGAAGGAACTCTGGAAGACGATAAGCGATCTCCATCTAGGAGAAACCAATTGGGACTGGTATGATGTATTTGATTTCCTTGTTGACCTCAACCTAGTCGATGAAGCAAAGGTTATCCAGAGGCAGCTAGCTAAGGAGTGGGGAGTCGAAATCGTAGACGAGGCACTCGGGTTATATAGATATCCGGATGGGGCAGAACCCGAGCCAGTACCTGAACAGGCCAAATCACTTTTAGGTAAGCTTAAAGCTCTCTGGTCCTCGTGGAGATCTTCTAAGCCGCCATCTCCCAAGCCAGGACCCCGGCCAGCCCAGAATGTCAGTCCACGTCGAATTCTTAAAGAATCGGAAGGACGTTATGAGGGTAGTTCGTACTTGAGTCCTGATCTGCTATGGTTGGAACTCGGTACCGAAGGGCCGGTGTTGCCGGAATGATCGGATAGCCAGGTATATATGTCTAATTGTTACAGTATTCTCTTAGGTACCTTTATATATTCTACAGTATACTTAGCTCTCACGTAACGCCTAATATAACGTCCAGAACTTCTTAATCATGTTTTCAGAATAGACGTCGGATCGTCAATTACTCAACCCCTTTTCTCTTTTCGATAGTAGGATCCCTTAAGTAAAACTAGGTAGTCATGGATATTAAGAGTGAGTAATCACCTCAAAACCCCATGTAACATCCCTTGTTCCTTAAGACCAAGGCTTTAGGTACGAGCAGAGCTTTTACAAGGCGATCATCCCAAATGCTTGGTGTGACTTCAATTTAATTCTTTTCCTCCAACTATACCCTGTCAGCAATGCAGCGGTGTCTACTAAAGGCTTGCAGTCCCACCGTACTACGGGCCGTCCCGTTCTGGCGGTTCGGGGTTTGAAAACGGGGCCATCACCTCCGACTGGATTACCACTTTGACGCGAGCTGACGCCACTACCTATTAGAAAAATAGGGGTTGTGTTAAGTGAACTTCCAATTACTGCCACAGAAAACCCTGCTTTAGAATCTCAGAATCTCGACTTGCATACCGAGTATCCATGACCTATGCAACGTTGCCTAATACAATGATCGTACAAAAAGCCCCTGTTGAGCAACACAATGCAAGACTCCGGCGAAGACGTTGCGAGGGTCCAAGATTCTAGGCAGCTGTCGCGTCTGATTCGCCTTCCCCTCACAGCTGCCTTCGGCACAGCCACGAGATCTGCCAGGAACCACAATTCCGAACATCTACATAAGCATCTACAACCCAACTTCATTCCATCGCCACTATCCTCCAAAACACAGACATAATTGCTGAATTCGTTAAAATACCGATCTCAATATGGTCTACCTCTGGGAGAACCTCCAAGACACCACCAGGCTCAACGCCTACCTCCTCATCAACCTCTCCGACGACGAGCTCAAGTCGTTCAAGAAGGCCTTCGAATTCGGCACCATGGCGCCCTTCAGCACCATGCTCGAGCTCGTGATCCAGAAGCCGCCGGCGGACTACCTCGACAAACCACACTCCTACATCCGCACGAAAGAAAACGAAGCCGGGCGCACAGGGCCCTTCATCCTAATCGACGAGCAGCTGCGGCTCAAGGGGGCGATATGGTACGTAGAGAGCTTCGCTCGCACAGACGAGGTCGAGGACGGCGAAGCAGAGTCAACGGAAGTACTATGGAAGATCCTGACCAAAACGGAGAGCGTGCCGATCGCGAGCGTCAACTACGAGATCGCGAACATGAGCATCACGGAGGACCTGTCGAACTTGGGCGTCGACTTCCCGGCGCCGGTGGACTTCGAGCAGCCCCAGGTCGCCGGCGCCAGCGAGCACGACCTGGACATCCCCTCGTTCCGGTACGAGCAGACGGCGTACCTGACGGCGTACCCGGGGGAGTACGAGATCAGCACGGACCCGGAGGTGCTCAAGAACTTCGCGCCCATGCCGGATAGGGTGTGTAGGTTGAAGGAGGACGTTGCTAAGCAAGTAGGGATCAGGACTCCGACGGACTGGGCGTTTGTGAGCGCCGCGCAGCCGAGACAGCAGAAAGACGGCACGATGAAGGAGTTTCCCGAGGGGAGCGTCGATATCCAACATAAATATGACCCGGACTTCGCTTGGCCGCCGTACAAGTGGCCGGAAGGGTCGTTGTGAGGAGTGGCCACTGATATCGAGTTTAAATAAGGCTTTGACAATAGCTACATATCTGGAGAACTGGGACGTATCAATCTTAGGTTGCATCACTAAAATAAAAAGGGGGGGTTGACAAAAGTATCAGGTTGTTATTAATTATGCCTCATCATATCCCGTAGGACAAAAAACTGAGAGGACTTGTCCAAGGCAACGCTTTAGAGTAAAAGATTCGCCTGGCAAACGTCTATGTATATGCAACCGACCGCAATGCTGTGTACCGTATGTAATGCTCGTATCCATGACCCCCAAAGAACCGAACTGTCCCCCAAGATAATCATATCGTTGCCCAATCATGAACCTCTGCTCCTTAGTTCTAGTCCCATTTTATACTGTTTCCTTGCCTCGTAAGGGATTAAGCTTCATACTGAAGTTGCTAACAGCCGGGCCGGCATATTGGTCCACCTTAGCATTGAACCCGTCCTCGACCTTGTTCTGGTAGTGGTCGATCTTGCCGTTGACCTTACGACCGACGAAAGTGCGGAAGCAGCCATACACGCCCGTGCACAACCACAGCAGCGCATTGACGAGATCGATCCACACAGCGCACTTCATCAACGCGACGCTCGTGCCCTCGTAGTCGCCGCCGTGGCGCTTGAGGAAGATGGCGGCGAAGGTGCCGAACAGCGCGATCCACAGCACGAACAGGACCAGGTCCCAGGCGAAGAGGCGGTGGGGCTGCGCGCGGCTGAACGGGTTCGGGATCGCGTACACGAGGCAGGTGACGCAGGAGACGCCGGCGACGAACAGCGCGTACACCCACCCGGCGGCCTGCGCGTTGCCGGCTCGCCGGTCCACGTCCACGCGGTGCCCGTACAGGCCGACGACGATGAGGGCGAGGATGAACTGCACGCCGCGGGCCGCCCAGCGCGCCCAGGTCTCGTAGATGTAGATCTGCTTGGTGGCGGCGCCTTTGCCGAACTTGCTGGCGAGGGATTTGATTGCGAGAGGCATTTTTTTATTCTTCTTTTCTCCGTAATGATCGTGGTTTTAAGTGAGTGTGGGTGTAGAAGTAGAAGTACAGAAATGAGAGCGCTTTTCCGACCAAAGAACCGTCTGCTGAAGCTGTAGAAAATCTAGGTATCCTGAATCTAGAAATTGGAAATCAAGTAGTAAAATAGAGGAAACAGTTTTACCAAAATTATTATTAGTGAAAGAATGCAGAGTGAATTGAAGACATCCAGCGTCCTATGCGTGTACCGATGATGATGAAGGAAATATGTGCGTGCTATGTGTACGAGAAAGAGTCACGACATCCAAGGGAAGCTTGGGACATATTTAAGTCGGAATACAATGGAAACCAAGCCATCATTCAGTCCCTGATTCACTGACAAACAAGCGCCCAATCTGTGGAAACCCTTACGACGATAATGGACAAAGACGACCGTCAGGCCTTTGAGATATCGTGTCGCTTGTAAGTCCGAAACAAAGGGTTCTAAATCTGGATTTCCTAATTGAAGCACCGTGACCAATCGAAAGTCGGGTCGATGGTGGTCTGTGCTTCGATTTTTGTCACTGGTGCAGTGTTGGCGAAGACATCGACTGGCTACGATGTCGCAGGGCATGAGACGCTGGCGCTTAATAGCCGTCTTAAACCATGATGTATCTTCCCGACAGCGCCAATACGCGCGAAGATCCGTTGCAATTATCTTCTCTAATATCCAGCCAGATTATAGGATATTAGTGATCTTCATTGGCTTGAAACAACTTGACGAAGATGCCTCGTAGCACGGCAAATAGCATACAACGTTATTCTGACTGTATTTGAGCTAAACCACAACAGATCATTATCGGTAGTATCAATTGGCAATTGCTATTGTCTTTATTAGCTAAATTTCATAATAGGTTCATGAATCAGTGACTTCGTGACAGATATGACAGAAGGCATCATGAAATATAGTAGAGTATGTTGATAGAAAAGAGTCAATAGCAGATCGTTGCGCAGGATGTGTATCTTTATCGCTTTTCTTTTCGGATTTTTCGCAAGAATGAGACCAGCAGCCAAATACTAACCTGTAACGTGGACTTGGTAACAAATTAGCTGTCGGAATTACTAATTACGAGCCTAGGAGGCTACCTATGCAGGAACGTGGCCGCAGATAGATTAGTGAGTCGGAATACGGAATAACTGCAACCCTTATAAATGCCATGTGCTTGTCCGAAAGCCTTCGATTAGAGTCGGCACGAGGAAGTTCCCAGTTGGAAAGGACGAAGGATCCGGTGACATGTTAGGGGTGCACGTGTGGAGCTTAAAGCGTACCTCGGCATAGGCAACCCCGGTATTATCATTTCCCGCTTCTCTAATTGGCTAGTATCAACAGCCACACAGCTCAGATACTTCTTAAGGGTGACATCATCGTGCACTCCACATATTTTCAGCACCGAGTTCAAAAATTTGAATCACATGCCAGTAGGGAAAAATACGACTATGATCATTTAGGACGAGTAATGACGGAGGAAAACCGAAACATCCTTTAGTCAGAATTCCTTCCCCACGAAAACCCCGGAGATTCTATTAGTGCCTGCTATCGGCCTAGGCTAACCTGGGGATGCCGCCCTAGATATAGTAAGAACAGTGGACTCTCATTGCCAATAGCGATGCGTTGAGTGGCTTAGGAGGTTAGTTAGTGCCTGTTTGCGGCATGGGTTCTAAAATGGGGAGACCCTTCCCTAGAATTCCTAGAATCACATGTCGGGATTACAAGCTCCTACAAGATTACGTTGTCGATAGGCTCGGCCAGAAGCCGCAACGGCCGAGCTTTTAAAGCTGTAGAATGGCACCGCACCAACCTTAACTTTGAACTCTTCAAGCTTTTGACGTTTTCCTTTTCTTCAACTCAATTTTAACTATACTATACCATATCACACAACTTGTATAATTACAATTCCAATTGAAATCTGTATAAATAGCCGATCATTCTGTTACCATGTCTAAGACCTTCTCCAAAAGCGATGTCGCATCGCATAACAAGGGCGATTCGTTGTGGATCATTGTCGATGACGATGTCTACGATCTGACCAAGTTCCAAGATGAACACCCTGGTACGTCGACATTCAACCCATTCAATCCGATTCACACCCGCGCAATTTAACTTTCGGGATGTTCGAAAGCCATGCGCACTACACGTGTCTAAGTCCAATGAACTTGAAAGATCAGATTGTTAACAGACGTTTCAATTGCAGGTGGAAAGAAGATCCTGACCCGAGTTGCCGGAAAGGATGCGTCCAAGCAATTTTGGAAATACCACAACGATAGTATTCTAAAGAAGTACAAGGCGTCGCTCCAAGTCGGCTCGTTAGATACCAAGCCCAAGGCCGAACCGGCACCAGAGCCAGCTCCGGCCCCGGCTCCAGCAGTAGCTGCGCCGGCTAAGGAGATCCAAAAGGCCGTGGTTCCTGCAACTGCACAAGAGGAGGCTGAAGCGCTGGAACCTTTCGGTGATCTGATTCCATTCGCAGACCCCAGCTGGTACCAGGGTGTATGTCTTTCCCGAGCTTCGTTGCTTATTCCCACTGCATGATTATTGTCATGCTTATCACCAATTGCCTCGGCTAATCTTTCGAGTTTAGTTCCACTCTCCGTACGTCAACGAATCCCATGCCGCCCTCCGAAAAGAAGTCCGGGAGTGGGTCGAAAGCGCAATCGAACCCAACGTCACCGAATGGGACGAGAAGAAGGAGGTACCGCGCGAGATTTTCCTCGAGGCCGGTCGCCGCGGGTACCTCGCGGGCCTGTTGGGTGTGCATTACCCAGTAGAATACACTAAGAACACCGTCAAGTCGGTACCGCCAGAGAAATGGGATCTTTTCCATGAATTGACTATTACCGATGAGTTATCACGTGTCGGATCCGGCGGTTTCGTCTGGAACATGATCGGTGGCTTCGGTATTGGCGGTCCTCCACTAGTCAAGTTCGGCAAGAAGTCTCTGAAGGATCGAATCTTGCCTGGTATCTTGTCCGGAGAGAAGCGAATTTGCTTGGCGATTACAGAGCCCGACGCTGGAAGCGACGTCGCCAACCTAACTTGCGAGGCTAAGCTCAGTGAAGACGGCAAGCATTACATCGTCAACGGCGAAAAGAAGTGGATCACAAACGGTATCTGGTGCGATTACTTCACTACCGCTGTACGAACAGGTGGTGAGGGAATGAACGGTATCTCATTACTCCTGATTGAGCGCGACTTCGGTGGCGTTAGCACGAGGCGAATGGACTGCCAAGGTGTGTGGTCGTCCGGTACCACATACATCACCTTCGAAGACGTGAAGGTACCAGTCGAGAATCTCTTGGGTAAGGAGAATCAGGGCTTCAAGGGTAAGATACATAGCGAACCTTTCGTCAGCACATGATTCTAGTAACTAACTCTTAATAGTCATCATGACCAACTTCAACCACGAACGTATTGGTATCATCATCCAGTGCCTGCGTTTCTCGCGCGTATGCTATGAGGAATCAGTCAAGTACGCGAACAAGCGACGCACCTTCGGCAAGAAGCTGATCGAGCACCCGGTTATTCGAATGAAGCTAGCGCACATGGCGCGGCAGATCGAGGCCTCGTACAGCTGGCTCGAGAACCTGATTTATCAGTGCCAAAAGATGGGCGAGACTGAGGCCATGCTCCGGCTTGGCGGACCTATTGCTGGTCTCAAGGCCCAGAGCACGCTTACATTCGAATTTTGCGCCCGTGAGGCAAGTCAAATCTTCGGCGGTCTAAGTTACTCGCGTGGTGGCCAGGGTGCTAAGGTTGAGCGCCTCTACCGTGATGTTCGCGCCTACGCTATCCCCGGTGGTAGTGAGGAGATCATGCTCGACTTGAGTATGAGGCAGAGCATGAGGGTGGCTAAGATCTCTGGTATGAAACTGTAAGTATAGTGAGGGAGAGAAAGAAAACAGTGAAAACGAGGATGAGTACGATAATGTACATAAGTAAGATGTGGTTTTGATTGGTGTACGTACTTGGGCGCATTGAATTGGATATGCGGTCGGCGCCTTCAGGGGTTTGCATCAACATTGAAGACTTTGGATTACTACGTACCTTACAAATTATTCATAGCCTATCAATTGAAGGACTTCAACAAGTAAATTCTCTGTTTAATGTGGTTGTTTTTATTGTTGTGTAAAGTGATGATCGACCGATTAATCTAGGCGGATGTGATGTTAGGCATACATACCTTGGTATGTAGCCTCTTGACAATTACCTTAGGGACATAGGAAAAAACCAGCCCTGACTGCAGGAAACAATACGCCGTTTTATTAGGCGCATTTGAAGTATCGTTAATTAGCCTAGGTAGGCATCTTTCTATCTATCTATGCTCGACGATGACGATAGCAAAGTTGGTGATGTTACATTCTCCACTTCCCCTTCCCCGTTCCACAATTCTGAAAAGCCTCTTTCAACTTCACCTCTTCCCACATCCACCCCTTACCTATGCTACCACCTTAAAACCTAGGTGTCCGAAAAGTTCGAGCCTTGCTGTTGATTTGCTGGCCTATATGACTGCCTATGTGTACTACCTTGTCAAATGGCGGCTCAAATGCTACGCTTTGGTGCTGGGGTCATGATTAGATATTCTATCATTCTGTTTGGCTTGAAATTTAATAGTTAAAAACCATAGGTTACCTGCATTTGATAGCCCATGAGTCATTATAGGAGTCAGCTTATTCCTGTTTATTATATACCAAGCATTTTACTCTAGGGAGATATCTGTACTGTGAGGCTGTGTTTAGACGTGCGGACTATAATAATACTCTCACAGACAAAATGCCAGTAATTATTACCTTAATGCTATGTATCGTATTATATAAGCATTATCTGATTACGAAGATGATCAAAGGGCATTTTTTGGTTGCCCGTAGGAACTATGTACCTAGGATTTCGCACGACTTGGCAGCTGTCACGATTACTACAGCCATTACCGTCATATTCATACTGCAAGACGAGCCCTATTTCCACCGTATTGACAACTTATGCTGATTGTGTGTGAATAATAGCAGTGTCTACTATGACTAAAACGCTGTAGATTGAGGTTCATCATAAATGCTAAGTATCAAGAGGAGTATGAGAAGCCCGTCAGCTGTAATGGACAGTTATATGCTATGCCCAAGGTAACCTATGTACAAATAACTGGCACCAAAGTATCTTTGTATTTGAAAGAGACTGTTGGCTTCGTCTAGTTGCGACTAAGCAGGTCGCAGAATACTTCATTATGCTGGTTAGGCATCTACCTTGGTTACCTATATATATAAAAATACCATTATTCTAAGATACATTTCTCTAAAATGACCCTAAGGCTCAGAACGGTGTGTGGAATACTACAACCGTTGTGGCAGTTACCACCTGCTCCCGATTTCAACCTCAGTCATCGCCCGAGTAAGAAGCACGACCCACATATTGTCCGTCCGACCTCGAATGCCCTCAGCAGGAGGCACTTGACAGTTGACAGCACTGACCCGCAGCACCGTACCCTTAGGAATATAATCGGTAGGTATTCTGAAAGTACAAAATCTGGCAGACCTTATTAAAATCCTCCCTCGTCTTTCCTTCTTTTCTCAACTTAAACTTGTTCCTACACAACAACTTCTCCTACATTGAGGACGATCAACAACTCGTTTCTCACAACCTTGTGAAAGTCAAGTACTTACAAGTACCACACAATAGAAGGTAAGTGAATTTATTTCATCCGTCAGGTATTTCTTTCCAACATCTACAATCCTCCTTAACCTTCCAACTCGTGGTGTCTTCCTCATTGAAGCCAACTTCGTCTTGACATCCAACATCCACCGTCCTCATCACCCTCTCTTCTATCATCCAACCCTTCAGATTCGCCGTTCTCTTCATCATCATCACATCTACCCATCACAAACCAGACGACCTTGGTTATATTTTAATAACCGTACTCTTTTTTTCCCTTTCACGTCCACTGGTAATATTCACACAACACCTCACAACCTCATACGCGACGAGTCTCGTCGCCGACCACATACTAGTAGTATGAATATTTTCCACCGTCAATCAAGACGAACAATTTTTGCAAATGTTTGCTAACGTTTACTCGTTCACCAGTTGTTGCTTCTACTACCCGCTTCTCTTTCAGCTTCCCGGTCGATACTTCGACCAACAATGTCGTTCCGCGGAGGACAGCTTACGCCGGCTCCGTCCAACCGTGGTGGGCCAGAAGCTCGAAGCGTACCGAGCGTCAATGGAACGCCTCCCGTTCCCGAATACGATCCGGGCGTTATCCCGTTCCCGCTACGCCTCACCCACCATCAATCCAAGGTGGATGGGAGCGGTCGCTGGCCGACCGCACGTTCGGTCCGATCGGATGAGACAAGTAACACCATCGAGGACCAAGCCCTACTAGCCAGCCCCAGGAATGTGACCCCGCCAATCATGTTCAACATGGTTGGTGGCCGGCTCGCTGGCTCTGGAGGCAACCAGGTCCCTCAGAACGTCTACCCCCGATTCGACCGGGTCTTCCCGCGCCTCCCGTGGCTCACCGGAGCCCAACCCAGACCTTCCGCGGCCACTCAGCACGACCGTCAATCGGACGATAGCTACGTCCCGATGGGCCGCTGGCCTACATGGTACACTAGAAGCATCTTACATCCCTCCGTCTGGTCGCGCCAGCTCGAGGTTACTGGCATCTCGGCCAATTACGGAGGCAACATCTTCCTAGAGTCCAACCAGTCGGCCAACATCCCGGAGGAGTCGTCAACCTCCCTCTGGTTGACTAACCTTCCCCCCGACTGCACACACCAGCTGCTACTGGGCACCATCCGGGGCTGCGGCAAGATCTACGCCGCCGTCATCAACCCGCCGGTCTACGCCAAGGACGACTACGTCCGCGGCGGGGGGGCTAGCGGTGCTCAGCACTCGACGGCCGCGTCCAAGCTGGTATTCTTCGACCGCGCCGGGCTCGACAAGCTGATGGCCAAGTCGCAAGCGGGCGAGTTCTCGGTCGGCGGGTACGTGCCGCGGCTGAGGATGAACCGCATCAAGTCGGCGCCGCGGCCAGCGGGCCCGCAGTGCCGGGTGCTGCACATCGAGGGGCCGAGCAGCGTGGTGAACGAACGGTACCTGGGCCAGTTCTTCCAGAGCAAGTTCAAGTACGAGCTGGAGGGGGTGCTGACGCTGGGCCAGCACGGCGCGCGCACGCGCCAGGAGTGGCGCTTCGGCAGCTACCGCTGCCAGGCCGAGAGCGCGCGCCAGGCCATCAACCGCGAGAAGCTGCGCTACAACATGAGCGACGAGGACCGCCGCGTCTGGAGCCAGGTCTCCGTGCACTTCGGCGTCGACCCGTGTGCCCGGGACTAGAGATGGGTGCAACTACGCATTCACATCACTGGTCCGCCGCATCCGGGACCATCGCCCATAACCCGGGTGCTGGCGTGAGGCTAGTGGCCCATCTCTAAGATCGGCTGCCATTGTCGATGGCTGGGTGACCAAGGCCCACAACCATTGGCAATGGGTTCACGTAACCCCATGGTTGTGGGTGTCGACCGAGGACACTCTACATTCGCTGGGAATGGCCATTACACGATCTCTGGCTATTACATTCTCTCTGAATTTTCTGATACTGACGGTCATTTTCTCTCTTGGTTTTTACGGAGGAGTGAATAGGGGGTAGTACTTTCCATCTCGTTCTCAGACTTGTACATATTGGAGGACAGGAAGACGTGCCTGCATATACTTGGCGCATGGCATCCGAGGTCACTGATCTCGAGTAATGATAGCATTTCCTTTTTCCCTAATGGTGAACCTTTCTGGCCCCCTACTTGTCTGTACTTCATGATGTGTTTATAGAGGTAGTCGTGATATACTGTGAATGATCACCGCGGCATAACAAGCTTGCCCGGTCCAAATGGGTATTACCTGTAGGTGAGTACACCAATGTAGGATTGTGGCCCAAGGAGGCGGATGTTCGTCTACCTTCACGCGAAGAGCAAAGACTTCCTCTAGGAAAGGATCCAGAGAGAAAAGGATATCAACGCAGATTCAGCCTACAAAATGACAAAAGAGTTGCCCGATCAATATTAGGATGAATTCGAAGAGCCAATAAATGAAGGTGAGATTTGTTGTGGAAATTGAATAATTCGATTGATCGGTCAAGGGGGGAACAGATTTCGAAGAAAAAAAAGGGGGTGGCTGTATTCATGAAAAGGTGATAATATACATTTATGCAGCTTTATAGGGTTAAAGGTGTATTAGTAACAGAATAAAACTGGGGAGCCCTTCAGATATCACGCATAAATGCATATCATCGTGTCGTCATAGGCAAGCACATACCTCCTCTTAATCGTACGTCCTTCTTCGGTCCCACGACAACATAATTCTGTAGACTAATCGTATTAAGCTTCATCGAATTCACAAAATGCGACGCATGCAATTCTCGACTCTATACAGGTCCGGGAGTTCCCCACTCCTAAAACCTCGTATCATCAGTCTCAGTCACCACCGGTGCATTGGCTCACAGGCCCATGCCCAACAAGAAAAGTTCGTAAACAAGGATCAAGCTTCTGCGAAGAATGACGAAAAATCGTCTGCTATGAAGAAATCAAAGAAGAAAACTACGGCAGAGCTAGACGCCGAACTGCAGCGGAAGATGTCGGGTCTTTCTGGCGATGGCGGCGAGGCCGGGGTAGAGTACGAGAACGGACAGCCGGTGGCCATGAAGCGAAGCGTGAGGGAAGTGAGTATCCTCCCAAAGCGTTATTAAGTCCGTATTCGGGTTCGCTGATCGTAGATGCTGTAGAACATGTTCCGCTACATTTGAGAATTGTGGCTAGTCCAACCAATATTTCTTCTGAGATCTATCGAGATTTGTTGAGAGCTACTGCAGACCAACAGGGTGATAGTACGGGCTCGTCATACACTATTACAGATGCTTCCACAACACCCTACCCTACTTTCCAGGCGCCGCTATACCCACTAGGTCCTACAAAGGGAAGTCAATTCAAAACCTCCGTCCTGCCACTCATCTCCCCAACCAACCTCCCCACATCCTGCACCGCCCTCGCCGCATCCCCGCTCCACGGCGCCATCTGGAGGAAGCCGTGCGTGAGCCCGGGGTAATGCATCCAAGCGACCCTATTCCCAGCCTTCCGCAGCTTCCCCGCGAACTCGACGCCCACGTCGCGCAGCGGATCGAAGCCGCACGTGAACACCGCCGCCGGCGGCAGCCCCTCCAGCTTCTCGGGCGCCTGCATCCCGGGCGACACGTAGCGGTGCGCGGGCGGGTAGTACGTGTACCCCATATCGGCGGTGTCGGACCCGGACTTGTACGGCGCGCGGGGGAGGTAGTGGTCCGCGAAGCTGAAGATGCCGTTGCACTCGAGGTAGTACCCGGAGTTATTCTCGCTGGCGGCGGGCGTGTCGAAGGGCAGTCTGGCCTCGGGATAGAGCAGCACCTGTCCTTGTAACGGCTGTTTTCCTTCGTCTTTGAGGCGCAGGGAGAGCCCCGCTGTCATATTACCGCCTGCCGAATCGCCTCCGCCGAGGACGCGCTCGGGGTCGATGCCGAGACGTGCGCCGGACGGGGACCGCGTCCAGGAGAGCACGTCCTCGTACTCGTCGAGTTGGGTCGGGAACGGCCATTCCGGCGCAAGTCGGTACTCGACGCCGATCGTGATGATCTCCGCGGCTTCGGCGAGCAGGCGCAGGCCGTTTTCGAACTCGTCGACGCTGCCGACGGTGTACCCGCCGCCGTGGAAATAAATCAGCGCCGGGAACTTCTTTTTGCTCGCACCGGTGCTGTTGTCGTAGCTGCGCGGGTAGAACAGGCGCACGGGGATGGTCCCGTGCCGCCCGCGCACGCCGTCGAAGTGCACGTGGCCGATAGGTGCTTGTGCTTGCTTGGGAAGGTTGTGGAAGCCGAAGATCTCGAGGTGGTCGCGCCGTTCCGCGTGGAAGTCCTTGCCGCCGAGGTGCAGGTTCGGGTGCTCGTCTAGGAAGGTTTTGACGGACGGAACGAGGGTTGATCTGGTCCCGGTATTAGGGATCGCTTGGTCGTTGGGCATTTTTGTTCGTGTAGCCTACCGAATCCCCTAGAATTTCCAGTGCTATCGATGTTTTGGGCTGTGCTTGGGGTACTAGTAATTTAATAAAACGGACTACAAAGGCTTGTGAGCTACATGTCCTAGGAAGATGTAATTAACTACTGATTGGTACTGTCCTAGTAGTTCCTCGCGATGACCATCGGCGATGAAAATACTTAATCTAAGCTGCCAACAATTAAGTTCAATACTCGCGTATGTATGATGTCAGATAGACGTCGTATATAGTCTTACAAACACTAGCCCACCGCTAATCACCATAAACCATTCTAACGCATCTCTTCGTTTCGAATCTGTTTCGAGAAACCTACAATACCTAGGTAGCCTCCAAAGTTAGGTACGAGCGGGCGTTGTGCTTAGAGCCCCTTTTACAATACGTATACTAGCGCGAGAATAGTAATACGAGCCGAAGTTGAATTCCAACATTGACACCATTCATCTATTTTCTCCCCAGGTATTAGAACAGAGTGAATGTAATTGTGATTGATGAGAGGCAGTAATTAGTATTATATGACGAGGGGAAATAGACCTATCCTCTTTTCTCAACGGTGAAGACGTAGCATATCAAATTTGAACACGATTTTCATGATTAACAACCTTTTCAGAAGCTGTACGTTGATCATCCTCAACTGTCTACTTAAGGCTGATGGAGTATGAGGAATTCAATAGCTTCTCAACCATATTTTAGAAAGTAACGCACATCGATTGAGAGCCGTAGTCTAAGCCCAGTATTCGTGGCATCCATCTAGAAGCACCAGTATTTCATACCTGTTTGGTATCCGCGGCTTCTTGTCATCTCATTGCCATAAACTCCGATTTTCGATGCAAAGCCAGCAACGCCAGTTGTAAGTAAACCCATCTCAGACAGCAATCCGAGTTTCGTAGTCCGACCCCTTAATGAACTCATTATTTACCATACTTCAAGGACGAGCGTCCATTATGCTGTTCCACGAGGCTTCGCCTTGGCCTTGGCCTTCTCCTTCTTGTCTTCCTTCAACTTCTTTCTCTTGGCCTCATTCTGCTCATCCAGCTTTCGCTTATGCACGGCCTTCTCCTCGTCCGTCTTCGGAATAACCTTGAAGAATCCTTCCAATCGAGCCTGTTGGGAGCTCTTGGTGGCTTTCTCTAATCTTGCGCCACCAGCACGGACTCTGTCCTCGTTGAAGCCCTTGTCAACTGCCAGGAACTTGACGAGTCCCTCGATATCTGGCTTCTCCCACTTGAAATCGCACAGCGGGTCGTCCGCCTGGCGAACGTCCGGTTCGAAGAACAAGGCTCGGGCATCCTCGAAAGGCCAGTCCTCGGGTAGTGTATACTTGGAGTCACTCTTGATGTATTCGACCACCTTCTCAAGTGTACCATGTTGGCGAATCAGCTTCAGAGCAGTGGTAGGCCCGATCTTGGGGATGGGGTCGAGGTAATCGCAGCCGAGCAAGATGCAGAGATCAACGAACTATCTCAGTTAGTTTCTACCTAATAATCAGTGGAATCAGTTTGTCTAACCTGCTTACGATCCATGTTCAATCCCTCAAGGACCTTATCCACGTGGATTTCTTGAATAGGCTCCTTTCTCTGCTCGCTAAAGGTCAAGTGGCGTAACAAGACTGGACTGTCAAAGCACAGGGTGTCCATATCCTCACTAGCCGCTGCGTAGACCTTTCCGGCTCTCGCAAGAGTGGCGCATTGTGCTTCAGCTTCGGTTGGGGCAATGATGTAGGGTATGCCCATTAACTTCAACAATTGCTGGCATTCGGCGTTGTGTTCTTTCGTGACTCGAACAGTTCGGCGAGAGAACTTCTCGACATCTTCAGCTGTTCCTGTCTCCTTAGCTTCTTCGAGTCCCTCCTTCGCCTCTGCCTTTCGCTGGAAACGACGAGCTAATTCACCCGACTTCAACTTGGGCGGTGCACCATCGAACACGTAGAGGGGCTTGATGCCATTATCGACTATTCGTAAAGTGCGGTAGAACATTCCCATCAGGTGAGATGTCGTGTCACCAGACTCGTTCGTCAGTTGCTGGCCATCAGATCGGACTGCGATCAAGAAACTGTAAATGCTCATAGAACTGCTCGTGAATTAGTCTTTGTCCTTTAGATTGCCTGAAAATAGCGTTGTACGTACGCATCCTAGTGTCAGAACGTTAGCAAGTTAATCAGGTACATTTATGGTTAAGATACACTCACAATGGCGACTTTGCGACCGAACTGATTTTTGATCTCACCCTCCTTGATGGCGGCCGGAGCCTCCTCTTTGATGATTGAGAAAAGGTTCTTAATACCCATGATTGTTTCTTTCCGCCGTCTCCCTGTGTAAACCTTTGTGAAATTAGGTACGGAGAAGATGGGAGTAAGGGGGAGTTTCGTCGATCGCTAAAAAGATGGAAAAGGTAGAAGTTTAAGTGGAGTGATGTCACGATAGATGCGAAACTGACGCGCCCTAAATTCAATTAACATGCAAACGCGCCTTCCAATCGCGAAAAGTGGGGGGAGCACAAAGCTGCCTGGGAAATTACCTAATACAGTTAGTTTGTTTTAAGCTTAGCTATATTATGGTCCAAGCGTCATGGGGTAACTTTCTCTCTCTATCGAGACGTCTTGTCAGCAGCTTTTTAAAAACAGATATAGATAGGTACATCGCTAGAAACTCTAAGCTTATCCATTTTACTTGGCAAGAGGAAGCATCCCAAGGTCTATTAATTAACGTCATCGCTAGTTCTATCGGGGTATCGATTAATGACCTTCAGAATATCCTAATGGTATCCTTCTTAGATATCTCAGATAGTATACTTAAATCTCGGACTTTCATCTCCAAGCTCAGCGAGTTCTTCTTCCGATAAGCCCTCGTGAATAGATTTAAGGGGTCCCTCCTCCCGTTTTCTATTTTCCCGGGCAAACCAGAACCACAAGAAACCGAACAAGCAGGTGGCCATTCCCACAAGAGACAGGGAAACAGCATTCCCTGTGATATAACGCGGGCCAGCCGTGCTAGGACTAATGGATGGTTAGTTTAGTCATTCTACTACCGATTTTCAGGTTCCAATAATTTTAAACTCACTAGATAAATGATGACATAATTCCTGCTGTATTTCCAGTTGTGAGTTGCATGCCGTTACCCGTCGTACGCTTGCCGTACCGTGGTGTGTTATTCGGTAACTGGATTCTATCAGTCAGCATTTTCGCCCTGTGCAAGAATCTCTGGAACTAACCCAAGCCAATGGCAGGCCAACAATAACGTAGAGTCCCGTAGCGACGAGGAAGCAACTTTGGAATGTTAGCCTTGCCTACAGAGTGAATCTCAATATCGTCTTACCCAAAGTAATGTACGCCTGCGGATGAATCTGAGAGCAGAACGCCATACCCAACCACGCTGATGACGCCAAAGATAACACAAAAAATGCCACGCATCTGCATACGGTCCGATAGGAATGCAATTCCCATATAGGTCATAGCCCCAACGAAGTAACACGGAATAGTGAGAAGCTGGATCTGCGCTGTCGACCACTCCCCAAGACCGCGAATAATTGTTGGCAAAAATGTCGAGTACCCTAATAGATCAAGTCAACGACTGCAGTTCCGTAATTCCAGGTATGAAGCTTGAAACTCACCATATAGCATAGTATCGACACCAAATTGGCCGAGACAAAACAGCCAGATCTTCCAGTCCTTAAACGCGGCCATCATGTCATTCTTGCTAAACTTTTGCGCGCTTTCTGTGACTCCATAGTGGCGCAGATGTCTCGCTTCGGCGAACTTCTTCTCCTCGGGAGTCAAGAAATACGCATGATCGATATCGTTGGGGAGGAGAAAGAAAGCAGCAACGCCTATCACAATACTAGGAAGACCCTCGATTATAAAAATCCATCTCCAACCGCTGTATCCGGCAACGCCTGCCATTTGACCAATGCCATAAGCCAATAGTCCGCCCAAAGCACCGGAGATGGCCGCACTGACGAAGAGGTAGCCGACTCGCAAGGCAAGTTCCCGCTTCGTGTAAAAGAAGGTAAGGTAGACGTTAAGTCCCGGAAAGAGTCCGGCTTCGACGACCCCTAGAATCAGTCGTATAGCAATGAGTGCGCCGTAGTTGTGGACGAAGCCTGTGCACGTAGCTATGATGCCCCAGCCAACCGCGACGGAGGCGATGTATCGCGAGGGAGTCAAGGGCTTAAGCACCAAGTTTGAAGGGACCTCGAACAACAAGTCTATGAACTCGAGGTCAGTGTCCGTCGGATGAAAGCTGATCTACGACATAGCATCGGATACTATAGTCATTATTCGAAAAAGGATGACTAACACGTGACGTAGAAAATAGAGACAGCTACTTGGAACTGGTTCCCTACTAATCCGAGGTCTTCCTCCATACTATAGAGACGCGCATTGCCAATGTTCACCCTATAGGAAATGTTAACAAGAGGTTCGTTATTTGAAAAGGCAATGAAGCGTATACCGATCCAGGAAACTAAAAGTATCTATTGCTTGCTGTTAGTAGGCTTATTCATCATTACACCAACAAATTTGAGAATTAAAGTCACAGGAGTCATCGGGAATTCCAAAAAGCATCTGGTAACTGACAAAGTAGCATCACAAGAGGAATGATATGCAAGTCGAGCTTGCGCAGGAGTTTCTTCTCATCCACTCCGTACGTCGGGTCCGTAGCGATCTCCGCAGCGACCTCCGCACCGGCATCCTGCACTGGTATCTTCGTCTCGGACATATTCGGCGTATCGGTTGCCATCATGTAACAAAACTGAAGCTTCAAAAGAACCGTGGACTCCCAATGAAAGACGAGACAAGCCCGAGTCGGAAGGGAGGAGACCGGAAAACTCTAGATCTGTGTCGGATCTGAGACAGACAATATAAATATCGGATGGGGTGGCGACCCGAATCAGAAAATACTTCCGGCTCCACCGAGATCCAGATTCGTTACCCGCGCTACTACCTATTGATAGCTAGACCAGCCTTACGTCAGTCTACCTAGCCCACCACATTGAGTTACTGTGATAAGAGATTTCTTTCGTGGCATACAGTAGCTGGTTTGAATTTCTTTACTGAAGAATTTCGGACGTAGGCACTTCGTGGCTCGCTAGAAAATGGTGTAAATGAACGACAAGAAGGGGAGAAAAAGTTGAAGCCAATTATTAAGACCTCCAGGGCTTTTGAGTCTCAATAGTTTACGCCACCACCATTGCGTTCCTGATAACCATATCACAATCCCGGCAATCGATCCGCATTATAACTATAGCTGAACTACCTCTTCTAGGAAATTCCGAAGCTGACAGTCCATGGTGAAGAATTATTAAGCGGGCAAACAGCACCAAATGGCGATGACTGACAACGCCCGGCTAGGCGGGTCGAGACGATGGGATTGGTGAGCTGGAGGGAAAACGCATTGAATCTTGGCCCACGATCTAGAGCCAGGGACCAAGACCCCGCTAGAGAGATAAGATAAAAATACCAAGAGTGGGGGTTTCCTTATAACCTTCGAAGCTTATAATTGACGAGATGGGCTTAGAATCGGTTGAAAACAAAACTCAGATTCTAAGAATAGGTGTTTAAGGTTAAGTATGGCCACTGAAGCATCTCGACGGTTTATTTAGCTACTTTACTTAGGTAGGTAGATGTTAGCTTACTTGGGATATTACACTCTCGGAAGGGAAATGCATGCTCTTGTCGGTAGAGTGGGGCTCGATTCATAATGGAATATCATTACGGAACTCACGCGTTTGTAGTACGACTTCGTTATTTTACGATGTAGACCTCAGTATTCACCCCTTGTATCTAAGATGGCTTAGGCACTCATCATGGTATATTCAGTTGATTCCTCCTGTATACAGCTAGATACACGGACCACAGTTGAGTCATTTAATCAATCCGCTATCCAGATGCTACGTTCTCCCCGATTGCAAGAATACAACCCTTCCTAGACCATATTAGATCAGATCAGACCTAAATTTCCAAGTCGCGCATCATATCAGCAACAGTGCGGAATTTGCGAAGAGGGCCAGCCGGATTCATCAGACCATCCGGATCGTCGATCAACATTGCATGTCGATTAGGAATTGTGATGTCGCTACGGTTATTCAGCTCGACGATCCGCGGATGAACAGGTGCCTCGCTCCCCTGTGCAAGGCCTCGGTCTTGCTCTATCTGGTTGACGCTCTTGACTCCTTCGAAGTCGCCGGCAACGCTGCTAGGCTCCTCCCACAGCTCGAAGAATGGAAGTCCCGCCTCTGCGTATGTGGATGCATCGATGGGCGAGGGCGGTGGGTCCTCGCCTGTAACTCGGCGGTAGGCGGTGCTGTTGAGGATCTGGACCGGAACCGTTATCGTTTGATCTTTCATCCACCGGGTCGGATCCGTGTCGTCTTCTACGATATTTTGCTCGATTTTTCCACCTACTGCAATCTCCATAGATGGAAGCCAACCTCCCCGGAGCATTATGCAGAGATATATGTCACATCTCTACTGTAGTTGATGTTAACTTCGGATTGCGATACCTTGTTCTAATTTTGCTTCTTCGGACAGCCCATATGTTAGAATGGCATTAAGGACGTAAGACTTACATTAGGTATGCCGTAATAAGCCAACGTTTTATCTACCTACCGGGAATTTAATTGAGCACTTCGCGGTGATTATATAGGTAGAATACTAACCATTCTCAAGTGTTGTTGAAGTTGGAGCATAGAAAAGCTTTTGAGTATCAGCATTAATCCCTTGTTGGTCCTCAATACCTTTTTTGATGCTCCCAATGGTATCTGACGGCGAACAGGCAAAATAAAAGATCCTTCCAGTCATTTGGTGGATCTTGATAGAGAAGCCACTCGGTGGCGTAGGCAATATTGTCTCCTGGGGAATTAGAGCAGGAAGGGGAGGAGGGGGTGGACTCTCCTGGGGTATCGTAGGAGTTATCTCGAACTGGAGACCGCCAACGACTTCTTTTCCGGTGAGCTGGGCCTCCACGCTATAGCCCTGGCCCATCGGCATAGCGACAAATTACCTCACGATACCGGGTGAGATGGCTATGCCGTCAAGCCAGTGCTGTCCAGGCGCAATGACATAGTCCTGGATACTTTTCCCTTCCTCGATACGCTTCAGCCGTCGAGATACAGTCTGAGCGTCTTCTGCGCTATGCTCACCCGAGACAACATTGACCCCTCCAGCGTAGATTTTGATCATGAATGGTGACCAAGCATGGAAGCGGATCTACATAGCTTCTTTTTGGTACATAGGCATGAAGACGCCACCCTTGGCCGCCATCTCTGGGGGTAGTCGATGAGCGTAGTCACGAACATTCAAGAGTGGAAATCGACCTTGATACGGTGGGAGTGCATATTCTTCGTCGTTGTCAGGGACGCGGATGGTTCGAAGGAAGGAAATAGCAAGGCTTTGTTCATAATAGGTGCACGGGTCGTTAAGCCGGAGGGATATACAAATCTTATCGTCGTGATTATGACACTCGAATTGGCCGATCGATCCTAGATTATCCATGATCAGGGCTTAGGTGTATGCTGTCAATGTAAATCTCAAGACTTAAGGATCTGCGTGGATTGCGAAGGACGCTGGAAATTTATATTAGTAGACGTAGCCGTAAGGATACAAGTTTTCGGAAATCAACATTGTTTATGGCTGTTAATACCTAAGGTAGTCAATGGACATATGGCCTATTATGATTGATTTTCATTTTGCGGCGGGATTGCCTGACAACACCCTAAGCATGCAGGTTCCAAACCTGAGTAATGGGCAAACAACCTAGCAACTGCTAGACCGCAAGATTGTTCGACAAAGGCATATCGTCGTATATAAGTGGAATTCGAATCCAGTATAAATCAATGGAAAGCACTAGAAAACAACAAATGTGACAATACCTAACCAAGAATGTGATATTGTCCAGGCACATATTTAGTACCTGGTGCATACTGCTTTCTGACTCCAAAGCAATGATCTAGTATGCTCTAATCTATCTCAAAGATGCAGTGTAGATCTAGGTGTCATCTAGGTGTCTATGCGATAAAACCACGCCTTCCCCCACATTTATCGGCAAGTGTATCCTCCATCAATCACTATATCGGCGCCGGTAGTATACGTGCTAGCGTCGCTGATGAGGTACACATAGGCGGCCTTCAGCTCCTTAGCCTCGCCCGGTCGGCCCATGGGGACCATGGAATACCACAGCTGCTGGGTCTTCGGCTCGATGAAATCGGACAAGCCGGTGGAGATGTATCCGGGGGAGATGGAATTAACGCGCGCGAAGTCGCGCCACTCGTTGGCAAGAGACTTCGCCATGTGAACGCAGCCGGCCTTCGCGACGTTGTAAGAAGTCTGCTCCTGGGGGAAGTTGGCCACGTGACCGGACATCGAGGAGGTGATGACGAAAGAGCCGTGGCCCTGCTTCTTGAAGTGGGGACCAACGGCCTTGGCGCAGTAGGCCGTGCCGTTCAGGTCGATTCCGACGACCTTGTCCCAAGCCTCCTTAGTAGATTCGATGACGCCGCCGTCTGCTGTCGCGCCGGCGTTGGCGATGAACCCGTCGATGTGGCCGAAGTCTTTCAACACGTCGCTGACGAGCTTCTCGCAGTCGTTGTAGTCGCTTATGTCGCAGCTGTAAGCCTTGACCTTTACGCCGTAATCTTTAATTAATCCCGCAACGTTTTGCTCGGCCCCCTCTTTGCGCGTCAGGTATGTGATGGCAATGTCAGCTCCCATCTCAGCGCAACCCCGGGCAGCTTCGATGCCCATCCCTCGGGGACCGGAGGCGCCAGTGATGACGATAACCTTGCCCTTAAGGCTGAAGAGGTCTAGTAGCTTGCTTGCCGTTGGTACTTGTTGAGGCATGATTGCGGTTTAAACGACTTGGTCTCCTGGTTAGGTGGGTGTCTAATAGAGAGAGACTTTGGACTAAAGTCTTCGGTATGCGACGGAGAGGGGTAGGAAACACTAAAGTTACAAAACAGAATAGCGTTCCCCAGAGTACCTGACTCTTTATATATCCAAGGTAAGAAGGTTTCCTGCTAGTTAGATATGGGGTGAGGTGGAGTACAGTGGATATTGTTGAGATGCTTTGAGCTGCAGGTGATGTCATTGCTGGGCTGGGATGAATAGATGCGAGCCACTTACATTCAGCTGTCAGCGGCATATCGCCTCTAGGTATGCTAAGCGTATGCACGTAGGTCTCACCATGCTAGCCACAGGTGATATTCCGACCCTATTCCGAGTTCTACTATGAGAGCGGTCGGGGAACTTGGATGGTCCGTCGAGTCTATGTTTGCTTGACCACACGATGGGATTTAGAGTCGATTGTCTTTTTACGTAATACGAGTGTGGGATCGTTTTTCGTAGACGCTTCCGAGGCTTTCAAGAAACTCAATTGCAATATCATGGATCCCTTGAAATAAAGTTAGTGCGCTTTTCCAGGGCATGAAAGGGATTGGTGTATGTATGTAACTCAAACATGGATACCGTAGCGGCAAAAGGTATGTGCTCAAAATGGTATTTTTACTGTAAAACGATTGTCCCCAGGGAAATGGTTTTTGCCAGGGGAATGATTCCCCGTTTTTGGGCTAGGAGACGATTTTATTGGCCAAATTCCTTCAAACCTTATATAGAGTTTTGAAAACCCACTCTTTTAGTCACTAGTGGGGCTGGCCACCCCACTAGAGACTACCTTAGCTCAATTGCAAAGCGCGACTGCTTGCATTGCGCAAGGGTGTAGGTTCGAAGCCCACCCTTTTTAAAATTTTAACCGTTTTCAAAGTACCTAGGTATCTTTTACCCACTTCTTAAATAAATCAACCAATCAGAGCCCTGCATACTAAAAACCATTGGGCTGACGGGAATCATTTGCGTGATAAAAACGTTACCCTCCAACTGAATCGTAGTTATGGCTAAAATGATTTTGCGTACAACAACCATTTTTGGCACCCACCTACTGCCGCTGCGGTAGATACCTAAATAATACCCCCAAGCTACCTACCCATTGCATATTGGGCATGTGGGGCGTGAAGCGTGGGACGTGCGGTGCTACTTCTTATGGAATATCCCTGACTCTATTAGCGTAGTATGTCTTGGCACCGCTTAGCGTTGCCTGCATATTAGTCGCTATTGGTAGTCAACTTCCCAAATACAACTACCTTGTCGTCATCCGGTATTGATGAGCTAAGTGCATTCGCAATGTCTCCATTAATAAAGGTCGGCCATTTCCAAACTCTTGACCTGTCGGCGGAAAATCAGGTGACTATCCAAGATGAACTCTATGGCAACCACACAATATCGGATCTGGTCCTGAACGAGCTTCTACGGTCGCCTTCCCTAGCGCGCCTTATAGGAGTGCGTCAGCATGGCATCTCATCCCTCCTAAACTTCACACCCCCGATAACACGATTTGAGCACTCCGTGGGCGCGATGCTCCTTGTGCGGCATGTTGGCGGCAATCTGGAGGAGCAGGTCGCGGCTCTCCTGCACGACGTTAGCCACACCGCCATGAGTCACGTCGTCGACTTCGCTCTATCTGAGCCGGGAGAGGGAAGCTTCCACGAGGTCCACAAGATGCGGTTTGTCAGGACAACTCAGATACCTGAGATACTCACCAAGCACGGCTATAAGGACCTCAAGCCCTTAGACGAGGAGCTGTATCCGCTGGTCGAGATGCCGACACCCCACCTCTGTGCCGATAGGCTTGACTATGGTCTGCGTGACGCCGTAGGCTTTGATAGCCTTTCTCTAGAGGACGCGCGGCGCGTCATAGCTTCTCTCGATGTGTTTCCCGATGCCACTTCCCCTGGTCGTTTGCTTGTCCTACGCGATCCGGAAGTGGCTTTATCTCTAGCAAAGGGGTATATGAGATGCGATCGGGACGTGTGGGGAAACCCATCACACGGCAGCTTGTATACAAGGACAGCAGAGCTTATGCGGACTTCTATTCGGGGCGGAGGTGTGCGCGAGGAAGACCTGTGGAGATTGTCGGACGATGAATTCTGGGCTGAAATGCGCAAGGTAGTAGATTCTAAAGGACAGGAGGCTATGGATAGGCTCGAGTCTGAGGATCTCCCGGATGGCAAGGATCTGCCGCTTCCCCGCGGTGCAAAAGTCCGTACTATAGACCCTGATGTCTATGACCTCTCTAGTGGCAAGGCTGTTCCTCTATCTACGTTGCGTCCTGAATATTCGACGGAGAGGGAGCAATACATCGTTGCGAGGAGAGCCCTGTACGCATAAGCCATTTCCAACTAGATATAGATAGATATTCGGTTTCTAGACGGTATACCCATTTTATAGACTTCCATTCGTAGAACATAACCCTAGGTAGGTACATAAGCATTATATTTTATACCTAACCTGGACAGATAGTTACATCGTCTTCGTGCCAATCCAAAGCGGGTCTGAACTGCAACTAAGTATGTTTCCCTCGCGGTCACACGTTGCTTGGACATAGCCAATACCGGTAGCATCAAGCGAGGATCTAGAGTAGGTATCATTAGTAATAATTCCGCTGTTGAAAATCTTCAAACAAGTCATCACCACTTACGAGTCGCTACAGTTCCAGTGTTGGGTAATCGTGAGGATGTCCAGCTGGGAGTCGAAGATAAACTCTGCCGTGGTTGTTGAATTTTCTTCCGACGCCGACTGGCAGGTCCCATCGAACGTGCTGTCTCTATTCCCTGAAGTTGAACAATCGAACACATCTTTGTTGGCCATATTTCTCAGCGTGAAGGACGGGCCAGTATCCGACTCAGGCGTGACAGACGAAGAGCCTGGGATCAGTTCGTATTGACGTTGCCAATTTTCAAGTTGCCATGATTGATAGCTTTGTGAGGTGTCCGCACAGGCGTCAGTTTCCGCATGAGCCAACCCTCCCTTCGTAGTGACGGCTAGGCCGCTACCCTTCAACATACAACTTTCGTCACCTTCGGTACTTGATGTGCAGTCCATATCCAGTTGTATGGATCCCGTCGCTAAAGCATCGGATCTACGTTTCAACTGTCAGCTTGTCCCCTTTCGCTTTACTAGTATCTTCTCCTAGAATCCACCATGGCTAGAACCTGGGAATACTTACCCCTTGATATCCGAGCAAGCGAACGTATGCGATATGTACACCGTGTGGTTCTTCCAGTCCGTCGCAAACGATACCGCCGTATCGTATGTTTGTCCATTGCCCGCCCAGATGCAGTCGCTCCATATGATATTTCCATCTTCATACCATCCTGCCCATGATTCCGGCCATTCCGCAACGCACTCGAAGAATGTTCCCATAGCACTAGTACCTGGGACTATGCTTAGTGCCACTGTAGCAGTCCCATTAACTACCCCGTCATATCTTCCAGCACCAATACGCCATTGGTACGTTGGAGAAGTATCGGTATTATTCCCACACGCTCTATCACCGCGTACTTGGGTAGCCCCAAGCACCGTTGTAAGAACTAATATGTCGGTTCTCATCGTGACGTTTGCTTGAATTGTTTCAACTGAAGAAACGTGGATTAAGTTGGAATCTCTCCTCGAAATAGATTAGCTAGTAACAAAAGGATCTCAGCTGACTTCCCGCGGGTAATCCTGTCTAGGCTCTAGTTATACCGAGCATGAGTAAGTGCCGCACCGGCTTGACTGTTACATTGCAATTTGGCAGAGTATACCGAAAATTAATTCTATTTTACCGCCGGTAAGAATGAATGTAGCCAATCAGTTCTTTGTTAATCAAGATACCTACAGTAGATAAGATGCCTTTTCCTTCACATTTCAGGAGATATCGTGATCTCGTACTTATTTGGAATTATACTGATATCCACTTCCTACCTAGTACGTTCTCTTAATAGATAAAAGTTAATTCTGAATATATCTAAGATGAACTAAAGTTTAAATCGTGAGCAGGATAGTATCACTCCTCATAACCGCTTCTGTTGAGGTGAGTGTGGTGTGAAAGAAAAGGGGCTGTTTACCCGGTAAATTGTTTAACCCAAGCGGTGTAATCCAACCCAATTAATCTCGAAATTAAATTCACAAGATAACCATGTCACATTAATGATGTTCCGGCATTATCTTGGAAAGAAACTCGTGTCTGGGTATATAGGAATTGTGATCTATAATGACACAGGAGCAACGGTCTAGCTTCTCCTCCGAGGCTTTTCGTAACAGCGATCTCTTCTTGCGACGTCGTAAGCCAGTACAGAATCGTTCACGATGCAGTGGCAGACTTTAGCCCTAGCGCTCCTCGCGCAGGGCGCCGCAGCGCAACAGATGATACGATTTGGCTGCTCGCAGCTTGTCATCGAACGTCTAGACCCCCTGGTAAATCCCGGCTCCACGCCATCGCCGCACGTTCACCAGATCGTAGGAGGGAACTCCTTTAATTCAAGTATGGACCCGACAACGCATGATCTCGTCAAAGAGTCCACTTGTACTAGTTGCACCTTTTCCGAAGACTTTTCCAACTACTGGACGGCGGTCATGTATTTCCGAGCTCGCAACGGAACATACAGACGCGTGCCCCAGTTTGCGAACGTTGGACTGCGTGCTGTTGGCGGCATCACGGTTTATTACATACCGCCATATGACGGAAAGACCAATGTGACAGCTTTCAAGCCAGGTTTCCGCATGCTCGTTGGAGACGCCGCACTTCGTAAGGCCGACGGTATGCAGCGACAGTTATGCCACCGTTGCTATACAACAGAGTCAGACGCCGGCGTTCCTGGTTCGGACCAGAACGGCGCACCCTGCACCGGGTCAGACACTCAGAGCTTGCCTCCAAAGCCATGCAACGGCGGTATTCGTACTACTATTACTTTTCCAACGTGAGTTTTGATTGTCGCATTATCCTGTCACTCTCGTACCTATAATCGTTTCTACTTGTCAGCTAGGAGTTCGTGGGAAGAGTTTACTGAACCATCCACCATAGCTGCTGGGACGGTAAGAATGTGGACAGTCCGGACCATAAGAGTCACGTTGCGTACCCTCAATCCGGATCCTTCGAATCGGTTGGCGCCTGCCCAGAAAGCCATCCCGTAAGGTTGCCTCAACTGATGTACGAAGTCATGTGGGATGTAAGTATATTCCCTTTCCCGACTGAATGATTCAGAACTTAGCAACTGACACACCACAGACCCGTCCTTTCAATGACCCGGAACTATGGCCTGAGGATGGCTCACAGCCATTCTTTTGGTCGACAAACGATGAGTAAGGCATCCTTCGTGCAGATATGGCGAAGCCACGGACTGATAGATATTTTACAGGACTGGATACTCACAGCATGGCGATTACCTCTTTGGCTGGGAGGGTGACGCGCTCCAGCGTGCTCTAGATGCCCGTTGCAACAACGCCGTTTGCAAGGAGCTCAAGGTTCAGTCCTCTGAAGACGCTATGAGGTGCACCAAAGCACAGACTGCAGTGGAGGACGTCGACGGATGTAAGTTCCATTGATTTGTAGTACAATGACGCAGATAAGATTTATTTGCTAACATCTTTCATGATAGGGTTGGAGAGTATTCCAGGCAACTAGAGACTAGAATTATATTTACAACCCAAAGTTGAGTCGATGGATGAAGCGAAGAGAATAGGACTTCTAAGGCAGTATTACTTGGAAAAACATTTTTTTCTAATTTATTCTCTCGTCTTGCCCCTGAAAGGGTGTGGGAACCCGCCGACTTAAGAGTAGAAAGTATGAATCAATTTTACGCAATCGTCCAATGATAATCCATAGATACTTATTCATGCAGTTCAGATATGGCTCTAGAGGGCGGGTACTTAGCACAAATCCATATGAATTAAGAATTTGGAGGGAAATATTGTCCAGCATCGCCGGTGTTACGAGTCCACCGAGCTTATATTATAACATCCCCAAGTAGCCACAGTCGAGTTGAATACCTCGAAGTCATGCTATTAAATTCGGTCCGAATTGATTATTCCCATCCCAGCTCGATTATCTGCAATTTAATATTGAAGAAGCATCGTCACGATAACTAGGCCCGCACCGATGGACAAGGGCATTGATATGTCCACCTTTCCCACTCCCGAGTCATCGTCATCCTGATCTGTCCCATTCTTATTGCCGTTGCTGCTCTTGGGTTTCCTCTTGGGATCTCGTTTCCCTGTACTGGTGAATCTAATTTCAGGGGTCAACCGTGAGATCATCAGAAGGACTTATAGTAGAAACATACCTTTCATTAAAAGGGATAACGTCCTGAATCTCGTGGAGGGTATCTTTCAGCGCCTCGAGTTCTGAAACGCGTGCGAAATCGTCATTTTGTACGTTTCGCAACCGCGCAACTTGGTAATCTCTAGCTTCGCATAGGCCGATAGAAATTAAACAGGTCGATGCCAACATAGCCCGGAGGATGGCGGTATTTATAATCATGATGACTCGATATGATATTAATGTCGTTATCAGGCGAGTGTAACTGGGGAGCTTAAGAAATCGCCAGTCGAGTAGAGATGAGTAGAGCTCAGAGGTTTGGTAGAGCACTGGGAATTTCTATGCAAACTGCGGACAGGTCGTTGCGAAGTTGTTAGACCTATAGGTTGGTTCTAAAGAGGAGATGGAAGATGGCAAGGCCCGAGGTATAAATGAGCTGAACCGACCTACTTTATCATGTCTGGATGTGAACTGACCTTATGAAGAGTACCTAGTTTACTCAAGCGGCCCTATTTGCTTAATTTTACTGTATTGGATCGCACTGTACCTAGAATTATCTTCCGCTTAGCATCTGCCAGCTACCTTAACGTGTAAGTTGTTTATATAGGACGATAGGGGATATTTTGGCACATAGTCTTGGAACCCTTTTTCTGCCAAGCTACTGACCGCATAGATCCTTTCGCGCTATTCGTCCAGCTACCTTTCTCCATGCAAGTAAATATCTAGGTATGAAAATGTCCTACTCGGAATAGGTCAGATGCTGCTAAAGTACCCACCCATTTATCCGAGTACACTATAGGTAGGGCTGGCGGGCCCCGGTATCGTGAGTTTCTTGGGTGGGAGATTCAAAACAGTCTACAATGCCAATGTTGCCGTATTGAGACCTATCCAGCGACGAGAGCCCAGATAAAAACCCGGGCAAACCAAAGAGGCACATATACCCGTATATTGAAATGAATCCGATTCGTAATTACTTATGGTATATTTAAAACTGGCTAGTCTGTCGGCGTAGATAGTTATCGAAGTCGGCATGCACAGTATAGCAACATCGGCACTGATGTGGTAGCACCACACAGTAGGTCGTACTGTAAGGGAGCTACCTCTTATACTACACGATAAATGATGATATATACACGTTGGCGGAATTCTAGGATAAGAATAAGAAGACTAAAAATTCAAGACATTGCCGCTCCTTAAGGGTTAGGTACATCTGTCGTCATCCCGCTTAAGCTATAGACCCCTGTAATGTAAAAATCGGGATTGGGCGGTTAGGAAAGCAAGTAAGAGTGGAGCTTTTACACATTGTACAGGGATTACTATGGGATGTAACCTAGTACCTATGTACTTTTCGGCGCATATTTTTTTAGCGGTCGTACAAGGCAGAAAATGGAAAAATCGAGGAAAGAAAAATCGCGATTGTTAATTCACAATACAACACACGTATGTAGGTGTATATGAGTTCGAGAACCGCGTGGTAGGCTGACCACTTGACGCTCTTTTCATATGTCTCCTGTCCGTTGCAATGTACGGAATATCTTCTCCCCTCATTTCCCTTTCTTACATCGGCCGCCAATTGTCTCCTTGACAAGGCGCACCATTTCCTTGAATGCGCTCGATAAAAAACAAATAAAGCCGATAGGTGCGGTAGCTGAACGGCTTGCTGCCACTAATTTATGGATATCCCGGAGGGGAAGGAAGAGTGATAAGGATCCTAAAGGCGACAAGACGAGAGTCAACGTTGTTGGTAGCAAGTTATGCGATGATATCCTTTCCTACATCGGTCCCGATCTGGATCGACATAAAGGATGTGATCTCATTGACATCTATCCCGGCGCCGGACTCTGGAGTCGGAAGCTTCACGATTATCTCGAGCCCCGGTCCCACATATTGATGGAACCGGACAGCCAGCTCTACGAGCCCTTTCTTAAGCCTCTGCTCAGCCGCCCTAACACTACTCTTATTCCCAAATCCGGCCTCGTCTGGCGAGAGCTCACCCAAATATTGACCCCTGAACATCTACCTCACCAAAAAGTTCTCGCTTCGGGTCAAGCAGCCCGTCGGAACGATGAGTTACTAGTCACCGCAAACATCGCCTTTCATCCTAAAAAACGATTTCAAAACTTCGGATCTCTGGTCAACCTAGTTTTATATCAGTTCATTGATGCTATTCGTACCAGGAGTTTGTTTCAACGGTACGGGCTTGTCCGGATGTTGATATGGACTAGACACGACGACAAGCATGGTTTAATCCCTAAGGTGCTCCAGAGGCGTAAGAAGTTGGCGGTAGATAGCGAGCTTTCCTGTGAGTGGGTTCACGAGGTGTGTGGGCCCGAAGACCCTGATTACGTCTGGTACGTTCGCGACGACGTTATAAATGCAAGCAGCAATGTGGCCGCGTGGAGGAGGATGCGAGATGCCAAAATGAAGATGCCTAAAGAGAGGGACTCCGAAGCCTTGAAAGAAGCTCGAAAGATATCTCAGTCGGGAAAGATTATTAAGCCAGGAATTACGATGCCTTCCTTCAAGAGGTCCTATCAAGAAACGTTGCGCGAGCTCGAAGAAGAGTGGGATAATAAATCCATTGCCAAGGGCTCGGATAGGTATAAGAGATGGAAACACTACCAGTGGAGGCACAACTGGGAGGAGAAGAAGTCCAAATATATACTCGCTCTAATAAAGGATCTAGATAATATCACAGCTCTTCGCAAATCTGGAGAGATGTCCCCGGAGGAGATAAAGGAGCTCGAAACGGAATGGGAGGAAAATGTACAAGCACACTCCCAAGGTTTTGTCGACGAATTCATCGCCTGCAAAGATAATCTTCATTACTATCGGCAAGATCCTCCTCTGCTCCACTGGGATCGTCGCCAGTACGAAAGCATGGTTGTGAAGCCTGAAGAGTTCTATCCCAATATCCCATGCACCCTCATCGACATCCAACCAAAACCGGTACACCCCCTTATGCATCAGACAGGTCCCAACTCGAACCGTGCGGGCGATTGCTTCGATTTGATACTATCCTCGCTGATGACCCAGAGTACTACGCCGATTAAGCAGGCGCTGGATTCCCTAATGCCGGGGGCTGCAGACTACATCATACCTCGTTGGAAGAGCATCAGAGACGTAGATCATGGGGGCGTGCTGGCCCAGACGCGATATACGGAGCTGACCCCGAGAATGTTGAATGCGCGACAGTGGGAAGAACTCCTCGAGCTCTGGATGGAGTGGCCTTTCCGCCCCCAGTTTCATGACCTCGTCGCCCGTACTCACGATGAGATGCTGGACGAAGATAGTATTCTGCCAGGCGAATAAGAATAGGAGAGGTCGAGTTACCTGCCATACAAATAAAACAGTAGTACAACTATTCGAAAATACAACTCCATGAACATAAAGTATGATGAACATCCTTAAAGATCATGTCTAATGTGCTATCCAGCAAGTTGTTCGTATCGAAATGTAATAGTCTGCCATTATACCTATCTGTTGACCTAAACCTACCTAGGTACGCGAAATATGCAACCCTAGGGTTAGCGAGTGGTAGTTAACAAGCCATTGGCCTATCGATCCCTATATTCTCAGCCTTAATATGTGTGCCTATAAGTTATCGTATCCGTAGTAAGACCAGAATATTATGGCGTGAGGACAGATTAATATAGTGGTCAGCACTAGTAACTTACCTAAGCGGGTTCAGCCAATGAGTATCACTAGTCCTAAGTTCTTTTTATTATTATATCTGTAGGTACATATCTTGAATGTGCATAGCACGGGTTCGTCCAATTGCGGCTCAAATCGAACGTAGTATTAGGTCTGAGAAGCCAATTGATATCAGATCCCCGGTTGCTTAAGAATCCGTGTCTTGAGAGCGGGAGATGGAATAAATATTCGGCCTCGCTTATGTGGGTGATTCCTCCCATCTATTTCGCCGTTATACGCAAGGAAGGAGAATCATGGTACCTGTTCACATGCTTTTTCTTTAATCTTACTATGTGACAATGTGTCTCCGTCGTGTTTCCCGGCTTTTATTAAGTGCAATCGTTGGTAGAACTCGAATAAACTCTTTCCACGCCTCATAGGCTATAGCATCTTAGATTGTCGAATATTGTAAATAATCGTAAGTTGATAGATTCGATTTTGTTCTAGTTAGCGCCGTGGATAGCCTATTGGTACTATGCAAAATGTCATGGATTGAAAGTACGGTAACTAGGTAGGTACTTTGAACGACATGAATGCTGCATTGACCATATGTCTGTATCGTATGTAACGATATTCAATTCTACGTGTGTCCATGTTACATCCCACCGGATATTCAAGACTTCAAGTTGCTAATAATATATTGCCAAGTTCGAGATTCCCATTGATCTATGTACTACCTAGGTATGTAAGATAGGCACAATCGGATAGATTGACAGATATGTGTCTATTCACCAAGGGTTTAAACCCAAATTTACTTAATAAACCATTCTTCGAATATCACCACTTTTTACCCATTTATTCATATTTCTTGTCCTAAACTTTATCTCTAAGTAGGTAATTATTGATGAACCCGTTCTATCCAGTTTCTGGAATGTCTTGTCTGGTGGGACAGGGATGCGTTGAAAATGGAGATTTAGCGCGGGGTTAGCTCAGCATTAGCTGCTTTCAGTTACACGTATAGACCCTTAGTGCTGAACTAAGACAGGAACCTACCTGGGCAATTCATCTTATCCTCCGGTCGTTTAGAGCGAAAAAGGGGGAACATATCAGGCGCATCGTAGCGCAACAACTGGTATGGTAGAGATTGTCATGAGGATTTTCACCACGTCAATCTTCTTTACCTAGGTAGGTATAGAGAGTTGTCCAATTCAATGATGATAAGAGGCTCTGGAGAAAAGAGTATCCACATCCCACCGGGTTGGTATGACGACCTTACATAGTAAGTTGATCGGCCCGTTGTGGTACAATGCACGGAAGGGTAGATGGGACGAACAATGGAACGGGAAGGTTCGCACTGGTAATTTTTTACTCTCTTTGAAAACGGCATATGGGGGTCCTGCTATCTTATTAGGGTAGGTATGTCACGGTACATGCCGGCATGTATGCACATATTAAGCGACCCTCAGACGCTGCGCCACTATCAGCTGAAAAGAAGATCAATGATCGACTTGTATTTTTATTCCTGTGACAGGAGATATCTAGATGCGAGACACCGAGAAAGTGGAGCCGTGGCAATCACCTTATTTATCACATTCATTATTTGTATGAACTCAGTACAGCTTTGATTGTCCAGCATTGTACGTAGTAGATTAGGTATATCATAGAAACCTACCTAAGTATTTCAATGTTTTGCATGCTAAATTAATACATTTACTATGTGTTTACCACGTTCAAGTTTTGATGGTTGACGATTTCGCAGCTGGCGACATTCACAATGCGCTAATACTTGGGGTTGTTATTACTGGGCAGCTGGGCTGGGACAGGGAAGGCCCAAGGAACCGGAATCCAATTTACCTTAGACCCATGGTACGTATACAGAAGGAAGGAGTTGCGCTCATTCAGTTACATGGGCAATGGGGTACCTGGTAGGTCCACGGGATACACATGTACATACATTCTGTGGAAAGGGCAAGTCTGTCTTTCTACACCACGCTAGCCAGTTTCCCCAATCAACTGTTTTCTGTCTTCTCTTACTTCGTCGTCGGGCTTTCGCAACACATTAACATTCAACATTCAATTTGACAACCTGATTATAACCTGTACTTAAGATGAGATAATCAAGTCATTCAAAGTCAGTCAGCTACCTACATAGCCATTTTTATCATTTACCACTTCACTGCTACAGTGTCATCTTACTGACTGTATTATTTTCCTTCGTCTTATGTAACCTTTTCGTTCTTGGCTTTTTCACATTTTCAACACCTCTACATATTCGCATTTTCCGGTGTCTATTGCACACTCCATTCTGATGACCACCAACTGCCTCCTACTCGTATTTCCTTCCGTCTTTGAACACTCACTTAGTTCTCTTGTTGCTCTTTCGAATTTTTTTGAGCTCCGATCAATATTCGTTGCTTCTGAAGCAAAGTTTTGATATTGCACATCTGTCGTTGCCGTTATCGTCATCTTTAAGGATCATTGCCGACACATTTAACTTTTGAACTGCATAGGGCGCCTCCACGTTTCCTCGGCTTATCTTGCGCCATTCCATCTAAACTATAACCTTCGAAAACGGTTCATCCTATTTTAGAAGCCAAGTTGACGTCCGGGCGCCGTCTTCAGGGCGGCCGACGTCTCTGCATCGCCATGCGCTCGCCCGCTTTTCCTCCGAGGCGACCTTCTCACCTCTTGCGATATATATTTCCCGCCTTTCTCCTCATAGGGATTTTCTACTACCTCTCGCATAAACCTCAAGATCCTTCTGTTCCCAACACGTATTTAACCTCCGGCCATGACTCTAAATCGTCGTCCTCATCGAACTCCCACAAGCAAGGGACGCCTGACGTAGTTAATCAACCCGCCAAGAATCCCACCTCGAATCAGAAGCCCGTTTATGATAACACGGATGGGGCAAACCAACCCAACCTCGATGCGAAACCCGCATCCGATCAACTAGCCCAACCTGTTCAACCTGTCCCACCTAAGCCCGCTGTCGCCCACCCGATTGATGAGCTCGTCAAGATCGCCGACAAGGATTTTAAGGATTTACTTGCTAAGGAATCGAACACACTTGCTGAAGCTGCCCAAGCCTATCGCAAACGTCGCGGTCGACATCCGCCTCCTGGTTTTGACAAATGGTACGAGTTCGCCAAAGAGCATAATGCCCTTTTAGTCGAAGACTTCTTTGATCAGATCTACCATGACCTCAACCCATTCTGGGGCCTGGACGCGGCTACCATTCGTACCGAGGCCAGGGGCTATGAGATGGTTATCAATGTACGCAATGGTAATGCGAGCGCCGAAAGTGATTGGTTCTGGACTCAGATCTGGCTAGACATGATCCAGACTATCGAACACCTGCTGCCCGACATGGATATCGCTTTGAATGCCATGGACGAGCCTCGACTTGTCGTTCCGTGGGAAGACATTAGTGCCTATATGAAGAAGGAAAAACAGAGTCGAATCCTCAGTCCCACGAAAAGTATCGTGAAGGAATTCCAAAAATTACCTCCCCCGGTCAAACACGACGAGAATGACAAGTCCCTTCACACCATCGATAAAAACTGGGAAGACACGAGTGAGATCACCCCTTCTGCTACCAATTATCAACACAAAGTGTAGTTGTATACTAAGTTCTTCTAGATCCATATTGGTTGATCGCTCGTCGAGGCTGCCCCCCTGATAGCCCAGCTCGGAAGCAACCTGCTATGAGTTCGTTTAACGACAAGCCCAACTTCGCTCCATCGTGGGCAACACCCCACCAATATCAGGGATACGTGTCCAACGCTAGTCTCTCGTCCGAATTTTGTCACCAACCAGATCTACAGGGGCTGGAGGGTATATTCATTAAACCTCTAACCACGTCCGCCACGAAGGTCCTCTTTCCGATGTTTGGAGGAAGCAAACTAGCCACAAACAATGAGATTCTCCTTCCCGCTCCCATGTACTGGAACGAGGAAGAACGGTTTACCGGAGGAGATGACCACGGTCCCTCTTGGGATAGCAAAATTGGACCTGTGATATGGCGTGGTGTAGCTACCGGTGGGCGGAACAACGAGTCTAACTGGAAGGGCTTTCAAAGGCATCGGTTCGTCTCTATGAACAATGCAACAAAACTTGCGCGCGCCGAGGAGGGAGCAGAAGCACCGATCAATTTCGAGCTACCCAGTACGACATATAATCTTGCGGCTCAGAAGGAGAAGCGACTCGGGCCATGGGTGTCGGAATGGGCGGATGTGGGCTTTACTGACTTATTCTGCGATCCCGACGTGGAACCACAGCAGGAAGACGGCCAATGCATCTACACCGACGAACACTATGAAACGGTTCTTGGGCAAAAGCTGGCAGTTCAGTTCTATTATAAGTATCTTCCCGATATCGATGGCAACTCCTTCTCGGGACGTTACCTAGGTTTCCTACGAAGTACGAGCTTGCCCATCAAGAGCACGCTCTGGCGCGAGTGGCACGACAGTCGCCTAGTGGCATGGAAGCACTTTGTGCCGATGGACAACCGCTTTGGCGATTACTACGGCATAATGGAGTATTTCCTCGGCTATGAAGATAGCGTTCCCGGCCACGACGATGTGGCGGAGAAGATTGCGATGGATGGAAAAGCCTGGGCCGAAAAGGTGCTCAGAAAGGAAGACATGCAAATTTACGTCTTACGATTACTGCTCGAGTACGCGCGAATTGCCGACGACAGGAGAGAGAGCATGGGCTGGGTAGACGACCTAGTGTCGTGAAAGAAATGCGCGTGTTGGAAGTGGTTCAATATGATACATACCCTGAGGCGACGAACTACAGTGTATAACATCGTCGATATACCATGAGGGCGGCGTTCAGGCGGGTTACGGCTGGGAATGCTGGCACGGGGGCCATGGAGCAGATCCATGATGAGCTGCAGCATGTGGCCAATTGGCCCGGGGCACCGGCGTTGGATGGTGTATTTAAAGACCAGCATTGAAGGGTCTCCAAGCGACAGTTCTTGGTAGCATAAGCAGGGCCCTGTCTAGAGTTTCTTGTTCTAAGGAAGAAAAGCAGCTGAAAACAGGTCGTGTCCTTCTGCGGTCCAGACACGCCGAAGTTTAAATGCTTACCTTAGATTGGATTTCAGCCAATGATTAAGACGCTAGGACGTTAAATCTCACCGGATACATTAAACTTTGCTACCATGCACCTTATACGTGATGATGTCAATGAGGTTCAACACGATGGGATTTTATCTTTGGATAATAAAACAGGATATACCCATGACCACTGCATATTGCTCTAAGCTAATACACACATTTCCAACAACGGTAGCTTAGGATGGTCAAAACTTGTAGTTTGAGTTGCACGTGTACTCGCTGCATTTCATGAATTGGAGTGTCGTATAACTCAGCCACATTTAGAAGGGCCAAGCAAAGATGGGGTATGACGTTGCGGCGCCTTCCAGGTTATACCTAGTAGGCAAGAGCATTCGCCAATGTCTCGGGTATGATTGAGCCATAGAGCATCGACGTCTTGCAATTATGAACCTGCTCTTACCAGGCTAGACCGAGACAAGACGGAACAAAGGCTAAAAACAGGTATGTAGGTGCTACCTACCACACGCCGTTTCCTGACGGATCTGATCGAGATCGGCAAGGTTTCCCGAATTACGTACATTGCGTTCTAATGGACGTCAGTGGACGTCATCACATATTGTCTGAGCACACCGAATCCGGTGAGGAGAGCTTTGCCGATAGTTGGAAGTTGCGATGATTGCTATCACTTATAGTTTATAAAAACAAGTAGCTCCCATTATCAATTCTGTCTTTTGAATTACTTTTCACTTCAAAAACATACCTCATAACTCTTCCAAATAAACTACAAAACAAAACTATTTACCTAAGTCATCAACCAATCACAATGGACGCTCTCAAGAAATTCGCTGGAAAGGCAGGAGGATCTTCTGGCAACGCCAACACTCAACAGACGGGCCAACAGAAGGACTACGGTGACAAAGGTAGATTTTCTCACACACTTCTCTAATCGCGAATCGTTCCTAACCAACCTTTTGCAATATAGTCGCTAGCCTCATCAACAAAAAGGAGGGTGGAAAACTGTCCGACCAACAACTCGAGACTGGCACCGACAAGGCGCGCGAGATGTATGAGAAGGCCACTGGGTAAGTCATTTCCAGGTTAACCAAACCAAAGTTCTATGGTCAACAGGCTAACAAACATGACTCCCACAGAAACAAGGTCGACCCTAAATACTCCAACTAGACTGCGGATGATCAATGATTGATGGGATATGAAACAATGGCATGATCCCACCAAATACCCCTACAACGGCTGAGGCGTTCTGGTATTCTCCAGGTGGAATTAGCTTGTAAAATATCATTTTAATTATGTCTCTGGGAGTGTATTACTCCTCAATTAAGAGATAAATATTCCAATCATAACCTCTCCTACCGTCGTGATATCCAACCGAGGTTGCCGGGTGATTGAGGTGATTTTCCCATGGAATAAGGGAAGATAAATCACCAATACGAATCTCAGCCAATCCTTGTAACGCCTAACCAAAACACCGTGAATGCGCAGAGACTGTCTATCCCGTTGCTGCCCGTCGCCGCCATATCTCGCTGCTCATCACCTCGTATAGATTATGTTCATCTTGGCGATCATCGGTGCGTGATTCACGCGGAGACATTAGAAAATGGCTCGCACGCAGGTATAAATAGGCGAACGAGCAGAAGCAAAATTTTTCCTCGCCATAAGATACATGTCATACATCATGCGTAAGTAGTTAGGGGTTATCATAAAAGACCTGCACCGACATGATAATAATCCACAACAAAAATATACACCCGATCAGCGCAAAGGCAAACACCGCTTGCCACGATTGACCTACGTAACAGCATCAAGTCAGCTTAACCTATCTTCCATGCGGATTTCCCATAATCCTGCTTCTAAGGTTAGGCGCGGACTTCACTTACATATAGATCTCTGCTCGAGCCAAGCGAGCGTTCCTTGGTTATTCCCTAACGGCGACTGGTTCCAGACCAAGAGGTTGCAGTTGGAGCTCACGGAGCCGACGGGGCCCCAGAGCTCGATGCTGACGACTATGAGGCCGACGAGCCAGAGGACGAAGAACATGAAGGAGCCGAGGATGACGATGGAGGGGAGCAGGCGCCGCTGGGCGATCAGCCACAGGAGCGCGGCGATGTAGACGATCATCAGGGCGGCGACGGTTATGAAGTATGGGAAATACCTAAAACGAAAGAAGAAAAACGGACGAGAGTTAGCGCTCATTCATTGAGCTGTACAATGGCTAGATAACCTCTGACTACTAAGGAAAGGAAGGGGCAACTCACCATGGTATGTTGAGCTCCAATTGGTTCTGCACGCCGATGAAGGTGCCGAAGACGCCGATGATGCAGCACGAGGCGGCGAGCATGATGAGCATCCACACGTTCAGCTGGATGGCGGGCCAGTGGTACCGGTGGACGAGGGGGACGCGGCGGCGCTCGTACACCACCGAGTCGGAGCCCGTGACTATGGACGCGGCCATCGTGGCGGTTGTCCCGGTGTGCGCGGGCGTTCGACTGCTGTAATTTCGGAGGGGTGGTCGAGATCAAGTTTGTCTTATTTCGCGCGCTGGGTTTTCGCGACGGGATGGTGGTTTGTTGATTCCTTCGCTCTTCTACCGGCGAGCATTTAATCAATACTGCGCTCTTTTTAACGATAGCGCTTTATCCCCCGAGACCGAATACGCTTGACTCCAAAAGTTTATCTTTTTCTCCCAAAACCTATGCAAGATATATTTCCGTGCTGCCCGAATTCGTTATTTTCGTCGAATGATGGAGGGTTCTAGATGGGTTGTTATTGCCGTTGTTGTCGTTGGAGGGCGATGGGCGTTTATAGCTTCCTAGGTGTGGAATTGGGAATCGCAACGACGGACCGATGCCGAACGAACGTTCTTCGTGCACAGCTTGGATTCAATTGGGAATTACTCCGTATTTTTTCTCGGTGTCGCCTAACTTAAGGTCAAGTCAGAAAAAAGCCTGACGAAGCAGAGAGCCCACAGTCGGCTGCCAGCTCAGAAGCTAAGGTACTTCTTGTCTTTTCCCTTTTGGCAGGCGGTCGACTTATTTAGGTATGTTACTAAGAGGGATTGATTGGGCCTCTGTTCTTCTTTCTGCGCGAATATGCAGGTGCCGGAGCCCCGCGGGATTGGGGATTTGGGAAGCGGCATCCACTTTTGGGATTGCTGCGCTGTCAGACAGGCTGGCTCGCAACAGGGCGAGACATATACGTGGAAAGCTTTCTCTTAGTCGTCGTCGTACTAAAGCCCAAGTGACAAATCACACGAGAGTTAGGTACCTATGTATGCTGGGTATATGTACCTATGCAGCTACCTGACCTGATGCATATGACTCGTAACGGCCTCGATGGTTATACAGACATACAGGCGCGTTTGCGTGGTCTTTCGGTATGGATATCCCACCGAGACTTGAGCGGGATGGGCGGGGGAAAGTTAGCTGTTGTATGCAAGAGGTACAGGCCGTATGCACTATAAACCTGTAGGGACACGAGCCATTTCAGGGAATAAAACCGGGGTAAATCCAGGATCCGCAGGACCAGTACTTCAAGATTATGGACGGAAGGGGGTAGAGCACGTATCTCAGGACGATAGAGTCTGATCGTAGATATGATTTTTATGAAATATGATTAAGAAATTCGAAAATCATAAACTACCAACTACAGTTATTTACGAATTGCTTGACGAAGGAATCAGAAGTGATAAAATATGGTGGCTGGTAAATGATACATTATAATGGGAAGGACAAATAAAAACCAAAGATCGTCCAGGAACTCCTTTTGCCAAGAAGATGGTTGCTCTGGAATCAAACAACCCCTGGATGATACCACACTATTATCAGTGATAATCCTCTGCCCTACCTGCGGGCCACTTATGATTCGATACCTCCAGTAACATGAAGATCTCTTTACTCACCATGCAATTCCTTCGATTACCTACCTAGCTCATAATCAGTATCGACGACAGAAATACCAAATATGACGCTCCCAAAGCACATTTCACGATATTTCCCTTCCAGTTCATCCATAATGCTGGTGTTTATTTAGTAATGATATCTCTTTAAGATGGACGCCGTCTAGCCTCCACAATTCTATGCTGCCGTGGAAAAAGTGTGCGTACTCCGTATGTACGTACACGCAGCGAACCCCAGCTATGGTGAACATCGTTTCGCAAGGACACTGAGTGTACCGCCATTGCGAAACGGCCTTAGTCGCATCTGTAATCTCAACTGATGCGCAGCCCCTCACCGGTCTAAGAGTGTTTGTTTCTTCACAGCAACGACTCGCCCAGAGCGCACCTCACCAACGAACACCCGGCCCGAACCGTCTCGTGCGCGCCTAACTCGACCTCCGGCGCCAAGCTCGGGTTGACCTCGACGAGGTCCATGGCCACGAGGCTGCCCGTCAGGTGCACGCTCTCGCAGATGTAGTCTCCTTCCCGCAGCGTCAGGCCTCCTCTAACCGGCGTGCCCGTGCTGGGCGCCCACATCGGATCGAGCGCGTCGACGTCGAACGAGAGGTGGATGGGCGTGTCGGCGCCGATGTGCGCCAGCGCCATCTCGACCACGCGACCGATTCCGTGCCTGCAATCGAGAACATCACGTATCAGTACAGAATTCAGATGTTCAGGTGAAAGACCATGAAAAATATCAGTACCTGTCGATATCGAACATGCTGAACGCCTTGATCCCATTCTCGCGGAGGATCTTCTTCTCGCCGGCGTCCACGTCGCGCAGGCCGATGTACACGAGCTTCTTCACGTTGAGCATGTGCTCGGACTTCAGCCAGCCGAAGTATTCCGGCTTCTCCTCCTTGGCGAGGCCCGTCACGAAACTGACGGGCATGCCGTGGATGTTGCCGGAGCCGCTCGTCTCGGGCGTGTTGATGTCGGAGTGGGCGTCGACCCAAATAACAGCGATCTCGCGGCCGAGCCTCTCCCGCACGGCCTTGGCCGTGCCGGCGATGGTGCCGATGGCAATGGAGTGGTCGCCGCCCAGCGTCAAGACCATTCTTCCCTCTTTGGCGTGCTCGTATACCTGGTCGCAAAGACGTTCGGTGACGCTGCTGACGGCCTTGGGGTTCTTCATGTTCCGGAAGGGGGGGTCGTCCTTGGGGACGAGGTCCCGGTAGGAGTGGACGGTGTCGTGGCCGTGGAGGTTGTAGTTGAGCTCCTCTCGCAGCTGCGTGAGAAGCCCGGACTCGATCAGGGCCGAGGGGGCGGCGTCGACACCGGGTTTGCACTACATGATGAAAAACGAAGCCGCCATTGGTAAGCCTGCTGCTGACATTGCTTCCGGGCATACGGGTTGGGAGGGGATTGGCGGTGTTTCATCATACCTGACCACCTGAGAAACCCACGGCTACGACGCCGAGGTCCTCGGGGTGAGACAGAAACCTGGACTTGACCATTGAGGTGTTCATTGTGATAAGTGGGGTTTTCCCGAGATCTGTCTCTCTCTTTGTCTTATAGAGGTAAGGGAGTAGGGCTGATTCGACCTTTCGCGAGTTTGCTGGGTCGACGAATGCTTGTCCAGTGATTCTGTTGCTTCTGCGAGTAAATCAGTTGGCCTAGCAGAGTCCAGTAAAGTCGATCAAAGTAGACGTTGTGTACCGTAAATGCTATTATTTATAAGTGAGGAGTTTGATGTTGGTCTTACACTTTAAAGGCCTAGGTCATCTTTTTTTTTTCTTAGCACATGACAGCGGAGCTATTCGCTTGTTTTCTTCCCCCTTTGTGACTTTGTTCGCGCCCACCTACCTCCAAAGGTTAAAGCTAACAACGACGTATTATGGTAGTGGGGGTTTAGATGGGAACTACCGGCGGACTAGCTAGTAATATCAAGGCCTGGACGCGTGCCGCATATTACGTAGTAGCGGTGGCTTATAAACTAATCAATGCGGATAGCCACATGGAGAAATGGAGAAGACCTACCTAAATCAGCCACAACCGACACGCCTAGCTAGGTACCTAAATGCTAGGTAAATTCCTATCCCTAAGACACGAGAACAGACACTCAATAAATACCTATCTACCAGCCTATCAGGTGTACTATAACCGATTACATTTTCTTCTTATAAAAACGATATCTATCAGGTAGTTATCTCTTTTTCGTCTCTGTCCTCCAACTGCTACCTGCATAATGCCTTCACATTCCGATGATGACCGGCATCGGCTTATACAAAATCGCATAAAAACCTGTCAATTTACGAAGCCTCACATACGTATGGCTCGGACACATCCCACGATGATCTCCTTCGGTCAGGGGAAAGGCCGTGTCAACCCGATGCTTTCCTTTTCGTTGCGCTTACCAGGCTTACCTAGGTAAATCTTAGGCGGTCTAATATAGCATCTTGTTAAGTAATAGCATTGTGTTCCCTTCAATCTATTAGTCACTCGTCTCTATTCCCCTCATACGAGAAGTCCTCGCTAGAAGGCTAAGGGAGAACTAAGGCTTTACGTACCCCTGGCAGCCCTGGCTATCCAGATCCGGAAGCCCTATAGGCGAGATGGGAGATGGCCCACGTTAACAGAGCGGTCCGATTGACCTCAGCCGCTAAAATCTATCCTCTAGTTAAAGCAATTCCATAGATTCTACACGACTGTTCATGCATATGGAGGGCTTCTTATCCCGAACGAGCACCACGATTTCTTTCCCGCACTACAACATGCCCCGGTTCAGGTGTGATAATAGCCTTGGCGACCATGCAACGTCAAGTCCTCGAACAACGGTAGAAGGTTTCCATACATTAATTCCGCCGCTACGGTGGATTAAGACGGGGGGATCCCTAGTAGATCGCGCACTTAACCCTAATCATCGATGTTGCATCTTCGGAGGGAATGTTCGCACTGTTGTATAAAATGTGTAGTATATCTGAAAGGATTTATCGACACTACATATTATTCAGACTTCCGCAAGTCCTTGAGTGAACATGTCGACTGCATGTTTTATTGCGTGTTCAGTTTGACTCTCATACTACTCATGAGAACGCAACAAGACGTCCGAGCGATTGCCAACCGTATCGGAGTTAACGTATACTCAGCATTCCGGCTGTTCGTCTGTCTGTGTAGTCGGTGTCAAAATGGGTGTTAGGGTTGAATCACTTAGAGGCTTGGAGGCTTCCACTATGTGAATGCTTGCCTTTGCTTATTGCATACGGAGTATGTAGGTAATAACCGAGAATAAGAGGGGATACGCGGGGTTGGTACGGTACGAATGTACTTGGTTACGCTTTGGGTTATATAAGCCGACCAGGGTAAGATTTAGCGTGTTACGGCGCGTCTCCCAGCTTTAATTGGTTTTTAGACGCGACTTATTACTTCATCCCCATACACATAGGAGAAGATCGTGCCTCGAAGAATGAAAGCAATACCCCGAAGTCTACTCTTATTGTTTGTGTAAAAGAGAAAATCGTGTATTGTAAAAAACTGGAGAACTGAAAACTTAGATATCCAGCCAAGATGTCGTCCCGACCAGAGTTAAAGGTATGCCGCACGTGAAGTCTGCTTCACTTGCAACTCGAAGCTAACAGTCTCGTGATAGGTCGATGATGAACATGGCTTCATCCGATTCTTCAAGTCATTGCCATCCGTAGGCGACGAGACCGTCCGGATCTTCGACCGAGGTGATTGGTACACGGCTCACGGTGAAAATGCCAACTTCATCGCAAGAACAGTCTACAAAACCACTTCTGTAGTGCGACAACTAGGACGAAATGATGCTAGCGGCTTACCCTCCGTTACCATGACTGTCACCGTCTTCCGACAATTCTTACGAGAAGCTCTCTTCAAGCTCGGAAAGCGAGTCGAAATATACGCCAGCAGTGGTGGCCGCATGAACTGGAAGGTTATCAAGCAAGCCTCTCCCGGAAATTTGCAGGATGTTGAGGAAGAGCTCGGCGGCCAGTTTGAATCAGCGCCTATGATACTAGCCGTCAAGATTTCTGCTAAGGCATCCGAAGCCAGAAGTGTGGGCGTCTGTTTTGCCGATGCTAGCGTAAGAGAACTCGGTGTTAGCGAGTTTCTTGACAACGACCTATATTCCAACTTCGAGGCTCTCCTCATCCAGCTCGGCGTCAAGGAGTGCCTTATCCAGTTTGATAAGGGTGAGAAGGACAAAGACCCCGAATTATCCAAGTTGAAACAGATCATCGACAACTGCGGAGTCGCTATAGCCGAAAGACCAGCTGGTGATTTTGGAACCAAGGATATCGAGCAGGATCTTGCTCGGCTACTTAAAGATGAACGATCGGCTACTCTTCTCCCCCAAACAGATCTCAAATTAGCCATGGGTTCCGCAGCAGCGTTGATAAAGTATTTGAGCGTCCTTCAAGATCCGTCTAACTTCGGTCAGTATCAACTGTATCAACATGATTTATCCCAGTTCATGAAGCTTGATGCCGCCGCACTGAAGGCTCTTAACTTAATGCCAGGTGCGAGAGACGGCTCGAAGACGATGAGCCTGTACGGACTTCTCAATCATTGCAGAACGCCGGTCGGCAGCCGGTTACTGTCTCAGTGGTTGAAGCAACCTCTCATGAACAAGGATGAGATTGAGAAGCGCCAACAGTTGGTTGAGGCTTTCGTCAATGATACGGAGTTGCGTCAGACTATGCAAGAAGAACACTTGAAGTCCGTACCAGATCTATATCGCCTAGCGAAGCGATTTCAGCGAAATAAGGCAAATCTAGAAGACGTTGTCAGAGCATACCAGGTGGTTATTCGCTTGCCTGGATTCCTGGGAACGTTAGAGGGAGTGATGGACGAGAAGTACAAGGATCCGTTGGACGAGGCATATACCAATAAGCTAAGAGAGCTCTCAGACAGTCTCGGGAAGCTTGCAGATATGGTTGAGACAACAGTGGATCTTGACGCTCTCGATAACCACGAATATATTATCAAGCCTGAGTTTGATGATAACCTACGCATTGTACGAAGAAAGCTCGACAAGCTTAGGTCTAATATGGACTCGGAGTTTAGGAAAGCGGCGGACGATCTGAACCAAGAAGAGAACAAGAAGATATTCCTTGAGAACCACAAAGTTCACGGTTGGTGTATGCGGTTGACAAGAACAGAGGCTGGCTGCATCCGCAACAACTCCCAATATCAGGAGTGTTCGACACAAAAGAACGGTGTATACTTCACTACAAGAACACTACAATCCTACCGCCGGGAGTTCGACCAGTTATCCCAGACTTACGATAGGACTCAAAGTGGCTTGGTCAACGAGGTCGTAAGTGTTGCGGCCTCTTATTGCCCAGTCCTTGAACAACTTGCCGGCATATTAGCACACCTCGATGTCATCGTGTCGTTCGCGCACTGCTCAGTACACGCGCCTACTTCCTACGTCCGTCCTACCATCCACCCCCGAGGGGAGGGGTCTACGATCCTAAAGGAAGCCCGTCATCCGTGCATGGAAATGCAAGATGACGTCCAGTTCATCACCAACGATGTCGAACTCCGCCGCGACGAATCATCCTTCCTCATTATCACAGGTCCCAACATGGGTGGTAAATCGACATATATTCGACAAATCGGTGTAATCGCGCTGATGGCGCAGATCGGGTGTTTCGTACCCTGCTCCGAAGCCGAGCTCACCATCTTCGACTCCATACTCGCGCGTGTCGGAGCTAGCGACTCCCAGCTCAAGGGCGTCTCGACCTTCATGGCCGAGATGTTGGAGACGGCCAACATCCTCAAGTCAGCGACGGCCGAGTCCCTCATCATCATCGACGAGCTGGGCCGCGGCACGTCGACGTACGACGGGTTCGGCCTCGCGTGGGCCATCTCCGAGCACATCGTCAAGGAGATCGGCTGCTTCGCCATGTTCGCCACGCACTTCCACGAGCTGACGGCGCTCGCGGACAACCACGCCCAGGTCCGCAACCTGCACGTGACGGCGCACATCTCGATGTCGTCGTCGTCGTCGTCGTCGGCCCAGAACGAGGGCGTCGACAAGCGCGAGGTCACGCTGCTGTACAAGGTGGAGCCCGGCATCTGCGACCAGAGCTTCGGCATCCACGTCGCCGAGCTCGTGCGCTTCCCGGACAAGGTGGTGCGGATGGCGAAGCGCAAGGCGGACGAGCTCGAGGACTTCACGGCCAAGCACGAGGTCGGCGCCCAGCAGTACGGCAAGGAAGACGTCGAGGAGGGCAGCGCGCGGCTCAAGGAGGTCCTGGTTAAGTGGAAGGACGAGGTCAAGGGCGGGAGCATGTCCAAGGAGGAGATGGTGGACCGGCTGAGGGAGCTGGTTAAGGGCGACGAGAGGTTGCTTGCGAACCCGTTTTTTACGGCTGTTAAGGCGCTGTGAGATGGATGGTTATGGTATGGTGCTTGAGGATATGACACTGGGCTTGATAAGGTATATAATTGATGGGAGGACGAAAAAAGGATTGTAACTATATAATCGTGATGGCTCGGCTCGGCTCGACTTGACTTGCTCGGCGTCTGGAATCATGGGGATCACTACTAGATTGGCTTATTGAGCTGCGCTGCTATTTGCTGGCATGCTTTGATTGTATGGCAGGCTTTGCTTAAAAAGAAAGATACCTAATGACCAGCTTGTTGCTTCACTGATGCTTTTACTGTGACAAAAAGGGGCGATGTTTGCTGTTAGACTATAGTAAAGGGGTAAATTCATCGATAAGTCTGACTTACCAAAACCACAAACATTATACAGCCGCCTTGAATCTTCCTGCAGAGAATATCACGCTTCCTAGTATCACGAGCTAGGGAGTTGGATAGGGATAGGAGTCCGATCCTTTTCACCTTAGGGGCAAGAATTAAGACTAGAAATGTCGTAACAAGGCATATCCACGTATGTACACGCATCACTTCATCTCTCGTATCCCTCTCGTCACTGGAGTCCTTTCCCGCCTTTTTAAACCATCATGCCTTTACTACAGAATTGCCATACTACAGCTTTAACCCAGAACCTTCTCAGCAAGAGAGACTAAACGAGGATTAGTATTCGCGACATCTACATAATTCAATATCAGATATGATAGGGGATACTCACCATTGGTTCCGGTGTTGTCAGGCTCGACATGCACGGATTTGACCTTGCCGTTCTCGATTACGAGGGCGTAGCGCTTGCCCCTGGTATTGCCGAATACGGCCGGCAGGTCAAAGTCCAGCTCCAGGGCCTTGGTGAACTCGCCGGTGGGGTCGGCTAGGAAGCGGATCTGCGCGTATGTTAGTAAGGAGACGTAGTCTACGGGGCCGGAAAATGGAACTCACCCCGGATTCGCGCGCAGGGTCGAGTTGGTCGGCCCACGCCTTCATGCTGTTCTACGTTAGCTTGTTTCTTTGACTCGACTGGCCTGCCTCCGTTGAGTAAGGCACTCGTGTTGTATAGCACATGAAGCGCAAAATCCCTCTCCTCCCCATTCATCCTCTCATACCCATCTCCGCGCCCCCTTTCCTCTCCCCCTACCCAAACACCCAAGGAATAGTAAATAAAAAACATAGAAAAGTCCAAACTCACACAAAAGCATCATTAACACTGACAACAAACACACTCCCCGCCTTCTTCAGCCCGGGGTGGTTGATGTACCCAGGGACATGCGTCTGGCTGCACGCGCCGGAGAAAGCAGCAGGCACGCCGACGACGACGCCGGCGCCGCCCGCGCTCTTGGCGAACTCGGCCGCCAGGTTCACCTTGTTGCCCGGCGAGTCCTCCTGCAGCACCTCCAGGTCCGGCACCGCGTCGCCTACTTTGACCAGCGCGCGCGGCGTGGCGTGGAAGGACCTCGCACTGACTAGCCTAGCAGCGGCGGGGGAAGAAAAGGAATAAGAGGAGGAGAAGGCGCCGGGGCAGCGGCGCAGGGCGCGGAATGCCATTGCCATTTTCTTTTTCGTTGCTTCTATTTTTTTTATGAAGACTCTTTTTGATTATTCGCCTAAGTAGGTATGTAACGTAGCTAGTACGACGAGTGATATGACAAAATGGCGAGGTTGAGATTTAGGTAAGGAATTTTGGATCTGTGGCGAGCGAGGTGAGAAACGGCGAAGTTTAAAAAAAAAAAAAAGCCACGATAGAAACGTTGAAGCTTAAGCTTAGGTAGGTAGGCTCCCCGGATAAGTATGAGAAGGATAAGGTAATATGCAACCGTTTGGGGACTATGACGTCTCGTCGCAACGGGCACCGTTTGTCCGGTCGGGTTCTCGCACGGTATCCGGTGTGCTTGTCCTGTAAGTGGTAGCGACGGATCGACGCTACTATGTATGTATGTATATATTTGGCTAATTCGGAGCGAAGATATTATAACCGATCCATCCGCACTGTGCCATAGAGGTACATGTATATATACTATTACAAATTGCCGGGCATATGAAACTACGCACTACGGATTACGGTTGAATATGATTCTAAACATAGCATAAGGGGTAGGTGTGGCCGCAAGGTTTTCATGCCACCAGCAACGAATAGCCTTGGGGTTATATATAGGTGGCTTCGCGAAAATACGAAAATAGCATTGCCCACTAAGTGATACGTTGCGCAACAATATATTCGAGAATAGGAGGCTAACCTACAGGTTGCGCAATATCTAATGAGCCCAATGAACCGTGGGTTGATAAGGATATTTCATTCGCCAAACCCTCACTGATGGAACATTGAAAAAGAATTAGAAGGCTAAGAAATAGTGCGCATCGTGGAATCTGAATTGCTATTAAGGCATCGGACTATGCTAGCTAGCTAGGGGCTTCATTCTCAAGTGGTGTAAATCGTTGGATCTCTAGTGATCAAGGATGCTGAGGGGGTGTGTCGAGGTATAGACGTAACCGGCCGAGACGGATCCGTAATTACAGATAAGACGACACGCAGTGGCATTAGCATCTAGGAGAAAATGCACTGGAATAGCGTAAAAGATAAATCGGCAACAGAGCATAAACACAATCTGCGCCAGAACGCCGCCCATGATCGCCGTCTATCTATGCTTACAGTACAATTTATCCGCGAGAGCCGACCCCGCCCGCTCCGGGAGCATTCCCCTTCAAATCTACATTAAAGGTCCATCGGCCTGCGAGAAAATGCAATAGTTAGCTAAGCTACTTGCGAGACGTAAGAATAATGATCGACTCACCATTGGCCAAGTTGTCTGCGGTATCTTCCAATAAGATAACCCGACGACGGTTGCAATACGCCGTCTTGTCCATAATATCAACCTTCAGCTTGGACTCCGATAGTTCCGAGATAGGTTTCTCAAACATTTCGGACAAAGCCTCGACAGCAAGCTCTAGATCTTTTTGATTATCCTCAAAAATCTCCGTGAGGTTGTTTCGAGCTAGATAGAAGGCGAAGGCGTAGGTCCATTTAAGTGTTTGGCGACAGGTCTGCAACGCTTGGGATGCCGAGTTCAAGTATTGAACTTCGATCCAGGACATGCCAGAAGCTGTCTGCAACTGTACCATCTTTTTCTCTGTCTTATGATAGATGTCCTTGTCGAGACGCGCCGACTGCTCGTGGTTGGCGTATCGGTTGTAGTAGTGAAGATATCGCTCGAGGGATACCCGGGATCTAGCCTGGGCATCTCGTGCCTCGGTTCCGCTCTTCTCCTCGAATCGGTTGCAGTTGTACCAGCTTGTGCCATGTTCTGACCAGAGACCCATACACATCCAGCAGAACTCGTGCTTGCATTTTCTGCATGTCATATGGTTGCACCCACCATTCTTCTCGATCGTGGAGTTGCACTTGGGGCACTCTTTGGTGTTGGCTGAGATCCAATTTGCCGTTTCGCTATCATCGGCGCATTTCTTTAGCCACCTCTTGACTAGCTCGCAAGGAGCCGGTTGATGGTCATTCAGGATACAACCGAAGCAGAACCTATTACCACAGGCGCACGCAACAGTGGGTACCACCTTGTCCAGATCCTTCTTCTTGATAGCACACTCAACAGCATTCTCACAGTCAGGCGCGGGGCACCACTTGAGGATATCCCTATCTTCGACATATGTTCGGTTGAGTAGCTCTTGGTATCGGTCAGATAAGTCGGAGGTGACGAGCAAATCAAGTGATCGGGCATCGATAATACGGTTACAACCCTCGGCCGGGCACTGAATCCGGGCTGCCTCACCCTCCTCGCGGATCTTCTGTGTTAGGTATTGTCGGTAGCAATCAACACAGTATCGGTGGCCGCATTTCATCGCAAAACTCTGAAGCCCTTCCTCATCTTCGCAACAAATATCGCACACAAACCCAGGTATAACCTGAAGCTTAGGAGGACTAGAAGAGCTAAAAGCCAGACCTGCAGCTTCTAGAACCTTGGAGGGGTTGTCCATATAATCCTCGATTAACCGTTCCTTATTCCATCGGAAATATCGCAGCAAGATGGCGGCATCCTCCTTGCTCATCTCCAAAATCATGTTTACTTCGTTTACCATTTCCTCTTGCTGGTGCTGGATGTCGTGTGGCGTGTATACCTTGTAACTGATGTCGAAGGACACTCCTTTCTTCTTGTCGGACTTATGCGAGGGAATGCCGGGTATATCGTCGGGTTCGTCATCGAACACATCGAAATCTATTTGATTTGCGCATTGTAAGCAAGTTATGAACTGCACGGGGTGACAGGTCCGAAACAAGCTCTAGCGGAGGGAAGAAGAATAAATGAGGAAGTGTGAAATGAAAATGAAAGTTACTTTACCTTCGGCTCCGGACAAATCGTCATTATCGCTCTCATCCTGCATCATGTCGTCTCCACTGGAGACAGTTGACACGAAATCCTCGTCGGAATCCATACCGGTGATAGGGGTGGGCGGTGCCGCGTTGTCTTCAGCAGCTGCTGGGGCGAGGACTCTCTTGTTTGGAACGGCCTCGCCAGTATCCGCAGCTATCTTCGCCTCAGCGGCTTTCCGCTTTCTCGTTGTGGGAGGAATCTTGTCGGTTTAAAATGATGGCTCGGGAGATGCTCGTCGGTGACGAGCCTCGGGTAATGGGTAATTGAGATGTTCGAAGGCTACGGCCTACGATAGACAAAATAAATAGTATTGCGTGACGCTTTAGTGGGTATCGACAGGCTGAGTTATGGGTTAGAATGAACCCGTGATAAGTCTACCCAGTCAGAAATGGTGGAAATGGTGTGATACGGTGGTGTATTACTCGATAACTCGAAAAAAGCAAACGTCGCTGAGTGACTCGGAGTCGGGTTAGTCCCTAGGGTGCAATATAACAGAAGAGACGTAGGATGCTCCGAGCGGTATAGAGACGAACACTACGTCGTCAGCAGCCAAAACCGAGGAGGGGTCAATTACAGGGACAAGGCTAGGAGGGAAGAGAAAATGGAGAAGAGAATCAGCGACGATTTCCAGAAGGAGGTGAACCTGGGTAGGCGAGTAAATTATAAATCAGGTTAGCACATTTCGCAGTGAATGTGTGGTTTAACTACAAACAACATAAAACCTTTGATTTATGACTTAGGAAAAGGAGGCTGGTCAGATTGGTGGATGGTGATGGTGATGTGATTTGGTGTCAGTGTTGAAGTTATGGGTTGGTCAGGGTCAAGTTGGTGTTATCCGAATAATTAGTGGGAAAAGAAAGTAAGCGTTTAAGCGTTGGCAACCGCACGTTGGACAGCAACCCCAGCTGCTTTCCAAGGTTGTTACGTTGTTCGACTATTACTAGGTAGGTACCTACCTAGGTACACGCTGGTCACACTTGCGCCCTTTGGCAATGGGCAATACCTAGGCAGGCAGGCAGGTGTGGGCAAGTGGGCAAAGTGGCTTCGGCGATCGAGGTCACACAGTCCCTGTCTCTGTCCCCTCTCCCTTCCAGTACAGTGCTTACCTAACGAAGAGTCTAGGTACCTACACAGAGTACCTACCTAGGTAGGCGCGGGTTTCGGTTTCTGACGCAACTGACTGGCATTGCTTACTGCACTTGACCATAGTACTTTAGGCCCCATGCAATTCTTTAGTGCCACTTGGTCCCGCCGCTAATAATCCATAAGAGGATCGGCCATACTTCGGTAGCCGGTTTACCTGGATTAACCTATTAAACTTGCAGACCTAACCGATGTCGGGAAATGCCGAGATAGAACGTCAATGTACATGTATTGGTCATTCGCATTGCCACGAGTGACACAACTTACATGTACGTACTTAAGGGATGATATACCCCTATTTGCAGTTTTAAGCTTGAATCAAACGCCTTAGATATCATGTTAAAAACGTTTAGTTAGTCATATAATGACAAACTACGCAGAGTACACCCATCCATACAATCAACCCGGAGAATATCAAGTAGCAATCAGAGCATGTATGTATTTGCAATCCTTATAATTGATATGCGTCTTAATTTGCTTCTCATGTTCCCTGTGAGGATATCTTGCATAGGTGCTTGACTTTATGGCCCTTTTTGTTCCTGATCCGGAGAACTCATAAGGACTCTTGCAGGACGCCTTTTAACTCCGTCGCCACCCTTAAAATTTAAACTCCAGCGCCATGCTGATGAAGACCGATGTGCGCCCTCTATTCCCTCGCGAACCGGTGTGTAAAGTGCATATCGTACCTAATGTGCATTGTCTATTATGAAGCAAGGTGACACATTGATACCCGGTGCGGTCTAGAAAGAGACTTGTCGACTAAGCGAAAAGGAATTTTGACAAGTCTATCTTCTTTCCGCCTCTCCTCCTTTTCCCTTCCCCCACGTTCTCCTGACCCTCATCTACCTCTAAGTCCTCATCTTCATTCTCGGGTAGTATCATGTCCTCGCTGCCGAGAGGCTGATGCAATGCCTCCACCTCCTCTAAATCTACCGGTGGTAGAGGCACAAATGCCGGATTAATCGGCAGCGAATCGAGACTGGGTCGTCCCAAGCTAGAGCGTTTCACGGATCGGGGTGCCGTGAATGTTGGTGTCGAAGGTTGCTTATTACGGCCCAAAGCCTGGATACCGAGTCGCTCAAGAGGTGTTAAGCGTGTCGTACCCGGTGTCGTCTTGGCCGTCGATGGATAATTAGTTGAGCTAAACGGGGTAGAAGTCGTGACAGAGGATGTTGGGGTCAGATCAATAAGCGAACTCCTGCGAGAAGCAGAGCTGCTTTGGCGTCGTGGTTGGCTGTGTCCATTGGTCGACAAGTTAAGTGAGCTACTTGGCATGTATGCGTATCGCTCCACAATGCCCGAACTACTCAGTATGCTCGAAGTCGACTCCTCCTTGGTGTCATCCTTAGACAGTTCAATATTGGCTGATTGTTCCTCCTCATAAACGGCCACTTCCTTCTGCCCCTTGACCGATTTCCCCCAGCCACCGACATCTGGCAGGTCTATCAGAGCCTCCTCGATAGAGTCGTCGGACATTAGATAGCCAAGGCCCTGTTTACCACCCGTATTGCTCGTACTTTTTGCCGAAAAAAACTTGCTCTTCTTACTGGGGCTTAGCCCCGAGCTGCCATCGTCGCATAGACGTGCCTTCTTAGACGGTCGAGTGGGATTGGTACCAATATTTTGCAAGTTACTCGCGGCATTGGTTCCTGCCTCGGTGGCTTGACGTTGTGGTGCGCTTGGCGCAAGTTGACCGGCGTTGTTGAGAAGATTAGACACCGGCTCAGTTCGACGTCGCAGAGTACGAGATGAGTTTTCGGGGCGGGATATATAATTGCGCGGGTTTACAGAAGACGCTCGGCGATCCTCTTGAACATATGGTCGAGGAAGAGGGTACACGATTGGTCGATTCCCATTATCTGTTAGAGTGGATAAACGTGCAGGGTTCACTGTGAAGCAATTTGCATCCATTTCACCAAGCGGAATTCGTCGGTGACCCTTGAAGTAAGAATCAATGGGTTTCTCTGGGGGCACCCTTGTCTGTTGTGAGATAGCGGGAGTTCCGCCTGATGCCGTCCGTTTCCGTGGAGAAGGACGGGGCATAAGTACAATCGGTAGCTTTGTGATAGGATTCACATCGCCGACTGCAATGCCTCTAGCAACTTCTGGTTCAATGAATGGGCCAATGAATGGAAGCTCATGTGCTTTGATGTCCGGACCAGGGTCGCTGAAATGAACTAGTTCGTTGGCTTTCGGGCAAAACACCCACTGGTATAGGAAGGTCTGTTCAGCTTGGCGAAACATTTCCAGGTAACCAGGCGGAACCCGATATTTTCCATCGAATTCCAACATGCGAACAACTCGATCAGGCGTCTTGTGCTTGCGTAGCATCCTATGCGCAGTCTTTAACCCAAGATTGTTAATGCTCGCGAGATAATCACAACCACTTAGGATAGCCATCTGACGAAACTGACTGTCTGTCCAACCCGTTAGAGACACCTCGCGACAAGCGCAGAAATCGCGACGATTGATCTCGATACACCTCCCATACGGATCAAGTTTGGTCAAAAGCCGTTTGGCACCGAACACGAGAAGGTCAGAATCCTCTGAAAGAATTCCACTGATGTGTCCTTGTTGTTCCAAGTAAACCAGTTGGGGATCGGCTTCGTATGGTGCTACCACGTAGGGTAATCCGACTTTCTTTAATTCTTCGATTAGGTGTCGGGCCATCTCCGGAGTGACATCGACAGCCTTTTGGAGATATGCTTGAGCGTTTGCTGCTTTGCCTGCATTGAGAAGTTCGATACCGGCCTTCTTAGATTCCTCTCGGCGTCTTTCACGAGACGCCTCGGTTGAGGCTTTGCTAGGGAGGTAGCCGCCGTCAAAGACTAGGTATGGTGTAATGCCAAAATGCTGGAGCATCTTGACTCGGCCCATTGCAAAGTCCACATATCTAATACATAATGTGTGTGAGAGGTGTCCAAATATTGTCTTCGGCCTGCAGCATGATCATCAAGACTTACTTGCGGGTGGGCTTGCCTTGAGCAAGCTCGGCGGCACATGATACAGTACCTCTATGGAGCCAACCATAGGCGTCAACTCCAAATGTCTCTCCCTGATACTTCTTCAATTCTATCGGTTTCTGAATCGACTTCAACAAGGGTAGTAGCCCTACATAAGTAAGTCAGTTGAGAGCTCGAAGGATCGTGTCTCGGGCGGATAAACAAACCTTGAATACCCATTTTGACGGCGACAAAGGGGACTCTCCCCCAAGGCCTAGGTTGGATCGCAAGCTTTATTGATTCCTCACACCCATTCAAAGACCTTGGTAATTATTGTAATTGATACCTTGATTATATAATTAGACATCGGTGAAGGAAGCAGAGGAAAGAATATATAGGAAGGCGACGAAGGAGTGGGGCTCAAGGCCCGCTGAAAAAGTGACCAATGACGTTGTGGGTGACCAATCTTACCATGCAAGTAGAAGGGAGTGCGTATGGTAATAGAAACACGCGACGAAGTGGTAGTTGAATTACGAATTGACGATGTCAATTGACGGTTGTGTCTATTGTTGATGTTGATGTTGATTGACGGAAATTGAACGGAAGTTAAGAGGTGCTGAAAGTTGACAGTTAACCTTTTGCCCGAAAGATTGTGGGTTGAAGAATGATTATGGATTAGGAATGGGAAAGACTGAAAGTTGCAATGTAGAATTAACAAATAGAAAAGACGCGGTCCACTGGATCTCTGGTTGGAAATTCAGATCATGCTGCTTGATCCTGGTGGTTTAAAATCATAATCGATAAAGACTAACCGCGTCGTGGGCTACACCGCGACTTCCTAAAGTTGCAATGGACACGGCAGGACAAACTTAAACGTGGGGCCAACCAATTGTACGCACTAAACGATAATGGACCTGACAACCCTAGCAACCCAGGTGCACCTGGGCACGTCTGTCATTTACGTCAGTGGTGGATGTACTTAGCATAAGTTACTGCACCAGCCCAAATCACACTATTACTCATAACACTTACCAAGTAGCTCTTACTATGATTAGTCAAAAGCTTAAACATCCCTGCCCCCCACACTATCCATTTTTGGGATAGGTTCTAGAAATATTCCATTTTTGTTCACTTTTATCCATATTCATTCTTGCTCCACAAGTATTTTTCCACTTAGGAAAAATCTTAAAATCGAAAAGACATATGACAATACCTTTGTCCAGCTCACATTTAGAATCCCACCATACATTCATAACCTTCAAGATGCCAAAGTCATTTGAAAAAACTCGCAAAGCCATTGCGAAGAAGAAGGGACCCATCGAATCCCTTCATCAGTACTCTCGGGATTCCAAACGATTACATCGAGCTCAAGTTCGAGATGAGAAGTTAGAGAAAATTGCAGCATCAAGGAAGAAAACTGATAGGCCATACCGTATGTCAAAGCCAATTGTGCCACCACACCAACTTGATTCACATAATTGATATTTCTACGTGGTTAGTTGAGCGAGCTACATTTTTCCAAGAAGCCGTCAAACAGAATGAGGGGCAGCCTCTTCAATTGGATGTAATCCACGAGCTTATTAAGACGTCAGTCCTACTACTAACACATTCTGTGGTTTGTGGTTTCCTTTGACCTGACTTTTCATAGTTTCGTTCATCAATATGATGAGGAATTAAGCGAAGTGAAGAAAACGAGAAGACCTGGACGCCCTGCCAGTGCCAAGGAGGATCTGCTAAAGGTCAAGGTTGATAGGCTCCAAAAGGAGTACCAGAATGGTTTCCGTCAGTATATGCTTTGATTTTACGACGGGATCTCATCCAGCTGATTGGCATCTCAGTAACCCCGGTACTCGATACGGAAGAAAACGCTGGGCTTCTAAGTCGGTGGGAAGGATCTTGGTCCTATCTAACCACTGTTAAATGGGTGAGGATATCTTCCGCCGGCCAAGTCCAAGCCTCGAGCTTTCCTCCGAGAGGGGAGCATTGAGAAAACCCCTTTGAAATCCACGTGTCTGGAATCTTCAGCCTGAAAAGGGGGGTTTCACGATTCCCTGTACTTTCGGCTGCTGTTTCTATCTTGATCGGGGAGCAGACGGGGCCTTACGTAGGGGCGTGGGAAGTTCCCGAGACCAGACAGCGGGATTCTGCCTTACTTGACCTTTGATTTGCGAGCCCGCGGTTACCTACAGCCAAGGCGCATATCAGCTGCAAACTCCGCAATCAGCCACATATGCCGGTATTCGTTCCCAGATTTCTCGATGAAACAATGGGCACAGATTAGATAATGCCGGCTACCTTTACATAAGCTTGGAACGCTCGTACCCATGTACGGCTAGGTAGCTTCGGCGATGTGGCGTCTGAAGGCTTCGGCAAGATCTCCGCAACCGTCATCGGGGCTACGTTGGGAATTGCCATGGAAACCCAATTCACCAGCCAGGCTCGGCATATTTCAACGTCGATTTGGTGCAAGTTTCACTACAGGCATAAAACCGCGACTGCTTGCGACCCGAATTCATTATCGGCGCCGCTGTTTTTAGATCGTTCAGTTGCACGTGGAAGGGAAGCGGGTAGCCGAATTTTCATGGGATGCTGGTTCACAATTTGCTGCACCCCGGACCCGAATCCTTGAAAGATGCCCCGGGAAGCCTTACCACGTCCCGAAACGCCGATCCCTCGACTGTCTTTCATATGAAATCAGATCTTCCCGCTCGCAGTTGACGGACGTGTGACCTTTCACAACTCCTTGTCTCCTATGGACTCGTCCCGAGACGGCTACTTGCTCAGTGCATTGTCCTCTCCAAACTCATGCTATTTAATACCAGCACGATGACTCGTAGTACATCCAAGAAACTAGGTTCTTATCATTTTAGCTAGAAGTCTCAAAATTATTGGTCCAGCTAGCTTGCATAGCAATCACCGTGGATGAAGACTCTTCTTTCTTCGCTTCTTCGGGTACCCGATTGGCCCGGTCAGAAATATAGTAGGCGATGTCCTCAAGACAAGTCATACACTAGGACAACCACAGCAGGGGACGGCTTCAACTATTTTCGATGTGTGAGCTGCTGTTGCCGTCATATAAATTCGAGATTAATATGCTCCTATGTGGAAAAAAAAGCATGCTGTCGACCTCTACCCCATATGACAACTGTCACCGTGAATCAAATTGCAAGCTACCGAGTTTTACAGCGAAAATACACTCTAGTACGTGGCTCTGGACTCTGGAGTTGATTTATATCACTTATACGAATTTAGAGATGTGTCAATACGTTACTCACTTGAGGGCCTGTTACGTCTGTGGCCATGAAGAAACGGTTTTGATATCGGAACAATCTTGCAAGACGGCCAGTATGAGTGGTGTGTTTGGAAGCTGTGGATCTGGTGTCGACAGCCAGGCTAACAGGACCCAATATCAATGTTGGCAATGTAAGGAAGGGACCGAGCTAGCATCACGAATATAAACCACAAAGGCCACTATTGTCTGAAATCAGTTATCCATCATCGGCTGTTCGACACCATAAAAGCCAATTCAACAAATGACGACCTTGGAAGTTCCTAACCGGAGGCTTTTTCGAATTTGGATGGGGCGTTAGGTACGTGTGCGAGGCATCAATGAACAAGGAACTGGCAAGAGTGTCGACTGTGTCTGACCCGGCCATTCTCTAACGTTGGAGGCATAGTGTCATTATGATTAGAAATAAGGAGTTTTGGGCCTTGAATAAGTGAGATTATAGAATTATAGAATTGGCTATTCTTAGGTATTCTTCAACATGAATGTGGTATACGCATAATGTAATATGCGTTAATGCGGATTAAAGAATACCCATCGAAAGCTTAACCTTAACCCCACTACGCCTCCCCTCCATGTATTGGCCCGTGCGCAGAGAAAGCTCCAATCGTTTATCGTTATCATCTGATAAAATTTTAGGTTTTTTTGTAAATTTCCATTTGTTCAACATCAAGATCAAGATACCCTCAACAATAACTTCTACCACCATCTTGAATCCGTTCGTCATAATTCAGATTAAACAAGATGCTATCACTACGAGTTGTTGCGCGATCAGCGCCCCGGACTCTTAACCGTCTCAGCTCTACCGCGCTCCGTCAATCCAGAGTAGCTCGACCGAGCTCTCTACTAAAGTCGTCATGGGCACCCCTCAGATCGTCGCAGTTCGCATCTGCCTTCTCGACGTCCCAATTTAGACAATCCGCCGCCGAGGTTGACCAGGAACTATCTGTCAAGCTCGACAGCGAACTCCAGTTTGAGGGCTCGATGAAGGAAGTCGACCAGTATCCCGCCAGCGTCAAAGACTTCCTCGAGAACAGCCCCTTCGAGCTTAAGGACGAGCCCGGCAAAGAAGATGTCACTCTGACACGGAAGTTCGGTAATGAGACGTGAGTGGCACTACATAGGCCGAAGGGAATATGGGAGCAAAGAAACTAACATGTCCACCTCAGCATCACCGTCAGCTTCTCCATCTCTGATCTCGCCAACTACGAGAACGATGACCTCTACAATGACGAGTCGCTCAATGACGACGAAATCGACGTTCCCGAGGCCGGCCAACGTTCCGCACAATCGGAGAACGATGAGCTCCTCGACGAGGAGGACGAGACTAACGAAACGCCGGTGCCGTGCCGGCTGAACGTCGTGGTGGAGAAGCCGGGTAAGGGCGCTCTTAACATCGAAGCGCTGGCGCAGGACGGCCAGATCATGGTCGAGAACTTTTACTACTTCAAGGACCCCAAGCTGGCGCACGGCGAGACGGCCGAGACGGCCCACATCGCCCAGGACGTGTACCCCGGCCCGCCCTTCGGCACCCTCGACGAGGACCTCCAGCTCCTGATGGAGCGCTACCTCGAGGAGCGCGGCGTCACCCAGGCCCTCGCCGTCTTCGCCCCCGACTACATGGACATCAAGGAGCAGCGCGAGTACCAGACCTGGCTGAAGGACGTCAAGGCCTTTATCGATGCTTAGAATTTTTTTTCGGCGTCGGTGGGGTGGGGACGGGGAAAAAAGGGGGTTCAAGGTCGAGCGATTAGGACGAAACGACGAATGAGGATTAAGGAGGCAGAGATTATAAAACCTCCCGTGATGTATTATGAGGAATCACTCGTCCTGATGTAACTTTTCCACACTCCGCATGTATAATAAAAGAAAAATGGCCACTACTGAAAAAGTTTATGAGATGGGATGACGTCTGATGATATATGTTGACGCTCTAACTGGTTTAGAGTGTTCTTTGCGAGTGCGCGAGTAACTGTATAGTTGTCGTGTAACTACGGTGTACAGTACAAGATCTCACAACCCCATTCTGATAGGTTAGCTCGCTTCCGCTCGACATAATCATCGGCGCCTGAATCGCCATAAGCCCCTTCTATTGAAAGAAGGTTAGGGACCACCCCCCAGGGCCCCTAAATAATGTGACAAGTATACCTGCAGATATGAGGTATACATGTAAGCCGTCGAGTCGATCTCCTTTTAACACCCAAAGACCACGATATGGGTTATCCAAAGCTGTATCAAACCGACGAGGATTGGATTCTATGCGGTTCCATTCTAATGGAACACCGGTAGAAGTCCGCCATACACTTATAGTTTCATCGTTTTCAAGTAAAGTTGTCGAGGTGTTGAAGAACCTGATCGTAGGATCAACTATTGATTCGCAGATCAGGAAAGTAGGGTTAAAGCCAAAGTCGAATCCTAGCATGGCCGTCTTGATGTTTCCACAGTTGGAGAGTCTTAATGTGGCCACATGTCGCCATTCATGTGTACCAGGTTTGAAAGTCACAGTCTGCTCCCTTGGATCCCAGCATCCTTCTATCAAATACGATTCGGCAAGCGTATTTTCTATTCGAAACCCGTTCGTATGCGTGGTCGCATGTATCCGGTGTTCTCTTTTTACGAAGATAGGAACGGCCTCGGATTCTGCATCTGGGTTTTGCCGGGTTGATATGTCTTTTCCGTCTACGCAAACTCTAGAGTATTGGTCATCTGCAACACCTCTCTTAAGGAAAATGCATAATCGCTCCGTTTCCAGTAGAGCACCTTGGACCTTGCAATTAAGCAGAGCCATGTACGTATCTAGTACCCAGGGTTTCAGGGCCAGAGTGATAGAAAGGCCCCTATTGGTCATAGAGAATGGGCTATTGCCAGAGCGACTTTCCATACCAAGTACCGTCCCGCACTTACGAAAAGCAGCGGGACTTGTAGCTAGCAATCCGGAAGATCCTTTTACACCCGTCCAGGCGAAGATAGAGTGGTCGTCTGATGTCTTGATGATCTCTTCCTGCAAGCGTAAGAATGCTTTCGTGCCCCCCTCGCCGTAGAGCATGGGCATGTTTACATCGAACAGCCCAATTAGACTGTATGCAAGATCCTCACCCTTCGTAGTCTTGCGTCTGGATGCCCAGGACATGCGTTGCGCGATTGAATATGACCTCAGGTTTTCGGAACCGCGTAAGATATCTGAGTCAATGCCAGTGATTTTGGATAGTTCGCCCGACAAAGAAACCTTATCCCCAAGATGGAGCCAACTTTTGTCGCGAAAATAGACATATTTTGGAGCTAGAAGCTCCTGCAACGTCCAGCCTCTCTTGAAATAGTCCTCGTTTTCACCTAGTTCAAACGACCCCTCGACTGTGGATGTGGTGTCTTTGAGATAGACATAGCATATCTTGGCGTTCGCGTAGTAACGATACATGCTATTGATGGCCTCCTGGAGTTCCGCGCTGCTCAATTTATCGATACAGCAACTGTCGATCCAAACATACTTGATGTTCATGCGACGAGCTTCTTTGCAGCATTGGTCGAGTTTATAGAAGCCCTGTTTTTGTATGAGAGGCGTCTGATCGTCGGATTCGATATCTTGAAAGAGAACCTCGTCCTCTCGGGCTAGCCACCGATGAGAAAGTATGGCGTATTCGTCAACAGCTTTGCCATCTTCCTCCTCTACGTATTTCTTAAGCCTCCTTGTTTCGACGTCTAGAAGATGCATTGCGGACTGTGGTAATAGATTGATATATCGAATGTGTCAATATTTTGAATATTTCAAATGAATCATTCCGAAGAGTGAACGTGCGATTCAAGTCGAATTGCTATGATAGATGACTTCGACTGTGAGCTTTACGTCGGAAACTGCTAATATATTGCAAGTTAGGTATCCGTTGGCTAGAAATTCACTTGGATAAAACAGGGCGATTGCGGCTATAGATTACCATTTGTCCACATATGTAAGTAAGCTGTACCGCCACATTGTCATTGCTACCTAAAGAAATTGCCACAACTTTATGATACTGCATGTACAACGTTTGAGGTATATAAAGTAAAGAAAACAGCGCTGTGATACATGGTGCCGTGGGAGTATGATCATTATTTACTTTACTACCGCAGATAATCGGAAGACTGTTAATACGAAATCATTACAGCCGTACAAGCCATATATTGAGGTTTTCAATACCCGGGCGTAAAGCTAGAGACGAGTATACATCAGGAAGTACCTAGGTGCATATGCATGCAACCTACTCAGCCTGCCACACCCCTTCCCCATCCCAAGCGCCATCGAGCATCGCCACAAACCCGCGCCCCCCCTACGACTGCTCGACGGTGATCTGCGCCGAGCCGCTGCTCTGGTAGCCCTCGGTGGCGAGGATCTGGTAGTTGTGGGTGCCCAGCTGGAGGCCGGCGCTCTCCCAGGCGTCGAAGTGGTTCTGCATGGTGACGCTGCCGCCGACGCGCTTCTGCTGGCGCACGGACCAGAACTGGTAGAAGGTGGAGGTGCCGTCGATGGAGGGCTGGTTGACGCGCTGGGTGCGGTAGACGTCGTAGGTGCCGCCGTCGCTCTCGACGGTGCCCAGCTTCGACGCGCCGCTCGACGGGTTGTACGTGCCGAAGGACTCGACGACGTAGTACTCGATCAGCGGGTTGCGCGTCCACCCGTACACCGACAGGTAGCTGTTCACGCTCGCGCCGTTCCACGTCCCGTTGTACGTCACCACGCGCGCCGCCCCCGGGTTCCACCCCTTGCCCGCCACGAAGTTGCCCACGTTCTGCCACGTCACGTCGTACGACCCCGCGTCGCCGTTGTTGTACGTCACCTGCCCGGCCCCGTCCGTCCAGAAGGAGTAGAAGAAGCCGTTGTTCGTGCCCGTGCCCGCCGGCGTCGACCGCGTGATGAGGTCCAGCGGCGAGGCCACGGCCCCGGCCGCCGCCGTGAGGGCTACGAGGACTGATCCGAGCATTGTCGTTGTCGTTTCGAAACGGATTTGAAGAGCTGGTTTTGACTAAAGAGAAGGGACTGACTGACTTGTCTGTCTTTTGGACCCTGGCGGTGGGAAGAAGCTCGGTCAGGGTATCCGCTGGATCGCCGGGAGGGATGTGATCGCTTAAATACCTGGCGATGGCGATAAAATTGACATTCGCCCGTTTCCTGCTTGGGGGTCTGGCTAATAGCCTCCTTCTGGAAAGGGGAATTGGCGAGTCCGTTCCTGGTTCCCGAGACGACGGGATGAAGATGGAATTAGCAGGTTTATGCCGATCATCCTGGGGAATCGTATTTTGCCGGCAGTCCCCAACTTGGAGAACCGGGATCCCGATATTGACGCGATGTAGCCCTGCCTGATTTTGCCGGCGGTTAAATGCACCTTATGCTGGCCGAGCCCCCTGGCAGCGCCCCATTGGAGGCGGTTTCATGTTATGCTATTTACGCGTCGACACGATCTAGGCGCTTGGGACGACGCTTGGTTCGTTCTTGCGGCTGCTAATGTTAATATAAACCTGTCTATATATGGCAAGATGCTTTTTGCCAAATTTCACAAAGCTAAGTAAGCGGTGACCGGTAGCTGCGGTGGCGACGGCGACAGAATTGACGACATGAGTATCAATATTGAACTCAGCGATAGGCAGTCAGTGGCGAGGAGTGCGAGAGTTGGGGGTGGAGTAGGAGTTCATGCGAAATCTTAGCTGAAACGCTTGGACTTGCGAGTCTCCTTTAATCCCCTCCTCTTTGATCTCTCGAGCCATAGTCATCCTATCAAATGACACTCACCATAGAGTAGTGAAAGTTAAATGACCGAGACATTGCTTTCAATGGCATGACGAGATGTCAAAATACGAGCCTTCATGTCTCATGACGCTCCAAAGCTTCATATAGTAAGTGTTGCCCGTTCGCCATTTCGGAGTCGCATTAGGAATAAGATAATGATTGAATGGCCAGAGCGTATCCATTCTCCTATCCCTTTATCTTGCTAAACATAACCATGGCAATCTGAGGCCGTGATTCTAATGCCACGGATTTGGTGTTGCGAAAATAGCAGCAATAGCGAGCTATTTCTAGCTCGGGGGGACAGAATTTTCACCTAATTCATTGTTAGCTTCGGTTCTCAAAACATTCGATGATGGCTTCACCCGTTCGGCACTTACATAGTACACAAATCTGGTCGAAGCGGACGAACCTGTGGGACGTGCTATCAAACTAGACGGTTAAGAGCGGTGCTCCACCATCGATGATACGCGCGAAAGAGCGAGTACTTATTTAAATAACGATTGGAGCCCTTAGAGCCTTAGCGCGAACGGCTCATTCCATCGGTGACGTGCTAAGTCGAATGCAAACGAATCTAGCATTAGTTCCTCGTGGCGGACGCTAGGGACGCCGTTAGGAGCGTGGGAAAGTCCTTGGACGAGATATGGGGCTAATGATTGAGATCATTAGATGGAGATTAGCTAGCGGCTAGATCGCTATGTTAAGATACTAGTTCAACCGTACGATCACGATCGCCTCGTCCTCTCATTCCCTACGAGATTGGAAAGGGGAGATCGCGTTTATTTCGATGAGCGACTCGTCGACGCTAGACACCGTTAGGGGCTAGGAAGATCTCAGCGACGACGAATGGATCTGGACGGAGAGCGGGGAGACGGGGCGAAAGTGGACGGGGCGAGACGAAGAGCAGAAAATCTCCGAAACACACCGCATGATCATCGTACCTACATAACGGTCGAATCGACCCGCAGAAGCTCGCCGTCGCTAACCCATATAGGTACGCACCTGTTCCGTCTAGGGGCACAGAGGGAGAGAGCATGCAATAGTGTAGGGAACACGATGGGGCTGAACCTCAGCTCGAAGCTTTTTTTTTCCTTTTCTTTTTTTCTTCTTTTTCTCACGATGGGTCGCCCCGCTCGTCTGAAGATGGACCGCATCGAGCGCATCTCTGGAAATCGAAATTTTGAGGCCAACCCCCTGAGTTAGATCATGGGCGTGCGCCCCACGGACGCCCACCCCTTGCCAAAATTGTAGTACCGCCGGTTGATGCGCTCGTGATCACAGATACGGGATACGATAGGGGCGGGCGGTGAGAAGCTAATGGAGCTACTAGTATCTCGCATACCATGTACATATGTACGAACGCTTAGCATCTTGGATTACGGGGCTGCGGGAAAAACAGCGGGATTGCTAAGCAATGCGTGGAGGCCTGAAGGCCGTGCTGATAGGCAAGCCAAAGACCCATGTACGGCACGTATGTCGTGCGACGCGAAAGCAATCCAGGAACCAAGAACGTGCGGTTCGTGCTTCTCGAAATTGACCGGGGGGGAGAAGCCCGAACCGGGACCCCGGCGAGAAAAAGGGAACCCTGAAGCATCGTCAGAGAACCGGGGGGGTTTCCCAAGCCCACGTGGATTTGTCGAGCTAGGTAAGCAGGCGATAGGTTACAACCAAACTTCCCAATCCCGCAACCCATGCTGGGTTGCCGTCCGCTGTCCGTGAAAGGAAAAGGGACAAAAAAAAAGCAAAAGTAGAAACATACCACCCTGGCTGTTGCTGGGCATCAATCTACGCCGACAGAACTGGGGGCTGAGAAAAAGAAGCGCTTACCTATGTACCTAGAGATATCAATACGACTTCATGGTAAGGTTTCTCTCTCCTCGGGTTCCCATGAGCAGGGCCATTCTCGACGAATGGGATGACAGCCGAGAGTAGTATTCGCTGCCCTCGAACTGCAGATATCCATACCCCACAAGCCGAGCATGCCGTCATAATAAGACAGAGGGAGAAGAGAGAGAGAGAGAGAGAGAAAGAAAAAAGGAGACCGGAGAAATAATATTGAAAAAAGCAAAAGCAAAACAAAAACAAAAAGAAGATCCCCTTCAAAGACATGGACGTGTGTTAAGTGATGCGCGCAATTCAATTTCGTACGCAAGCCCAACGCCGAGCGTCTTCTCCGCGGAAAAAAATCCTTGGCAATAGCAGATATGGAGTCTCCATCCAGCCCATCCAGCCCATCTGCCCATCCAACAGGGCAATTATCGCAAACGGCCGTGGGGACCAACTACAGGTAAGCACTACCGCTGCCCGGGATACCGTATGCGTTCATTAAAGGAGGCATAACGGTGCCTAATATAACATATATAGCTTGCGGTGTATTATACGCCACTTGCCAATGTATGCGCGGCGTTTCGTCCCCATATTCGAAATTTGAAAACTGCCAGACTTGGCTTAGGGGTCGGGCGAGGATAGCCTACGGCGAACACCTTCGGTATCTCCCTACCTAAGGGGGAATAGGTGATGGAGATTATGTGCTCTAGTGTTACGGACGTATCCATATATATCATGTGGATGTATATGTATGTCAGCGTCTCAGGCAGTTAGGGCACTTGTTAATACCTCGTCGTGCTATAGTTGTTATGTCATTTCGGCAGAGCGTGCACGAAAATCAATCAAGATTTTCCCCGTGCCGCAAGACAGCAGATTTCTCTGCAGTAGCCGTCTAGTCTTCCCGGCCTTCCTTAGCTCCTGTCATTTTTTCGAACCCGAAGAGAAGCATAGTAGAAGCATTAGGCGAAGCTAAAGCCCGTCACTTTCTGTGTTCTGTCCTTTTTTTTTCTCCTCTTTCGCGATCCCTCCCACTCCCGCGATCTTGCGAACCAAACATCCTATCTATATCCATATTAATTGCCGGTTCCTCTTCTGCGTTCCAGATCGATGGGACAGAAGTACTAGAAAAAAATCGGGCAAAGACATGACATGACGTCTCCTAGCTTTCCCAACACAGGAAAGGCGGCTGAAACCTCAGCGAATCCTTCGCGGTCTCGTGATTCCTCGTAGGGCTGTCAGATAAAAAGCCAAACGTGAAAAGATACGTACAGTTTAGCCAAGATCCATTTTGATCGCCCATCCGCTTCGCGATTCGTGGTTCTAACAAGGGAGAAAAAGGAACGGGCGGACGGGTTAGCGAAAGGGCCAATGTCGCAACGTAGACGCGGCAAAATGGCCAAGCAGCCCAAGGCCAGCAGCAAAGAATGTCACCCACACCTCAAATCTGCCTGCTTTGCTTTGCTTTGCTACTTGCTGCTACTACACACCAACAGTTGTTGGTGCTTACTTTGTAAACGCACTAAAGCATAACATCATACCCGCTGCACACTGACGAACATTCGTTGCCCATTCCCCATTCCCGCCCTTTTTTTGAGCCTCCTATCAATGATCTAATGTTTCATTCGTTTCTATCACTTTTTATTTTTTTTCTGTCATTTTTTCTTTTTCCTTTTCCTTCTCCTCTCTTTCCCCTAACCTCGCCGATTCGGAACGGGCCGTAGCAGCATGGGCGGACCTCCTACGGGCCCCGGGCTTGCTTTGCTGGCTGCGCCCAATGGGGCGTATCCGCTATCGTGATTCTATATCGTATTTTGATCACTTTAATCTCTACTACGGTAGCTAATTTATCTGTACGTACCTAGCGAGACCTGCGAGATCCATGGGTCGTCTTGGCGCCGAGAAAGGGGTCTGTTCCCGGGAATGGCTCGGGATTTCCGCGGTTCGTCGCCCCCCAAACCTGGGAAGTTTGGTACCGCTGGGGAATAGGAAAAAGCAAGGTCTTGTCGCGCACGAGGCCACTAGATGGAAGTGACATGTCACAAGAAGAAAAAACAAGGAGGGACCTGATGGGAACCGGCCGTGTCGGACTTCGGATCCAGTAGCCGACAGGGTGACAACCAATACATACCTAGCTGCCACGGAAATGAGAAGTGAGTAGATCATCGACAAGGTGCAGGGATCAAAGGCATTAGATAATTACATTATAGTGGTTGCAGCCTCATCATTATTCAACCTATGATCCTATCAATCCACCTCGTCCATCCCTCATCCGCGCACAGAAGCCTCATCGAATCAACCGACAAGCTCACGAATAGTTCCTGCTTCGTCGAGTCCGCCCTGGCCGGCAGTATTAAGCACGTCCCGAGATTCCACGACCCGTGGGCTCTCCTGATCGCGTCCGCCTTCGTCGCGGGCACTCCCGGGATGTTCCACTCGACATCCGCCCCGAAGTGCCTCCATGTATTAAATGCCAACATTTCAGGCATCCGTGGGTCATAGTTGACCCCCAGTAAGCGTGGGTCGGGCACCTCGGATAGCATAGCCAGCCGCCGACTGACGTATTCCTGGTCGACCGCGTCTATCGATGTTTTGATGAGCGGTACCAGACGGGCGAGTTCGTCGTCGTCGTCGCACGCCGCGTGTAATTGGGCCATCGACGCCTTCGTAACAGCCGGTAGGGCCGCATTGCCAAAGTAGTTGTCCGTAGCGCCCTGAAAGGCCCTCGTCCTCCAATTCACCGAATTCCATAACATCGCATTGCCCCTATGGTGAACTCCCGGCAGATACCTCTCGGCTGCTACGCGAGATTTCGTAATATGCGCGAACGCAAGCGCGGCCAAACTTGTGTACGCGGACGGAAGTTCCGCCTTTCCATTTCTAGAGCGAATTAGCTCCCTGAGCTCCTGTAACCGCTCTTTGCTGAAAACGAAGATCTTGCCTATCTTCTCGATATGTGCCATAGCCATCCCATTCTTCAAAAGCCGCGGCTGCGTTGGGCCGCTGAGGTCGTGTAGCATAGTATATTCCGGGCATCCGGTCAACAGACCCGTAAATGTAGAATAGTCGCGTACTTTAAACGGGCCTTTGTGGCCCCGGACATGTGTCATCGGAAACGTCTGGTCAGAAGGCATGTTAACTGGCGTATTTCGAGTCTGCGCGGCAAAACATTCCAAGAAAACGCGTAGTGATCCCCCGTCCACCAGCCCGTGGTGTAGGAAGATAGAAAGTAGTAAACCGCCCGACGGGAACTCTGCTTGAACTTTCGATACCGGTATCGATTCAAGATTAGAGCTCACGCTGCCCGGGACGGCGTATCGAGGATGAACAAAGTTGCCTGGAGGAAACCCGGCATCCTTCATGCGTGCGTACTCCCGTTGGCTCGTCTCGTTTGCGGGGAGGACCTGGAAAGGAATGTCTTGTTGTGGGGACTGGCGAAGCAATACGCTGCCGTTGTTACTGCTAGCGTGGAGTCGTCCGGCGAATACTGGCCTCTCCTTTGCCAGTCGTTTTAGGGCGGCCTCGATGTGGTGAATCGCGTCCTGCCGCCGGTGGTTATCGCACGGAAAGCAGAGGACGACACATATGTAGACGCGAGGTGCATTTTGGTTCCACACCGATAGTGGTTCTTGCCAGCCAAGATGGTCCTCCTTATCCAGCATTGGCAATGGTTGACGCACTGCAGGAACGGGTAGCGAACGTGTTCGTCTCGTAGTAGCATTGAGGGGCCTGATAGTCCGGTTTTGCAAGTTGCGACGCCGTTGCCGTGTAGTTATGTCTTCACCAATCGGTGACCGCCTTTTACGCATCGCGGGCAAGACTGTGTAATTTTTCTTTTGTTTCTCTTTTGCGAGAGCGTAAGCGACCAGGTTACGAGGCGCTAGCCTCTTGAAGATGAAGGGGGAAAGACTATTTCGTGAGGTGGTGGTACGTGCGGGTAAATCTCTACGGTGCTAGAGCTAGAGCTAGAGCCAGGGCGTGAGCAGCAGTGGTGGTCGGGGGGAACCTGTGAAAGGACGTTCATGCACTCGTCGATGAACTCTCTCATCGCGATAGCATGGCTCTGGGAGGCCCGAGGCATGATATCTCTTACTGTGAGCGAGCTGACGAAAATTAGGAGGGGCGATTAGCGAGAGGCAGAGCTAAAGTTGGCGAGAGATGAAGATCTCTAGACCCTTGCAAGTTGCTGAGATCAAATTGCAGGCCAGGTAATAAGGTAACCAGAGGAAGCCTGGGCGGCCCCGGTGAGAAAACCTGTAGGTCGTTTCCACTGTTTCCAAAGACGTCAATGTTGGACTACTTAGTCCAGAAAAGGCTGGGTGCAGATGCTACCCCTCGTCACTCCACGTTGACCGCGTATGATTACCGTCGACAATCCCCTGCTTAAGTGGGAGCCGATGGCGCTAAGGAGCCCATAAAAGCCGTCAGATATGATGTTGGCCTTTGGGTGAGAGCCGCGGCGCTATCGCCTGCAGGGCTAGGTGATTTTCACCCATGCCCCGGGCTCCAAATGGGCCTTGGGGCCTCCAAGGGCCCTCTCTCCAATGGTTGCCCCTTTCCCCCTTTGGCCCAAGGATTCGGCAAGGTCATCTGGTCTGGGCGCCGGACTAGATTTCCGTTTGCAGGCCGTAATGAAGCTCAGAAACCAGGATACTAGCAACGCCTTTCCGCGCGAACGGTTCCCACCCTGCCCAAAACAGCGTCCAGGGCTGCCAGGTAGATGCGTTGCCATTTAAGGAAAAGGGCGTTCGTTAGCTCATTCATCTGGTCGGTGCCGCTGGTATGTTTCAGCTCGGGGCCGACTAGTAGTAAGAGGTCCGAGTGTTCCTGATACCAGGCGTGGAATTCATCACGACGCGTCGTACCAGTCGTGTTAGTTGATCCCGGTCGGTCGACCTTGGCTCGGAACATTTTCACGGCGTACTGGGCGTAGCCAGTCGCGGCACTTCGCAGGGGGGATCCGAAATCCAGGTAGACGGTATGTAAGCAAGGGAGCCCGAAGCAGAGGAGCGAGTTTGTCACGGTACAGATAGGTGAAGCATACGCTAGGTAGGAGGATCTTCCTTACGAAAGCCAGATTGTGCCAAGATTGACTGTAGATTGCAGCCAGGGGAGGCGGCCAAACAACACAACACAGCATGTCAGTTTCTAGTAAAGTGAGGCGATGGCGATGGAGATGGCCATCCAGGCGCGCAAGCCACCTCGGCAAAGCACACCGACATCCAAGATGAAGACATCAATAGTATCCGCTTTCACCCGTCCCCTCTAAGTGTTATCACCGGCCTTGAACAGCAAGTATCGGCTGACGGCTTCGTGGCGTGATGCTCGGTTGACCTGAAAGGCAGACTCGGTGGTCATCGGCAAAGGGAAGCCATCTAGGAGCATGCTGAGATAAGGCGCACGATGAACCATTGGCTAGGCACTTGGAGGCCTCGATTCATACACCATGTCCACGGCGTACCGCCATATCATGAGCCGAAGCTCGGGAGAGAGGAGAATCGGTTCATGGTTGGTCCGGTTCAAAAAGTCCAAAGAAGCAGATGATGCGAGTTATGATGAGCTGGCTTCGCTAAAAAGCCTGATCGACGATGGAATGCAATTGTGTCATTTGTATCATTTGTTATCGTTTGTATGTAGGCAATATGTAATATGTAATATGAGGTATGTAGCATGTATATATGTACGTATATATTGTAAGGTAGTGGTGTATGGAGTATGGAGTATGGAGTATGTAGTATGTATTATGTACGTACGTATTCAGGCATCATATGCATTAAATGGCTTCCAATGTTTCAATGTTCTATCATAAATGAGATAAAATGAGAGGGGGAAAACGCCCGTTTTGGAGAAGACAAGGCCGCCAACGAGCGGTTGAATTGCCTTGATGTTTAAGCCCGCAAATGGCAAAAGTTGAGAAAGAATTGTTAAATCGTCGGTTGGTGGATGGTGGATTTTGGGTGGATTGGTGGGGGCGGGGAATAATTTAAAAAATGAAAATAAAATAAAAGTAAAAATTGTGAAAAGAGTTCCCAAGGTCTGCAAGGTCTACTGGTTTGGAACTCATCCGTCACTTCCGTTTTCGCCTATCCCCTGCTAGCTTCTAGACTGGTCCCGACCGGCTGTTCGCTAGCTGATGGCAACCCTACTGTCGTTACACAAGTCATGCAAAGCTACATGGATACTTGCCTAAAGGGGTAACTATTTTTAACTCTCGATGGCACTCTCCATGCCAGTGCCCCTTTTTAGTCTACTAGGCCAGTAAGGCACCTAGGCCGCTACGCAGGTACCCAAGTATAATACGCCTATCTCGCAGGTGAACATCGATTATGGATATCTTCTCCCGTTATCCCCCCAATTCGCGCTGGCTTGCATGCACATATGTGTGTAGATAATGTACGTGTAAACGAGAGGTAATCATGAAGCTGATGTTTTACTTTTTTCTTCCTAATTTCTCACTGTCTTTCGGGCCGTTCCCCCACCAGGGCGACATATCCGTTTGGGCAAAGTCTTACCGGAGGGTTACGTTGATAACTGTGGCGTGCCCCTGTTTTGCATATGCTACTGTCATACATATCTTGGACACGGGAGCCGGGACCGTCCTGTTGGGACGGCTGACAGTCCGGGGAACTAGGCGAGCACAACATGATCTGACCATCCCAGCCCTTCAGCCAGCCCAATTGCATTTGATATACACAGGGCCGCATGCTAAGTTGCACGGACTAAGTAAAGTCCGCCGCCAGTTCGTCTCACGTCGCTCCGTGTTTCTTGATACTTTTTCCAAGACTGCTTACGTGAGGCCTGTTGATCCTGCGTATAACAAGTCGGCCACCCAATCATAAGTCACTCACGAACAGACTCGAGACTCGACTCTATGTACGATTTGGGGGTTTGAATCTGACCATCCTTACAGACCGGTTAGAGAGATGACGCAGCATCGTGCAACACTCGGACAACTCCCTATACGCCGGGGAACGGCTCCTACACGTCGGGACATTAAAGCCTCGCGGTAAGCTTAAGCCATGCCATCTATCTGGCATGAAGTGAGAAATAAAACGTCGATTTATCTCCCAAATAAGCCCGCCACAGGATTTAAGGCGCATAATATGTCATTCTATGTCAGCACGGTCGTCCGCTTATCCCCGCCTATTAGACCACCCGGCTGGGACTGCGTAAGTGCTCCAACTGGCCCACAGCTTACTAACTCAGCGCCGGGAATTACAAGAGTATATGGGGGCCTAAAGGGGCGAATGTGGTGATAATGAAAACATAACGTTCATTACAGTACCGAAGTGGGTTGATCCAATATCTTCTAACAACCCTGTCTAATTGGCAGTGAACAGCTACGTCAAAGCTCAGATACAATAACAGTTAGCATGGCTCAGCCTTTGTTTCACATCCCATCGATGAGCATCGATCAGAACTTTTGATATTGGCGGTGAGATGTTGGAACTAATGGAGGGTATAAGACCTCAAAAGGCTAGGCTTACGCATTAAGTAGTTGTAAGCGGGAAAACTTGTGAGATAATAGGCCTTACGCATCAGATCATGCTATCAATGAATGACTTCAATGGCTTGAAAAGGGCTCGTCTTTCTTCTTATTGCCCCATCCTAATAGGAGTAACCCGACGTCTCGGAACTTTCCCTCCAAGATCCCTCCCATTCCTAACCTCGTACTTCGAACTCAATGCTTATCCTGTGTGTCTCTAGACTATTATCAGAGAATTAGGCAATCTAGTCTGTAACTTGGCGAATAGGCGTCTCTTATAATCCTCGAGCTGGGCTCAGAGAAGTTGAGAAGCTAAGTTATCGCTGGGGCTTATCCGGAAGTAGATCTATGGTAAGAGTAGGCGAGTTCTTGGTACGTAGGTTGTTTGTGCGCTCCTGTAGCACACCGGCCGGGGATAGAGACGGCATTATTCTGTGTCGTGTACGCTAACATTACTAGCTACCCAGGCGAAACTACTGTTGGGTTCTGCAATACCTGCCAATCTGCCGATAACACAGATAATCTAGGATCCAGAGAACCCAGCTACAAGGTAGGTAAGTAGATATAACCGAAGGTGGAATCACATGGTACGTACTATTATCTGATATGACGCTCGATATTATTCAAGGTCCTGCTGCATCTGACCCCAAAGCTCTATACAAACGGCAGCGTTAGTGCCATTTCTCTTTGTGATATCTTTCGCCGAAAATGGCGAGTAAGTCGGACTTTGTTTCTATGCCGAGCATAGATCCTGCCGTCCTTTCAGGGGCTATACTAACCCGGGCTGCGTAGAAGCATCGTATCGAGGCACTGCCATTGCGGGATGAGCAGAAAGTACCAGCAGCCATAGAAATGGCCGTGAGTCGATAATCCCACTCATTTATATGTGATACCGAATCCATGACGAGCCACGACGAGCCGTTTGCTATTTCACTCCGTAAAATAGCTAGGGCTTAGAGAATTCCTAGTCCCGACAATCTCGTTGTGGGCCCCTGACTTCTTACAACGGGGCCTAGCCTGGTTACCGCTTGGTCGGCAACCAGCGTGCGCTTCCCAGTTAGGTTCTATATTTATATAGGCGTGAAAAAGAAAAAGAACTAATTAATCTCCTTAGACCGCATCAAGTTCTAGCTTCAGTAGCCGACCTATGGCTGCTAGTCGTCGAATCGCTAAGCTTGGCTAGTCGTTCTATGCCTTCAGCCATCCTGAAGGGAATCCTCAATCTAACCTATAGATCGGGTTCTATACGTGATAGAAAGTGAAGGTCATCTAAGTTACCCACACGAGACAATTGCACATAGGTAGACATGAAGCCAGGTAGGTCCCTTATGCGAGGCTATTCTTGGGGTTAAGCTCACAGAAGTCTCTGGGAACGTCTGCCCTTGTGCCTCAAAGTCCGTGATAGCAAAGGTAGGAGCTATAGTCAGGCATTCTCCTTAGAACACCCTTGAGGCCAGTAAGCCGCAGCAGAATGCGCGGAGTAAGGCTAGGCCTTACACTTGCGCTTCGTGGCAAGCGCTCCTTATTATGAGTTCAACCTACGCTCTACGAACTACCGTAGTTAATCCACACCGTCACCATGGTTGTTACATTGCTAGTTCCTGCCGAGCCTTGTACGGTGAGACATCTCTTCACGGCGTTAGCAAAAGCCCAAGTCGTGGAAGTAGTGCTGTATAAACTTACCTCTGACTGCGACGCAATGCTTTTCGCTCGCAGGCCACTTTTTAACCTGGGGCATATATCGGTATTCTAATATTTGGCTACGCCATGATTTTCGGCATATTTCGCTCCTGAAGAACTTTTCGACATGGGGCTTCTATGCTTTTCTTTTCTATTAATTAGTCTCACCGTACCAAATCCCCTAAGGTAAAGATTTCATTCGAGTAAGGTGTCTGTAGGTTAGAGAGGTTAGCGCGAATATGGCTATTTGTGTATTACGGACATGATCGAATGCAAAGGAAAGGACCAGAACGAGCTTCGCAACAGTCTGTCTGCCAGGATTGGGACTGGTTATATGTTATTTCTCATGCTCTCATGACGTTGAATCTAGCTGAGCAAACCTTTTCCACTTGTTTCTAGAGGCAATAGGTTAGAAAGCAATCATATTTATCACATATCCCCACGTCACCATGTTTGATACCCTTATGAGACTTCGTTAGGCCTCATCCCGGATATTCGTTGTCACCCTCAATTCAAGAGGTCTAAGAGGAAAGGTAGATGAGGTGATGGCATTTAGGTATTATTCTTTTCTTTAAAAAAGTATTGCATAGCCAGTCAACTTTAAGTAAAGGGAAATATCGACAGAAAAGCGAGAGAGCACCATACGTACTAATAAAGATGTCCCAAGAGACAGGCTGAACGCTTGGCGAAGCAGTGGATAACTTTATTCAGAAGGAGAACGCCTTCGTCAGCTTAGGCTTTGAACTTAGATTGGTGTCAAGTTCTGACAGGGTGGAATAGAAACGCAAAATTCCTGGCCACCTTGGAGTTTTGCAAGAGTGTGTGGTTTCTCCCAGGTTGGGTTAAGTAGTAATTGGAGTTGGGTTATCTCTTTAGTTGGCATAAGACTACAGCTCCACGACGATTGGTAACTGTACTTCCATCAACCCCTGAGCTCCACTGGCACCCACAAAATCCTACTTCTAGTTGGTTAGACGCCTCTGAAGATCGCTGTGAGAGCCTCAACGCTTACAGGCTTGAGAGGCCTGCGCTATCGCCGATGTACAGTTACCGATTTTATGGAGACTGTAGTCTTATGCCAACTAAAGGGATATGGTGGTGATGGATTTTAATTAGGTCAAGAACGAAAAGCATGTAAAGAGATGCAGAGGATATTAAATAATATTTACGTGTATATTGGGTTGCTATTCATACCTGGTAGCCCGCAGTAAGAATTCGGAAGGCATAAGTAGATCGGCCATCCCCAAGGCGAGGGATTTCTAATAAGCTTAGAGCAAGTCACGTAGGTCCAGAACAGTCTGGTTATTTCTTATATCACCAAGTAGTAGGAATATTATACTGTGGTGATGCAATAATTGTTTTCAAGGTTTGGCTGCGTTGATATTTCACCCCTGAAAATTCGAAATGACTTAGCCCTCTTCTTGTGATTTGGTCCCCTGGGTAATTCAATTTCTGTATTTATGAGATGTTAAATGTGTAGTCATGAAAAAAAAAGTGCAGGTTTAACTTAACCTACCATGGCTATCGTCAAGGGGCAGAACTAGCAAGTGAAGAAATAACGACGTTATTGGGAGAAGATGTCGGAAATACTATCTCTTGCCATGGAAAGCGGTACAGTCATAATACAGGAAGGGGCCCTTGTCTAGTTTGCTCTAGAGACAGCTGCCATCAGGTCTCCCATGGGCTGAACTCTGATCGAACCAGACATATGACAGTCTGTTTGTCAGGTTTGGCCTGTAGTTGAAGACCATGTCAGAGAGTGTCTGACAGTGTTAGTAGCTCGCCCATAGGCTCGCTTATATGTACTAGTAATATGGAACTACATGATTATTAACGTTTAACCCTTATTTAAACCCTTTTGGGATCTTTTTCCCTTTTTATATTCGTCTCAAAGGTTACACAGAGTATAGCTAGGTTAGGATGCTGCTATCTCACTTCCAGCTATCAGCCCTTATCATAACTATGAAGGGACTGGACTCTCCAGAAAATTTCCTATGTCAAGCGAAACTCTAGCTCTGTCTCCTTACCTAGGGAGGTACTCTAGACGTCCCATGCGTTAGTAGTACGCGTTGATGTATATGCCATACTTGCCCGTATGTAGTATATACGTCCTTCGGACGTAAACACGCTCATCACCCCAAGTAAAATCATGGATTAGTCAATTAGCTTGTTACTCATATTATTTTTAACAGGAACTATGGTATGAATATCTTGTAAAATTACAACAGAATACGATATATTTTCTATTCCAATTGTGAACGTAGGTATTTTATGTCTACTCAACATCTCACAGGCAACTTAGTACCGGATCCATTCATGGATGTGTTTGGTCATGGTTACCTAAGTACCTACCTACTTATCTCTCTGATTGATTGCTAGAAGCAATCTCCTTGTAACGCATGCCTCTGGAACTTTATAAATCATTCCAAATAGTAATCAAAATGAATAGCAGAACATTTTCACAGAGGTGCTGTGTGTTAGCCAAACTTGCTGGAAGTGTATATTGTGCATGAATCGATTCGAAATATTGACGATCGAAAAGTCAGATATTCTTTGGTGCAGCATAATACACGTGCAACCCCCCGGGGGGCTTCCGGGTATGTACCTAGGACGGCCTAGTTCTATGAAGAAACGCTCTCATTCCCACTTATGCAGTGCTCACCTAGTCACTCTCTAATGTTTGGAAAAGCCTGCGTTTTGTGTAACTGGTTGAATAACACACTAGAAAACCTCCCATCATATGTCATACGTTGGACCAGGGCCTTAGGTCAACTGGACAAACCATGTGATTACTGTGCAGAGCTACAGTTCCAAAATTGTATCATATCATCACTGTACTTACGTACCGTTACTGAGCAAGTTCAGTTCTGTAGATCCAAAACGAGGACGATGTATTCGTCGAATATCGATAGCTTTTTATGTCTCTCTTGTATGTTTTAGTATTCTTGAATAGTACCTATCTAGTTGTTCAATTTATATTAAACAACACGACGCCTATGATATGTGAAGCTAGGTAAGTTCCTAGAAAAACAAATTGATGTTTTTATACGTTGTGCTTTTACCCGTTGAACTACCTATATTTCTGAACTTGAACTTTATGCGAACTACGAAAGTCGATTGGAAATATGATAGGTCGGAAGGTGAATAGGCTGTTGCAACCTTGAATTTAAGTCTAAATGGACAACGTTGTAAGGTAAAAGTTCGACACCGGCAAAATAGGGCAAGGTTACATTTTGACGCGACATACTACCTATTTGGGCAAGTTCGCTAAATTCTCACTGGACGACCCGACAGTCCGGATGCGACTAGCGGGCCGTTGGGTGGGTTACATGCGGAAACGTGAGATACTTGGTAGCTACGGTGCGCCGGGGCCGATCTTGCTTACCTACAATTAGTACGTACGAGATAGCCTATTCGCTTACATCTACCTATCTACATTGCCTATCTATTTGATCTAGAACTTTGGGGCCCATGGAAGAATTGATTGGGCTTTATTGCTTTTGTCTATTTACACAGGTACGTCATACGATCCTACATACTGCCTAATCGGCTTGTACAGCTTTCTGTCATACTCGATAGACAATACATTAAGGATTTACCTAAGTCTAGACCAATATAATAAAACATCTGCCGGCCTATTTATCCCCTCAAGCTATGATAAGGAAAGATCATCTGCTGCGAATAGTGTCTAAGACAGTAGCTGCACTTAAAGAGAGCCACAAGTGATATTCAAGACATTGGAACCTGTCTTCTTGGCTAAGTGTGGTGAAATTCGTAGTATCAGAAAAGATGGTAAATCAACACGATAGTGCATTGCGTACTCTGTACCTACCTGTTATTAGAATCGAATGAATTGTTGCTTGCAAGTACCACTCCCATGACTGTAGTATGCCCCATGGAAATTAGTTACGCTCCTTCAAACCATATTTATTAAATTAGTCGAATGGGTATTACCTCACTATACCCTAGTGGCTAGCCTTTTTCATGAAAGAACAAGTCACCATTGAATCACAATGTGGTCAGAATTTCATCTAAATTATTGACTGTATTGATTTGCGGTGCAACATGCGGCATCGCCTTGGCGTATCTTGCTCTAATGCTTGCTTGGCTTTCTTTCATAATCATTGGGTATCAACCGTTGCGAGCCAGCGAAAGAAAGCTTCGTCGCCAAACTTCCCACCTCCCCATGCGTACCAATGCTGCGCGGCCGTCTTGGTAGAAATTAATCAAGTGACGCCCCAGGCGTCTGTACGATGCACTTTTCTTCGGCCGTTGTATGCCTCCCGATGCCCGTTTGACCTATGCAATCCCAAGGCCTTTGATCCTTATGTACGCCAGAAAAGCCCTAACACCCGGTCGCAAATCAGAAAGCAAAACTACCATATGTACACGAGGGATTTTCGTCAAAGAGTCGTCGCGAATAGGGTCGAGTGTTGTCGGTAGTGATTGGTGTTATCCTCCGTCTCCTCAAGGTAAAAATTGATGCCATGTCCGATTCTATATCGGTAAGACAAGATGACTTGCTCATAGTATCAACCCCTGATTATTCCTTGTTGAGATTCATTTCTCTATCGCTTCCAATTTTACGTCATCGTTGCGCTTGTCGGGACGGTCGGTGCCACTTCCCTATTGTGGCAGTAGAGCACCCTTCTCGTCACGTGCCAACATGACCTTGCCCACGATCTTCTCTGTCAGGTTCGCGCACCACGGATCAACATAGCCCGTCCAAAGCATGGCAGCACCATAGTTCAGAGGAATCCAGAATGGAAGCGAGATTATTAATCGCCATCCACTAGGGAACATGAGCGTGCCGTGAATCGTCTCACCCTTGTCGTTAATGATAGGCGGCGGGACACGAATTCCATAAACCATCCAGCAGAGTACACTACGAAGAAGGGGACCATGAAGGAGATACACAGCAAAAGACTGCTTGCCGAACCAGAGAAGGACTTTGCTCGAGAGCACATCTCGTAGGGCGGGGCTGAAATGTAAACCTAAGGTAATTAACTCTAGGCCAATTCCGGAGGCGAATCGGGGGAAATCGGGATCCTTGGGCAGGATGTGCTTAAGAACCTTGAATTGGTAGTTCGACCAAGTCATCCACTCCGGATGTCCTTCAGGGAACGAGGCAACGTAAAGACCTAGGAACAAGAAAATCGCAGCTAGAACCTGCGACAATCTGGCCCGGCGAGTGAGCCACTCGTTTGCGGGCGGATGATTTTGTAGGTCGCAGAGGAAAACACCCCAGAAGAACTGCATTCCGAAAGCCGCTATTACACCGTTAGATACAGCACAGATGGAATACCCTCAAATAACTTACAGTCCGATCCAATCCAGAAGTAGGCAAACATCATCAAGCTTAGAATCATTCGAAATTGCGGTCGAATGTAGGCTGTAGCAACGACGAATGTGTATACTTCCATACTTCCTTTTAGTAGAGGCAAAAGCGTCCACTGGTTTCCATCGTAGGCGTTTTGACCTCGTGTCCATGTCGAAATGATGTTCTGAATCAAGTGCTTCACCGAGAGAAACGCGGTGGCCTGGCGGTCAGGTGCGGTCTTTCCGCACCACCAACAATCGCTCTGCTTCGCAACCAGGAACATGCCCAAGTTCGCCATAATCCAAATCAAGAAGGTTGCGAAGGCGCAAGGGATGACGAGCCGGGGAACACGGCGAAGGGCTGATTTGGCAATAGATGTGAAGGCGGTATCTTGGTTGTTCTGCCGATATAGCTTGATCGGCTTCAAAGCGCAGACGTATCCGGTAACAAAAGAGAAAATAGTAACACCGATGCGACCTTGAACGAGGATTCGCAAAAATGGCAGCTGCATAGGTCGGGGCTGCGCACCCTCATGAGAGGTTGGGAGGAAGAGCTCGCCATCGAAGGCTCTGGCGATATGAGTCAATACTACGAGGGTGGACGCGAGACCTCGGAGACCCTGAGAAATGGTGTTAGTTAATCATCATAATATGATCGTTTGAAGCCAACAATGATTTCCCTCGTGCCATCCCGTCGCTAGTTGTCGATAGTTGCAAACCCGGACGCCACCCGGACTCCTGAGCATTTTCTTTTGGACAAGCGTCCCATTTTCGCGAAACTTTGAGAACTCCCTCCTCATATCGCAACATATCATGATTAAATCCCCAACACTAAGTCTCGATTGCTGGCGAAAAGCTCCACCCATCCTAAACCGCACCTCCACTGGTGATTAGGGAAAAGAGATGCATGCGCACTTACATCGACCCATTTGACATTTCCTTCCTTGCCAATAGCCATGGTGACAAGCTGCTGCGGTAGATCGCAAAGTAGTGTTGCTCAGACTTCGCTATGTCATTCCTTGATGTATAAAGGTTGATGGTTTGATAGGAAAGCTCGCACAGAAGTCCAGGTTGAAAACGGAAAGCGTCTTATCAGATGGAATCCAATCGTTGAGATGTAGTACCGACCTGCTGGTGTAAAGTGGCGGCTGACCGGTGGCTGAATAGGTAGCTACTTAGAGCGAATGAACTTGGAATGTTACGGGTTCGGGCTTGGGTGAAATGCTGGACGCGCGCAGCACAAGAGATGCGGGAACAGGCTTAACAGGGCGAGGATATGCGTCTCTAGGGCGATATTAAGAGACAGCGGCGCGGCTAGAAAAAAAAAAAAGGCGTTCGGTAATAGGTCAAACGTATTCGAATGTCCGTCCTAACGGGTAGGAGGCGATATTATGTAAATTGGTACTATTCTTTTCCTCGTTCGCTTGCTCGCACGCTACACGCATACACATACGTCACTCGGATTCCCAGGGACTTAAATTGGTTGAGGATACCGGTCGATTAAAAGAAGTACGGAGTATGAAAAGAACAGGAAGGACAGGATTAGAGGTCAGTTCCTACACAGGCAACGGAGGGAGGCAGAATGCGCAGTAGAAAAGAAGAGGGTGAAAAGGAATGGACGTGGGAGGATTTTTTAAGAGGATGTAATAAGGGGGTCGACCATCGATGGGATTGATTTGATGTACTGTTGGACCCATAGCCCCAAGGTGGTCAGGATGTCCAGGTTGACGGCGGCTTGGCGAGAATTTAGAGCCAGAGAGAAGACACGGGGTGGATTAGGAAAGATTGGGAAGATGGACAAAGATTGGTAGAAGGAGAAAGAAAAGCGTGCTAAGCGAAGCGAAACGGGACGGGATTAACCAAGGTACATAGTACAAACTTGGGTCTCCACAACTGTAATTCAGCCTCTTCGTTGTAGGTCTTCTGTTTACAAGAAGTCAAGGCAGGCAAGGGTCGTATGAAAATATCAGGGTTTAAAGATAGGCGATTATGCGAATTGCGTATCCAATCTGACAAGCTTACCCAAGCCTACAGTGGCTATTTCCAATCTGACAAGAATAAAACGTTAGTGGATATAGTGAATCTTACCTGCGCTTTGCCTACGCGTACAAACGACTCCTTGATACCTCTTTCTTCTTCTCCTGCGTCTGTTGGAAATTACATGGACAGATGTATCAAAATGATGTGATCGATGTACCAGATGCCTTTAAGGTACTTGACAGTTTCGTACCTCCTTGCATACTGTGGAGGGTACGTTACATGATTGGGATGTATATCGTGTACATCGTAAAACTAGCCTTCCCAAAGGGCCAATGGAAAGAACGGAAATCGAAAATATCTTGCCTAAACTGAATTCGGTAGCGTTTAACTTAGATTAGTCGTCAATACTATGGGGCTATAACGCTGTGAAATGCGGTACGTAGTACATCGTACATAACATGATAGGCCGTATCCACCTAGGGTACGCGATCAACCTTGAAAGTCCCGTTTTTTTTCTTTTCTGAGTAGGTCCGCAACGACGTACTGCATTGGTTATAGAGCAAGTAACTGGATCGACTTATAAGATTGGCAACTGGATAGGTCATCGGTCCACTGTCTTATTATTACACCCTTATAGAAATCACGATCGTGACTTTGAAAACATTATCGCTAATGTCGAGTAAATGCGACAACTTCGATTTCGTATACAACAAAAGGATGTAGTTGTCTACAGAATACTACGAAACAATTCGTGTATCCTATTTCCCCATTCCCCGGATAATCGGCATACGATCAAGTTTTAGGCGTATTTTTATTTGTCCAGCGCCTCCTTCCAAGAGACTTGGCAGTGTAACCGATAAATGCTTGGCTTCACTTTCCGCATCACGATTATACAGATACCAAGTATACAGAGTGGATGTATTGTGTCATTCGGTACCGCCACATCGATAAAATGATGCTTAATTGCCTAGGTACCTTAGTGCTAGGTTGCTTAGGCGCGGCCTAATAATTTCCAACTCCTCTTTTTTCCATCTTTTCATCTACCAATTGCCAACTGATTTTCGACTTAATTCATCACTTGTATCAAGACGCCTCCGGCGCTACTACAAGCCTGATGGCAAACACCGAGTCTGAACGGGTCGTGCTACGGCCAAGATTTTCACGTTCCTTGTTTATTGTTTCTCACAACTCTCCGTCATGTAAAGCCGTAAGGACCACAGTGCATCCGGTATCAGGCTTCGGTCCTGACTCCCAGCGATGATGCGCTGGTTGGGTGCGTTGAAGAAGATCGCGATTTTGTTTCTACGACCTGCCATAGTTTGCTCAAGCCGTTTTGCGGCCAATGAGGCTTCGGATGTCGTCAATTCTGCTATCTGACAGTCTCTTTAGCAGGGCTTAACTGGTGATCGGCATAGCGAATGACCTATGCAGCTTATGCTAATCCTGGATAGGCATGTCTATTGAATATGTCCATTTCTCCTACTACACCTTTCACACCGAGGTGCGGTTCATTCAAGCTTATCTCCACAAGATCTTCTATAAACTCTGGAGACGGGATGTTTCAGTTGTCAAGCCCACATGCCCTGTTAGTTGAAGGGCATACAATTGCATCATGCTTTAATACCGAGATGGAAGTTCACTTCAAAATACATAGGCCTTCACCGACCTTGCCGGCCGTCTTGGCGACGTCTGCTGATGTAACAATGCGGGCCAATGCCGAAGGGCACCGGGTTATCGTTGCAGTCGTCGCTCACTACCTGGACAATTTCACTTCCACATGCACATTTGACTTAGGTACCAACACCACCACCAGCTTATCTACGCATTCTGTACCTAGCAGTGCTGTGCACACTCGCGAAATATTGCATGCTCAGATGTACCTGGATAACGGGATGGCCTCCCATTGTAGCAAGACGGCGGGCACGCGGCAGCCGACTACTAAAAATTGCTATAAATTACTAGGTACTAAAAATGATTTTTCGGCACCTAACTAACTGCTTTCAAGCTGGCGTAGGATAGCGGCGTGGTTAGTTGTGACAAGGTGAACGAGCCACATACCTTAAACGGAATTGTCTGATTGTTAAATTGCTAGCTCGATGAAAAGCTTACGCGGCTTAATCTCGCTCGACCTCTCAAGGCGAGACCCCTATTTCTGGATCAGCACTAAAACCCGCCAGCGAGTCCAGCCCTACTAATCCATAGCGACATCACGCGAACGCGACCCCGCCGAGGCCGACTGTGCGCGGGAAAATTCACTCCCCCACGTGAAAGCTCGCCGGCTTAACGGGGTTGACGGCTAAGTGCACTGAAGCTGAGACGCCTGGAGCTCGGGTTGGACTACCCCGGGAACTTAAGGTGTCCGAGAGCCAAAATACCAAGTACTTATTTGGTTCAGATTCATCTCATCTCTGGAGAATCTAAAAATGTTCGATATCCACACGATTGTGGACTGTCCTTGACATTGGACGAAACAAAGGATGGCAGTGACAGGACATAGGAGTATCATGATGATGATGAAAGAACGGCAAACCGGCACCGATTGCACGGACAAGACGGCACGGATGATATTTTGGAGGCCACAAATGTATCCATATAAGAAGCAATGCCAAGAGCCAAGAAATGCAGAGGCGCGCCTAGCATGCATCGCTTTACTCGTACAGCTTGACACTTTTCTAGAATTCATACACGGCATCAACGGCTAGTACACGATTGCGGCTCATATTATTATGTTCTAATTTTAACTAGGTAGATTGCCCACTCTAAAGGTTATCGAGTCCACCATATTGGTACATACGTACGTTTCTAGAGCTCCTTCAAACGTCCCAAAATTCAGGGACTCTCGAGACTTGATCAGTGCGGTGATCTTGGAGATCAGACAGCATCTACGTAAGCGGAAGCGCCCCCCGAAACTTGGAGATCCTCCCCCAGCCCAAACCCACACGCTGTGCCCTTGACCTTGAAACAACAGCGAACGGAATTATGTAGGTAGATGTGAGCTAGCATCGGCGGTCCACGACTATTGTCAGTAATTGACTAGGTACTTTTCCCAGAATCGAGCGCGGAACCGCATTTTCCAAGGCAAAGCCTGGTTAGGCCCAAACAACATAATCACGAGCTCTTCAACAATTCCATGTACCTACACATTCAAAGGCCTTAATAAATATGTGCAGCGTTGGCTTTGAGAGATTCTGCAGCCGAAATCCGATATCTGACCCTCCGCTCTTATTATGGCTGGCCTAATTATAACTAGTTAGGAGGAGGTAACATTGCTTCGCCAAGATGACGCGGCAGGTCTCGATTACGGTGAGAACCTCAGCAAAGCCCAGGTCAACCACCCCTGAGCGCCAACAAAGTGTCTTTTGGCGTCTGTCATACAAGGATTCAGTCTCGCGCGCAATTCGCCCAATGCGATCAAGTCAATGCAAGCATTCGCAACAACCTCGCCGCAACCGACGAATCACATAGCCGCTCTTGTTTGGGCACTTGACTCCGCAAGTGACCATTCCATCGGTATGTGGTATTCCTTCGACACACTGCAGCATGACACATTCTCTTCTCTGGAGTCTAACCGACGATTCTTACGATTCGACCTATTATGATGGTCTGCAATCCCTCGGTTAAGAGACAAGGTTTTTCGCCTTTACTTCTTCTAGTTCGTATTTTTCGAAACTGCATTTCGTATCCTCGATCGGTATAAGCCCCTTCCACGCCAAACTTGGGGCATACCTCTAATCTACATACACCATCATAAATTCCAACGCTGTCGACTTATTGTGGTTCCGTCGTCGTGTTTATCCAACCATATCGATGCACGTTGATCCCATTTGTTCGGATGTATGTAAGTCTTATACGATGAATGACTCGGGTTACGTTGTCAGGAGATTAGTTACTTTGTCATGACATCCGCCCCGCCACTACCGTACTAATTAGGTGTCTAAAATAATGCTTTAAGCTACATGGGTATCATGGCATTCAGGATTCGGACGTAACGACAATAAGGCCCCGTTCACAAGCAAGTTGTCAGCCCCAACCCACCGCCTACAAACACCTGCTTTCTTTCCTGTTCCCAAGGCAAGCCAATGGAACCCAGAAGGGTTTCATTATAACGAAAACAAGGATCATACAGGAAAACTAACCTGAGTTGTACAGTAGAAACTACAGAATGTCTAGAACCACGTGGGAATTATAGTTCCAATCTCCTGTACATATGATCTGATTAGAATCAGATACGGGTAATATTGTTACGCCTATGCAACATCACTCCCCGGGTATCTCATGACCATTTTGAACCCTGCCGCTACATCAGCCGGTAATTAACTACTGATTATTGCCAAGTTCGTCACATCTGAAGATAATGGTAACTGAAAGAGTGCGAATTTCCGCTCAGCCAAATCGCAAGGCGTAGCTGAATCTCCCTAGACTAGGTACCTAAGGTATCTTTGTTAACCTCGCAGCCTCACAACCCAAATATTCTATCAGCTGTATCAGCGGGATAGGAACGCCAGCAGAATTGGTACGACCATAAATCCATAATCTTAGTATCTCTGGTTTCCGTCACTACAACTTTCCACGACGGCATCCCTTGCCTCGCCGATACGTCACTAAGTTCTTCCCAAAATAGTGTAGGCAGAACGCCGTCGGCCACCCTCAATCCCCCACTCTCCCTATAGACGCAGGTTATCAATCGTTATATTACGTAACTTAGAAGATTAGGGTATGCTGGGGATTTCCGACGACACACGGGTATTGCGCCTTGGTATACGGCTATAGACTAGAAGCATTGTGGCTCTTAAACTCCTTGTTGATTATTCCAGACCTGCCAAGCCCGATCCGGGCTCTTCAACGCCTCGACCACGGTTACCTCGGCCTACTTTCCCTCGTGCCGTTATCCAGAGCCAAGACTTCCCGGCTATTCGGAACTGATTGTAAGCAGAGAGAGGGAGGCAAGGAGAAAAGGCGAGCGGGAATCTGATTCGGGCAAGTCTTGCGATCGTCGCCTCAGCTCTAAAATTGCTCGACGCCGCCAAGGCCCTTAGCGATCCACGCCGAGCCAGGCAAATCGTTCGCGGGTATTGTCGACAATGCTAAATTAATAATAAGGAGGGACAATACCTCTTGGCTACCCACTAATAAATTCCTTCGTCTGTAACTAGTAGCCTCGACTATCTAAGCTCATTAATTGACCAGGAACCATCTGTGAACTATGTAGATCATTTTATCGTGATAAAGTCTAGTGTATTTCAGAAATCGAGAATTCTTCATTGGAGCGGTTCGAAGCGTAGAGTCCAGTACAGCAAATATCTTCTCGTACAACTTTTCCGAATCGACAATCTCTTGGCGGCATGGTTATCGGGTATGAAGGACGAGTGGGATCCCAATCCTCTAAGAATTTCTAACAGAGATTGGAGTATACCTAGATAGACAGGTATCGAAATGGTATCATGCATAGGTATATACAATTTTAGCAATCCTATACTCATGTAACCTTTACTTTGCATCCTTGCCTTTGAATTCCTCTCATCCCCCCTTACTGTAGGTAGCTATTGCCGTACCAATGATGATTACCCCTAATATCTTAACGCCCAAAGTGTGGCTGTGCGGTGCCTTACATAGGTCCCTACTTAGATACCTAGGTACCTACGTAGTATCTACCCCTTTTCAAAAGTTTCGTCGTCCTCGAAGTCTAACTATGATCTAAGGTGTATGCGCTTTGGACTCGAGCAGATACACACCATCACTATTAGAAAAGGCGCCATAGCATTTCTGTCTCGCAGCTGCCCATAGGAGCTTGCACGGGTTATCGTCAACATTCGTTAGCCCTTCGAATAGTGTATACACTAATATATTAGATATTTTGACTATTTCGAAGGACATAATCTATGAGGATAGGCGTTCTATGATACTTATTCATGGTTCGTTGAACTCCTCGTATGATAAACATTAGTAAAGTTAGTCATCACAAACCTAAGCTCATAAGTACCTAGCTAACAGCTTCAGAAGTATCAGGTCTATTGAAATAAAAACTTGCTGTGGTCCGGTATGCTACTTCCTTCTCACGTCCGTTACGTAGACCCCTCTTTGCCGGTCCCTATTCGACTTCCTCATCGTCATATTCATCGTTTTGATTCTCGTTCCCAACATCACAGGCACCTGAGTCGGCATATTTCGACACCTTAGTAGTCGTACTACTTTTGCAGGTCTCGGCTTATACTTAGTGGTGGGAACTAAGCACTCCCAAGGCGTACGTAGCAATATAGTCGGCGCCCCGACTCTCGAGCACTCTGTGGGGGCAAACGGAGTCTTCCCTGGACACTTGGTTTCCTTCTTTACGATAAGATTGGCCCCAGGCGTCATGTTTTGGGGAGAAGCAAGAACTTGTCAGGGGCTACCAATAGAATATGGTGCAAATTGGACAGAGTCAGAGATACCTAAGGTTTGCTGGGGAGCTGGTCATTGAAGGTCTGGCCGGGTCGGGTTTGGAGCAATCAATGGCCCGGCTCGCCGTAAGAAGACCTGCAGTGAGTAGGTAGCTAATTCCGTGACAGTATAATTCAGATATGTAATTTATGCTTGCATAGCGATCCTGCGAAGATAGGTTTAGGGCACCTTGCTCCTCAATATCGTCACTAACCAGTCTACTAGGTTCATACCTTAGCAGATGGTAGATATAAGGAACTCCAGTAGAAAAGTTACAACTAGATCAAGTGTCTCAACAAGTCTCGGATGGACTGGCTAGATAGGTAGGACCTACCTACATATACACAAACGATCAAGTTAGCCATGAGAAAGGCATCTTCTAGATGAAAATGTCCATTAATGATATATGCTAAATCTTACATGCCATGCATTATGGCCATGATGTAGAGAACCCCGACAAAAGCTCTCGAAATCGGAGATATGGACTTGTAGTCTATTCTATTGCTGTCCCATTGTATTACCCCTTAAAATGACTTTCCCAGCCATGCCCCTTTTTATCAACCAACGCCATCTCCTATGAGTCTACCTAACTTAGGTAGCCAATCTATCATATTCTTCGCTAACTCCTTGCATTCTCAAAAGACGACCGAGAAAAGCTCGTGGGCCATGATATCCATTTAAGTCCAGACGAAGAACTTGAACGTTTCTTAGCTATCGCGTAACTGACCATGTCGTATAGATTCATATCATCCTGAACTTGCGGATAGGTTTGGAATGTCGACAAAGCCTCGGCTACTTCTTCCCTACGTTCGTGTGTGGATCGAGCTTCGCAGTCTTTGCGAAGGATAATCACAACAAAGGACTTCCCGTTGTGGGCATAGAATTCGAACGAGTGAAAGCCCTGTATATTGTCTTTCAAGTAGCGCTTGATGCGGCTCGCTCTCGATTCGCAATAGTGTCTGGCTCTGGCAGTATCGTCCGCAGGGTCGATGTAGGGCATATTTGAAGGTTAGTTGCCCTGGATCTTGTTCCGTTCGTTGAAAGTATTCTCAATAGAGTTGGCTGATGAGTAGATGACCAGTTTATCTCTATGTCCGAAGCATAGAGTAAAAAGGGGGATTGGATAATTCTAGACTCGCTCGAAGATATATAGTTTGCGCATTCCTAATAGCCATGACTTATAGCGAGTCACAACGACTGGAACTAGGCATATCAAAGATATGTACGAGTCTGATTCATGGTGATTTTGTCATTGATAGTGTATGAGGCCATTGTAGCTCTCATGGTTATATTCACAACAATATGCCATAAGTTAGGAAATTGACTGTCGGCGTATCCCAAGTAATGATAATTTGTACGTTAGTTACTCTTGGTGGAATGGCCATGGATCTAGGCTACATAGGTATCTTGACGTTTCAGAAGAACGATAGAGAGGTTTAAAGCTGTATTATTCTTGTCATGAAGGCAGACCTAGTAAGCGAGGAAGCAGTGATGTTGCTGCACGAGGGACCCTTAACCTCTCTCGCCTACTCAGTAATCATACATATATGAGATGCCCTTTGTAAATACATTTTGTTCAAGGGCCAACCACTAACAAGTCACATCCAATCCGAACAGACCTCTAATGGCTTCTCACGTCTCTCGTTATATCATCTCCCAAAACCCATTCCATCCATTTTCTTCTTATTAGTCAATATGATCTCGTAGGACTCTAGCTAAGCTAGCAAAAACTCATAACCCGTCCTAACCGAGGGTTCAGGAAACGATATCCATTCGTAGCCCCACCAAGAAGCGCTATCCTTCTTGACTATCAAATATGAAACTATTTCTTTCAAGGTTATGTTGGCATCTTCGCCTGGAAAATGGTCCCAGCTTGTTAAAGCCAACTCCACATCCTCTTTGAGGTCTCTTACACTAGTGATCGCGCAGCTCTCACGAAGGATGATCACAAGATATGCTTCTTTATTAGTTATAAAGACTTTGAAGCTCTCAAAGTCTGTGACGTAAACCCTGAAGTGATTCGTGATTTCGACCGCATTGGTTTCGAGATACTCTTTGGCTTCGGCAGCTTGGTGGTTAGAAGTGAGCCAGGCCATATCTGAAAATCAGCTGCGCTGCATGGTGTTTTGGGTATAGTTGATCGATGGGTTGGCGGTTACCTGACTGGACTAGACTTAGAGAAAAGGGGCAACTTAAATAATGTTAGACATCCACGGAACCCACGCTTCGTGTATCTCTAGTAGTCATGGTTTATAGCAAGTTCTGATAAAAGAGCAGGCATATAACTATACACGTGAATCTGATTCAGCGTCATGTGCAACATACCTAAGTACTGGGTAGTCATGTTGATGCTTAGGGGATGACTACCCATCTAGTCAATGATGCGATATCGTTGGGAGATTGAATGCTAATTTAATGCAGATTAAATTCTTTTTAGGATCATATTGTCTTCCAAATGAGTAACCCCGGTAACATACCTACCTGTCTTGGATGGAAGGTGCAGTTACGCGGCGCGGCGGCATTCCTTTCCAATTCTCGTGATGCTGGCACGACCGCCTGTCAAAGAGTTTTCTTTGTAACGAAACATCCATCTCAAGATGGTTGAGGCGTGCGGTCATTCACACATAGGACGACGAACGAAGCAGAAAGACTTATTATAATTCATGCAATTCAATCCGTCAGGGCTAACACTGACCCCATTATGTTACAGACCACAGTTAGGTAGTATCACGATGAGCTATAGTGACATCTTTCTGCGTCGCCTTCGACAGCTCTTCATAGTCTTGAGTTCACCTTGCCCTCGTGAGCCCTCGCCCATGCAAGGATCTGTTTCATCTCGGTTTCAAGTACTTCGAGGTTAACTCTCGAGGTGACTCTTCGCTGAACCACGGATCTCCTCGGCAGTGCCTTTCACCTTGCCTTCAAGTTCTTTGGCCTGACCCTTCGCTTGACCACGAATCTCCTCGGCTGTGCCTTTCACCTTGCCTGTATCCGCCTCGCCCTTAACTTTCGATGCGATCTTTTCTGTTTCGGGCTCTCAATCAGTTTCTATTTGTTGAAATATGACACGGGGGAAGGGGGATCTGATGATGAGGTGCACGAACGACCTAGGTAACGATTTAGGTAGGTGTGATATTGAGACGAAGTACTTACCTCCAGCGCTGATGCCGTCAACAAGCTTGTCCGAGACCTTGCGATCGACGCTTTTTAACGTATCCTTAGCGGCTTCTGTGACGGTTTTCTGTGCCACGGTACTCGTGGTAAAATGTCGCGGAGCTGGAACTGCAATGGCTCTGGAGGAGAGAGCGAGACGGCGTGTGGCGGCTTCTATGAGGGGCGACATAGTGGCGGCACTGTAATGTTGGATGGAGTATTGTTTTTGTACAAGTCGAGTTAGGTTTTAATTGAATTCGAATCTCCTTCTTGAGGTGTGCGTGATAGGAAAGTTGTAGGATTTAACTTCGATGAAGAATGATGGATTGTGAAGTTGTAGTGAAGAGGTTAGAGGATGGCAAATAGAGGTAATGAAAGGTTTGCATCATTAAATGTAAGGAGACAGCCACAATGATGGTTCGTGATGTCATCATTATGTCTCCAAGCTCAGCTACCTAGAGTAAAATTCCTAAACAAATTTCCAAAATTAGGAAACTACGCGGGGTTGAATTGCAGTATAAAGTACCCCACCAGCATAATTCAGTGGGTAGTGACGTCCTGGAAAGCACTGCTACCGAACCGTCCATACAATTGTCGTCCAATCAGATACTGAGGATTCTATAGAAATAGAGGGTTGCTGTTGTCACCCGTCCTAGAATGACGCCAATGACTCAGTCGCGGCTCTTCACCTATTACATAGGTACCTATGTAAATATCCATTACTAAGGTAGGTACCTGGGTATATTTTCCGTTACACAACCACAAGACAGAGGTAAGTGCATGTGATATTAGCTATCAGGTACAGGGCGAGATATTGTTAATTACATAATACCACCCCAGACAGAAGTTGTCGCTGCTTCAATGTTTCTACTAGCTATATGTAGTTCGTGTTTGTTGCTTCGCGATATATACCTCATTGTATTCTACATAGGGAATCAAGAATTGAAAGGAAAAACGACTTGTACGCTGTAGGTTCTTCTTTGATGTGACCTATTCCGGAACTCAAACTCATATAGCCTCGTCGTTGTTCTTTGTCGAATGAAAATATTCCTTAGAACAAAATGAGTTTGTCTCCATTTTCGTCTGGATGAACTCCGCCTTAAGTTCCTGGTCACCTATGCATTTTGCATCGAGGCTAGCAAGGTTATCAACATACCACCTGTGTACATACCTTGAATCTAATTGAACCTGATCATACAACCAGTATCAACCAGTATGGAACCGGAACATCTAATCAGTTTGGCACCTTCTGACGACGAAAACGAAACCGGAGGGAAAAGAGCTTACCCTAACAACTATGAGGAACAATGCCAATTAACGGCGCTGCAGTTCGAAGAGTGGCGTCGTACTGGGGCCAGGGTAAGGTGGAGGGAGGACGACATACACAAATACAGGAAGAAATGGCAAAATAAAAAAATACCACGCTCTGGTCTGCCCCGCTTCTGGGACGGTGCTTCCGACGAGAGACAGCCATGGAGCAAACAGCTATTTTACATCGGGTCTAATGTCAGCCTACCCGACCTGGATAACCCGTGGTCTGCCTCTGACCCACGCATTGAAAGAGTGAAAAAGTCATATAAGGATGCTAAAAACTACTTTGCACAAACCGATCGATTTTACTTCCAAAAGGCATTGGGCTTTGGAGGCCGTAAGTTGACTCCCGGATCCTGATATGGGCCGTCATAAAACCCGTTTTATTCCAAAAGGGCGATTGCTGATGTGAAAGGGAATAGTGGGTTTGGCACTTCATTATAGATACGAGGGCGTTGAGCCAGTGAAAGATGTCGTAGTCAAGCTCTCGCTTAGAGGTTGGATCGCAGAGGATATCCGCCGAGAAGAAAATGCGGCAAAGGTATATCATATATTCACTCAACTTTATACCATTAACACTAACTGGTGGTGCAGGCTATGGCAGGCGCTGCTCACTGTATTCAGCTGATAGACAAGCCTACCGTTGGCTTCAAAGAGACAAAATACAAACCGGAGCCAGATGACATGGACTCTTCTGAAGAGGATGAATCGAGCGGAGATGACAGCATGGATGAGGGAAGCGCACGCCCTCCGCGAAAGCCCCGGAGCGCCATGACAGAAGAAGAATTAGCCGCGAAGAAGAGAAGACGGGATGATCGTGAGGCCGATGCAGACTCAGACTTGGTGATTATGGGAGATAGCGCCACGAAGGACTTTATGCTCTTAGAGTACGTAGAAGGAGGTAGCCTCGTACATCTGATTGATAAATTACAACAGAAAGAGAAGGCTACGGGGCAAAGAGTGGCTATACCTAACAGGGTTTTGTGGGCACTGTGGTTATGCAGTAAGCAGAGAATTGTACAAGATATGTCTTTTTCACTAACGAATCTATGCAGTGATCCGGGCTTGCGTTGCTTTGAAATACCCCCCTCGAAAGTTTCATCCTGGTCGCCGTACAGGGTATAGGCCACAAGGGCAAACAGATCTGATCGAAATAATACCACCTCAAAGCAAGAGGTGGAGGAAAAAGAATTGGGTCCATTTCGATATTGATCCTTCCAATAGTAAGTGAGAATCGCTCTGTCTCAAGACGGAATTGCTTATAGATATTCAGTTTTTATTGGCAACCTCGAGATACCACTTGAAGAGATGGGTGGCAAGCGAAAACGCGCTGATGAGGCACAACCTGACAGAGACAGTGTCGAGCATAACTTCGTCCCTAAACTTAAGGTACCTATATATCTCATGTCCCATTAACGAGGAGAAATCGAAGAACATTGACTAACTGAATGCCAGCTTGCTGATTTTGGGTTGATGAGGGAGATAAAACCGTACAAGCGAAAGTCTGTAATCCCGATCCATTCGCTTTGCCAGAAAAAGAAGTGTCACTAATAGATATATAGCATATACTACTCAGTTAGGCGTAAAACTGGGAAAAATACCTTTTTTGCGCCTGTACGTTGATACCCCTTTACCACGTCCGGTGTCAAGTTTAGGAGTGCTCGTAAGCTAATCAAAATTTATTTCAGGAGCAATTCGCGGCAGAGTGGGATCGAATCCCCCCCACCAAAGACGGGGGAGAAGTAGGCGAGCAGAGAATTGCAGGGAATTACGGATCTCCCATGAATGTCTATCAGATGGCGCTTGTAAGTAACCCATCATCCGTAGATGAACAGTTCTCGTTTTAACACCTCACAAGTCGATGTGGGTCGTCATCACTCAACTGTCACCACCTCTTCCGGTACAACCTCAACCACCAGCAGGATTAAATCCAAAGCGGAATAAAAAGGGACTTATACCATCTTACCTCGATCAATTCGTCGATCCGACCGACCCTGAAACTCGCATATCCTATTGCCCATTGCTCATGGATCCGGCGAGATCCACCTACGATTACGTCGACATTGAGCTCAGGACAGCGATATACGAGTGCATGTATCACCGCCAGGACGATCGTCCGACAGTTGAGAGACTACTAGAACAAGCGCGGAAGGGAGCTAATAAAATATTTAGCGGCGAAACTGACGCCTCCGTCAAGGAATGGGTTGATGAGTTCCTGTTTAACGCACCAAGTGATAGTGGAGATGACCAGAGGGCAGAACCCAAAAGCAATAGCCTATTAGGTTAAACATGGAGTGTAAAAGCGGGTATGATACGTTGTATATTATCACTAGCTAGAGATTCATATGGCATTTAATGTCACAGGGTTGGCTTATTGAAAGGAATGCATATAAAATAAAATCATATACATAGTATTTTTTTTGGCGGATTTACCTAAGCAATGTGTTAAAACACCAGCCGATGAGGTTAATTACAAAGTACGCTAGCTGGGTATGCTAGAGGAAAACAAAGTCCGATTGGTAGTTGAGGTTGGATAATATGATATTCAAGCCGTCGAGTGCCTGATGATATTTTCACCTTACTTAGGTAGGTTGCGGAGTACATCCATCTGCTTCGTGAAATAATAGGGGAAAGCTTTTTGGGGGAAGCTTGTTTACTTAGTGGGTAGGTAGTTAGGTTCATCCACATCCATGCTTAATAGTAGTCTTTGCGCTAAAGTTTAATGGATGACCGTTGTAGTTCAAGGGGCTCAGCCACTAATAACAGCGCCCTACAGCGCAGAGTCACTTGAAGCTATACGGCTTTAACCCATGGATGAGCAAATGTCCAGCGAGATTTTCTCATAAATGCCCATACTTTTAGAAATTAATTATAAGCTTTTAATATTTCATGTCGAAATTAATGTTACACGGTAATAAATACCATACCTTTAATATATATAAAATATAAAATTATTAAATTAAAATAATTAATTTATTAATTATTAAAAATAATTATTAAATTATTATATATATATAAAATTAATTAATAAAATGTTTATAAATATTTAAAGCGTTAAAATTTAAATTTTAAATATAATAAATTAAATTTAAATAATTAAAATAATTTTTTTTTAAAGAAAAAAAAAAGATTAAAAACTTAAAACCTTTAAAAAATTATTATATAAATTAAACTTATGTTTTAAGTTTATTTTTTTTATTATAAATAATTTTTTTTTATTTATAAATTTTTTTTTTCGAATTATTATATATATTTACTCGAAATAATATTTATTTATATTTTATTTAAATTAAATTATATCCTTATAATTATTTAAAAAAATATTTATTTTAAATATTATTAAAGTTTTTATAAAAAATATTTTATAAATCTTAATAATATATTTTTTTTTTTCGTTAATAAACGAAAAACCTTTTAAATTCGCGGAAATATTTCTTTAACATTATTATTTAAATTAATTAATTAAATTAAAATTATTATTTTTATTTATTTAAGAAATTATATAAAAGTTAATAAAAAAATTTTTATTTAAAAAATTTTTTAATAATATATTCTTTAATTTAAAAAATGAATTATTTTTTAATTTCTTTTTTATTTTAATATTTTAATAATATTTTAATTTAAAATTATTATTTTTAAAAAATATATTTTATATTATTAATTAATTAAATTTTTATATCCGATTATATTATATAAAAAAACAACGTTATATGCGAAATAAGTTCTTTATTAAATTTAATATATAATTTAATATATTCATTTTTATAAATTTAAAATTAAGCTTAAAATTTAATTTTTAAAGGGATAATTTTTTAATTTTTATTTTTAATAATAATAATATTATTATTTTATATAATTTTTAAAACTTTAATATAATTATACGTAATAATAAAATTATTTATTAAGTAAGAAATTTTATTATTAATTTTTTTATTTAAATATTTAAATTATATTAAAAAATATATAATGTTTTTAATATAATTAAAGTTTTTAATATTTTTATTAAAATTATATATTTAATTAATAATTATTAATAAAAGTTATAAAAATATTATATTTAAATTTAATAAATGTATAATATTTTAATAACTTTTAATTATATAAATATATAAGTTTTTAAAGAATAAATTTTTAATTTTAAAAAAAGAATTAAAAAAAAATAATATTTTTTTTAATAAATTTAAAGTATAATAATTTAATTTATTAAAAATAAATAAATATAAACTTAAATTATTAATAAACTTGTAAAAATAATTCATTTATATAAATTTATTTTTTTTATTATTAAAAAAAAAAAATAAAAAATATTACCGTTATTATTTAATAAATTAACGATTAAAAAAAATAAATAAATAAAATTATTAATAATTTTTTTATTAAGCGTTATATTTATTTTAATAAATTAAATAAAACTTAAAAAAAATAATTTAAAAAATTATAAATTTATATTAAAAATATTATTATTAAAATTATAAAATTTTAAGTTTATAATAAACTTATAATTATTAATTTAATTTTATATTTTATTAAAAAAAAATTATAATAAATCTTTTATTAATTTATAATTAAAATTGTTTTAAAATAACCGTTAAACCATTTATATACTTTAATTTAAATTTATTTTTTAAATTTTATAATATAAATTTATTATTAATTAATTTTATTTAAAAGGTTTAATTAAAAATTATTTCGGAAATTATATAAATTTAATTTTAAAAAATATATTATAATTTAATTATAAATAATAAAAATGAAAATAATAATAAATAACTTTTTATTAATAATTTATTTTCGGATTTTTTAAAGTTAAATCCGGATAATTTTAATAATAATAATAATTTTTAATTTTATAAAAAAAGTTTATTTAATAAAACTTTTTTATTTAAACATTTTTTAATAAATAAAGTTAATAATAATTAAAAAATTAATAAATAATTAATTTAAACTTTAAAATAATTAATTTAATTTATTTTTATTATCGTTACATTTATTTAATTAAATAAATCATTTATTTATAATAAAAAAGATTTATTAAAATTTTATATTTAATAATTAAAAATAAAAACATATATTAAAATATATATTATAAATTTCTTAGAAAATTATTAATAAATTAATTAAGTTAATTTTTTATTAAAAAAAAATAATTTTAATATTAATAAAAAATAATTTAAATTAAAAAGTTAAAGTTTATTAATTTTTAAAAAGTTTATATTAATATTTTAAAAAATAAGTTTAAAGATTTTTTAAAAAAATACCGAAATTATAAAAAAATAATTAAATTAAAATATTAAAAAAATATAATTTAATATTTTATAAAGTTTTAAAACTTTAATAAAATAATTAAATAATTTAAAATAACTTATTAAATTTATATTATTAAAACCTTTTTTTATAAAATTATTAAATTAATATATTTTAAATAAAAAAATTTATTAATAATAAATAATAAATTTATTTAAATTATTTAAAAAATTAATTAAATTTATAAAAATATATTAATTAACTTAAATATTTTATCGGTAAAAAACGGGCTTATTTTAATAAAGGAATATTTAAAATTAAATTAATAAAATCATAATAAAAATTATTTTATTTTAAGTTAAAATTAATCTTTAAAAAATATAAATTAATTAAAATTAAATAATAAATTTAATTTTAATAAAAAACGTTAATCCGGAAATAAAAAAATGTTAAAAAAAATTAATTAAAAAAATATTAATAAATAAAAAAAAGATAAAAAAATATATTAACGTTATAATTAAAATAATTATTAAACTTTAATTTATTTTATTAAAAAAATATCAATAATAAAAAATTACTTTTATCCCCGGAAAAAATTTTAATTATTAAAAAATTATAAAAAAATAATATTAAGAAATCATTTTCCTTAAATAAAAAAATAAAAATTAACGCGGCTTTTAAAAATATAATATAACCTTAAATTATAAAAATTAATAATTTCAATTTAAATTTTTAATAAGCTTTAATAATTTATTTTATTAAAATTTATAACCTTATTAAAATAAATTTACATAAACCGTAATTATTAAAAAATTAAATAATAAAACTAATTTAAAATTAAAAAAAAAAACCCCGGGAATTAAAAATAAATTAAAAACTTATTATAATTATAACGTTTATATATAATTATAAAAAATATAAAGTTAAAATATTATTAAATATAAATAATTCCGTCCTTTTAATATTTTTATTTAAAATAAAAAAATAAAAATTATTTATTATTAAAAAAACTATTTTAAAAATAATAATAACTTTTAATAATACGCTTATATTTAACGTAAGTAAATATTTTTTAAAACTTATTATATTATAATATTAAAAAAATTATTTTTCATAAGTTAACTTTAAATTAAATAATTTTAATAATAAAATAAATATTATTTTTTTTATTAATAAATAAAAATTTATAAATTAATATATTTTTTTATTAATTTTATAAAAATAAAATTCATTTTTAAATATTATTAAAAAAATTATATTAATTTAATTTTTTAAAAAATATAAAAAATTATAATAATATATAATATTAAAATAAAAAAAGTTTTAAAATTTATATTTAAAAAATTCCGAGAATTTATATATATTATAATTAAAAAAATAAAATATTAATTCCTAGATTATTAATTTTAAAATTATTTAATTAATTTAATAAAGGAAAAAATATTTTTATAAAGTTTTTTTTACGTTATAAATAAAAGAATATTTAATATTTTAAAATTTTAATTAAAAAAAATATTTAATATAAAATAAATTAAAAAATTAACTTTTTTTTATAAAATACTTATAATATTTATTAATAAATTAAATTTAAAAAATTTATTTTAATTAATTATCGATTATTAAAAATTAAATAATATTATTATATTTATTTATTATTTTATTTTTTTTATTATTAAATTTTAAGCCCGATTTTAAATTATTAAATAATATATTAAAATTAATTTAAAATTTAAATTTTATTTTATATAAATTAAAAAAAAATAATAAATAAAAAATAACATTTTAATGTAAATATAATTTATTTAAATATTTTATAATATTTTTTAAATTTATTAATATATTTATAATTTTTTAAATTATAATAAATAATATTTTTAAAAATTTTATTAATATAAGATTATTTATTTATTTTAATAAATTTTTAATTTATATTAATATTATTAAAAAATATAATATATTTATAAAAAAAAATCTTAAAAAAACTTTCGGAATATCATTTTATTATAAACTTAAAAAAGTTTTTTTAATAAATATAAAAAATAA